AAGGCGGTTTCCTAGGACCGCATTAATTGATTTTCAATGCATTCCTATGGGAAACCGTGCATCGCAAGACGAAAAACTCGCAAGACGAAGAGACTTGCGGAACGAATTAATTTCGTCTTGCGAGGCACCACTGTACATTTTAAATTGCATTTTAACCTGTATTTTAAATTGGTTTTTCCCCCTATTATGTTTTTACTGTAATTTTACTGGTGTTAGCTGCCCTGAGCCTAGCTCAGGGCGGGGTATAAATAAAAATTATTATTATTATTATTATTATTATTATTATCATCCAGGGGGTGGGGCAGGGGAGACCGGAGAGTGAGTGGGATTGCCATGTGACCAAGGAAAACAGCCAGGTCTGCTCTTGTGCCTTTCGTAGTAATTTGAACTCATCAGCATTTTTGTGTTCTCTCTTTCTGCAAGGAAATTTCCATAATATAATGAACGTTTGTATGTTAGTTTCCCCAATATCTGCAGATTTCTGCACCCTTTCCCCTAATCTGCGCATTTTTGAATAACTGCACTGAAAAATGTGGTTTTGGGTTGTGTTTGGAGATGGCACGTCTGTATTCACAGGAGGACTGCGCCAAATTGCTCCCTAGAAAGGGCAACTCGCCCTTTCGTCTTTTGATCGCCCGCCCCCAGTCAGTGTCCTTTCCCCACCTAGAGGGGCAGAGCAGGCGTTGGGAGCAACTGGTATGGAGCTGGCACGGGGTGAGTGGGTGCACTCTTGATGCCCTCAGGAGACCCCTTGGCAGCTTTGCCCTTCCTTCTGTGGCCTGATGTCCTCTGCTCCACTCCCTCCTTTTGGATGGATTTAGATGAGTAGGAGATGGTATTTTATTAATTATTCTTCCTCTTTTCACTTGTGTGGGAAGGCAAATATCTATTCCAGCAGAGAAAATCACCACCTGTGCACAGGTTATCTCTAGAAGCTTTTAGACAAGGCTGCGTAATTTTCTAGATTAAACAATAAGGCTGCCGTACACCAGGATTTTCCTGGACATTACTGGGAATTGACGTCTGGGGGGAATTTCTGAAAGGTGGCACTTTGTCCGTGATCTTAGGCAAGTCAATCAAAAAAATCGAAATCACGTTTTTTGGCGCTATTTTAAATAAAAGCTCAACCACTTTGGGGTTTGTCTAAAACAAGCTCAACCGCTTTTGGGGTGTCCTGGTTTTTACTTTTTGAAATGTGGCAACTCTAACAAGGATGCTTAGGCAGACTTTGAATATCTAGCTCTGAATTTGAGTTAAATTAGGTAGCCTGGAGCATTCTTCCTCAACTATTTTTCTCCTGTCCATCTTTGAAAAGATCAAAAAGGAAAACAAAAACTGCCTCATTACTTCAGTGTTTGTTGAGCAACAGTGCCATCTAGTGCCCCCAAATTCAAAACACTGGTGAATTTAAACAATGGAAAAACACACCTCTGGCTCCACCACCCCCAAATCCGTTTAAATTCCTTCGGAAAGAGAGAGGAAAAACAACACAATAATTGCTCAGAAATGTACCTTTGTTATCCATGAAAATCTTGCAATAATTTTTATTTTATTTTTAAAGAAAGGTCCCTGACTGGGCCTGTAACCTTTATTGGGATGGTAATAATTTAACTCAGAAAAGGCTAAAGCTTTAAAGTTCACTCACCTGAGACTGGAGAAATAAATTGTTTAATCAATTATGTTTTTAATGTTTGATGCCATATTGTGTTTTAATTTGTTGTAAGCCGCCCAGAGTGGCTGGGGTAACCCAGTCAGATGGGTGGCATAATAATAATAATAATAATAATAATAATAATAATAATAATAATTAATACTCTCCTACTTACAAAAATCCACCCAATAAATTATGGGATGGGGGAGAACAGGAGGGGCCTCTCCCCCTCCCCGTTGGCTGTTTCGGGCATTGGATTCCAGAGGCTAAGATTTGCTGGCGCATTCATTTGCTTCCGTGTTCACTGATCTGTACCGGATGCGGTGGGGAGGATTTCTCCAGTACTAGAGAGAGAAGCCACAGCTCCAAGCTTCTGCCAGCTGAGATTCCACTCCCCACCTCCCTGCCACCGCAATCCCTTTTGCAAACCCACCATTACCTGTTTTGTGCCCCTGGAGAGGACAGTTCTACCTGTCCCCAGTTCCTGTAACAGCTGGAGAACCACTACCACCCCCCTATCTGATGCCTGGTTCCCTGCGGGGGTCTCCGGTTTGACCCCCATCACCACCCACAGGTAGGATGGGAAATGTTCCCTGCCTGAAACCCTGGAGCAGGCATAGGCAAACTCGGCCCTCCAAATGTTTTTTGAGACTACAATTCCCAACATCCCTGACCGCTGGTCCTGTTAGCTAGGGAGGATGGGAGTTGTAGTCTCAAAACATCTGGAGGGGCGAGTTTGCCTCTGCCTGCCCTGGAGAGTCATTGCCGCCATTTAGTGCTGCCAAGGCTGAGCTAGAAGGACCAACTGTCTGAACTGGCACAAGGCACCTTCCTGTTTGACCAAGCAGCCGTGCCGAAGCAACTCTGCACATGCTCAGTTGTCGCCGATTGCTCCATCTGTTTCAAACCAGACTTGGCTCAGCTTGACGCAGCGACGGGGGAAGTCACTGAATCTCAACTGCGTCGTCATTCCTGACCACAAGCCAAGCTGGAGTCTGGCAACATCTGGAGGGGCACAGCTGTGCCGTGTTTACACCGAACACTTTGCTGCATCCTCCAAGCCATTTGACTGGGCCAAGGCTGCTTGTTGGCTTGTCTTCAAACCTTCCCTCCCCTGGAGGCTCACAGAGGGTGGTGGTGGTGATGATGAATGAGAGAACAGAGTGGACCCCTCCCCTCTTTTCTGAGCCCCTCCTGGGTAAGACTCCCCTTGGAAGGGAAACTTGACCCCCTCAGGTACAAAAATGCCTGGGGAGAAGCTCTGCCCCTGCTTTCCCTGCCCCACCAAGAACGCACGCGGTTACTCCACATTTTATTCATTCTCCTGTGTGATATACAGAACGTGGGGCAATTCTGGCTGCCGCTGGAGGGTGGGAGAGAGAGAGAGAGAGACCATGCAGGAAGGGGGGGTTCACACTGGGCAGCAATAATCGTGCACGGCATGCACGGCATGCCCCACCCTCCCAGATCATCATCAGCAAGGGCACACCCCTCCCCTCCTACAATCTGCAGCCCCATATCTCACAGGCTCCCGACTTGGAGCTGAAAAGGGGTTTTGTGGCAGGAAAGGGGCTGTTCCAGGAACCTAAGCCCAGCTCATTTGCAAGGCAAGAACAACAATGGAGGGTTCATCTCCATTCCCCTCCTGCTTTTCTGCAACCTGCCAGAGGAGAGGGAGGGGAGGAAGAGGAAGGGGTGGCTTTGAGTTCACATAAAACCCGCCAGCCAGCGAACCAACAATCTCCAGTGCCAGGGCAGGCTGGCTGAAGTTTCGAGGTTTCCTTTTTGGCCCTCCTGTGCCAGCTGCTGCCAGGGCTGCCCTTCTCGGTCCCTCTGCTCCTCTGATGAAAATGTCCCTTGCCTGCTGCTCCAGCTGCCTGGGAAAGCCTGGGTGACACTCAATGGTCAGCCTGACTTCTAGAGTCCTTCCGGACCAGCCCAACCACAGGATCAGCGGACACAGAATGCTCAGTGTAGACTTGGCTTCAAATTCCCTGCTTAGCCACGATGCTCACAGAGGGTCCTCCACTTGAGGGTCCTTCGGCACGCTTGAGGCGTTGCTTTTCCACAATCAGGAGGGCGTGGGATTAAGGTGGTAGTTCCGCACAGACCCGGATGTGGTACCGAGAGGCTGAACAGAAACCAGAGCAAGAAACCACAAACAGCAGGAAGCTTCTAACTCAAGGCAAAGGAGCCCCTCTTCCAAGCCTCACTTGCACTTTGCCAGTCCAGAAAGGCTAGGTGTTGGTGGGGACGCGAGCAAAGAAGACACAGGAACGCAACAATTCAACAGCCACGTTGTGTGGGTGCACCGTAAAAAGTGAGTCGGCTGATGATGCTCTTGTGGAAGGCGCCCAATGTTTCTGTTTGATGAGGGGCCCTGCTTCCAACCTCCTTCCACTTCCTCGCTTCCCCTTGGGCAGGATCAAAACATGAACAATATTCAGCTGTGCGCACTCTGAAGCTCTTCTGCACCTCGAGGATTTCTGCATGCATGGATATGGCCCTCAATGCTCCCAGGAGAACACCGTTCCTGCAAGTTAAGGGCATCCCTTCCACAAACCCCTGAGAAGGGAAGTGCAGGCAGCTGAGCAAAACAGCACATTCGCTCGGTTTTGCAGCAGGGACGGCGTTTCCACACATCTTAACACAGAAAGCGTGAGTTCTCGAAGCAGCCCGTGGCGGCGGGAATGGCTGGTCCACAAAGACACTGGATTGATATTGCAGACGCAATCCCTCTTATCAGGGATCTGTGGTAGAAACCCTCCGCAGAGGACCTTGCCTGCAAAAGTGCAACCCCGGCCTCCTCTCTCCTTGGCCCAGGAGACGCTGCTGCCGAAACGCCCGCTCCTGTCCTCAAGTGAAGCAAAGGCTTCTGGGAGACAATGGCCCTGGGAAGGAGGGGGCCACGCAAGCCAGCCAGTCCTCCAAGCCGTCAGAAGAAGGATCAGCCCTTCCCTTTGGGTTGGAAAGGAACTTGGGTGGGGAAATGGTTGGCGATGCCATTTCCACAGTCCCTGCGGTCCATCTCTGAGGAGCAGGAAAAAGGTCAAGAGGGGAAGGCGAAGAGAGGCTAGGCAGGAGGGTCTCAGGACAGCCACGGAAGCAAAGTGGCCCTCATTGTAGCAATGGCGGGGGGTGCAAAGGGCATGCAACCCTCCTTACCCCACAAGTCCAGCCTCTCTTGCCCACCTTCCTGGTCCTTGAAGGGGCCACGAGACTCTTGGCTGAGTTTGTGCCAGTGATGGAGCCCTCTAGGAATCCTTCCTCCATTGCCTTGGCTGAGCCTCCTCTTCAACAGAGCTGATGTGTGTGGTCAGAAGTGGCTGCACCTGCGGGGAGCGCTAGTTCACGCTGCTGGGTAAAAGGCTGCTTGCTGTATTGGGAGGAGGAAAAGGAGGAAGAGGTAATAATAACAGTAACCACAAATATGTAAAAGCAGGGCAGCAGGCTCAGAGGTTTGGAGGAACCAAGAGCAGCAGTCGGGGGACAAAGAGGAAAGTTTCTTTTTCTTTTTCTGACCAATTGGGATGGGGCGCTTTCAGGTTTCTGCCAGAAGCCGTTCCAAGGCTGGATCTACACTGACCTGTTTAACATTATTAGAACGATATTAGATCTATCGTTCTAAAATGTCACAGGACATCCTTGTGAATTAGAGCATTTTTTACCTTGGTTCCCCCCCGTCAAAACACTGTCTCCCTCCTGCTGGCTGCTCTGGTGTCACATTTTAATAACGCATTACGAGTGTTAAAAGTAGGATGTAATGTGTCCATATATGTTATCAAAGCAATTCCTTAACCCTTCCTTAACGTTAAAAACAGTGAGTGTAGATCCGCCCAAAGCACAGAGGCCCAGGGCAGCTTCCAAATGTTGCAACTACGACTCCAAGCTGCGTCCCTGAGCATTGGCCATGTTGGTTGAGGGGACTGACAGGAACTGGGAGTCCAGCCTCACCTGGAGGGTGCCATTTTGGCTGCCTGTGGGTTCTGTGGCTCTTATTTCCGTTGGACAAAACCCTCCTCACCCTGGTTCCTGCTTAGTTCATCACCCAGGGCTCAGCCTTGGCATCAAGAAATAGGTCCTGGGGCCCAGCACTCTCAGACTCTGCTTAAGTGAAGACCAGCCTCCGAGGGGAAGGGGGATCCTCGCACAAGAGGGCCAGATCCACTTGAATTGAACAACCTAAATTTGTTGCCATACCAAGAAATCACAACTGCAAAAGAGTGATGGTTTGGCAGCAGTGAGTAGGGGGGCAGTGACCCTGAGATGTGGCTGGGTTGCAGATGGAGGACGGTGTCTCATGGACCAAGTGCCACTGAGGCACGGCGGTTCCGTGTGACACAGCCAGTGTGGGAGCGGGCCAACATGCCCACACCCAGCTCAAGGTCACTGGGCCACACGAGACAGTCGTGGCTGGGAATGGATGACCACGCTGCCACGGAGAAGAAACAATTTGTGGGATGGCCTGGAACACAACACCGGACACACCACAACATGACAACACAGATGGCGCACAGCTACCCAGTAACAGGGGCAGGGCTTAGTTTCAGAAAGGGAAACAGGGATTGCCAGCTGCCAACTGCAGGCCCACCCCCTGCCCAGGCACGGAGGGGCTTCTCTTGCAGCGATGCAAGAGGATTCTGTGGGCAGCGGATTCGTGGCTATGCCAGTCCCCAGAAGGCCCCGAGACTCCAGCACGTGGCCTCCCGGGTGCTCCTCAGCCTTGTCCAGGCGGGATGAACTCCTGATTCCTTGTCGCCTCTCATGCAACGAGGAGGAGTGAGAATTGGTCAGGAAGGCACAGGAGGGGAGTGCGGGGAAAAGGGGCTCCCCGCCCCTATCCAACCTCTCTCTTTCTCTTCTCTCAGGCCCAAAGAGTCTCAAACTCTTCCACAACTGTGGGAGTGTAGCAAATATGCAGAAATAAGTTCTGGTTTTGTCGGCCGCACCTCCCGGTGGAGACGCCCCAGCCCTTTGCCCTGGATGTGCCGAGAGCAAAGGCAATGCACTCTGCCTATGCCCAGAGGTGCTCTTTTCTCTGGACATCCTACCAAGCCTCCACCCAACCCTATTGGGTGGACATTTTTCCACCTTCGCCGCATCAAGCAGTTGGTCCCTTACCTTTCCCGCCCCGACCTGGCCACAGTGATCCATGCGATGGTCACCTCCAGGCTTGACTACTGTAATTCACTCTACGTGGGGCTGCCCTTGAAGCTGTCCCAGAGACTCCAGCGGGTGCAGAATGCTGCAGCGAGGCTCCTCACGGGTCTCTGCCATGGGAGCATATTCACCCAGTGCTTTTCCAGCTGCACTGGCTCCCGGTGGAGTACAGGGTCAGATTTAAGGTGCTGCTTTTGACCTTTAAAGCCCTTCACGGCCTCAGACCCTCGTACGTACGGGACCGCCTCTCCCGGTATGCCCCACGGAGGACCTTAAGGTCCATATATAGCAACACCCTAGTGGTCCCGGGCCCTAAGGAAGTCAGATTAGCCTCAACCAGAGCCAGGGCCTTTTCAACATTGGCTCCGGCCTGGTGGAACTCTCTGCCTCATGAGACCAGGGCCCTGCAGGATCTGATTTCTTTCCGCAGGGCCTGTAAGACAGAGTTGTACCACCAGGCCTTTGGCTTGGAATCAACTTGATTCCCTTCCCCTCTATCCTTTTTCCTTTCTCCTTCTGTGATGAGGCTGCATTTTAATGTTTTAATGTTGTATTTTCATCTTGTTTTTAAGTTGTATTCATTCAACTTGTTTTTATTATTGGTTGTTAGCCGAGCCCGGCCTTGGCTGGGGAGGGCGGGGTATAAATAAAATTTATTATTATTTTTATTATTGTTATAATGAATGGGGAGCAAGGACCAAGAGCGGACCTCGCCTCCTCACAAGGCAACATGTTCGGGAGTGAGTGGAGCAGGCTGGGTTTGTGTGGAAGAATCCCCTCCTGCAGACCCCACCTCTGCGCTCTGCTCCTGCTCCTGGGTTTCTGGTCTTGCAACAAGAAGACGGCACGGACAGGCAGGTGCTTCTTTTGCAAACTGACCTGGTGAGGGGGAGGAGTCGCCACTCACCGTCAGCAGCACATCCTGGTTGTCGGCCAGAGCCTGCTTGGCCAGGTAGCGTTCCCGCTTGATCTTCACCTCCAGGGACTTGGGGACGTCTGGGACCAGCCAGTCAATGAGGCGCAGGCAGAAGAAGACCACATGCTGGGAGCCGGGAGGAAAGTCTCTTTGTGACGCTCAGCCACAAGCCGGTGTGCGTTATTCTCCCCATGCTACAGATGGGAAAACTGAGGCTTGGTTCGAAAGGGGATGCCACTCGGGCCATTCTGATCAGCAATTTAAGATGGAACTCCTGCCAGAGCGGTACCTATTTATCTACTTGCACTTTGACGTGCTTTCGAACTGCTAGGTTGGCAGGAGCAGGGACCGAGCAACGGGAGCTCACCCCGTCGCGGGGATTCAAACCGCCGACCTTCTGATCGGCAAGTCCTAGGCTCTGTGGTTTAACCCACAGCGCCACCCGTGTAAATAGTCATAAATACAGCCACTTGCCCCAGGCAGGACACCAACTTCATTTCCCCCCACTTATCAGTGCCAGCTGCCCTTCCGCTAGCCCTACCATGTGCTTATGTCCCCTCAGCCCCATACTGAGTCAAACCCTTGGGTCCACCTGCCTCTGTGCTGCCTACACGGACTGGGAAATCTCTCCGGGATTTCAGGCAGGCAAGTGTCCCCCCAGCCCGACCTGGAAATGCTGCTGGCGGGGCTCAAACCCAGGACCCTCTGCATGCAGGGCGGCTGCCCTACCACTAAGCTACACCCCCCTCAAGACGCTCACCTCGAAGGCGATGATGAAGCCCAGGCGGATGGCCAGCAGCTTCCAGTAGAAGAGAGTTTGGCTCCCATGGGGGTCGCGGAAGGCCTTGTACCTGGGAGGAGAGATGCCATTTCCGTGGGTCAACAGGGCTTGGTGTGCATGTGTGTGCCAGGATGCATTCCCTGGGGCTGTGCGGGGTGGGGGGTGAGGTCTCTGCTCTCACCGGCACATGGTGTGGTTGCTGTCCGCGAAACTGGGTGGGGCGTAGGCCAGGGTGAAGTTCACGTAGCCGCGCAGGTGGCTGTCGTACTCGTATTGGTACAGGAGGCGAGGGAGGAAGTCCGACGTGAAGGCAATGAGAAAGGCCTGTGGGGAGACAAGGAGACTCATATGGGGGGGGGGAATGGGTGATCTATGTAGGGGTGCAAATAACCAGAGTGTGGGGGTCAGGTGGGATTGCTATGAGGAATTATGAAAGATGGAGCAAGCCATTTGTGTCAGCAATGAAAGCATTGCGTTGACTGGGTTTGATTCATTGACAAGTTTCTGATCGAATCCCACAAGCCTCTGCACCTGACAGGCATGTATAAGCATTCTAAACACAGGCCAGTTGCTTCACCGGGCATCCTCAGTACATAAAGATAGTAGGCTACTTTGATGTAGTTTGTTAATCTTTAGATTGATCTTGGCGCCGTGGGTTAAATCACAGAGCCTAGGACTTGCCGATCAGAAGGTCGGCGGTTCGAATCCCCGCGACGGGGTGAGCTCCCGTTGCTCAGTCCCTGCTCCTGCCAACCTAGCAGTTCGAAAGCACGTCAAAGTGCAAATAGATAAATAGGTACCGCTCCGGCGGGAAGGTAAACGGCGTTTCCGTGCGCCGCTCTGGTTCGCCACAAGCAGCTTAGTCATGCTAGCCACATGACCCGGAAGCCGTACACTGGTTCCCTCGGCCAATAAAGCGAGATGAGCACTGCAACCCCAGAGTCGGCCACGACTGGACCTAATGGTCAGGGGTCCTTTAGCTTTACCTTAAGGGCCAGGAAGAGAGTTCACAAGGAGATGGCAAATACTCTTTCCTTGCCATCCTTCCTTTCCTGCCTGTTTATGACCTCCAGGGTTTTGCTGAATGCATTCCTCTAGTCCTGTTTTATTTACTCTGAGCTATGTATGCATGCTCAAGTAGGAAATTAGCTCTTTGTAGTTTTAACTTTGACTTTGTCCCCACGTGGGTTTTTTTGAAATGTTCAGAGGAATCTGATTGGTTCTTACGAACACTGTGTAAAAAGTTCTTTTGTGAATAAAACGACCTGGGCCAAGGGGTGGATAGGATTATTGTTGGCACTCCTTCCAGAGTCTTGCTGGTCAAGTCTCGTGTGTATTTTATTAATCAGAGTCCAATCCTTCCTTGCTTTGGGAACGCTACAGATCTAGGGGCCCTGTCACATCTCAAGGTGCAGCTAGGACCCTGCGGATGCTGGGAACAACTCACAGATCATGAGCCCTTACTCTTGCAGCCTGGCTGCCCAGGTCCCACAGAAGTAAGAGAGTTTTCATAGAAAACCAGACACAGACTCAACTTCCTGCCATGCAAATCATCCCCCTGCCTAATCAGGACTTGGGTAACATGAAGATATTCATTTGGCACCACTCTTCCCACCACTGTCAGCCAGAAGAAAATTAAGAGCTGTGAAATCGGTTATGATACACTGGGCAAAAGGTTTTGGATATAATATACAGCTAAAAGAATGGGAGAGGTTGTGGAAAGAAAGAATAAAATTTACAGCATGTATTGCTTTGAAAGAGAATATGATGAAAATGATGTATAGATTGTATATTACACCTGTGAAATTAGCTAAAATGTATATGACAAGTAATAAATGTTTGAAATGTAAAGAAAAAGAAGGATCATTTTATCATATGTGGTGGGAATGTAAGAAAGTAAAAAACTTCTGGGAAATTATATATAACGAGATGAAAAAGATGTTGAAATATACAATTTTTAAAAGACCAGAAGCATTTTTTCCTTGGTATTGTAAGTGAGGACATTAATAGACAGGACATTAAACTGTTTTTATATGCAACAACAGCGACAAAAAAAAATGGAAATCAGAAATGGAAGCAAGAAGAAATACCGACAAAAGAAGAATGGCAGACGAAATTAATGGACTACGCAGAATTGGACAAAATGACAGGAAGGATTCGATACCTGCGGGACCAGAGATTCACAGAAGATTGGAAGAAATATAGGAATTATTTGAAGAGCAACTGTAATCAACAAATTACATTAGTAGGACTACAAGAAGTTTTGTAAGGAGGAATAAATGAAATATTGCAAAGAAGAAAAAGAAGAGAGATATTAGTTATGATATTTAAATGTAATAGTGAAAGTAAGAAATGCAAAATTAAGTGGAAAAGATTGGAAAATGTTCAGATATGATTGATGGAAGTCAAAAAAATTGAATAACTCTGCTTCCAACTTTGCTATTCTATGCTTCTATGATGAAATGCTTTTCCTCTTGGGCTTCTGCAGCCCCCACCAGCAGCCACTCGGCTTGGGGTCCAGCTGCTTTGCGGGGTGGGGCTGCTGGGTGGAGAAGCCCCCTGCCCCAAGCTCTGAGCTTTGTGGGTTCATGGGTAGGGTGGGGTATTGAGTTCCTTCCGGACTCACGTTGACGATGACGGAGATCTGGGCCAGGACATCCAGGATGAAGAACCAGACGCTGATGTCTTGGGCGCGCTCGGCCACGGGGCGCCGATACTCGCAGGCGAACTTCTGGGCGTCCAGGCGGATCTCGACCCAGTTGTTGAGCAGGGCGAAGAGCGGAGCCAGAGGGAAGGCAGCCACGAAAATGGTGATGAAGCCAAACTGGAGCACTGAGGGAGAGCAGGGAAGCTCATCAGGGTTAGAGCGACAAGCTACCTAAAGGAAGGGGGCAGAATAGAGGCTGGCATTGGCGGCCCCTGACATACAGCTCCGAGCTGGAGCTGGGGTGGCAGAAGGAGAACGGAGCGATCTCCACTTCCCTGTGGTGGGATTGCTATGAGGGGGTGGCCGCTGAGACCACATAACACCAGTCTTGAAAGACCTACATTGGCTCTCAGTACGTTTCCGAGCACAATTCAAAGTGTTGGTGTTGACTTTTAAAGCCCTAAACGACCTTGGTCCAGTATACCTGAAGGAGCGTCTCCACCCCCATCGTTCTGCCTGGATGCTGAGGTCCAGCGCTGAGGGCCTTCTGGCGGTTCCCTCATTGTGAGAAGCTAAGCTACAGGGAACCAGGCAGAGGGCCTTCTCGGTAGTGGCGCCCGCCCTGTGGAACGCCCTCCCATCAGATGTCAAATAGATAAACAACTTCCTGACATTCAGAAAACATCTGAAGGCAGCCCTGTTCAGGGAAGTTTTTAATGTGTGACATTTTAGTGTATTTTTGGTCTTTGTTGGAAGCTGCCCAGAGTGGCTGGGGAGGCCCAGCCAGATGGGCGGGGTACAAAGAATAAATGATGATGATGATGATGATGATGATGATGAAAAATGAAGCAAGCCATTGTGTCAGCGATGAAAGCATTGCTTTGACTGGGCTTGGGTCATTTGACATGAGTTCTGATTCAATCCCACAAGCCTCTGCACCTCTGCCCATTTTCTCTCTGCCTGACAGTCACCTATGGAGCATTCTACACAGACCATTTGTTCACCAGGCATCCTGGGCCATAAAGATAGACGGTAGCTTTGATGTAGCTTTTGTTAATCCTTAGGCCAGGAGGAAAGTTCCTGGAAGTGGTAAATGCCTATCTTTCTCTTTCCTGTTTACTGCCTGTTTATGACCTCCAGGGTTTGCTAAATGCATTCCTCCTTGATTCCTGTTTTATTTACCCTAAAACATGTATGCATGCACAAGTAGTTCTTTGCAGTTAAGAGGCTTCCTCTGATCTGGTTTTGTGGGGTTTTTTGAAATGCTCAGAGGAAATCTGATTGGTTCTTACGAACGCTGCGTAAAAAGTTCTTTTGTGAATAAAACGACCTGGGCCAGGGGGTAGACAAGATTATTATTAGTATTTGCACTGCCTCCCAGAGTCTTGCTGGCCAAGCCTCGCGTCTATTTTATTAATCAGGGTCCAGTCCTTTTGTGATGGCCTGGGAATCGGATTCAGAGGCTGAACCTGAGGAATCCCAGCCTGCACAGGAGTCCCCGCCTCCAGGACCAGCTGAGCCGGGGCTGGGGCTTGAACCTGAAGGGCCCTCACCTGTGCCAGATCCTCAGGAGCAGACACCAGCTGAATCTGCTCTGGCTCCGGAGGTGATGGAGGACCCATTGCCTGCAGGTGCTCCACTCTCAGCCCCATCAGGGGAAGGTGAGGTTGCCTCTGGGTCCGGTAACCCTCCAGCCTCTCCTGAGCTACAGAGGCTCAGGGCAGAGAGGCGGAGGGAACTAAGTTCTCGCAGGAGGAGTGCTCGCCTCCAGGCCAGGAGAGGCGGGTCACCTGTGGACCGGGGCCGCCCTATGCCTCAGAGGAGATAAAAGCCAGCCAGCCCAATCCCAGGTTGTGGGAGCAACATTGTTGGTAACCTGTTCCTGCTGGCACCCTGTCCTGCTCTTTGAGGGAAAATATGTACAAAATGATGTACAGGTGGTACGTAACGCCCGTAAAACTGGAAAAAATATATAAAACTGGTGATAAATTATGCTGGAAGTGCAAGATTAAGGAGGGTGATTTTTATCATATGTGGTGGTTGTGCGAGCCTATTAGAAAATTTTGGGAATCTATTTACAATGAACTAAAAAATCTTTNAATATACCTTTATAAAAAGACCTGAAGCCTTTTTGCTGGGGATAATTGGAGAGGAAATCAAAAGGAAGATCAAACACTCTTTCAGTACGCGACAGTGGCCGCCAGAACTCTAATAGCGCAGAATTGGAAGACACCAAGAATCCCAACCATAAATGAATGGCAATCGAAACTACTCGACTATCTAGAATTGGCAAAAATGACACAGAAAATAAGAAATCAAAAAGACACAAAGTTTAATAAAGATTGGAATAAATTCATGGCATACATGGAAACAGAGGTAAAAAAAACTAAAAAACACAGTAGGTGCGATATAACACTTGTGATGTAAAGAATTTTTTTTTGAGGAAAAGAAACTGCAGATAGAAAAATTTTATAACACATCCGAAACTGAGAAGAAGGGAAGTCAGTCAGTGTTGTGTGTTATGTAGTTAATGTAGTTAATTTGTTGTTGTCTTATGTCAGGAGTATATATATATTTTTTATATATATATTTTTTTCTTTATTTAGTTTTTTTTTGGTGTGAATGTGTTGTGTTTGTCTTTTTTGTTTGTATGGTGTTATAAAATAAAATTTATTAAAAAAAATTAAAAAAAAATTAATTACCTCACATGTCCACCACATGTGGTAGAAATTGCCCTCCTTAATTTTACACTTCCAGCACATTTTGTCTCCGGTTTTATACATTTTTTCCAATTTTACAGGTGTAATGTACCACCTGTACATCATTTTTCCCATGTTCTCTCTAAGTGTTGTACAAGCTAAAAATTTCATACCTTTATTCCAAAGTTTCCTCCAACTATCAAACTCTATATTGTATCCAAAGTCTATCGCCCATTTCACCATTACTTCTTTTACTTCTTCATCTTTGGTGTCCCATTCTAGCAACTGATTGTACATTTTAGATAGGAGTTTTGATTTACTTTCCAATATTTCTACCTGGAATCTGGATTTTTTTCCATTTATCCCAATCTTTTTGTCTTCGGTCCACAAAGCTTTAATTTGATGAAATTGAATTCAACCTGTTAGCTTATTTTTTATCTCTTCATATGGTCTAATCTTCCATCCTTTTTCTGTTTTTACTAACAGATCTTCATAAGCATCTCTCACCTTCAATATTTATTTTTGTTGTTGTTAGGATGTCAGTTGGCGATAACCACCAGGGAGTGCATCTTTCCAGTAATTTTTTATTTCTCTCCCATACTTCCAGCAGTGGCCCTCTAATGATATGGTTAGAAAATCCTTTGTGGACCTTTTCCTTATTGTGCCACAAGTATGCGTGCCAGCCGAATCTGATGTTGAAACCTTCCAAGTCCAACAGGTCTGTGTTCTTTATAGTGATCCATTCTTTGATCCAGCAAAGGCACGAGGCTTCGAAATAAAGTTTCAAATTTGGGACCGCAAATCCTCCCCTATCTCTTTGGTCTGTGAGTAATTTAAATCTAATTCTCGGCCTTTTTCCTTGCCAAATAAATTTGGAGAGCACTTTCTGCCAATCTTTAAATATTGAGGTTCCCCTGATTATCGGTATATTTTGAAATAAAAACAGCAGTTTCGGCAGTAAGCTCATTTTAATTGCCGCCATTCTTCCCGACCAAGAGAGTTTTGTCCTGTTCCAAGTATCCAAGTCCTTCTTAATTTCTTTCCAGGTGTTTGCGTAGTTATCTTCCATTAAATTTATATTTTTCATAGCCAAATTCCCAAGTATTTTATTTTTTTTATTACTTTAATCCCGGTCTGTAATTCAAGCTGATTTTTTAATTCTTCCTTCATATTCTTTGCCATCATTTTAGTTTTAATTTTGTTTGATTTAAAGCCAGATAACTTTCCAAATTCCTCTAACAATTCTAGCACTTTACCAACACTTTTTTTTGGATCTTCTAACGACAACATCAAATCATCGGCATATGCTTTCAATTTATATTCTTTTACTCCAATTCTTATTCCACATATCTCTGAAGTTTTCCTTATCTTATTTGTAATTATTTCTAACACCATAATAAACAAAAGAGGTGACAGAGGGCACCCCTGTCTTGTACCCTTCGAAATTTCAAAAGATTCAGTTAAGTTATTATTAATAATTAGTTTAGCTCTTTGATGCTTTTATTCCTTCCAGGAATGTGCCCTCTATCCCTGCTGTTTCCAAACATTTTATTAGGAATTGCCAGGATACATTATTGAAAGCCTTTTCGGCATCGATGAACATTAATACCGCGGGAATTTCATTTTTACATTCCAAGTATTCAATAAGATTTATTGTATGTCTTATGTTGTCTTTTAATTGCCTACTGGGTAGGAATCCGGCTTGATCATTATGAATAAAATTGACTAAACACTTTTAAAGTCGACTCGCCATTACATCTGCAAAGATTTTATAATCATTATTTAATAATGAAATCGGTCTGTAGTTCTTGATATTAAATTTATCCGAGTCTGGTTTGGGTATTAACGTAATGTATGCTTCTTTCCAGGACTCTGGTGTTCTTCCTCCTCTTAAGATCTCATTCATTACTTCACAAAGCACTGGAATTAAGAGTTCTTCTAGGACTTTGTAATACTTGGCTGATAAGCCATCAGACCCCGGAGCTTTCCCTAGTTTCATCTTCTTTATCGCCTCATGAATTTCCTCCACTTTTATAGGTTTATTTAGTAGACTTTTCTCCTCCTCCGATAGACTTTTAATTCTGTTGTCTTCTAGGTATTTTCCTATTTCTGTTACATCTTCTTCTTCTCTTTTGTATAATTTTTCATAAAATTTAAGGAAGCTCTTTTTTATTTCATTAGAATCCTCCAAGACTTGTTCTTCTGTTTTTATTTTGTTGATCACATTTTGCTTTCTCCTTTTTCTTAATTGCCACGCCAGAAATTTTCCAGTTTTATTTGCTGACTCGAAAATTTTTTGTTTCGTTGACTTAATTCCCCATTCCACCTCTTGATTTATTAATATTGAATACTGTGTTTGTAACATCTTATACAATTGCTTATTTCTTTCTTCATTCGGTTTCAATATTAAACTCTTTTCACCTTCTCTTAGTTGGGTAAGTATCCTTTTTTTTGTTCTCTGACCTTTTTCCTATAACTATTTTGTTGTATCAAGAAACCTCTTAACACTGCCTTACTGGCATCCCAAACTATATCCATATTTGTTTCTTTGTTAATGTTTAAATCAAAATAGTCTTTCAAGGTGGATTTAGCCTTTTCAATCACATCCTCATTTTCAAATAAATAATCATTCATTCTCCATCTGTACATTCCCTGAGTCTCCCATTTTAACTGTAACACTATTGAACTATGATTCTGCCAGAGTTCCTGACCTCCCCCGACTCCTTGCCTTGGACCCCGCTTCAGCCTTGACGGACAGCCCCCATACCACACCCTTGACCTCGGACTGGACTTGGACCACGCCGCACGGTAACCCCCCAGGACCAGCACACCTTTCCTTTGCCTTCAGAACGCAACACTTGTTTGGAGGTTCTAGCAGGGGAGCGCAGCTATCGTATACCCTTGACCGAAGAACGGTACACTCCTTCTATCTGGGATGGTCGTCCTCTTCCACCGAGCGCGCAGCTTTGGGAGGGACGCACATGGAGCGGTGAGGGAGGAAGGGGACACCCGCCTAGCCAGCCAGATCAGCCGAATCAACCCTGGCGATCAATGGGGTGACAGATGTCGCAGCCAGATCGTCCTCACATCCATTGTTCGATGTTTTTTTAAAATTGCTTTTGTTCTGTTAGTTTAGTGTGTTGTGTAGTGTTTTTGTATTGTGTTGTGTTGTTCTTTTTTCTGCTTATTTTTGTGTGTGTTTGAAAAGTAATAAATATTATTTAAAAAAAAACCAAAACAGAACGCAACACTTCCCAGCCTTGTTTTTGCCTGGGATCCAGTCGCATCCCAGCAACTGGGCCATTATAGCAGCCTGGGAGTTCTCGTGTAACGAACCCGCCACCCCACAAAAGACAGGGCGTTCTGCAAAAGGGAAAGCGATCGGAAAATGGACTGGCTTGCGCGGGGTAAGAACCCGAACCGGCTCGGCCCTCCCTCCCACTTACCCATCTCCAGGTACTCCTCAAAGAGGCCTTCGCACTCAATCAGCTCGTAATCCTCTTCCCAGCGCTTGGGCTCCTGGCAGATCTGAGCCCCTCGCACCCGGGCAAGCTTCCTCTTCTGGCGCCAGGATTTCAGCTTCCTGCAGGGGAAGAAATGGACAAGAGAGGCATCGGAGCAGGAGAGAGGGGCACCTGTTGAAAGGGACCCACCCAGAAAACATTAGGTTTTGTGGGGTGCTCTGTTTCCATGGCCGGAATTGCAGAGAGTGTTAGTGAGCAGCCCCCCCTGGACCTCCCAGGTCTTCCTTTTCCTCCCTGCAGCTGGCAACTCACGGAATCAGAAACTCCTGGATGTTGCTGACAATCTGCTTCCCCACCATGATGATGAAGAGCTGCTGGGCCAGCTCAATCAGGCACCCGCCAGGACCGCACTGCAGGGAGAAGGGGAGGAGGAGAGGACGTCAGCAGAGCTCTAGGGAGCGAGTCTGGAAACCCTGAGCCCCAAGGAAACAGCTCCCAGAAGGACCATTTCCCCCTGAAAAGAAGAAATCCCAATTCTGCCTTTAGCCAAACAGGCGTGGCAGGACCCTGGGTGCTTTGAAAAATCTTTAATGCTTTGTTTGTCACTCTTGGGCTGGAGTGGTGTTTGGGACCTTTTGTTGTGGGGGTTGCTGATGCTGGTTTTTTGGTATCTCTATTTTTTGTGATTTATGTGGAAATAGTTCAGCTTGTTTTTGTGTTTTTAATGCTCTGTTTATTGTTTATGACTACTTTTGACACGTTGTAGTTATGTATTTTTTTCATGCTGCAAGCTGCCTTGAGCATGGTTTGAACTAAGGAAGGGGGGCATGCAAAAAAAAAATTATGTATGTACAGTGGTACCTCGGGTTACATACGCTTCAGGTTACAGACTCCGCTAATCCAAAAATAGTACCTCGGGTTAAGAACTTTGCTTCAGGATGAGAACAGAAATCGTGCAGTGGTGGCGCGGTGGCAGCAGGAGGACCCATTAGCTAAAGTGGTGCTTCAGGTTAAGAACAGTTTCAGGTTAGGAATGGACCTCCGGAACAAATTAAGTACTTAACCCGAGGTACCACTGTATGTTGTTGGGATACTGCCAGGGAGACAAAGTCCATCATGGCCCCCAAGCCGCCTCCGGACGTCCATCGATCTCCCGTAGATACAGTATCAGCAATTAGCGACACAAGCTCCAGAAATAGCTTGCCACATTCCAGAGCTGATGCACGCTCTATCAGCAGAAATCACATAGCGAAAGATGCACTCAGGAGAGCATTATTTACAAGTTTATTCAGCGTTGGTCAGAACAAAGAAAACATGACTGCCTGCTTCAGTGTCTCAGGCACAGAGAGGGAAACGAAAGCAATAGACAAAACATAAACTTCCTGTGAACAGGAAATACGCAGACTCTGTGACTCACAAAGCCTGCTCCCTTTTAAGGTGGAACGGAAATATCCTAACATATGTATGTATGTATGCCAATACCTAAAACAGAAACCAGAACCAAAATAATCTAAAACAAACATAAACAAGTGAGCTCTTAAATCACAACCCTCCAATTAAAGTTGAACCTTGCAGATTAAAAAAAAGAAAAAAGAAAAAAACACGGTTTGATCTGGGGTGACGGCAGAAGAAACCCAAACATGTATGCGTGCGTGGACACACACACACACACACCTGCAGCAAACTCTTTGGAGAAGGACCTGCCTGGCTCCAGCATCTGGATGAAGAGCCTGCCAGGTGGGCAGTGCCCAGACCGAGGCAAGAGAGAAGACCTGCCCCCTGCCCTGGTACTTACGTCTTCGTTCCTCATGCCCAGGAGTTTTCCGTATTGGCCGGGGTACCCCACAAACCTGCTGGGACAAAGGGAAGGGTCTGCCTGGAGTTTGGAAGCCTCACCCCCACAATGGGGGAACGTTCAAAATGGCAGCTCTCAGCTCTGCACTGGGAGAGCCCAGGGGAGGCTGAGAGCCCCATGGGGAGAAGGCAAAGCCATAGAGGAAGTGGGGAGTTGGGGGTGCCCAGCCCAAGTGGTGGAGCCCCACGACATGCCTCCTTGTAGCCACAGCCATGGCGAAGCAGGGCTCGCGCTCCGTGGCTGGGAAGTCCCTCCCTCCCTGCTGACTGGGGTTGTTTCCCTGCCCCTGTGAAAGGGGTCTAGAGACTAGCAGCCTCACCTGCCCTTGAAGAAGGCCACATAGAACGGGGAGGAGTAGAAGTTGACAAACTGGAAAATGAAGACCTTGAAGGTGAAGGCGTCTTCATGCTGCGTCTGAGTCCGGTGCATTTCTGCAAAAGGGGACAGCCCAGTATAGGGTGGCCGGGAGGCATGTTGGCCAGAGAGGAAGGAGGAGGAGCAGGAGAAGGGGAGATGGGGGGAGCCAGCCCCATGGCGGAGGAGCTGCTCGCGCTCCAGAAATCCCCAAGGGGCATTTTGCAGGCCACCGCCCCATCATGCACAAAGAGAGCGTCATGAACTGAGCTCAGCCAGTTGGCAGTGGCAATGCAGGGACAGAATAGGGACAGAGTCTGGGCTTGCTGGGAAATCGGGGTGGGTGGGGGGGTTGGCATCTCAGACTCACCCCACCTGGTGAGCTTCTCAGCCAGAGAGGTGTAGACCTGACTCATGAGGAGGATGAGCACCAGGTTCACCATGCAGCTGCTGATGTTAGCAATGTTCCCCGCCTGCAGGGAAAAGACAGAACGTCGCCACCCCAGTCGTCTCCAAAGACCAGCGAATTCCCTCCCTCCTTAAAACACACAGAGAGGAAGGGGAACCCAATAGCCTAGACCACAGAGAGCCCCTGGGCTCAAACTCGACACACAAGGAAAATCCTCTCTGTAGTGCTAAATTGGAGCAAAGGTCAATCCGCAGAAAACCCAACTTGCTGTTTGTTCCAACTGAGCACGAAAGAGCAGCAGGGCAAGGGAAGTGTGGAGGAGCCCTTACTGCATCTCTGAATGCCCAGTGTGCCTGGCAGAGGACGGGAGGAGCAGGTCTCTGCCACTAAGGGGCTTACAATCTAAAATCCAACCCTAACTGCAGGAGAATTCTGCCTGGACTTTTTATATGTATATCCAGAGAATGCAAAACAGAAAGATGGAGAGAAAGAGAGAGGCAGAAAGAGAGATAGACTTTGATTGCATACACATGGTGCATTTTTAGCACATGTAGAGAGGAGCACACACACCCAAATTCCGGGAACTGTAGTTTTAATGATGCTGCGGATTGTGGTTGTGGTTTTTTTTTATTATTTGGTTGTTCAAATTAAAAATTTACAGAGATATATCAAACATAAATCATAAAAACAAGATTCCAAGGAATCTCCTGGATTTCCCTCCTCCCCTTTGTGGGTCCTGTTATTAATAATTTCCTCCTGCATCTTTTATGATGATCCAAATCTTTTATATCTCCATTGCGTCCAGAATTCACCCTTAAACTACAAGTGATACTCCAATCCTACTAACGATTTTAACGATGTTGGAAATTGTAGCTATATGAGGGGTCAGCTACAGTTCCCAGAATTCAGCAGTGCAGGGGGAAACGCGCCGTACGCTTTGCACAAAACCATTTCCCTACAAGATCCATCGCCGAACAAGGATGGATTCAATGGGGTTCAATGTCTCAAGGGGTGGGTGGGTGGACCAGGCCTCACGGCCCCTCTGCTCTCACCTGGGTCATCAAGATCGTGTTCCCTGTGTGGTACATCATGGTGCTGACAATTCCTCGGTACATGATCACCGACACGAGGAAGATCATCACCACACAGAGCTGACGGGAGAAGCAAAGCGTTCAGGATCAGCGCTGAGACCGGAAGCCTCTCAGCTCAGCCCAGCCCCGCAGCCCAGGCCTCTGCCTGGCATGTGCTCGGGGCAGGGGACTCCCCTCACCATGATGATGATGGCCATGGATCCCGTCAGGATGCGGGAGAGACGGTCACGTTCAGGGAAGTACGGCTCCTTCACCCCCGTGACGGGATTCTGCTCCATGTGGGGGGCCATGGCGGCAAACTCTGGCCGAGGACGCTCCTGGGGGAAGGAGAGACAGAGAGAGGTTGAGATGGAGAGACGAAGGCTGGAAGGTGTTGGGCTCTCCCTTCCTTGGAGGATTTTAAAGCAGGGCTTGGGCAGCCATCTGCCAGGGATTCCTTAGCTGCTATTCCTGCATCGTACGGGGTTGGGATAGATGATCCTTGGGAGTCCCTTCCACCTCTACAAAATTCTATGCAACGGCATCTGGGGACAAAGTGGGGTTGGGGAACACAGAGCTCTCGGATTCCTAAACAAAGGTGAAAACCCTTGGACGCAAATGGCCTTTAACACTGTGCAGAGATGTTTAGGATTATATTACAAGCCTTGTGCTTCACAGAATCGCAGAGCTGGAATGGACACAAGGTCATTAAAATGACCGTTTTGTGATGTGTTTAAGGTGTTCTGTTGCTGTCCACTACCTTGGTACATTTATATTTTTGTTCCTTTTCTTTTTGTATATTTTTTTATTAAGTTTTTTCTATTTTACATTTTAGAATATTCATTTAAACAATGTTAAAATATCAGTGACTTCCTTTCCTCTCTTCCCATGGTTCAGTTTGCATGCCATAGATCCCAGCGTAGTTTACATAAACTAAACCATTCAGTATAATAATAATAGTTTATTATTTATACCCCGCCCATCTGGCTGAGTTTCCCCAGCCACTCTGGGCGGCTTCCAACAAAGTATTAAAATACAGTGGTCTGTTAAACATTAAAAACTTCCCTAAAGAGGGCTGCCTTCAGATGTCTTCTAAAAGTCTGATTGTTGTTTATTTCTTTGACATCTGATGGGAGGGCGTTCCACAGGGCGGGTGCCACTACCGAGAAGGCCCTCTGCCCGGTTCCCTGTAACTTGGCTTCTCACAGTGAGGGAACCGCCAGAAGGCCCTCAGCGCTGGACCTTAGTATCCGGGCAGAACGATGGGGGTGGAGACGCTCCTTCAGGTATACTGGACAAAGGCCATTTAGGGCTTTAAAGTGGCTAGTGCAGCAAAACTGCTTCTGCTTTTTGCTTTTGCTGCCGGAGGGAACACTGCCTAAGTTCACCGCCCCCCTCCCCAGCTAAAAGGTGGGTTGAGGGAGGCCTGGCAGGCCCCAATCTGCCTCCCACTTGCCTCGTCCTCCTGGAAGTCCATGCAGTCCCAGTGGTGGGCCAACGTGGCGTTTTTCCGCTTCCAGTACTCCAGGAAGGTCACGGCCCAGAAGGACATGAAGATGCTGAAGAAGACGGTCCCTGGGTGGTCAAAGAGGTAGCCCACCTGTGGTCAGAACAGGAGAGGGGGGAGAAGACGTCCAGGAACAGCTGCCATACAGACACTCCAATGGATTCAGATCCGCCCAGTGGTAGCTACCCCGTGCCCATGCCCGTTTTGGGGAAAAGGTTTTGTGCTCCATGTATTAAAGGTAAAGGTAAAGGGACCCCTGACCATTAGGTCCAGTTGTGGCCGATTCTGGGATTGCGGCGCTCATCTCGCTTTACTGGCCAAGGGAGCTGGCTTACAGCTTCCGGGTCATGTGGCCAGCATGACTAAGCCGCTTATGGAGAACCAGAGCAGCGCACAGAAACACTGTTTACCTTCCCGCCAGAGTGGTACCTATTTATCTACTTGCACTTGACGTGCTTTCGGACTGCTAGGTTGATAGAAGCAGGGACCAAGCAACGGGAGCTCACCCTGTCGCGGGGATTCGAACCGCCGACCTTCAGATCGGCAAGTCCTAGGCTCTGTGGTTTAACCCACAACGCCACCCGCGTCCCTTGCTCCATGTATTAGGCACCTCTTAAAGAGATCCTAACCAAATTGGCTTGAGAGGAAGGAGCAGGTTTGGGCCGATATTTGGATACAGCCGTGCGCCATTTCGAATCAAGATTGTACATCGTGGCAGCCTTCGGCTACGTGCAAAAAAACTGACTGACTGAATGAAGGTTGTGGGCTGCGCCTTTGAAAACTGCACTGATTTGGAGGGTTCTTATCATTCCTGAGCCACGCTGGGTGCAAGGCTGCCGGGACTGAATAGATGAATGACGAACGAACATTTTTCAAAACAAAGCAAAACAAATATCCTTTATAGATCACTATGGTTCCATTCTGCAGATGGGGGAACTGAGGTCACCAAAGGCTGGCTTGCCTGAACTGATGAGACAGGTAGAGAACCTGTTAAAAAATTTAAAATACCCTCTCCCAAAACAACAACAACCCTGAAGCCTTTCTTTTAGGAATTTTAGGTGCCGAAATCCCAATGCAGCAGAAAAGACTATTTATGTATGCGACCACGGCTGCTCAGATGTTATTGGCTCAGAGATGGAAAGAAGATAAAGTCCCGACCAGAATGGCAGATCAAGTTGATGGACTACGCCGAAATGGCAAAAATGATGGGAAGAATCAGAAATCAGGAAGACCAAAATTTTAATAAAGAATGGGGGAGAATTATAATTAATTGTAAATTGCTAAAAACGTTAGTGGAATTGGAACAACACTTGTAGTTTAATGGTGAATTTTGAACATAACGGAGATGTAAAAGATTTGGATTATCATAAACGATGCAAGAGGAAATGACTAACAATAGGACCCACAAAGGGGAGGAGGGAAGTCCCGAAGATTCTTTGGAATCTTGTTTTTATGTTGTATGTTGGATATGTGACTGTAAAACTGTAATTTGAAAAACCAGTTTTATTTTATTTTTTTAATTTTTTAATTTTTAATCTTTTAAAGAGACACTTTGGGATCTCCACTTTGGGAGCAGGCAATCCGTTGCATTCCCACACCCCACAGAGAGAGCTCCTTGGCTCACTGTGACGTCACCACATGCCCTACCTCCCATTCTTCCCCCCTCCAAGAACAATCCCCTGAAGGCCCAGCAGCCAGGAAGTCCCCTCACCTTTGCCATGGGGCAGATCTCAGAGAGGTTCCAGTTGCCGCAGGTGTCACACAGGGGGCACATGAGGAACTGGCCCCCACTGCTGCAGATCTCTTGCCTGGGGAAGAGCAGAGGGTGAGGGTCAGTGGAGGATGTCACTCAGGGTTGAGGGGCGGGCGGGGGCTCACCCAAGGTGTGTGGCATGATGCTCAACTGTAGCGTTCCCAAAGCAAGGAAGGATTGGACTCTGATTAATAAAATACACACGAGGCTTGACCAGCAAGACTCTGGGAGGCAGTGCAAATACTAATAATAATCCTGTCCACCCCTTGGCCCAGGTCGTTTTATTCACAAAAGAACTTTTTACACAGTGTTCATAAGAACCAATCAGATTTCCTCTGAGCATTTCAAAAATCCCCACGTGGGGACAAAGTTAAAACTACAAAGAGCTAATTTGAGCATGCATACGTAGTTCAGAGTAAATAAAATAGGACTAAAAGGAGGAATGCATTCAGCAAACCCCGGAGGTCGTAAACAGGAGAGGAAGGACGAAAGTATTTGCCATCTCCTTGTGCACTCTCTTCCTAGCCCTTAAGAGCTATCTAATGATTAACAAATCTACAGTACATCAAAGTTACCTACTATCTTTATGACCCAGGATGCCTGATGAAGCAACTGGCCTGTGTTTAGAATGCTTATACGTGCCTGTCAGGCAGAGAAATGGAACAAGGATGCAGAGGTGTGGATTGATCAGAAATCATATCATAATGGCTCAAACCTAGTCAACGCAATGCTTTCATTGCTGACACAAATGGCTTCCTCCGTATTTTTTATAATTCCTCATAGCAATCCCACCTGATCACTACACTCAATGCCAGCTGGGTCCCCTTCAGCTTAAATCTGACTCAGGAAGTGGTGTTTTTCTTAAAATAACTGGAAATAACTTCTTTGTGCATGAAGCAATCGAAAGAGAGCACCTCTAGGCATCTGGAGATGCCCTTTCCTTTGCCCAGAGTTGGCACAATCACCTCTCTGAGGCTAGAGAGGACCAGGATCCTGGGCCAGAGGGCAGGAATGAGAAAAGGCAGACAAGGAAGAATCCACTCCCTGATCTAACCCAACCCAGTATCCTGCTTCCGACAGGGGGGCAGCCAGAAACCCAGAAGCAGGGCGCCAAGTCCTCTCCACTGCTGCATAACTCCAGCACCAGGCATTTGCAGCTGAAACGGCAGGATCAGGGCGAGGCAGCCCATCGTGCTCTGCGTGACGGAGCGTGATGGACAGAGGATAAAGGAACCTGCGTTTATTCCTCTTGATATAATTATTTTGAAAAAAGAGAGCTCTGCATTGTGTTTTCTTCGGTGACCAACTAGGTGCACCGAGGAGGTTATTTCTCTCTTACTCCTTGTTCCTCAGCCTTCAGAAATCTCAGGACTCGGACACTCCTTTCAGCTGTTTTTCCAAGGTGGTCTGTTTCCAACAGCCAGGTGCTTCTGGGCATAGCTGTCAAGTGTCCCTTATTTGGAGGGACAGTCCATTATCCCAGTGCCATGTCCCGCTGCTGTCCCTTACTGATGGATGTCCCTTTAATTTCCCAGGTTTCAAAGGATGCAGCTCCTCTCCCTCCCTCCCTGCCGGCCAGGGAGGAGGGAGGCTCCAACTGTGTTGCTTGGCTGCCTGGCCCGCCCCCCTACGGCCTCCTCTCACCAGCCATGGCCCCCGGGAGCCCCTCCCCACTGGGACTGGCGGGAGCCTCGGGCCCTTCTGCCGCCATCCTCCTCGCGGCAGCCGAACTGAGCGTCTCTGCCTGGGGCCTCCCCTCTGCCTGTCACCGCCGCTCCTGCTCCCACTAGGCCATACTGCGGTTGTGCTGCCGAAGGACCCGGATGAGATGGGCAGCCTGGCACGGCCTATGAATTGCTGAGGAGCCTTGAGAGGAGAGCGAGGGCAACCATAGAGAAAGCAGTTCAGAGAGAGGAGGAAGAGGAGGAGGAGGAGGCGCGGGCAGGTGTTCCAAGGGCTACAAGGGAAGGACCGCAAGCGCTTCTCCCATAGATTTGTAGTGGTAGACTAGCATAGATGGTCTGATCTGCGGGTTTACTTCGGGCGCTATTCCCCCCCCCTCTTCCTCCCACCCTGCCTGATGGAACTGAGAGCTGCAGATGGAGCACGAGAGAAAAGATACAGAACTGCAGCAGCATCTTCATAGCTTGGACTTCGTTTTGCGCGAAAAGTGGTTGCTGCTTGTAGTTATTTAATTGCAGTGTTTCATCGGCTGGTGTCTTGAGCAGCAACCTCTGGAAACGAAGGGCTAAAAACCGGCGCTTCTCTCCCAAATTATCTGGTCCCTTTTAACTGGTTGACTAAAATCCCTTATTTTGGCTGCTGGTCCCTTATTTTCAAATCTGTAAGTTGACAGCCAAGCTTCTGGGACACCCACCCACCAAGGCAGCACTGAAGGCCCAATGTGCGGCCTGTCCCCTCCTGCCCATGCAGATGCAGCCTAGGAAATGCTTCACCAGTTGAACTTCTGCCTGATGCACAGCCATAAAAGAGATGGAGCTTCCCACCCCATGGGGCCCAAGATGCAGGATGAGGGTTTGGAAAGGGATGCTTGGGGGGCGGGGGTCATGCCCTGAGACATGCAGGCTCTCCCACAAGCTGACTGCCCTCCTCCTCCCCACAACCCCTGCCCCACTCACGCTGGTGTGTTTGTCCCCATGGTGAAGAGGCCGGCAAGGAAGACCAAAGTGCCGACAGCGGCCGCTGGGAGGAGCCAAGCCGTGTAGAAGCCTGCAGGGGAGACAGGTGAGGCGGAGACCGTGAGCAGAGGGCACCCAACATTGCCCTGCCGCCCCCCACCCTGAGCCCCTTCCAGGCCGGAGCTTATGGGCTGCCTTCCTCAAGCCCAGATTTCCCCACCCCATCCCAGTCTCCCTGCTCAGGACCCAGATGCAGTGCAGGGGCTGAACTCAGCACCGTGTGAGACCCAAAGCCGCTTCAAAAGTTATCTCTGAGCATGTAGAGAGTGCAAGGCTCAAACGGGAGCACACACAATAACAGAAGTGAAATAAGCCACCGTATTTTTCGCTCTATAAGACGCACCCGACCATAAGACGCACCTAGTTTTAGAGGAGGAGAACAAGAAAATATTCTCTCCCTCTCTGCGCATCGCCTCTCCAGCAAAGCGGGAGGAGAAACGGAAGGGGCTCCATTTCTCCTCCCACTTTGCTGAAGGGGCGCTGCGCAGCTTTCCCTCTCTGCGCAGTGCCTCTCCAGCGAAGCAGTCAGAACAGCAAGAGGGATCGCTGCGCAGCGAAATAAGCGATCCCCCTTGCTGTTCTGGCTTCTGGGATAGCTGTGCCAAGCCTCTTCAGGGCAGTGGGAGTGTTCCTCCTGCTGCGCTCCGGAGGCTTTGTGTGGCTATCCCTGAAGCCAGGAGAGCGAGAGGGATCGGTGCGCACCAATCCCTCTCGCTCTCCTGGCTTCAGGGATAGCTGCGCAGCCTGCATTCACTCCATAAGACGCACACACATTTCCCCTTACTTTTTAGGAGGGGAAAAGTGTGTCTTATAGAGCGAAAAATACGGTATACGGGAATGTAAAGAAGAGGGAGACCTCTGGCAGCTCACACTGACACACTTCGAAGCATACAGCTACCCCACCCCTCAAGGTTCCTGGGAACCGTAGTTTATTTCCCAGCAGCCTGAACAAACTACAATTCCAAGGATTCTTTGGGGGTGTGCTTCAAAGGCTTGGTGTGCACATGGCCTCTGAGCAACCGCAGAGTGGTTTTGGCCCCCGCCTGCCTCTGCACCTTCCTTGCTTCCCTTTTCCGGACTTCTGAGCAGCGTCTTGCCACAGCCAAGGAGGAGACAAAAGAGGGCGCCTCACCCAGCCAGGCGAAATAAATGGCCACCTTCTCCCCAAAGTATTCCCGGATGTGGTCCAAAGGCTGGTATTTGTACCAGCAGCGCCACTGGGCCCAGAAGCGGTACAGGATCTGCCGGGGGTTCAGTTCTTCGCCCAGGACCTCGTACTCAGGCAGCTCGAAGGGGCCCTGTGGGAGGAGGAGCCAGAAGGGAAGAGGTTGCAAAAATCTATCATTTGCTTGCAAAAATCTATCATTTGCCCGATAATAAATGTTGGAAATGTAAAGAAACTGAAGGTACATTTTTTCACCTTTGGTGGACGTGCCCAAAGATTAAGGCTTTCTGGGAAATGATATATAATGAATTAAAAAAGGTATTCAAATATACCTTTCCCAAGAAACCAGAGGCCTTTCTCCTGGGCATAGTCGGCCAAACGGTGTTAAAAAAGGATGGAACTTTCTTTATGTACGCAACAACTGCAGCAAGAATACTCATTGCAAAGTATTGGAAGACACAAGAGCTTCCCACACTGGAGGAATGGCAGATGAAACTGATGGACTATATGGAACTGGTGGAAATGACTGGCAGAATCCGTGACCAGGGAGAAGAGTTGGTGGAAGAAGATTGGAAGAAATTCAAAGATTATTTACAGAAATATTGCAAAATTAATGAATGTTAGAGTGATGTTGGATTGAAATTAAATGGCTTCTAGCTGCACAGGTTTTAAAGTTATATATAGATTAAGATTAAGGATTAGGAATAAAAAGGTTAAAAGAATGGAAAATTGGCTATTAATAGATAAAAATTTAATGTTATATTATATTAAGATTAAGGACTGGGATTAAAAAAGAGGGAAAGGAATTGCTGGACAAATAAATTGAATTGGAATACAAAAGAGGGAGGTATGAGGAGGTCCAGAAAATAAGTAAATTCAAAAGTAGTGATGAAAAGATGGAATTGTTTTTAACTGTTTTTTCTTTTTATTTTTGTATCTTGTATTGTGTATTTTTCTTTTTATTGTTAAATTCTTTTTTATCGATGTATCTCTTTTTATCTGAAACTTTAATAAATATTATTTTTAAAAAAAAACAGAAGGGAAGAGGTTAAGTGGACGTGTGACATCATCACCCACAGGAAGTCACATCATCACCCACAGGAAATGATGTCAGAAGGTAGCACAGACATCCTTGGGGAGGCTCCCAGACTCCCAAGGGACAGAGGTGTAGAGGCCAAGGTGTACAGCCTCACGAAAAATAGCAGGATTTTAATTTCAGTTGGGAAAATGGAAAGATGAAAAGACAGTTACCAAGAAAAAGAAGAACACAGCCTAACAACCAGTAACATCCTGCGAAATATTATGCGCTGTTCTTTGCACTCACTGCTTGCCTTTTATGTTAGATATAACTTGATTTTTTAATCAGACATAATCTACATACAATATTTTCCACGTCGGGATTTATCATTTGTGTGAGAGGCAAGGAAGTCCATGCAGTGGCGTAGCGTGGGTTGTCAGCATCCGGGGCAAGGCAAGTAATTTGCGCCCCCTAACCTGGGGCAAGGCAAGTAATTTGCGCCCCCTAACCCGGGGCAAGGCAAGTAATTTGCGCCGCCTAACCTGCCGCCGCTGCCAGCTTCTTCTTCCTGCTGCCTGGTCTGGTCTGGTGTGGTTCTCTCCCGCGCTCAGCGCTGCGCTGGGCGGCCGCTGCACTGTCCCTCCCCCAGATAGTCCCTTGCTCTCTCTCCGCACCGCACGCCTGGCACCCACCCCCTCCACAGTGGGCGGCGACCCAGCGGCTCGGATCGGATTCGCACAGCCAGCACTGCAGTGAGAGAGAGTGAGTGAGCCAGGTAGGGGCAGAGAGCTGCGAGTGCGAGCGCGCCCCCCCAGATGTTGCGCCCGGTGCGGCCGGCCCCCCCTGCACCCCCCACGCTACGCCACTGAGTCCATGCAGTGGCCAGGTATCCTTGCCCCGGGCCTGGGAGGGCTAAGGTGACTGGGGAACCACATTGCAGACTGGCTGCTTCTTCGTTTTGAGTTTTTAATTTTATTCTAACGATACTTCCACCTTGGATGAGCTCTGCCCAGGTGAAACAGCACAAGTGAAACAGCCATGACCATAAGCAGAGGAAAAAGGTGCCTTGGGGCACATGCAAAGTGCCCCTCCCCCCGGAACTGAAAGGGGGGGATGACTTTTTCTCTCTCTTTTTGCTCTATGTGATTAACTAATAACCCCCCCTCTAGAAGATCCGTCACATCAACTAATTGGCAAATGGGACTAAAAATGAACTGTGTGGGAATTATAGTAATTTTAAAGGTTTTACTCTGTAAAGGATTTGGATGAAGAAGGGCTCTCTTTGTGACGCAGTTAGAATGGAGATTGGATACGAGACCTGTGTTGCAGGAGGTTTGGTCTTGAGGGAGGGCGAGCCGAAGATTTATTACTTTCAATGAGATTGCGAACTGGAAGGGGCAGCCCTCCTGGAAAAAGACTAATTTACGATGCAACAGGTCGGGAAAGCTAAAGAGCGAGCTTTGAGACTGTATTTCATCGGAATGACAAGATGGCGATTGCTTGCTCAAGCGGAAATGCCTGGTCTCTTGGGATTTACGAGAGAGCAGTACAAAGTCCACAAAGAACTACAAATAAGACTGTTTTTTTCAACCCACTTGCGGAGCAATTTGGAGGTGAAGGAAAATGTGTAACAACAAGGATTGAGAAGCGGGGACTGGAAATATCATTCTTAATATGAAAGCAGCAGAAAACAGTTGAGGATTGGACTCCTGCCGATCGAGAAGAATGGGTACCCCCCACAAAAATAATTTATAATTTGGATAACAATTGGATTACATGATATGTATTGTTATAATTTGGATTAATTGGTTTGATGCGTTTAATTTGGTAATATGAAATTTAATAAAAATTATTTAAAAAACAAAAAACAAAGTGCCCTCCCCCCTGGGAACATACACCAAGAGCAGATCAGTGCATCCATACAGCGTAGTGCTGCCCACACTGACCGGCAGCCGCAGCAGCTCTGCAGGGTCCCAGAGATGGGGTCTCTCCCATTCCTTGCTGGAGACACCAGGGGGTGAACTTGGGACCTTCTGCGTGCTGAGCAGCTGTTCCTCTGCCAAACCACACCCAACCCAGCGCTAAGGAACTGCAACCAGCACCCGCATAGACCTGGAGTCAAGGAGCAGGGAGTCTCAGCCCCCTTTCATGCATTAGGGGATCCCTAAACTGGATCCTCACAGAACTCTAGCCCAATGGTTGCCATTAATTTGATTTAAACTGATTTTAGAATGATGTATTATTTTACTGTTGTTAGCCGCTCTGAGGCCAGCTCCGGCTGGGGAGGGCGGGATATAAATAAATTATTATTATTATTATTATTATTATCCCAACCCCCCCCCCCAGCGTCTCTCTCACCTCATGCAGTGGGAAGGCTGCGGAGTAGACCCCTTCGTTCAGCAGCCGGTCGATGCCCATCTCTGCATGCTTCCTCTTCCCATAGATGGTCCGGGCTAAGATCTCATACACCTGGGAGAGAGAGGGGTGGCGCTCAGGGGGGATTCAGCCAGGTGGGAGGAAAAGGAAAGGGCATTGACAAGAGAGGTGGTCAAAGTTGTCTCCTCCCTCTCCTCCTCCTCCTCCTTGCTGCCAGGCTGCCCCAAACCCACCAGGCATGCCCCATTCCCCACCCCAAGGGCTCACAATGCGATGCCTCTGCGTGTTGGTGAAGTACGAATCGTGCTGCTCGCTGCCCAGGAACCTGAAACAGGTGAGGGGAGAGAAAGAGAGGGAGAGAAGGAGAGCTGGATACAGGCTGGGGTGGAAGCACTGGGCATCTTCCCCAAGGCCTCAACCTGGGCAGCTTTTGTGTCGCTTCTGGCCAAAGCAGTTTTGGGAACGGATCAGGGTAATTGTAGGCACAACTACGACCCTCAGGCTTCTCTATCTGGCCTGTCAGACCCCCCACTAGGCTGCTATTATTATTATTATTATTATTATTATTATTATTATTATATTTGTATACTGCCCTATACCCGCAAGTCTCAGGGCAGTTACAATGTAAAATCACAATATAAAAGCACAAAATGCACAATGAAAACAAGAAATGCACCCACCCACCCACGCTTTAAAAGGGCATGGATGTCAGTCAGCCAAAGACCTGGTTAAAGAGGAATGATTTCGCCTGGCTCCTAAAGGTGTATAATGAAGGCGCCAGGGGAGCCTCCCTGGGGAGAGCATTCCACAAATGGGGAGCCACCGCCAAAAAGGCCCCGTTCTCATGCTGGTACACTACAGACGAAGAAGGGCCTCGGATGATGACTGCAGGGTCTGGGTAGGTTCATATGGAAAGAGGTGGTCCTTGAGGGCTGTGTGGCAATGGTGGGCAGGGCCAGAGGCAAAAATTGGGTGGGGCACTGGAAGTGACTCTTCTCTTGGTATCTTCCAGCCACACAAAAGCCACAGGTCTTCCCTCCCCCCCCCCCCCAGCACCGCAGCCCTTCTCCAGTTGGACAAAAGACCTTGCAAGCATCCTCAGAAACTTCCCAGCCAGGCCCAAACACGGCACAACTGCTGAAAGGCTTCCTTTGGGGACCGAGAAGGTGGGTGTGGTCTGAGAAGTGTCCTGGGGGCCACACCATAGCTGTCAACTGTCCCTTATTTGGCAGGAAAGTCCCTTATCCCAGCGCCATGTCGCGCTGCTGTCCCTTATTGATGATGTCCCTTAAATTTCCCGGGTTTCAAAGGAAGCTGCTCCTCTCCCTCCTTCCCTGCCGGCCAGGGAGGAGGGAGGCTCCAACTGTGTTGCTTGGCTGCGTTGCTCACCCAATAAGGAGTCTAAGAACGATTGGGGGGTGGAGCTTGCATGCCTTGTGCCAATCAAATCGGCCGCTTTGCCTGGGGACTTGCCTTTGCTCAGCGCTTCCCAGCGGAGAGGTGACAGTGGTTTTTCTTGCTGCATCCCCTTTGCCGGGTTGCTGCGCTGTGGGAACCACCGCTTGAGGCTTTGTTTGGCTGCTGGCTGGGTTTTCTGCCTTTGGCTCAGAGGGGCTCATAAGTTGAACATATTTGTGTCCGCAAAATCTCTTATTTTGGCTGCTGATCCCTTATTTTTGAGGCTGCTGGTCCCTTATCTTCAAATCTGTACGTTGACAGCTATGGGCCACACAGTAAGGCCTGAGGGCCGCCTGGGGTTCACCCCTTGGAGGTCCCCCCCCCTTTGGTGGTTCCCCACACCTGCCCTCACTCACTTGTCCAGCTTGGACTTTCGGAAGGCACAGGTGTAGTAGTCGACGGGCTTCTTGGGCACCTGCTGGGCCATGATGTTCGGCAGGTGCAGTTTCTGAAGCAGGTCGTCAGAGCTGTTGCGGTCCGGGTTGGGGTGGGCCTGTGATGGGGGCACGAGAGGAGACGGAGGGGCTAGGAGGTAGACCGCTGGCAAGGAGGCAGCCCGCAAGGATGGGTCCCCCACCCCACCTGCATGCGCCGGCACTCACCTGGAGAGGGGCCCGCATGCACAGCTCCTCCGCGTAGTAAACCAGCACTTCCCAGGGCGCGCTCAGCTTCATGTAGTGAATTCCCTTGCGGTCGCTCAGAGTCTCCTCCTGAGAAGGAGACAGGTTGCTGAGAAGAGGGTGGGGGCTTCCTGGAAGCCTCAGCCAAGCTCTCTTCTACATGGAGTGCAACACAAAGACTGTGGCCCCCAAGAAAACACGAACCTGAAGCCCAGGCCCCCTCCCCAGTTGGGGAGGCTGGGAAGCATGAGTGGAGGAGTTTGGGATTTCTTAAAAATAAATCATCATACGTCTTTGTTTCTCCACTTGATCCTTTTACATGGTTTTGTACATATTGTGGTTTTTTATGCCTTGTGACTTGCATCTATCTTTTTGTTTTTAAGGAGCACAGTTTAGTAATAATTTATTGTATATGCTAAGAGTGAATTTCTGTTTAATTATTATTTGCCGATGTTTTGAGAGTTAGTTGTGTACTATTATGTTCCCAAAGATTATTGGATACTACAGTCAAACCTCGGCTCCTGAGCGGCTCCATTTTTGAACGTTTTTCAGAAGCTAAACGGCCATGGCAGCTTCCGCTTGTGCGCAGGAAGCTCTTGCAACCAATCGGAAGCCGCGCCTCAGTTGCTGAACTTTTCAGAAGCTGAATGGACTTCCGGAACGGATTATGTTGGACAACCAAGGTTTGACTGTACAGTGGTACCTCTGGTTGCGAACAGGATCCGTTCCGGAGACCCGTTCGCAACATGAAAAGAATGCAACCCGCAGCGGCGCGTCTGCACATGCGCGGGTTGCGATTCACCACGTCTGCGCATGTGTGTGACGTCATTTTGCATTTCTGCGCATGCGCGAGTGGCGAAACCCGGAAGTAACCCTTCCAGGTCGCCGCGGGACGTAACCTGAAAGAACGTAACATGAAGCGGAAGTAACATGAGGTATGACTGTACTTTATTGGATATAAATCCAGTATAAGCCGTCCCATTTTAAAGTTGTATTTTATTATGACTTTCTGTATTTGATCACATTATCCTAAGGCAGGCATAGGCAAACTCGGCCCTCCAGATGTTTTGGGACTAGAATTCCCATCATCCCTGACCACTGGTCCTGTTAGCTAGGGGTGATGGGAATTGTAGTCCCAAAACATCTGGAGGGCCGAGTTTCCCTATGCCTTCTCTAAGGTGTGGGTTCTTTGTTGTATATTTTGTTGCTGTGAACTGCATTGTGTATGGTAATATGGCAAAGTGAAATTAAATTAAATTAAATGAGTGGAGCACCCAGCAGGGGAAAAGAAGGCAGGAAGTCTGGCAGACAGAAAGCGAACTTTTTGAGTTTCTGCTTCATGGCCTATCCTGGCTTCAGAGGTGCCAGTGCCGCTGCTTGCCAAGGGCACAAGGGAGCCTTGGTACAACTTTGCCCGAAGCCCCCTCACCTTCTCCATCAAGAGGCCGGTGGTGCGTAGGTTCTTGAGGTACTTCTGCCTCCACCTCTCGTGACGCCCGCGGGCCGCCTCCCACCCGGCCCCCTGGCCAGCTGCCCTCTCGCCTTCCGGGTGGGGGTGTTTGTTGCGCCTCTTCTTCGAGGGACGCAGCTTCTCCTCCCAGACCAGGACAAAATCTGCAGGCAGAGAAGGAGATGGCAAGGGAATTGCGGGCGCCCTGGGGGTGCCCTGTTCCACAACCGAAGTGCAGCCCACCCCCCACAAGGCATGTGGCCAGAGCAACGTGGGTTCATTTTCGCGCTGCCTGCTGCTCGGAGTTCGCAGAAGCCGAAGTCCCCTTTGCTCTGCGGTTGCAAAACTGCAACTTGGGCAAAACACTGGGGCGAGGAAGAAGGGGTTATACTTGCCTATCTTCGTCTTCCCATCTCGGAAGTAATTCCCGCTGGCACTGCGGGGGTAGCCATAAGTTTCATCGCCATAAATGTAGATGGGGTCGTCGTCGTCGTCCACATCCTGAAAACAAAATCAGGATGGGGCCACATTTGGGGGACTATTCTGCATCTGGGATGGAAGGTGGAAGCCCCTGTAGAGCCTGGTGGGGGCCTGAGGCTGCAGCCTTGCAAAGTGGGCCAGCCTGTCCTAGATGGGGGACCACCAAAAGCCCCCCCTCCTTCCCGTTAATAGGACCTGCTCTTATTGTTTTGGTTTTTTAAATCTGGGATTAACTGGCCTGGCCTGGCCCAGAATTGGGGTCCTCCCACCTGCCAGTTCTCAATTAGCAGCTCAGCCTTCATGCAACTTTGGGGGGCTCACAGTTTGCAGTAAAAAGACCCAAGGGGCACAGAAAGGCTTTGCCCACTGGCTCCACCCCCACACTGTTTGTGTACAGTAGCAGTGGGCAGCTGAACCCCACAATTGCATTTTTAAAAGGGGACAAAAGTTCTGTTGCTTTTCTTTGTGGGTTAAGGTCTGCCAGCAGAATTGTGCCTCCTCCCTCCTCCCAGGGCTGGATTTGAAGGAGAGACCCCACAAAGTGATGCTGTTAGGGGTACGGGGGTTTTACACCTGCAGATCTGAAGCCCTTTCCTTCTTTTCTTTCTTTCTTGAGACACTCCCAGGACTTGGTTCTAAATAAAGCTGGCGGGGGAGTGTAGTCCCTGAGCACACACAGAGTGCCTCCCCCTTGCCACTCAGCAATCGCAACTAGGCTCCAAACACCCTCAGGGGCCCAAGGAAAAACCTCCCCGTGCGGGAGGCACGAAAGGCGTTGATCCCAGCACCCCCTGGTTCTGGAAAGAACCCCCTACTGGGATTGCTTGCCCTGCCTTCCCTGTGTACTTACGAAGGTGTCCCTTCCAGCGCCTCCGTTGGGGAGAATACTGGAATCCTCGTAGAGGCCCGACGGGCTTTTCCCCAGGCCGATGAGCAGGCCGGTGTCCTGGGCATCCGACCCAGAGACCTTCTTGCGGATCATGGTGGGCTTGGTGGGGGGGGCGTTGTCGGGGAAGGAGACTCAGGCTGCAGCTTCCATCACCGCTTCAGTCCTTCCAGAGGGAGGTGGGATGCAGGAGAGAAGCTCATTTGGGTGGGTGGGGGCCCCTCCAAAGCCAGAGAGTCTCCCTGCGCTCCCCTAGCTCCTCATCCCTGGCCTGGGGACCTCCATCCTCCTGCTGGGCTGTGAAGCATCTTCTGGTCCTGCAAAGGAGATGGAGCAGTGATGTCAGAGCAGCAGCAGCAGCAGCAGGAGAGGCAGTGCTTATGGCTTGGGAAAGGAGGGGCACTGGGAGCCACGCCAGCCCACTACCCCCCCCAGCCCCACGCACTGGCAGGCCCCTGCTCTGCTGTTGCTGAGCAGCTATGGGATGGAGGAGGAGAAGCAGCAGAAGCAGAGGAGGCTTCCCGGCACCATCTCTTGCTGCCTGTCAGCCTGGGGGCGGGGACATGGAGGGGTGGGTGGGTGGAAAAGAGGGATTGTGCAAAGGTGGGAGGAGGGGGAAAGAGGTGGGTGGTCAGGGAGAAATCAGAGCATCCTCTCTTTGTTTTTGTGCGTGTTTTTTTTTCAAAAAAATAAAATATTCATTTTATAACACAAATAAACAATACAAACAAATTCTGGTCTTATCCTTATTTTTTCTAAACATTGCTAGGTGAGCTTCCCCAAGTCCCCCCCATCTGATTTTCATTTTACCTCATCTTTAGCAGTTTCATATACAGTGGTACCTCAGGTTACAGACTCTTCAGGTTACAGACTCCGCTAACCCAGAAATAGTGCTTCAGGGTAAGAACTTTGCTTCAGGATGAGAACAGAAATCGTGCTCCAGCGGCACAGCAGCAGCAGGAGGCCCCATTAGCTAAAGTGGTGCTTCAGGTTAAGAACAGTTTCAGGTTAAGAACAGACCTCCAGAACGAATTAAACACTTAACCCCTCGGTCCAGTATATCTGAAGGAGTGTCTCCACCCCCATTGTTCTACCCGGACACTGAGGTCCAGCGCCGAGGGCCTTCTGGCGGTTCCCTCCCTGCGAGAAGCCAAGTTACAGGGAACCAGGCAGAGGGGCTTCTCGGTAGTGGCCCCCGCCCTGTGGAACGCCCTCCCATCAGATGTCAAAGAGAACAACAACTACCAGACTTTTAGAAGACATCTGAAGGCAGCCCTGTTCGGGGAAGCTTTTAATGTTTGATGTATTACAGTATTTTAATTTTTTTTGGAAGCCACCCAGAGTGGCTGGGGGGGGGGCAGCCAGGTGGGTGGGGTATAAATAATAAATTATTATTATTATTATTATTATTATTATTAACCCGAGGTACCACTGTATCATAATTTTTAACCATTTTTAAATCACACTTACTTTTACCATAAAAATCTTCACATTTTATCACGTACAAGTAATACTTTTTTAAAATACACTATCTTCTACTTCTTCTTTTTCAAAAAATTTTTATTCATTTTATAACACAAATAAAAAACACAAACAGAAAAGACAAACAATACAAACAAATTCTTGTCATATCCTTATTTTTCTAAACATTGTTAAGTGGGCTTTCCCAAGTCCCACCTATCTGATTTTCATTTTACTTCACCTTTAGCAGTTTACATATATTATAATTTCTAACCATCTTTTTTTTTAATCACACTTAAAATAACTTCACATTTTATCACTTACAAATAATACTATTTTAAAATACCCTATCTTCTACTTCTAACCCTACAGCCTATATCCACTTCCAAAGCTATTCTAAGGTTTAAACATTAACATATTTTTTCAAATATTCTTTAAACTTCTTCCAGTCTTTTTCCACCGTCTCTTCTCTCTGGTCTTGGAGTCTCCCAGTCAGTTTGGCATGTTCCATATAGTCCTTCATCTTCATCTGCCATTTGAGCATCCTCTCTTTGTGTAAGAGAAACAGAGTTGGAGGCAGGCTGACATTCCAGCAGGCAGAGGGTGTCTCCATCCCTGCAACAGCCTCCTGCCTGGAAGAGGGTCCTCAAATTAAGGAGGGGCACAATCCACCAGTCCTGCCCCCCCACTCCCCCTTTCCTTATCCAAAACACACCTGCTCTGTAGATTTGGGTGTGGGGACAGTGCTGGAAGAAGAGGCTGCCGCCTTGCAATTCTAACTAACCTTGGGCTGCCAACGTTCTTTCAACCAGCCCTACCATTGTCTGCACTGGCTGGCAGCAGTGGCTCTCCAGGGGGTTTTCAGGCAGAGGGTCTGTTCCTAGCCCTACCAGGCAATGCTGCCATCGTGGATTGAACCTGGGGCCTTCCGCATGCCAAGCAGCTGCTCTACCACTGAACTACCTGGCTCGTAGCCAGATTCTGCGCCCAGATTTGTAGACACAGATCATTCTCTAGAATAAAATAGCTTATTAGGGAAATGCTGAAGTTGCTCTTTGGGGTGCCTCAGGGTCAATTTTTTATGGTAGCCCAAATCTCAGTTGTACGGGTGTATGTATATACTGTATCTCAATTTTAACTCATGAGCTATTGCTGCAATCTGTTCCGGTTGTATATTTTATCTTTATGAACACTGTTTTTATTGTGTTATGTTACGTGAGCTGGTCTTTGACCGTAATAAATTATCTATTGTAATAAACAAAAAATCTGCCCTTATCCCCTTATGGGGGACACAAGAGCCTTTATAGAGTCCTTTGTCGTGCCCTTAAGACAGGATTTGTGAGGAAAGAGACAATGGGAGGTTTCCCACTTTGACCCTGCAGAGAAAACATTTGCTCAGTTTAGGAATCAAAATGGTTCCAGGTTGGTCTTCCTGTGCTGATCTATGTACGTGCTTGGTTGGTACGCTTATGAACATTACCATATATCTAAGACCTCAAAATTCCTATCACAGTGTTATGGAAGGGAATTGTCAGCAAGGGAGCACTGACTACCACTGCAGTTTCCAGGAGGGAAGCCAGAGATTGGGGATAAACAGCGCTGGAGAAAGAGGAAAGAGGGGTGTGATTTTAGCAGGTAGCAGGAGCTGGGTTGCACTCTCGGCCTCCAAAGAGTTCAGGAGAAGAGGCAAACTAGACCGGCCCATGGAGAACCCAAGGCTGGTTTCTGGGAGCTGCCATTGATGAGCTTCTGGGGTGGGCATCATTTTTGGTCCTCAGGAAGAACTTTATAAATGTTCTTCCTTTGTAAGACCCGCTGGTTTTAAAGTACCTGCAGGCCTGGCAATGCAGGGGGTTGAGCTAGATGACCCGTGGGTCCCTTTAAATTCTACGGTTCTATGACTGTAGGGAAACCTTTGATGAAACTGAAGCTGCTGCCTAAAAGGTTGCAAAGAATCTTCAGCTCTTCAGCTTCCTTCCAGCCTAGCCCAGCCCAGTGTGAGATGAATTTGAGGAGCCCATGCTATTAGGAGAATCACCGCAGTCTCCAATTCCAGAAACATCCTTCCTTAAGCTCCCCCGAGCTGCATTAAATATTTACTCTGGCTCCAGGCAGGCAGGCAAGAAAAGAGCTGTTTGAACTCTTCGGTAATGTTTTCAGGAAGTGGTGGCCTTGGCAAAATGGAGCCTGGGTCAGGATCTTCAGTGTCAGGAACAAACACAAATTGACTGCTCTTATGGGGCAACGTCCAGGAAGGAAAGATGGTGGACTACATATCTCTTGTTGACAGACACCCTGTTCATGGAGATAATTATGTGATGGTTAATGATAGCCGAGCTATAAATCTCGGTTATCACATAATCCCTGGGAAAACACGAGAGAACCGAGATTAAGCTCCGAGGCTCTGAAAGGCTGTTTTCCACTGCTCTGCCCAAACACCACGTAATAGTCCCAAGGGACATAAAGTCAGCTAAACCTCCCTTTATTTATTTGTGAGACTATTATAAATTATGACTGAGGTTTTCTGTCTGCCAGTTGAAATATAAATCTAGAATGCAACCCGACTGCTGGCTTACGAAGAGAGACGAAAATCAAAAGGTTGAAAGCAAAATGAAAAGCATGCTTTAATTGTGGCCCCCAAAATATTTTAAACAGCTAAGAGGTGTTCCAACTGTTAGAAATCTTTGCTGTCTTTTATTTTTAACGCTCCGTCCTTCTGGATAAAGTGCTGGTTGCAAAATGAAACTAACTAGCATAATTATGCTACTGTGAGAAAAAAAATGCGGAAAATGTGGTTTGATAAAAATCAAGGGGACTCAGACTCAAAGCAGAGACTGTAAGATCTTCAAGAAAGTGAGCTGTTAATAAGCCCAAGAGCACTCAGTAACGGTAAAAACACTGTTGGACACCCCATGATGCCATTGTTGGCATCATGCAACAATTATTGGATGAGCAACCAAAAGAGATCAGAACTGAGATGGATAAAGTGGTGAATGAAAATGAACCAGAAAAAGATGAGGTTAAAGAAGACCCAGAACCTTTGGAGAATACTATTGATGGAGGACCATCAGAAAAGGAGATTGGAATGGTAAAGCTTGAGGCAGTAGATGATGAAATGGAGAAGACCTTCACACAGGGGCCTGGAGGTGTGAAACTGTCATGTGGTGGATGGTAGAATAGTGATGGTAGAATAGTGGGATGAAACGATGGATGGAGAAATTAAGAAATATTCTGAAGTGGTAGAGACAGAACTGAGGAAGAAAGGATTCTGTATACAATTTGGAGTGAATTTCGAGGGGAAAGCTACCAAGCTTCTGGAAACAGTCCTGGAAGAAGAGGAAATAGGAGGATTTTATTTTTCTAAATCAGGTTGGAAAACCATGGCCAGCAAGAATCAGGAATGGAAGATATGGAACTGGGTGTGAATTAATGAATACACAATAAGTGAATAACTATAGATTACTGTTTTAATGTGATTACAGTGAAGAAACTCTGTGAATAAAGATGAAGGATTCATTGCTTCTCAACATTTGAGGTAAAGTTGTTATGCTGGTCTGGAGGGAGACTTCTGCTGAAATTTATTGATAATAATGCTGTATTTTTCCGTCTATAAGACGTCCCCATGTATAAGACGCCCCCTATTTTGGGGGACTCAAATTTAAGAAAATGGGGGGAGATGGCCCAGAGTATAAGATGCCCCCTAATTTTTGATATTATTTTTTAGGGGGGAAACCTAGTCTTATACATGGAAAAATACAGTAATTAGAGAACCCCTTTTAGACTTTTTGTGTGGAAGGAAAAATGAATGAACTTGACATGTCTAAGTCTGAAAACTGGGGAAATCTCACTAAGCAGATGGAGTGAATACTTTAGGATAGACCATGAGACTCTTAATCTGAGGGTTGTGGGTTTGAGTCAAACCCACATTGCAGGGGGTTGAACTAGATGACCCTTGTGGTCCCTTCCAACTCTACAATTTGCTGTTTTTTCATTCTTTTATTATTTTTATCTTCCCGCTTCTTTTTCTTCTTCTTTCCTTGCTTTGCTTTTGCTTCTGTTAGGTTTTTTTGTTTTTCTCTTTGTGTTTTCATTTAGATTCATTTTTTAAATGTATTGTATTATGAAAAGGCCTCGTTTTAAAAAAGAAGATACTGGGGTAATCACATATGAGAAGTTGCCTCCGCTTCTCTGGAGAGGTAGGAAAACCTCCCAGGCCCAATAGCCTCCTCTCTAAGCTGCACAGAGCAAAGCAGTGCCTGTGGCGTCAGAGATTAAGTGGACATGTGGAGCAGTCAGGCCCTGGGCTGAGACTCTTTCCTTACACGTCACGATTTCTCACAGCACAGAGTTTGGGAAAGGCAGCCAGTTACAATCCCACCCCATTGGCCCATCTTGCAGGATGATTGTGAAGGCAAATGCTAAAACACTGCGTACTGGGTTAACGTTCATCACAGAATTGCAGAGTTGGAAGAGACCACGAGGGTCATCTAGTCCAACCCGCGGCAATCATCACCCTGAGATTAAGCATCTACCGAGTTCTCCGATGCCATGAGAGCGGTGTCAGCAGGAGGGATGAGGGCACAGGTAAAGCCAGCCCTAGGTTGCAGCCATTGAATCAGGCTCCCCTCATAGGAAGGAGCCTTTTAAGGTTCAGATATCAGAAGAAGAAGAGTTTGGATTTGATATCCCGCTTTATCACTACCCTAAGGAGTCTCAAAGCGGCTAACAATCTCCTTTCCCTTCCTCCCCCACAACAAACACTCTGTGAGGTGAGTAGGGCTGAGAGACTTCAGAGAAGTGTGACTAGCCCAAGGTCAACCCAGCAGCTGCATGTGGAGGAGCAGGGAATCGAACCCGGTTCACCAGATTACGAGTCCACTGCTCTTAACCACTACACCATGCTGGCAGGTTCAGCAAGGAGGCAGTGGTGGGCAAGGATCTGAAAAGTGCAACCATTTTTCTACATTCCCGTTTTCTGCCTGGGGGTCCTGCAGTTTCCTGCCCACCCAGAACCTTCCAGTGGGGTTGTGTCAGGAAACCTCTAACCAAAGTTTATCATCAGGAGGGAAAGAAAGGACCAGCTTGCACTGAGCTGAGGGGAAAGCAGCCAGCAGCCGCAAAAGCCATGGAAGGGATCCATGGAAACGTTCTGTGGAGACAGCGCCTGCGTCCCCCTCCTGCCCCCAAGTAAGCCTGGCAGATAGCACGTATGGCAAATCCCAAGACACTTTGGACCATCTGCTGCCTGCCGTTTGGGAAGCGTTCACTGCAAAGCACTTAGGTCTTCCAGCCGAACAGCATCTCCAGACCTGCCGAGTCTCTCATTACACAGAATTTGCCGGGTGAGGGGAGATCCATGGGGAAAGAAGCAGGGGGTGCTGCTGTTCTGACCTTGGCAGGAGCCCAAACTGGACTGGGGGGGGGCGTTGGTTGGGATGCTGCTACTGAGCCTTTAGCAGAATGAAGCACATGCCACACAAGCTCTCTGATAAATGAAAGCCATTTACTAGATTTACTGGCGTGAAAGCAACACCAAATTACAGAGGAGGGGGCCGGGTACACTTTTCCCACTCCCTGTGGGCACGATCCGACTCCACCACAGGGAGAGGTTGATTTCCTTTTGGGACACCTTCTGCTCATGGCTAAGGAGAAGGCAGAAGTATTCCTCACTCTTCTTCCTACCAAGTCGAAGCCCAGAGCTGAAATTCAGTGCTAACAGACCCCGGATAAATCTGCGCAAACAATAAGGGTGCTGTGGGCTTTGTGGAGGTGGCGGGGGAAGAGTCTCTCGGAGGGCCACCTGGCCTTGAGGAGGCTGTCTTCTCCATCAGCCAGACCTGTTCTTTCCTAAGCATGGCTATAATGTGTTCCTGCCACCATGGTTGCCATGGCAGCGATGGCTTCGGCCTAGCGGTCCTCCACGCCCAGGCTTGGCAGAAGAAAGGTTTTGAGTGCCACCCAATGGCTCATCTGGGGGAAAAGGCTATGAAAAAAGACGGGCCACCCCAGGGTACTTTTACCAGGGATTTTGCTCTTCCAGGGGCCCAGGAGTCATGGAGGGAGCAATGAGGCCGGCCACCAGTTGGTCCTGCCGCCAAAGATGCTCTGCCAGCCCGTTCAGGAGGTGGGCCACATCCGAGAGTCCAGCACGGCCGTCCAGGGTCTGTCCGTCGGCCAACCGTGGCGCGTTGACACTCTTGGCCCGCAAGACCGGCAAGCCCCAAGTATGGCGGAAGGCAGTCACGTCCCGGTCCGTGACGTCGGTGTGGGCGAACTGGTCAAACCTGGAGAGAGCCGGTCAAGGAAGTGGATCGCCAGACACGCAAATCTCTCTCCACACAGACCACAACAAAGGTGTAGCAACTCCTCTCTGAAGACCCCGGCCTGAGGGATGAGCTCCCTTTGGGGAGGAACATGCCTTTTTTAACATTGTGGTTAAACTGGCCGCTTTTATTCTGAAGCAAAAACTGCCCAGTCCAGGACTTGCTCCTACAAAAGTCTGGATCAGGCCCCTGCGGCAGCCTTTTCCTCAACAGAAAAGTGGCCAGCTTTAGCCTGCTTTTAATCCAGTGCATTTATCATCACACAAAGTTTGGCCCTGATCCACACTCTTTCGTTCTACTATTTAATTATTTTGCTTTCAATGTTTTATTCTTTCCTAACTTTTCTACAACTATAATCAAAGCAGCTCAAAATCATGGTGATGGGGGACCCCCCCACACACACCCTAGACGACCCAGAAAATAAAAGGAAACAACAATGTGTCTATTTTATTTTCTTGACACCTTCCATTTCCAAAAGACAAAAATTTGTTCAGAGATCCATTTTCTCCATCTGTCACCCTCTTTACTTGCTTTTAAATGGGCTCTTTAGACTGGTATATTTTATTACACAGAGCATCTGGTGACAATGTTTTTCATCTGAAGTTGCTGAGCTGGCTTTTTAACATGATGGTTTTTGTTTTTTTAAAACCTACACCCAGGGCTTTTTTTCTGGGGGCAAATCAGTTCCAGCACCTCTCAGGTGGGTGCCATTGCCATTCTAAGAGAACGCGGGAGATTGGCGGAAATGACTGGCAGAATCCGAGACCAGGGAGAAGAGTCGGTGGAAGAAGATTGGAAGAAATTTAAAGACTACTTACAGAAAAACTGCAAAATCAATGAATGTTAGAATGATATTGGATTGAAGTTAAGTGGTTTCTAGCTGTAATGGTATAAAAGAATATGAAAAAATGGATTTTTAACAGGTAAAAATTTAATGTTATAATATATTTAAGGTTTAAAGATTAGGATGAATTAAGGAGGGAAAGGAACTGCTGAACTAACAAATTGAACTGGAATACAAGAAAGGGAGGTATGAGGAGGTCTGGGAAACAAGTAAATGAAAAATAAATGATAAAAAGATTGAATTGTTTTTAATTATTTTTATTTTGTATTTTTTCTTCTTTTACTTTTCTAATTTTGTAATATTGTGAAAATCTTAATAAATATTTATAAAAAATAAAATAAAATAAGAGAACGAGGGAGGTGTCTATGGTGACATCCAGCACCTCTTTTTCTAGAAAAAGAGCACTGCTACACTACATTTTTACCTGCAAGTCTCCTTTGGTGTGATTTTTATCTTGGAAAGGCAGGATAAAGAAGGTGAAAACAAACAAGCAGTCATGAGTACCTCTGAGCATGTGCAGTGTCTTCCTCCTGTGCAAACTTTTCACTTAAAGAAAGAGATCCTAAGGGTAAAATGCACCTGAGCACGTGCAGCGTTGCCTTCCCTTTCAAGCACCTTGCAACAAGTCGTGAGTTTTAATGACAGAGTGTGCACACACACCAAAGAGCTGGAAGGATACTTGGTGCCAACCACCATTCTGATGGCATTATTGGCCCCATCAGCCACCCGAGAGATTTGGTTTGGCAAGTCATCAAAGGATGCCCGATCTGTGAACGAAAAGAGGAGCAGGAGACCGTCCACTTTCTCTGTGCAAGCCTGTTGGGGCATGGGGAGAGGAGAAGCAGAAATCAGCCCACCTTTTTCTTCCCTTGTTTCATCATTTATTTAACAAATGGTATATCCTGTTTTTCAGAAGCATTTTCCCACAAGGAAACAAGGACAAATAAGCAAACATACAGCCAGCAATATGTTAAGCAAAATTTAAAAGCAATTAATGAAATTGTACGTTAAAAGAATGATCAGCAGAACTTAAAATCACAATATGATGAGAGGTTTTTTTTATAAAAGCAATGCAAATGTTAGGAGCCCAATTAAAATTTTACATATTCTTTTAAAATACAGTCAAAACAAATCTCTCATATCCGTTGACTTCCCATCCACCTTTTCAGAGTCTTCTTTTACTCCCTTATAGAGAAGCTATATTACTTACAATTTGTAAAAATTGAGAATTTTATTTAATTTTTTTTGAATTAAGGAAACAAACAAATACATACCGTTCTGAAAAAGCAGCAAAGAACAGGGCCTGCTGTACAACATATAGAGATGTGGGACCTGCCTGATCTCTCTTGGAAGGGAATTAGCAATGGTGCGCCTGACCTGATCCCAACAGCAGATGTTTCTCTGAATGTCAGGATGCAGTTTGGCTCTGTGAGGAGCCCTGAACCTCCTTCTGCAAGCACACTCACCGGCAAGACGTGATCAAACTTCTTAAGGACGGCTTCGCCACAGTCCCAGAAGGAGAACTTGAAGAAGATGGCTTTCCCACTCTCTCTGAGCTTGGCTGGCCAATACACAGTTGTGGTCTGGATCCCTGCAACACAACAGCTTCAGCTAGAACAGAATCACGGGTGTCTCGGCTTTCAACTTAAAAAACAGCAACCCTAGGGACGCGGGTTAAACCACAGAGCCTAGGACTTGCCGACAAACTTCAATGGTGCCCGCACGCTTCCACTCGTGCACTGCCACTCTTCTCAGTTGTCGGACGTTAGCAGAGTTCACACGCAGCGTAAAATGGCTTGTCTGTGTCGACGTGGTGTCTTCAATAACTCAACTCGACACCAGCGCTTCTAATCTAACACTCTTGTATTTAGAAGCATAACAAACAGAAAAGAAAACCTACAGAATCTAGCTGCATTTTCGCACCGTTCTGACTCTAACAAAAACGAAACTAGCTTGCTCACATTCTCAGACAGACTGCTCTCCAGAGGGAGCTCAGCCCCCACAGAGCACAGATCAAAGGAAAATGCCCGGGTCGGGTGGGCAATGCACCCAGTGAATCAGAAGGCTCCTGGAGTGTTAACTCTTGGCTGTCCAGAACCATGTCCCCCTGCTCATGATCAGGATCCTTAAGCTGCCCAGGAGCAGTGGAGCAGTATAGATTTGGAACAGTGGTTTGCAGAGGGGCATAGTTCTGAAGACAAAAGTTGGGACAAACCAGGGGGTGAACAGCAAAATGAAGAACAGGAAGAGAGAGAGCTAACAGACTCTGTCTTGCTGGAAGGTATTCAGCATATCAGTCCAAGGTCATGTAGAGTGGATAAGGTGGCTATACAAAAAGCACAGTGGTTGCAAGATCAGGTTGCAAGACAGAAGTGACTGGGGGGGGGGGGAAGTGGGTGGAATCCTTAATTGGGAACACCTTTATTCTGAGATACGGGTGGCGCTGTGGTGTAAACTACTGAGCCTCTTGGGCTTGCCAATCGGAAGGTCGGCAGTTTGAATCCCCACGACGGGGTGAGCTCCCGTTGCTTGGTCCCTGCTCCTGCCAACCTAGCAGTTCGAAAGCACTTGCGGGAAGGTAAACGACGTTTCCGTGTGCTACCAGAAGCAGCTTAGTCATGCTGGCCACATGACCTGGAAACTGTCTGCGGACAAGGTGCCATTCAAAATATGCAATTGGGTAAATCTCCAGGACCGGATGGATTGACTTCTAGATATTACAGATCTTTGAAAGCATGGTTAATGCAACCTTTGAAAGAGGTCTGTAATGAAATAATGGAGGGGAAAAGAGCACCAGAGTCGTGGAAAGAAGCATATATTACACGTGTACCGAAAATAGAGACTGAAAAGACACAGCTTAAGAACTACCGCCCTATATCATTACTTAATGTGGATTACAAAATTTTTGCTGACATTTTGGCTAAGAGATTTAAAAAAGTGTTGATGGAAGAGATTCATAAAGATCAAGCGGGCTTTCTCCCAGGAAGACATTTGTCTGACAATCTGAGGAATATAATTGATATTCTGGAAAAACTAGAAGTGAACATAAACACTAAAGCAGTTTTGATATTTGTGGATGCGGAGAAAGCTTTTGACAATATTTCTTGGAACTTTATGAAGAAGAATCTACAGGGCATGGGGGTAGGCCAAGGCTTTGAGAATGGTATAAGTGCAATTTATTCAGAACAAAAGGCTAAATTAATTGTAAATAATGTGGTGACGGAAGAACTTAAAATTGAAAAAGGGACACGACAAGGTTACCCAATTTCCCCACTCCTTTTTATTTCGGTCCTGGAGGTTTTGCTGAACATGATTAGAAGGGACCAGTTGGTTAAAGGTATACAGGTCGGAGCTAAACAGTACAAATTGAGAGCATTTGCAGATGATTTAGTATTGACGTTACAGGAGCCAGAATCTAGTACTAAAAGGGTTTTAGAACTGATTCAAGAATTTGGTCAAGTTGCAGGATTTAAATTGAACAAGTTAAAAACTAAGGTTTTAGAGAAAAATCTAACACCAATGGAGAGAGAGAGGTTTCAGAATGTGACAGGTTTAACAGTGGTTAAGAAAGTTAAATACCTGGGGATCAACATGACAGCAAAAAATGGGAATTTATTTAAAGATAATTATGAAAAATGTTGGGCTGAAGTGAAAAAAGATTTAGAAATTTGGTCAAATTTGAAGCTTTCACTGCTGGGCCGTATTGCTGCGATAAAAATGAATGTATTGCCTAGAATGCTGCTTTTGTTTCAAACTTTGCAAATTGTGGACAAAATGGATTGTTTCAAGAGGTGGCAGAAAGATATTTCTAGATTTGTCTGGCAGGGCAAGAAGCCCAGAATAAAATTTAAAATACTAACGGATGCAAAGGAAAGAGGTGGATTTGCCCTGCCAGACCTTAAACTTTATTATGAATCAGCAGCTTTTTGCTGGCTGAAAGAATGGCTGCTTCTTGAAAACACTGATATTTTGCATCTAGAAGGTTTCAACAATGTATTTGGATGGCATGCATTTCTGTGGTATGATAAGGTCAAAGCACATAAAGCATTTAAAAATCACATTGTTAGGAAAGCATTGTTTAATGTTTGGATAAGATACAAAGATTTACAGTGGTGCCTCGCAAGACGAAAAGAATCCGTTCCGCGAGTCTCTTCGTCTTGCGGGTTTTTTCGTCTTGCGAAGCAAGCCCATTAGCGGTTTAGCGGATTAGTGCTACAGTATTAGCGGCTTAGCGGGCTTAGTGGATCAGCTGATAAGCGGCTTAACGATCAGCTGATAAGCGGCTTAACGATCAGCTGATAAGCGGCTTAACGATAAGCTGATAAGCGGCTTAACGATCAGCTGATAAGCGGCTTAGCATCAGCTGTTAAGCGGCTTAGCCATCAGCTGATAAGCGGTTTAGCGGCTTGGGAAAAAGGGGGGGGGGAGGAAAAAACCCCCGCAGGAACTCGCAAGACATTTTCGTCTTGCAAAGCAAGCACATAGGAAATTCGTTTTGCGAAGCACCTCCAAAACGGAAAACACTTTCGTCTAGCGGGTTTTCCGTCTTGCGAGGCATTCGTCTTGCGGGGCACCACTGTATTAGAAAACAAAACTCCAAGGTGGCTGTCACCAATGGAAGCGAAAGCCTTGAAAAGACTCAATATGGAGGTCAAATGGCCGAAATATTGGGAAATTTTGGAACAAGATGGAGATAGACTGAAATTGCAGAGTTTTGAAAAATTAAAAAACAAAGTGCGAGACTGGCTTCATTATTTTCAGATAATGGAGGCATTTAATTTGAACAAGAAAATTGGCTTCCAGGTGGAAAAATCAAAATTAGAAACTGAACTGTTAGAACCCAAAACTAAGAATTTGTCAAAGATGTATAACTTGCTGTTGAAATGGAACACTCAGGATGAAACGGTGAAATCTGTTATGATTAAATGGGCACAAGACGTTGGACACAACATTATGTTCGCTGACTGGGAGCAGTTATGGACCACAGGTATGAAATTTACGGCATGTAATGCCTTAAGAGAGAATATTATGAAAATGATATACAGGTGGTACATAACCCCAGTCAAGCTTGCAAAAATCTACCATTTGCCCGATAGTAAATGTTGGAAATGTAAAGAAACTGAAGGCACTTTTTTTCACCTTTGGTGGACGTGCCCAAAGATTAAGGCTTTCTGGGAAATGATATATAATGAACTAAAAAAGGTATTTAAATATACCTTCTTGAAGAAACCAGAGGCCTTTCTCCTGGGCATAGTCGGCCAATTGGTGTTAAAAAAGGATAGAACTTTCTTTATGTACGCAACAACAGCAGCAAGAATACTCATCGCAAAGTACTGGAAGACACAAGAGCTACCCACACTGGAGGAATGGCAGATGAAACTGATGGACTATATGGAACTGGCGGAAATGACTGGTAGAATTCGTGACCAGGGAGAAGAGTCGGTGGAAGAAGATTGGAAGAAATTTAAAGATTATCTACAGAAACATTGCAAAATTAAAGAATGTTAGAGTGATGTTGGATTGAAATTAAGTGGTTTCTAGCTGTACAGGCTTTAAAGTTATATATAGATCAAGATTAAGGATTAGGATTAAAAAAAGTTAAAAGAAATGGAAAATTGGCTTTTAATAGGTAAAAATTTAATGTTATATTATATTAAGATTAAGGATTGGGATTAAAAAAAGAGGGAAAGAAATTGCTGGACAAACAAATTGAACTGGAATACAAAAGAGGGAGGTATGAGGAGGTCCAGAAAATAAGTAAATTTAAAAGTGGTGATGAAAAGGTGGTATTGTTTTTAACTGTTTTCTCTTTGGCCTTTTTTTTGGTATTTTGTATTGTGTATTTTTGTATTGTGTATTTTTCTTTTTACTTTTAATTCTTTCTTACTGATGTGTCCCTTTTTTTTTTATCGGAAACTTTAATAAATATCATTTAAAAAAAAGAAAAGAAACTGTCTGCGGACAAATGCCGGCTCCCTCTGCCAGTAAAGCGAGATGAGCGCCGCAACCCCAGAGTCGTTCGCGACTGAACTTAGCTGTCAGGGGTCCTTTACCTTTTATTCCGAGAATCAATGCTTTGTTCTTTTGCTGTGATCATTAAAGACTTAAATGGTAAGGGACTCTTTTCACTTTGTCCTGCTTATCTACAGCCAAAGCGAGGGGAGGAAGCCAAGTCCCCAGAGCCTGACAGCATTTCAGAGAAATGCTATTTTAGGCAAAGTGATACGTTAATTTGGGCCACATCACCAGGCTTCTGGATTTCACAGAACTCTTCATCAGACACTTTTTCCTAAGCAAATATGTCATGAAATTCAGAAAGTTGCACAGTCCTGCACTCATTGAAGTCACTCCAACAAGACTGCTTTTATCTCCTTTGTCCATTGGGACCCACAAAGCAACTTCTGCCTGTTGAACTTCATGATTACAAATATAACTCTGGCAGCATGAGGCCTATAAAGGTAAAGGGACCCCTGACCATTAGGTCCAGTCGTGGCCGACTCTGGGGTTGCAGTGCTCATCTCGCTTTACTGGCCGAGGGAGCCGGCGTACAGCTTCTGGGTCATGTGGTCAGCATGACTAAGCCGCTTCTGGCAAACCAGAGCAGTGCACGGAAACGCCGTTTACCTTCCCGCCAGAGTGGTACCTATTTATCTACTTGCACTGCGTGCTTTCGAACTGCTAGGTTGGCAGGAGCAGGGACCGAGCAACAGGAGCTCACCCCGTCGTGGGGTTTAAGATGGAGGCAATGAGCTCAGTTTTGCAAAAGGAGAAATATTTCCTTGGGGAGGGAGAAAACCGCGACTGCCTCCTTCCCTTGCCAGCATCACCTGTTGTCTCGTGGTGGACCAACGGCACCTCCAGACCAGCCAGCTTGGCCACCAGTGCAGTCTTGCCCACGCCGCTCTTCCCCGACACGAAGACCTTGTAGCTTGCAATATCAGCACCCACTTGTGGGGGCAGCACTGGCCTTTCAGTCAGCCCTGCAAAGGAACAGCAAGCCCTGTGAGTTGGCCGCTGCAGCCTCAAGCAACCCAAAGCGAAAGCACACATTCCCAGCTCACAAAATGTGGAAACGTGTCAGAGTTATGGCAGTAAACCGACAGTGCCTCTGAGCACGTGCAGAGCCCCTTCTCCTTGCCAGAGAAGTCTGCACTCCTGTTTGCATGCCAAAAGGCTCTTGTCACTCCCCTACTCACCAAACAGCCTGCGCTTGTTCTGGCGCAAGAGAGTGGCAAAGTATTCCTTGCCCTCTGGAGTCTTGTGCCAGTCCGTGACGACGACAGATCCTGGGGGGACAATCATACTCACTTTCCTCGATATTTCTGCAAAGCAAGACAGAGCAAGTGGTGACTACGAGGATATAGGGGAGAGACTGCACACGGCATGAAGCCCCAGGAAATGGCAGGCAGAAAAGCAGTGTGTGTGCAGTGTGATCCCAGAACATGTTTTGGGGGAAAATTCGGAAGAAGGGTGTTAAAAGCTCAAGCTTAGTGGTTTCCACCCTAACCACCCCTACATTCTCCAGTAACATAGAGGCTGGTGTACTCTGCCCATGCTCAGAAACATCCCTTCTCCATTATTCCTTCCTGGAGGAAGCCTCAGAAAGGAATCCCCTGCAGCCAGGAAGAACTGGGCTGGCCCTATCATTAGGCAGAGAGCGAGGCATCTGCCAGGAGTCTCCTAAGCTGCTGCTGCCACCTTGTCCTATTGCCTGAGATTCAACAACCAGCGGAGCCAGATCCTGTACAGGGAATGGGGTGGGAATCCTGCCTCTCAAGTGCTTCAGGCAGAAGAATACCTTGAACTGGCCCTGGCTGAGGAGGCACCCCCTGCACAGAGAGGAAGTAGGGACGCATAAGGACAGCCAGTGGCCCACTTGGCCCAGCACTCAGATAGACACAGGTGTCACAACACTTTGCCCGCTCCTGTGATTCTAGGAGGCATGAGGCGTCTGACAGAGGAGAGAGAGAGACCCATTGGTAGCTTTGCCCTCCATGAAAAAGGGAGCAGGGCGAGAGGCATGGGTGTAGCCAGGGGGTCAGCTGCTGCCCAGCCCCCTAGCAATCAAGAAATAAATAAAAATACTTAACTAAAAGTAGAAATAATCAGAATATTTAAAACTGAAATGCTCACAAAGAGCAGTTGAAGGAGCTGAACGCAGCAGACCTAGTAAAAGAGGAAAAAATCTTTTACCGTACCAACAAAAACGCTCTGCTCATTTCTCTTGCTCAGCCATGCAGCAACAGTAGAGCGGTCCTTCAGTACTTGTGGAGAGTAAAGACCTGGTCAAGAATGATGAGGGAGTTTCTCAATGGGCTACGCTTGCTGAATGTGCACAGAAAAACTGCACTGGAAGAAAAAGGAGGAATTTGAGAAGGAAGTGCAGTACTGAAAAGGTTTCCAGCCAATCCAAGAAAACTTTATCTTAAGATGCAAACAGGCATGTTCTTTGTCAATTTTGCAAAATATACTCGTTAACCGCATGGAAGGTACTCCCTGGTGTTATTGTTCTATTTAACTTCCTAGTTTTCAAACGACTGAAGATTTGGACGGATTTTTCTGAGCACTTGGGATCAAAAGAAAGTAATTTAGAACGGCCTTGGTCCTGTATACCTGAAGGAGCGTCTCCACCCGCATCGTTCAGCCCGGACACTGAGGTCCAGCACCGAGGGCCTTCTGGCGGTTCCCTCATTGCGAGAAGTGAGGTTACAGGGAACCAGACAGACGGCCTTCTCGGTAGTGGTGCCTGCCCTATGGAACACCCTCCTTTCAGATGTGAAGGAAATAAGTAGCTGTCTTATCTTCAAAAGACATCTGAAGGCAGCCCTGTTTAGGGAAGTTTTTAATATTTAATGCTGTATTGTTTTTAACACTTGATTGGAAGCCAGCCAGATGGGCGGGGTATAAATAAAAAATTATTATTATTATTATTATGTTGTTGCTGTTGTTGTTGTTGTTGTTGAGACGTTTCATTCCAAATCTGTGAGATAGAGGATGATGGCAGGTGGGCTTCCTGCCCCATCTCACCTCACCCCTCAACACCAATCCTGGCTAGGCAGAAAGGTGCCCTCTTACATCATGATTACATGATGTAAGCTCAACATCAAAAAAACGAAGATCATGGCCACTGGTCCAATCACCTCCTTGCAAATAGAAGGGGAAGATATGGAGGCAGTGAGAAATTTTACTTTCTTGGGCTCCATGATCACTGACAGCAGCCATGAAATTAAAAGATGCCTGCTTCTTGGGAGAAAAGCAATGACAAACCTAGACAGCATCTTAAAAAGCAGAGACATCACCTTGCCAACAAAGGTCCGTATATTTAAAGCTATGGTTTTCCTAGTAGTGATGTATGGAAGTGAGAGCTGAACCATAAAGAAGGCTGATCACCGAAGAATTGATGCTTTTGAATTCTGGTGCTGGAGGAGACTCTTGAGAGTCCCACGGACTGCAAGAAGATCAAACCTCTCCATTCTGAAGGAAATCAGCCCAGAGTGCTCACTGGAAGGACAGATCCTGAAGCTGAGGCTCCAATACTTTGGCCACCTCATGAGAAGAGAAGACTCTCTGGAAAAGACCCTGCTGCTGGGAAAGATGGAGGGCACAAGGAGAAGGGGACGACAGAGGATGAGATGGTTGGACAGTGTTCTTGAAGCTACCAACATGAGTTTGGCCAAACTGCGGGAGGCAGTGGAAGACAGGAGTGCCTGACGTGCTCTGGTCCATGGGGTCACAAAGAGTCGGACACGACTAAACAACTAAACAACAACAACAACAAAAGTTTTCAAACGACTGAAGATTTGGACGGATTTTTCTGAGCACTTGGGATCAAAAGAAAGTAATTTAGAACTACTGTGGTTGAGAAGTTTCATTCCGAATCTAAGAGACAGAGGATGATGGCAGGTGGGCTTCCTACCCCATCTCACCCCACCCCTCAACATCAATATTGGCTAGGCAGAAAGGAGCCCTCTAAGGGGAGGCGGCCGTTCCCAGCCCCGCAGCACAAACCTCCCAAGACTCAAACCCCGCATGCAAAAAAGGACCCGATCCCTGGACCCTGGCTTGGCCCCCTTAGCCCTGCCAGGCCCGGGGCAAAGGGTACCCAGCTGCCCCGACCTCCGCAGGGACCCCCGGCGTGTGTATGTGTTTTCCAACCCACCGATCCTCCCCACCCTCGCGAGGTCGCCTGCTCAGCCCACGAAAGGCGACCTCGTCCCTTCGCGAGCTGCCCCTTTAAGAAGGTGCGCCGCTTCCACCCCGCCGTACCTGGGCAGACATTTCCGCCCCGCTTGCGTCTGGCGTCACCACGTAAACGAAAGGTTCCGCCCCGGCCCCGGCCCCGCCCCCCAGCCGTTCACCAAAGAGCTACGAAAGGGGAAGAGAGGCGCATCCTTTCGAGACACGGCTTTGAATGCCCCTCTCATCCAAGGGCGAGAAGGTGGTCCGGCCGTAGCGCCGCAGGAATCACTGCAAGATTTGCGCGGATTTGCGGCTGGGCAAGAAATGAGTCGCTGCTCTTGCGCGCCGAGGGCTGGCTTGTGTAGATAGCGGGTTGTTTTTGTTTTTCAGTGGTTAAGCATTTAAGCCGCCCAGAGTGGCTATTATTATTATTATTATTATTAATATTAATATTAATTATTATTATTATTATTATTTAAGGTGGCAGCCATGGGCGTAGCCAGGATTTGATGTGTGTGTTGGGGACATAGCTGTCAACGTTTTCCTTTTTTTAAGGGAAATTCCCTTATTCCGAATAGGATTCCTCGCAAGAAAAGGGAAAAGTTGACAGCTATGGGGGGGGGGGGCCGCCAAAGTTGTTGACATCTTTTTAAGGAAATCTTTGGGAAATCGCGGATAAAAATACCCCGTAAATAGGACATTGCGGAGGGCAATTAACGAAATCTTGGGTCTCCTCCAAAAGGATGCCAAAGTTTTGCGCTCGTTTTGCGCCACGAACTATATTGGTACTGGCCACCTTTTGCCAATGTCCCTAACCCCCCCCCTCAACCCCACGACTCTCGGAGCTGCCCCAACACACACACACACACACACACACACACACCCACCGGAGCAACAAAGAGGACTTGATTTTTTTATTTTTTATTTAATTGCAAAAAATCCATCAGGGAGTAGGGGGTGGTGGTAACATGGAACAAAAGGAAAATGAAATCTACACAGATCCCTTTTCACTTTCCTCTTCTTAAATATCACGCACGATCCACTTCCATTCTTACACCGGGGTGGGGGTGAGTCTACAAGGACGAGTGGGGGAGGCGAGCGGGGTGCGTCTTGGGCGCACCGGAGTCATTTTCTAGCAACGGGAGGGGCAAGAACGCATCTTGCCATCTTACACGCAGCTCATGATGTGGATTTTGCTGGTCGTGGCGGTGGGGAACGTGGAAGCTGGGCGGGGCCTTTTTGCCATTCATAAGTCAGGAGATGAGGATGGAGGGAGCTGGAAGGATCACAGGATGTCTGCCACGGGTGGGACCCCCCACAAACGAAGCACCCACAGGACCGGTTCCCCCAGGGTGCATTTCAAGCCCTGATAAGGGGTGGGGATCACTATTGCAGCCCCCCACGCGGCACTGCCTCCCTCTTGTAGGGCAGAAGTGAGCGGTGGGGGGCAGTGGCGTAGCGTGGGGGGTGCAGGGGGGGCCTGGCCGCACCGGGCGCAACATCTGGGGGGGCACGCGCTCGCACTCGCAGCTCTCTGCCCCTACTAAAACCAACGGGTTAGGGGGCGCAAATTACTTGCCTTGCCCCGGGTGCTGACAACCCACGCTACGCCACTGGGTGGGGGGTATTGTCACTCCAGCCAGTAGCGCCAGGGAGCCACCAGCAATGGCTGCGTCTCTGCCTCCATCAGGCAAATACAAAATAAAAGCAGCTCTCTCTCCCCCCCCCCCCAAACAAAATCAAGGACTAAAGGCATTTGAAGGGAGGCGGTTGTGAAATACGGAAGAGCCTAGTAGGTGAAGATGTTGCCCAAAACATAATGCTGGATTTCTTGGCGGGGGGGGGGGGAAGAGGAAGAGAACAGCTCTAAATTTTGTGGGGGGGGGGCCGCGGTTGTGGCAACTTAGCAATCATTAAGAAAGCTTATCATTTTTGCAATGCAAAGGAAAATTTTGCCAAGCGCTTTCGAGGTGGAGGGGAGGGCGAGGGGGGTCATGCCCCCACTTCCATTAAGTCAAAAGCATGTTTTAAGACAGTTGTGTAGTTCAGGAAGGTGGGATTTCAATCAGCTGGTATCATATGGGGTGGGGGTGGCAGTGGTAGATCCTGGACTCCCCACCCCATTCCTGTCTTACTCAGCAAGCAGAGCCAGGAAAAGGGAGCTTTGAAATGTATGGAGCTTTCTTTTCATCCTTTCTGGTCTAGGGAAGATGAAAAGTGCTGGGGACATCCGGCAAGACAGGTGACCAGAAGCAAAAGCATAGACCACTGAAAGCAGCCGGTGGCCTCTAGGAACAGCCTTCCCACCTGCCCACCATCTGGGGAGAAGGGTGGCCTGAATTTTGGCCTGGAACACTTCGGGAAAACCTCGAGAAGCCACTTCGTATGATTGCTGGCAATGGAAGGATGGAGTGAGTTACATATGCAGTTTTTCATCAGAGGGAGTTTCTGCTCAACAGGCAAGCCACAGAGCTGCCTCCTACTCACTCCAGGGCCTGTCCCGCTTTTTATGCTGCTGAGCCTGTCGTCCCCCACTCCCCCCGCCAATGGCACCTTCCAAGGCTAGGGACCAAGGGGGCAGCCTAGTGCTCCTGCTCAGCTATGTCACTCACGCCACAGAAGAACCTGGGGCCTGTGCGTGGATCCTGCCCCTCTTCCTTCACAATCTGGAAGCGTGCTTTGGTGGGGAGCAGCAGTCACAAGAGCCCCTCCCCCCACCCTACCCGGTGGGAGGAGTCAGTGCTTCCTCTAGGAACCAGCAGGGAATCTGAGCAAGTCCATTTCCACTGTAGCGGCTGCAGAAGAAAGGCAGGCAGGCAGGGAGGCTGCAACATGAGCCACCGAAACAGGCTAGGTCCGAACTCCAGGTTTGCTTGCTTGCTTGCTAACTCCCTTGTGCCTGCTGGAGTGGCAGGAGGACTCCATGGACAAAGGCCCCTGCCATCACACACAAGACTGGCAATGGGGGCCCTTCCTGTGGCATCTGCAAAATAAGCTGGTACTACTTTAAGTCGCCCCCCCCGCAGTTGGCTGCTTTGGCTGTGATGGACCAGCACACCCTGCCAGGCTGCTCCTCGTAGCCAGGAACATCTCAACCACCCTGCTCCAAGGGACAGCATCCAGAGACTCACATCAATCAGACAGCAACTTTCAGGGGGGCTAGAGCAACAACTGGCTGGGGGGGTGTTTCCAAAAGGATAATGGTCAGGGGAAAGCATCCAAGGTGGGCTCCAAGAATCACTTCAGCCCCACAGCAGGGAGCAGAATGGTGCCCACCCCATCCCTTGGCAACCCTCCACAACTGCCACGGGGTTGGAAGTATGTTGAGAAAGCCACAATGTGCATTGAAGGGCCTGCTCAGCACCCTCCAGTCTGGGACCACCACCCCTCTCTGGAAAAAGGTGTGTTTTTTGGCACTTTGGGCTCATGCTGGGACCTGGAGGGGTAAGAGCATTCGTTCCAGTTGCTTAGATCTTTTTTTATTGGTGGGTGGATGCCCAGATTCACAGCCCGCTTGACAGAGCACGGAGGAGGAAGAGGACGACGACGATGAGGGGGTCTTGAGGGGGGGGGGGAGCCGCTTCCGCCGCTGCATTATCTCTTTGCTCGGACAAAGTACAAGGCATTGGTTTTGGGATAGTACTTGACGTTCTGCTTCTTGTCCATCAGGCCGCCGAAGATGATGACTTCCCCCCGGCCCTGCACCACGGTGTGCAGGCTGGTCTCGGGGGGCCCTACCACACAGCTGCTGTGGAAGACCTTCCAGGCCACCCGCCCGTGCTCCTGGGCCCCCCGGACGTCCAGCACGTACATCTGCATGGGCTTGCAGTTCACGCTCTGGTACAGGGGCTTGCCCACGTTCAGCGACTGCGGCGGGTGGTGGCCGAGCCTGCGGGCGATGGGGGGCAAGGCGTGGCCGTCCCCCTGGGCGGAGACGGGCCGGGGGATGCTGGGGGCTGCTGCCGCCGCCCCCTCTGTGCTGCTAGCGCTGCCGCTCTGGCTGCCAGGGGACGCCGGCGAGGAGACCAGAGGGGGACTGAGGACGGCCAGAGTAGGGGGTCCCTTGGCCGAGAGGGCTTTCACCGCCTCCAGACTCCGCCGCAGGGCACCAGGGGAGACTGCGCCCGCCAAGGAGCTGGCCGTGTGGGGCGGGGTATGGAGGCCGTTGGTCTGTTCCGGAGGGTTCCTGAAGGCCAGGCTGACCGTCCTGTTCTCTGCAGTGTCCAGTTGGCAGGCCAGGGAAGTGGCCAGAGGCTTCGGCTCCCAGGTTAAGTCAGCCACCGCCAGCCGCAGGTCCTTCTGGTCAGGGAGGGAGCCCCGCCGGGGGCCCAGGGGCAGGCCGGCCTTGGGATCGTGTCCTTTGATGGCAGAAGGCATGCCGGGAGAAGCAGCCTGCAGGGGGCTGTCCAGAGAGGCCCCCCCTGTGGCCAGGGGGCCGGGCGACAAGCCCCCGCTGCCGTTCAGGATGGGCGAGCTGTCCTCTCTTGCCGGCGAGAGACTCCCTTCCCGGGAGCTGGAGGGCGTCTGCCTCTGTGCCCGGGGCCTCAGGGTGCCCCACCGGCCGTTGACGCAGGGAGCCTCATCCGCCGTCCGCACCGGGGACTGGGAGCGATATTCCCGCGCCTCGGGACCCAGGGCCGGCGGGGTGGCGCTGATGGGGGATGGGCGGGAGTTCAAGCTGGGGCTGAGAGGCGCCCGCCCGCTCGGGGCCTGGCTGAAGACCACCACACACTGCCCCACCTGCAAGAGAAGAAAGGCCGGGGGCACAGCGTCACCCTCTCTGCTGCCTAAAGCAAGGGGGCTGAGAAGCGCAACACGGGGCTCCCAGGGGCTGGATGGTGCTGAGCTCCTCCTCTCTCTGAGCCCCACTCAAAGGGGGGGGGTGCAAAAACCCAGGCTGTGGGGGTCAGGTGGGATTGCTATGAGGCATTATGAAAAATGAAGCAAGCCATTGTGTCCACGATGAAAGCATTGCTTTGACTGGGCTTGAGTCATTGACAATGGTTTCTGATCGAATCCCACAAGCCTCCACCTCTGCCATTTGCTTTCTCTACACCTGACAAGCACGTATAAGCATTCTAGGACACAGACCAGTTGCTGGTTGCTGCACCAGACATCCTAAGCCATAAAAGTTAATAGGTAGCTTTGATGCACCCTTCCTTGGTTTTGTTAATCTTAGGGCCAGTAAATAGTTTCACATGAAGGTGATAAAGATACCTATCTTCCTTGCCATCCTTTCTCTCATGTTTTACTGCTTGTTTATGGCCTCCAGGGTTTTGCTTAATGCATTCCTCTAGTCCTGTTTTATTTACTCTCAGATATGTTTGCATGCTCAAAGTAGTCTTTGTAGTTAACAGGATTTCTTCTGATCTGACTTTGTCCCACGTGGGGTTTTTGAAATGCTCAGAGGAAATCTGATTGGTTCTTACGAACACTGTGTAAAAAGTTCTTTTGTGAATAAAACGACCTGGGCCAGGGGGGCCGCTAGGGGCGCATTGGAAGATGGCCGACAATACCATCTCTCCGCGCACAGCCCTCGTGTGGGATGGCTCTCCCTGACGCTGTCTCTGATCGCGCGGCCTGGTTTCAGGAGCTCAAAATAAACAATTAGAGAGAAGCAAATGCACATATTTCGAGTGAAGATCGGGAGTTAAGACTGCTAACTAAAGTGACCTCTGTGAAGTGGAGCGACGGGCTGGATTCAACAACATATTAAGAAGAAGATACATCAAAGGGTTGGTATGTCGGAACGGGACTGAAAGGGGGGGGGACTTTTCTTTTTTTATCTTATGTGAGTACCTAACAATCCTCCCCCCAAGAAGAATCGTTGCAACTACTGATAACAAGCAGGATGATTAAGAACTGTGTGGAAATAAATTACTAATCAAAGGCATGGCTTGTGGAATATCTGGAAAGGAATGAAAGGCCTTTGTGACGCAGTTATAAAAAGAGTCTTGTAAGGACAGGTCTGGCTACAGGATTTATGATTGAGGGGGAAGAGACCATGGCTTATTATATCGGACTGTGAGTTTGACCTGGCAGTACCCCCTGAGAAGATTGAGGAGAGACTGACAGACCTGCGAGAACGGGCAGACTTTAAGAATGTTTTGTATGGAAGTGCAGAAATGGGTCTGTCTGTTTGAATATGGCTCTTGGAGGAATAAAATCCACACAGGACATAACAACGTTTGTTTTCAACTCGCTTGTGGAGACTATCAGAGGTCACAAAGAAAGGAATATATGATAACAACAAGAAGATGAGGAAAATAATAAAGAGAAGACTGAACAGAACTGTGAATACTATCTGGACAGAACTGTGAACATTAAAGCAGCAGCAAGAGAGGTGTTTGGATCCCTTTCTGAGCTCGAAGTATGGGTACCCCCAACAAAAATTTTAAAATTTGGCTGTGTAATTTGGAACTAATGTGATTTGATTGGTTTGTTAATAAAAATTATATTTAAAAAAACCAACAAAAATCGACCTGGGCCAGTGGGTGGAGAGGCTTATTATATGCACCTCCTCCCAGAGTCTTGCTGGTCAAGCCTCGTGTGTATTTTAGTAATCAGAGTCCAATCCTTCCTTGCTTTGAGAAGGCTACAGGAGGGGAAGAGACTCAACCCTAACAGCACCTCCAGGCGGGGCTGGGAACTGCCCTTGCCTGAAAGCCCCTGAGAGCCGCTACTGTTGGTACACAATATGGAGCTAGATGTGCCACAAGTACCTAAGGCACATTTGCCTCTGGGCTTGAGAGCTGAAAGTTCAAATCCCAGCTCTGCCAGCAAACCAACCCACTTGGGAAGTGGGGGTCTCATTATTTCCCTCCCTCCCTCTTTTAAATATTTTAAAGGAAGCCCACCGCACTGAAAGAGCTGTGGGTGAAGAGGCAGCCCTGGCAGCTGTTCCTCGGCCCCCTCAGAACCCCCCCCCTCGCTCACCCTGCAAGCCGGATGGCACCAGAGCTCTGGGGCGCCCTGCTCTTCATTCTCCACCTTCAGGGGTTGCCAGGTCCAAGGGTCGGAGCTCATGTGCAGCAACCAGGCGTCCTTGAACAACTGGGGGCAAGGAGGCAGGTCAGCATTGTTGGGCAGAAAAGGAAGGAGGGGTCAGTCGGGCACAGGAGGGGGTCCTCTTTCTGGGGTGCAAAGGGGAGCCGGCTGGGGACACCCCCAAGATGAGGAGGGGCTGCCTTTGCTCTTCAAAAGGTAGCCAGTGGTGACCTCTTTCGGAATAGCGCTAGACAGGCCCGACATCCCACCCCTTTGATGCTGATATTGCTCCTGTAGAACCACCCCCCCCTTCCTCCACCCCACCAAAGACAAGCAGCAGGCAGAACGGAGGGCAACTCACTTGCTTTGCCCAGGCGGAGCAGAGAGCCAGAAAGCCGGTCTTGGGTGGCTTCTAGGAAAGCAGCACCCGCAGAATCTGGCTGGGTGCTTCTAAAGGAGCATCTCCACCCCCATCATTCTGCCCGGACACTGAGGTCCAGCTCTGAGGACCTTCTGGCGGTTCCCTTGCTACGAGAAGCCAAGTTACAGGGAACCGGGCAGAGGGCCGTCTCGGTAGTGGAGCCTTAAAAGGGAACGAATGGGGGAGTGAAGAGCCCCCGCAACACGGCCTACTCACCGCATTTGGGCCCCCGCAGCCTCCGAGGACCAGGATGGTTTTGTCGTCTATGACGATCTGGCAGAGAGGGAGAGAGAAAAGTGGGTACATAGTCTTGGGGAGCCCAGAGAGGCCAGGAGCCTGCAAACCACCTGCTGCCCTCCATTGAGTCAGGCTCCTGCCTGGCCCACTGAAGCCAAGCTCTGCCTACTCCCACTGGCAGCTGCTCACCCAAGACCTTCCCAAGGTCAGGAGCAGCTGTATCCCGATGGCACAGGCCATCCAGGAGGCCCCTGGTTCAATCCCTGCTGGCAGTATCTCCAGGCAGGAGTGGGAAAGACTTCCTGCAGAGCCATTGCTGCCAGTCAGTGGAAGCGACACTGAGCTAGGCAGACCAGGGGGCTAACTTGGCACAACGCCTTTTAGGTGCCAGAGATGGGAGGTAGTGGGTTCTTGCAGGATGAGGCAGGGGATGCAGAAGAAAGGGAAGGGGTCCTGCCACACTTGCCCCCTGGTGGGCCTCACTGCAAGCAGAGATGCGGGGGCGGGTAAGGAGACCCTCACCTGCGACTGGCCTCCTCGCGGATGAGGGGTGGGCCCGGAGATGGTTGGCTTGGACCAGGCCCAGTGCTCCAGGTCCAGTATCCAGACGTCATTACTCCTGCCAGAAAGAGAGAACCTTAGATGGAAGCCTTCTTTTTGGTGGTGGTCTTGCGGGACGTTATCGTGTTTTTCATTTGAAGAGGGGAGGGGAGAAGAACAGACTTACATTTGCCGAGATCCAAGGGACCCCCCAAAGACAATCATTTTGTCCTGGATGACACAGGAGGAGTGGCCAGCCATGGGAGGGGGTCCATGGGTGGTAACCACGCAGTTCCACCTGAAGGGGGGGCAGGAGGAGGAGAAGAGAGAGGGGCCAGATGAAGCTACAAAACAGTGCGCGCGCACACACACACTACCTCCCTTGATCTTTAAATTTCTATACTGCTTAAAGTCTCCAAGTGGTGTGCAAAAATCAATGACGGGCAACTTGAACAAAACATTACAAAAATATCTATGAAAATGTTGCATTAATACAGAGTTGCTGATAAATATACATCAATATACAGTGGTGCCCCGCAAGACGAATGCCTCGCAAGACGGAAAACCCGCTAGACGAAAGGGTTTTCCGTTTTTGAGTTGCTTCGCAGGACGAATTTCCCTATGGGCTTGCTTCGCAAGACGAAAATGTCTTGCGAGTCTTGAGATTTTTTCCCCGCTTTCCCCCCCCCTTAATCTAAGCCGCTAAGCCTTTAATAGCCTTTTAGCAGCTAATCCGCTAAGGCGATAAGCCTTTAATAGCCGCTAAACCGCTAATAGCGCTAATCCATTAAGACGCTAATAGGGTTGCTTCGCAAGACGAAAAAACCGCTAGACGAAGACACTCGCGGAACGGATTAATTTCGTCTTGCGAGGCACCACTGTAAATTCATTTCCCTTTGGACACACTCTTCCTTCTTCTCAGCCTCCAGGTTCTCACCCTGGGGTCTCACAAACGCTCAGCTCACCCACAGCAGTCTCACCGCGAGAAGAGTTCCTGGAAGCAGCGAGTGCTTTTTGTGGGCAGGCCCAAGGGGGTGGCGCTTCCTCAGGCTGCTCACAGCTGGGCCAACTTGTCTGTATCTTATCGCAGATCTCTGGATAACCAGCTTTATCACTTTCTCTTGCGCACGTAACATCCCACCCTAGCCTTGGTTTGGCTCGGTTTATCTTTCGTGCGTTCGCCCCACAAAATGTTATTTTGTTAACTGGGTTATATAGATAAAAGTTAATGAAAATTCTTACCGTGCTCACACTCCAATTTCCACAGCAAAAAAATTAAATAAAAAAATCAAATCAATGCAGGACGGCTGTTATTGGGCAGTGTACAAATCACTGAATAAAAAAAAAGGAGGGGCGGGAGAGAGGTTTGCTCCATCGTCCGTGTGATGGCCCTTTAGATAGCCAAACATCTGAAGGCCTGCCCCATGGAAGATGGAGGCAGCTTGTTTTCTGCTGCTCCAGACCTGAACCAACAGATTCAAGTTCCAAGAAAGGAGATTCTGACTAAACATCAGGAGGAGCTTTCTGAAGGTCTCCATCGGACACTCGTGGGCTCTCCTTCATTGCAGGTATTTAAGCAGGAGGTTGGTTGGGCACCTGCTAGCAATTCTTTAGCTGTGATTCCAGCATCGCAGGACCAGGTGACCTGTGGGACCCCAAATCTACAGTTCTGCGATTCTATACACCTGAAATGAAGGTTTGAGAATGACAGACTGTTGTTCCGAACGGCTCTTACCAATTCTTGGAGGGCGAATAGGTATGGATTTCGTCGAAGAACCTCTCTGGCTGGTGCAGGGGGTAAGGGCTGGGTCGCGTCCAGCCTCCAAACAACACCAGCAAGTCTTTGTATACCACCAGGGTGGCCCCCGCCTTGGGTGAAGGGTAAGAGCCTGCAGGGAGGAGGGAGAGAAAAGCAGACCTCGCTTAGGAAAGGGCTCCCTGGATACAGACATAGATGAAAAAGCCACAGACAGCCGAGGACCTGACCCACCAGCACCACCCTCCCGCAACTACCCGATTTGCAATGGCCAAAGTTTGCCATTCTGCCTGAAGTTGGGCAAGCAACGGGGGACACAAGCCGCTGTCTGTCTCCAACGTGGAATGGAAAGCCCTGGTTGGAAGGCAAGGAGATCCCATTTTGAAGAAGCCTTTGCATCTTGTCTGCAAATGAGGTTGAGCAAGGGCAGAGGAGTCTTGGGGCTGCCTGCAAATGAGGTTGAGCAAGGGCAGAGGAGTCTTGGGGCTGCCCCTTTCCTGTTGCCCGAGTGCCAATGTCAGCAAGGAAGCTAGGCTCTCTGCCCCCTGGAAACGCCACCTGCCCCAACCTATCCTGCCAGCATCGGGTGATTTCTGTTATCGAATCTGATTTTTACTGTGAGAAGCTGCTGCTATGAAGTGGTACCTAATGATTCTAAGCAAGTTCATGGAATCCTAACCACTGGATTGAGAGTGATTCCTACACTGCAGAAGGTTGGGATAGATGACTTTTGGGGTCCCTTCCACTTCTACAGTTTTATAATTCCTCCCTGTCCCCGAGTCAGCCAACATTGAGAGAGGAAAGCGCCTGTGGCTCCAGCCTCTGATTCTTCCCAAGCCAGGAGACGCTGTTTCTTCCTCCAGAGGATTATCCTTTCATGGAGAGAGCAGACAGGGCTGGTGGGTGGGATACTGCAGTCCTACCCAACGGGGTGGGGAGAGACATGCAGGAAAGGTAACTGGGCACCCAGAGACGTCCTTGGGAACTTGGCGCCACCAACACTTCCAAGGCGACCTCGAGAGTCAGAGGCCAGAGTTGCCAGCAGGATCCAAGACCAAAATTGGGGATGGGGCTATTTGCAGCTCACGCCTGCAAGACTGCAAAAATAGGCCCCTAAAGCTAGACCATCCAAAGCCTGGCACATGGCAACCCCCCCCCCAAGGCTCAACGGATCCCAGAGTTCCCTGGAGAGCCTCCCTGAATTCCAGAGGAAGTGGACAGGGCAGTGCAGCGCTGGGACAAAAATAGCCCTCCCTGGCGGAAACTTCATTGTCAAGTGCCGGGGAGGGGGGAAGAGAATCAGGAATGCAGCGAGCTTCTGTGTGTGTGAAAGGGCTACGCTTTTACTTCAGAGAAACCAGCATTTCTGCTCCTCTGCCTGCACCCAAAGAAAGACGAAAGAGGAACACAGAGCATGCAGGACAGGGTCACATCCGCCCACAGACCCTCCCCTTTCTGCCAGTTCCACACCTGCCCCCTTGAGGACTAGGAACCCGTTTCTTGGTTTGGTTTAAGAAACGAAAAGGAGAAACACGGAACACACAGCCCTTTTGCAGTGCTGCTCTAAGGGGTGGGGTGTTGGGGATGCAAGGGGGCCCTGCGGTCACGACAGACACCCCCCCCCCAAAAAAGAGAACAGCCTGCATCTCTTGCTCCCATTTGCTGGAAGCAGAGGGACCTGCCGCCTGGCTGCAAATTGAACTCCCTCCTTCCTTTCCGTGGAGGGGGGAGCAGTCGAGGGAAGAGCTGTCAGCTCCTTGTACAAGTTAATTAATGCTTTCGTCAGGCAGCTCTTGAAAGGGGAAGCACAAAACCCCTAATTTCCTGCCAGGCTGACAGGCAGGTGTTGGGGGGTTGAGGACGCCCCGCCTGCAACTCCCTGGCAATTTACTGGGGGGGGGGCTTTCCTTCCCCAACTCAAGCTTTGTCTCTCCTGCCATTGCAAGGGAGGAGACTCACAGCTGGGCTGCATTTCAGCATCCAGACCAGAGTGGGGGGGGGAGGGGGTGTCGCCTGGATGTCCCCGCCACCTGCTGGAACATCTACACCCCACTAGCACCCATCAGCTCTCCCCCCTTTTTTTTTGCTTTGGGTAGATGGCATATTGCAACACCCCTCAAAGCGGTTTACGAACAGATAAAACAATAAAATCAACAAAAACTTACCAGCGGTGCTTTAAAACATATATAAAGTCAAAATTCAACTTTCTAAGCGCCTGGACAGGCTTGTCTAAATAGTAATGCTTTTAGCAGGCATTGAAAAGAAGACAGTGAAGGCACCTGCTTAATGTCAACAGGCAGGGAGTTCCAAAGTGCAGGTCCTGAATTCTTATACAGTCGTACCTTGGCTCCCAAACGCCTTCGGAGTCGAACGTTCTGCTCCCGAACAATTGAAAACTGGAAGTTTTCAAACGTTTTTTGGAAGACGAACGTCCGGCGTGGCTTCCACTATTGTTTCCAGCGCGCCTGCGCAATTGGGAAGCAATCGGAAGCCGCACCTTGGTTTCCAAACATTTCAGAAGTCAAACGGACTTCTGGAACGGATTCTGTTCAACTTCCAAGGTATGTCTGTAATTGTGGAACTGGTGTTATGTGTTTCGCCGGTCGAAGAGGCTGAGGGGTTGCATGTGGGGCATTTAGAGTTCTGTCTAACCCTGCCCCACAGTCCTGCCTCTCCACCCACCCACGTCCACACCCTGCAGGCTCCCATCCCTCTTCCCAGCCCCAGCTGCAAGGGGACTCCATGGCAGGAAGGTGGGTGGGGGTGGCGATGCTTGCCACCTCCCCACCCCCTTGCCCCAAAGGCCCCAGCTGCTGCAGCCAGACCCTTGCCATGGGGCAGGTGCTTCCGAGGGTCAGCAGGACACCTGGGGGTGCCCCAGAAGCCAGGCCCCCCCCATCAGATTTTGTTCTTTACAAAACACGCTCCCTGGCAGGTGAGAAAAGCAGCTGCCGTGTGAAGCAGGAATTTCTAATGGCAAAGGAAAAGAATTAAGAAATGACTGTATGCAACATTTGCAACAGAAGATCCATGGAGAAGCCAGCGGGAGGGACGGCGGCAAGAAAACCCTATCCTGAGGTTTTTTTTTGGGGGGGGGGAGAGCTTTCGGTCCTTGACCCCCTACATAGCGGAACCCATAAAATGCCTCCCCCAATTTCCTGAAGCAGTTTTGTTTTTTTAAGGTGTTAAAGCAATCACCACTGTTATTAAAAACCAGGGGGTTGTGGGAACTGCCTCTCCTCAGTACCATCCATGCAGCTGAGGATTGTGGGAAGGATCGTCCATTTCCCACACTCCCTCTGGCTGCCGTGGGGGCCACCGACAGAAGCACACCTCAGCCGGCTCTCCCAAGCCCTGAAAGGGGAGCTCCCAGTGATGGGGAATGCATGGCCCTGCGCTAGGAGCCGGCAGGTACTCCAGACATCAGCGAGGCATCCCAAGAGCATCCTTGCCCCATCTTGCTCTGTGTGGAAGGCAGAAGCCACGCAGCCTGTGGCTCTTTCTGGCTCTGTACCTGAGCTGTAGACAGCAACTGCCACCTCTCCTGCCTCCCTGCTCCTCAGGAGCAGAGGTCTAGCAACGTCTACAGGGCCTTGGATGTCATCCTCCCCTCCTCCTTAGCGTTCAAGGAGCTGCATCCCGTGACCAAGAGGCATGGATGAGAAGGAACCCCCTCTGACTCCGCTTCAGCCCAGGTTTCTGGCCAAGAACTCCTCTGGGTGGCCCCAGGATGGCAGCCTCCTCCCAGCCAACCCCAAGCTTGCACCTGCTCTCACCTGAGGCCAGTGGCCGGATCCACTCTTTGCTGTTCAGGTCCAGCCTCCAGAGGTCGTTGAAAGCAGCGTTGCAGCTGCTCTGGGTGCAGCCGCCAAAGACATACATGGACTGGTTGGCATCGTAGTAACAGGCGCCTGGAGGGACCAGGAAAGAAGGAACACCAGCCCTGAGTGCCTAGCAAACTCAAACTCCACCCTGAGAGAGAGGGGGAGAGACGCCCAAGCCCACCCCTGGCCCCCAGAGGACTCCATCTGGCCCAGCAGCCTCTTGCCTTACTGTGGCCTGGAGGAAGCCCACAAGCAGCGCTCAGCCCCCATAAGCTGACTGTCCTTGAGTGGTAGACTGCCTCTGAACACGCAGGCTCCACAGGGGCATCTCTCCTCTGCCCATTTACTGACATGGCTGGTGACACCCCTCCCCTCATTGTACGCCTCCTTCCAGCAACTCTTGTGGCCCAGCTGATTGTCAAAGGCATTGCTCTGTTTCCCTTTGGACCACTTCAGTGAGGCTGAGAGCGGGGTCTTGTCATCTGGGCAGCCCAGGACCTCCATGCACACTGCCCAGGCTTGTGTCCGAGGGAGGTCACTTTGGTGCTAAGGCAGCAGTTCGGCGTCACCCCTGGAGGTGCACTCCATTGTCTCGTGAGAGAGACGGTTGTCAAGAAGAAAGCATGGCTTGCCGGCAAATGACCACGAGGAGGAGGAAGGTTTAGAGACCAAGACGGGTCCCTCCAGCCTGATCCTGCTGCTGCAGGGCTCTCTGGGTGTTTTTATGGGCCACCCAGAGGTCAGGTGAAGCGTTTTCCTTTATCCACCGTGGGCCCTGGCGATCAGTTGGCTGGCAGCACACTTTCCAGGGAGCAGCTACAACTTTAGCTGCCCCACACCAGATGTCTTGGGGAGAATGGGCCTGTGGGCCAACTGGGGCTCCTGCAAAGGAGGCAGAAGTTCCCCCTTCCCCACGGCTGCTCTGCAAAGGGCTTAATCCCACCCCCTCCCCGCCGGCCCATTTCCCAATCCCCACCTTCCACCTCCCCTGCTCTCTGTTGAAAACAAGGCCACCTCCAGACTTGAAATCTTCCATGCAAGGAAGCTGAGAAAGGGGTCCCAGGGCTGCAGACCTCTGCCACCCACCCCTATGCCCTGTAGTCAGCTCCCCAACCAGGGACTCACTGTGTGAGAAGCGCTGGGTTATGGGGGTCCCAGGGTAGGGATAGGTGCGGCTCTCCCACTGGATGTTGCCTTCTTGAACCGCCTTGATGAAGCCGTGGTAGCACTGGTGGGCCACACCTGGAGGAGGAAGAGAGAGCAAGGCATCACCGCTGGGAATTTCCCACCCAAGACCCGTAACTGCCCCAAGGCCAAGCTGGCTCCAGCTCTCTGGTGCTCCACATTGGGGCTGCCCTGACCACAGAGGTTAGGCACCTCTTGCGGCTCCCTCGAGATTTCAAGCAGTGCAAGGTGGCTCTGATTCTGCCAACAAAGGGCTGAGCAGGATACTGAGAACCCTGGCCAAACACCTTCTGCGCAGCCTGCTTCTGCTGCTTCTCCAGGCGAGTCTCTTTGGGAGTAGAAACTCAGGAGAGGCCTGTGAACTACGGGGAAGCCTGGCTTGCCATCAGGGGAGACTCCAGCTGTCCTCCCCCGCCAAACGCAAGTACCTTTGATAAGGCGGTACCACTGTTTGCAAACCAGGGCTGCCATCTTGTGCTCCTGGTAGGGCGAGAGGAAGGACAATATGTACTCCAGCACTTCTTCCGGCAGCTCCTGCATGGACCGGCGGAGCCTGGCGCCCCCTCCCTCGCTCTCTTCCTCCGGCCTGGCGCTGGGCTCCCCCTCATCCTGCTCCATGGTGGCCCCGTCGGCCGCAGCTTCCTCGGGGTCCACGGCCATGAAGCTGTCCTCGTCGCTGTCTGAGGAGTTGGCCATGGCACCATTCCACGTGGCAGCTTCAAAACAAGAGAGGGGGCGGGGGGAGAAATGCCACACATGTTATTCAGACCCCATGGCTGTCAGTCTGGCCCAGCCAGAGGTCCCCAGTTCCCTGGCACGCCCTCAAGCAGACAGTGGAGGCGGCCGCCATCTCCCTCGCTCGCTTCCCGACCTGCCTGCTGCTCTCATGATCTGGCTTCCCCAAGAGAGATGTGTGAGAAGGGAAGAGGGGCAGGCCCTACCCCACCTCAGATGACAGGCAGTTCTGCCCTTTCCTCGGCACATCTGCCACCCCTACAACCCACAGAGGTCTGGAGAGGGTGATTGGATGACACACCAACCACAGGTCCCCTGCACCTGCTCAGGACCCTTGGGGGGCAGGAACAAGACCTGGAGCATCAAGAGACCTCCACCCAACACGGCTCAGGTGCAAGTCTTGGCCAATGCGCCCTATCTGGGGTCACAAAGGAGAGTCTTTCTGCATCCTCCCCAACACACACACATACACGCCAGCCACGCTGGTTCTTTCGGCCTACAATGGGCTCCCAACCAGCCCACAAAGCTCACCCTTTCCATGCTTCCAAACATTCAGTATCAGTGGCTTGCATGCCTCAGGGAGCTTCCATCAACCTCACGCTTGAGAACTTCACTCCCCCCCCCGAAGCAGGACTCAAAGGAGGGTGCTATGCCTACACCCCGCCCAACTGAGAAAAGGGGAGACTGTTGAGAGGAGAGAGTCTGCCTATCACTGCGACTTAGTGGATTAAAGAAAGACATTGCCCTTCTCCAGGGCCAGAGAGAGAGGAGGAGGAGGAGGAGGAGGAGGAGGAGGAGGAGGAGAAGAAGGGCTCCTTCAGCTGTAACTTTAAAAACTGGTGCCTAAGTTTGTTTTTCTTCCTCCTCCTTCCCCACCCAATTTTCCTTCTGTGTCATATCTTTCAGACTGTCAGCCTGAGGGCAGGAACTGCCTTGTTTTACTTATTGTTCTATAAACCACTCTGGGAGCCTTTCTGGCTAAACTGTGCGGTAGAAATGCTTTAATAGTGATATTAATCCATAAAAACGGAAAATAGTTTGTGCTCCAGTTACCAACCCTGTGGCTTCACAGGCTAAGACCCCTCTTGAGGATTTGCTAGAGAGTTCAACATCTTTGCATTCCTCCCCACTTAAATAAAACGTATGTCTCTTCTGAATGCTCCTTGCTAAGAAGGATGTCATGAAGCAAAAGCCTCCCTAAGGGGTCTTGGCTATGTCCTTGGTCTCCATCCATACCTTTAAGCCCAGGGAGCAAGACCCCTCCCTCAGAAAAGAATTGGGTGGGGTCTCCCCCCCCCCGGCACACACCCGTAGCTCTGAAGGAATGCATTAATGGAAGATGCACAGGTTTGAGATGAAAGGACCATGGGTTTGGCAGTTCCAAGGATTCACATTTGATGTTAAGACTTCTCTTTGGTATTTTTCAAAATAATCTGAAGCCAAGCCAAGCCTGGAGGCAACGGTGGGTCAGTGCTGGGGGCCTGTTGCCAAATGCCCCCCCCCGAACAGGAGGGGGCAGAGGACAGCCATCTTTGAACCAGCTGCTGGAGGGTGAACCTGCAGCCATAAGGACTAGCAACTTGGGTTTCTTAAGCATAAATTCTTAGGCTTCTGAATTGCAAGCTTCATACCAGCTGCACGCACAAATTCTTTTCCTGCAGAGCACGCAGGTAAGAAATAGTTCCCTTCACTGCTGGCTGGTTATGCTTTCTGCCACAGCCTCAGGGAGGCGTCCTGAAGGTGGTGGACTCTCCTTCATTGGAGATTTTAAAGCAGAGATTGGATAGCTACCTTTCTGGGATGCTTTAGTTGCAATTTCTGCGTTGCAGAGGGTTGGACTATATGACCCTTGGGTTCATTTCCAACTCTGCAATTCTACGATTAACAGGTTTTTCTCTAGGCGGGCTGGCAGGCATCCAAAATGCAAACCTTCCCAGCCTCCAGCCATTCCCACCAGGAGCCTTTCCCTGCCTGGGGTGTGTTTGTGCATCTCTCCCAGGCGCCCCAGCCAATGCAGACCGACAGTCTGCAGCCCAAGTTCCCTGAACTTCATGGGAGGAGAAAGAGGGGAAACCCAACCCTCTTAATTGCCGGTTGTTGCCTCGGAATCTGTCTGACGTTGTAATTGCCGGGGCAGAGACAGCTTGCAAAGGTTTCGGTCCACGCCCCCCCACCCACCCCCATTTTGCTCAAAGTCGGCCCAAACCAGGAATGGCTGGCAGAAAGGAAAGTCCAACGCTGGCTTCTGCTCTGGCCCCCGGAAGGCAGAAGCCGGCCCTTGTGGAGGGAGAGATGAGCTACAACCTCAAGGGAGGGGGTGCTGTGTGCCCTCCTGCAGGGAAAAGTCACCAAGGTCTGCGGAGCCCCGCCGGGGGGCTCTTCTCAGGTCTTAAAGCAGGGGGGGGGGGGAACCAATCCAGCCAGAGCTTCTGCCCCCTGCTGCTTTTAGGGCAAGTTCTCTGGCTCCCTGCAGGGTCTTCCCACATGCAAGTCAGGCTTTGCTTTCATCCTTTCCCTACCAGAGAAGCTTCATTCCCAGGACTGGCTACAGGTTTCTCACCGCAAAACTAAAGGCTGTACACCTAGCCAGCAAGTCACCTGCTTTACCGTTGCACAACAAGGGAGAAAACTGCTCCTCTGCTCAAATCCAGATGGATAATCGTAAAGGAGCCATCAATATGGGGTCGGGGTGGTGGGGAGCAGGACCCTTCAAATCTCTGCTGAGCCATCAAAGCGGCCTCTTGGGCAGGCAAGTCAAATCCTCCCTAGAGGGTTGCTGCAATGGTGCAAGGTAGGTGAGAGCCCTATGGTCCATGGAGGGCAGGAGACCCAGGGGAGAGGAAACATATTATTATTAATAATAATAATAATAATAACAACAATAATGATATGCCACCCATCTTGCCTCAGGGACTCTGGGCAGCTCCCAACAAAAAATAGTAAAAACACAATACAACATCTGAAGAATGGGGGGCACAGATCTAGAGACCACTCCCACACTGCAAAAACGGGCTGTTCGCTCAGCTGGCAGCCCCATTGCAGAGGTTTTTAGTGGTGCAACAGAGATGCTGAGAAGCCAACTGACCAAGTGGATGGTCAGAGGCCATCAGTGCCTCCTGCGGAAAGGAGAATGCCCCCCCCCCGCCCCAATAATGGCTTCTGCATCCTTCTCACATCTAAAGAGGCAGAAAATCCAAGTGGGAGACAAAGTTGCCTCTTCCCTTCCAGGAGTTTCAATTAACACACAAGCACACAGGATCACAATTTTCTGCTGTATAGCCCAAGGGCCACATCCCCGTTCTGGGGGGTGGGCAAGCCCAGAGGCAGAAGTGGGCGGAGCAACAAATGTAGGTTTTGCCTCTGTAGAGTAAGCTGCTTTCTACAAATGGCCCTGGGAAGTGAGGTGCCATCACAGTTTAATACCATATCCCATCCAGGCAAAAGCACTCAAGGGGAAGGGGCAAAGTGAGGCCAGTGAGGATTGGGACCTGGAAGAGTCCCAAGGGTCAGACAGACAGGCCAGCAGGGCCACATCTCTCCCCTCTCCCGGCCCTCCTGTTCAGCTGTCATTGGCTGATCAATTCCCTCCTTCCTGCACCGACATCCTGGAAAAGAAAGTGAGCGGGAGGCCTTCTGTTTCCATTCAGGGCCCAAATGTCAAGACAAGTTGGCCTTTCAGGATGGAACTATTATGGGCTGCCTGCCTCTTCACAGTGAGAGCCACAGGCAACTGAAGCTGGCAAAAGCTTCCTATATATTTATATCTCTGCATCCGCATTGTGCTTCATCATACTTGCTGCCTCAAATTTCAAAACCGACAGAGGGGCAATAATTCTAAATAAAATACTCTATCAATCTCCAAATCCGATAAATGGGAACTGCAAGGAATGACCTGCTGCCTGTCCTCACAAGACAAAGGGGAAAGTGTCTGTCCCCCTCCCCTGTGGTAGGAACCCCTCCCCCAAACTGTCTTCAGTGCCCTTATGCCAAGCAGATCAGGGTCTCTCCAGGTGAACTCTGGGGTTCCTCAATGAGGATGCAGCATCCTGTTCAAACTTTGGAGCCTAGGAAGCTGCCTTCACCTAGTTTGAGTACTGCCTGCACTGACTGGCAGTGAGAACTCCCCAGAGTTTGGGGCAGGAGTCTCTCCCTGTCCTACCTAGAAGTGCTGAGGGTTGAACCTGGAACCTTCTGCATGCAAAACAAGTGTCCTTCCCCTCAATTTCTTTGGCAGATGCCTTCCTCTCCTCCCTGCTCACATGGGCATCAAGGTTTATTACAATCAAGTAGTATATAACTATTGCAACGTGAAAATAAAACGTGCTAGTTCTGGATTTGAATTTTAGCCACTTAGCACCCAAAATGAGGCTTATGCCCTTGGACCATGACTCTACGGAACCTGAGCTGCCCAGAAGTTCCTGTAGTACTCTTTGGCTACAAGGATTGGCTGTGGCTGATAGGAGCTGAAATCCAAGACCAACCCTCCAAGGTCCATGGAAAGCCAGCAGAGGAACACCAGCCCTGTTTGCTCCAAAAGTGAGGCTGGGAGAGGGTGTGCTCCACCCCACAGAGATCAAAGTCCCTCCACAAAGCGCCACAGTTGACATTTGCACCCAGGATGCATGGAAAGAGCTTTGCACCAGGTGGCAAGAAGTGGGAGATACAGTTCTCTTACCCGGAGGAGCAGAGGTAGCCTGGCCATGGAGCGTCCCTGACCCTTGCAGCCTCTGGTTGAAGTAATTTCTGCCCAAGCAGAGCAACACTTCAGAGCCTCCTTTCAGAGTTTACACTCCAGTCCTGCCCATGTTGACTTGGGCATTAAATGCCATTTAGGATGCCAGCCCCAAGAGTACCAGCCACCTTGGCCCTTTCCCCCAGGAGGCTGTTTGTGGGCCGGCAAACAGGAAGGGGCAACAGAGTAAGTGTGGCCTCATGACCTGCTTTTGTGACTTCTCTGGGTCAGTGTGAGAGACAGGATGCTGGACTGGTTAAAGAGGCTTCCAAGGGCTCAGTTAAGTTCAGGGAGTGGGGACACCTCCATTTGTTCGCAGTGGGTGTGTTAGGATTGGTGCTGAATTCAGAAGTTGCTCAAGAACTTTCCTCAGTATCTCCCACTTAGAACAAGAAACTTCCATTTCTTGGGTAAAGTGTTTTGCTTTTTTAAACCAACCCCTCCTTTGGCTAAGAATCTAGAATATTCTCTGATACCACTTAACACAAAATACCACTTAATACAAACGAACAACGGTCCACTGTGCCAAGCCCTGCTCTGGAGGTACCACTCTCAAAACCGCCACCACGCAGAAAGAGTTGGCAAGAGTGCCCATGGGTAACAGCGGTGAGAAACCTCAATATAGCTGCTGGGAAGGCATCCCCCCCCCCATAAAATAACAACCCACATGCCCCCCTCGCAGCAGGGCCATTTCTGCCACATCAGATCAGCACAAGCAAAGCCAAGAAAGTGAAAGCAGAATTTGTCTTCTTCACATGACAAATTCTGGCAGCAGCAGGAGCAGGCGCTGAGGCAGAGGAGCCATGCCTGTGTCATCCTGCTGGGCAAAGAGGCTCTGGGGGCCTCAGCTGAGCAGGGAAACACTGAGCCCACCTGGGCAAAAAAGGAGGGGTGGGCCCTCTGGGCTGGAGAGGAGAGGCGCAGCTCAGCACAGCCGCCATTGCAGGCAGAGGAGGCACCCCCTGGTTCCCTCTCCCCTGCTGGGCAGGCAGCTCAGCTTCCTTAAAGAGAGAGACCCAGCCAAGGAGGCCCTTGCCTTGGCCTGGCCCCAGTCCCACGACGGGGTCCCTATGCCGGCTGCCATTTCAGGCGGGGCCAGCCTCTCTTTCCCATGACGGAGCAAAGGAGCGGGAGGGCCAGGCGGCCCCTGTCCTCAGCCCTGCGCGGGCCAGAAGGAACTTCCTCCAAGCCTTTTGGCATCGCCCTCCAGCCTTCGCTGCGCGGAAACCTCTCAACACCGCCCCTCGCTTGATAACTGCACCCCCTTTTCAGGTCCTCGCTTGATAACTGCACCCCCTTTTCAGGTCCTCGCTTGACAACTGCACCCCCTTTTCAGGTCCTCGCTTGATAACTGCACCCCCTTTTCAGGTCCTCGCTTGATAACTGCACCCCCTTTTTCAGGCATCGCTGGAAATTGAGCTAATGAGGCTCCCCCCTTTCCCCAAAGCCCCCTCCCCAGGTCTGTCTGTCCAGGCATTCCTCTGACGCTGGGGGGGGGCGGAGATATCCAGGGGAGCCATTCCCTTCAGGAACCCCTTCGGGCCAACCCCACCCTCCTCCCCACTTGCCCAGGCAAAGCCCCCTCCCTCTGGAGAAAACAGGCAGCGCGCGTGGATGGGGGGGGGCTCCTCATTTCCCCTCGCAGGTGCCACGGTTGTCTATTGCGGGGAGGGGTCTCCCTACCTGCTTCCCCCTCCACATATAAGAGGACGGGGGGTCGCCCTAGAGGTGCTCCTTCAGCCCTTCTCCCCCCCCCCCACCCCGTCGCCTCCTCGTAGGTGGGGCGCCCCTCCCTCCCGGTGCTCAGGTGCGCGTGCGGGGGGAGGGTGTGGCAGGGGGAGTCGCGGGAGCCCCTTCCTCACCTGGCTGCCGCTTCCTCCTCCTCCTCCTCCTCCTCGCCGCCGCCGCCGCCGCCTCAGAGTCTTTCCTGCCGCCTGGGCGGGCGCCCAGAGGAGCCCAAGCCACCTTCGCGCGGAGCCTGAGCCTGAGCCCTCCCAGCCACCGTCGCTGCCGCCATCTTGCCGCCGCCGCCGCCGCCGCCGTCCCGGCCGGGGAAGGAGGAAAGGGGGAGGGAAGGGATGGGGCCGAGGGAGAGGTGGCGAAGAGGGACGAGCGTTGCTAACGCGCAGGCGCGCGCGGGCAAGGCCGCCGGACACGTGACCCGCGGCGGAACGGCAGGGAGAAGTCCTGTTGAAGAGCGAGTGTCACGTGCCCCCACCACGTAAAGGGCGCTACGCGGCCGCCATGTTGGGAAGGGCAAAGGCGCCGCCGGTGGGGGGGATGGAATGGGGCGAAGGGGAGGGGCCTAATGGGACCCTTGTCGGCAGGCGCGCGCCATCTTGGGAGGGATTGTGACGTCATGTGGGGCGACGGGGAGGGGTCTCAGTGGGGCGGAGTCAGCCGAGAAACCTGTAGCCAACCAGACGCCGCTAGCGGGCTGCGGGATCCTCCCTCAGACACCGGCGGGGTAGACTGCTCTTGTGCATGGAAGGTCCGCCGGAAGGAGGAGGCTGCGCTCAGGCGCCGTCTTCGGTCTTCCCACTAGGAAAACGCGAAGCTGCCTTGTTGCTGAGTCTGGCAACTGTCCCACCTAGTTCAGGGCTGCCTACACTGAATGGCAGCGACTCTCCTCGGCTTCATGCTGGGATCTCTCCCAGGCAGCTGGGGACTGAACCAGGGATCTTCTGACGCTTTGCTCTAGGACAGGCATAGGCAAACTCGGCCCTCCAGATGTTTTGGGACTACAATTCCCATCATCCCTGACCACTCGTCCTGTTAGCTAGGGATCATGAGAGTTGTACAGTGGTACCTCGGGTTAAGTACTTAATTTGTTCCGGAGGTCTGTTCTTAACCTGAAACTGTTCTTAACCTGAGGTACCACTTTAGCTAATAGGGCCTCCCGCTGCCACCATGCTGCCGCTGCGCGATTTCTGTTCTCATCCTAAAGCAAAGTTCTTAACCCGAGGTACTATTTCTGGTTTAGTGGAGTCTGTAACCTGAAGCGTATGTAACCCGAGGTACCACTTTTTTAACATAATTTTTATTGATTTTTTCTGTATTTCATCTTAATTCCATACACATATTCACAACTTCTATTATTTGCTCAAAATGAGCTTTGACTTCCTTCCGTCTCTCTTTCTGACATCCCTATGACATTTAACATATCTATCGCATTCTCATGATCACTTCTTTATCATATATTAGCCTTAAGAAATCATATTTATGTTTATAAATCAGCATCATAATTCCTCATTACAGAACATATCACATTAATGCTACAAACGTTTTCCTATAAGTACAATTTTCTTTCAAATAATAAATAAATTTGCTCCAGTCCTTTTGGTATTTTTCTTCGGGTCGATTCCTAATTCTCCCCGTCAGCTTCGCCAACTCCACAAATTCTACCATCTTAATTCTCCAGTCTTCCAATGTAGGGAGTTCTTGCTGTTTCCACCTTTGAGCCAGGAGAATTCTCACTGCCGTTGTGGAATACATAAATAAATTTACATCTTTTTAATGAATTTCTTCATTAATTATCCCTAATAAGAATGGCCCGAGGTACCACTGTAGTCCCAAAAGATCTGGAGGGCTGAGTTTGCCTATGCCTGCTCTAGGAGTCCCTGGTTGGCCGCTGTCTGGGGAGTAGGAGACTGGACTTCATCCAGCTGCTGGAATGTTCCTGTGTTCTTGGAAACTGCATAAAAGCCTCAGGGGTTGTCCTTCCACTCTCGTGATACTAGTCCCCTCAAGGAAGCCAAATGTCGCTCAGGACAGCCAAAGGAAGGGAAGAGCTTCTTCACCCAGTTAAACCAGTGAACTCACTCCCGCAAGAGGCAATGGGGGTCACCAACCCAAATGGTTTTAAGAGAGGATTAGATAAATTCATAGCAGGTGGTGTGTCGGAGGCAGTATTGCTTCTGAATACGAGTCCTGACCATTGTGCAGAAATACTGCTGAGCTAGGTGGGCCTCCTTTGATCTGATCCAGTTGCAGGGGTCTCCTTATGCTCTTAGAAAGAAGAGTCCTGGGTCAGGCAGGAGATGCCTCCAACCAACTATCCTGTCATCAAGCAAGTGCTTCCAGAGAACCCTTTTCTCTGTTGGTTCCTGTGCCAGCTACTGGTGTTAAGAGGCAGACTGTCCCTGGATGAGGAGGCGCCATTCATCTCCCACAAAATCGTTTTTTCCATAGCCTACAGCGGTGGATGCTCCATTGTCTCCCTTATTACTGTGATATTATAATTTTACTGTTTTGTGCTTATTGTGCTACTGTATGTAGAGCGCTCTGTGTTTCCGCTAAACTGTACGGTTCTTTCGGGAGTGGACACTCTGCCTTGGGAGAAGGGGAATACAGTAGATGTTGTTGTCGTTTAGTCGTCTAGTTGTGTCCGACTCTTCATGACCCCATGGACCAGAGCACGCCAGGCACTCCTGTCTTCCACTGCCTCCCGCAGTTTGGTCAAACTCATGCTGGTAGCTTCAAAAACACTGTCCAACCATCTCATCCTCGGTCGTCCCCTTCTCCTTGTGCCCTCCATCTTTCCCAACATCAGGGTCTTTTCCAGGGAGTCTTCTCTTCTCATGAGGTGGTCAAAGTCTTGGAGCCTCAGCTTCAGGATCTGTCCTTCCAGTGAGCACCCAGGGCTGATTTCCTTCAGAATGGAGAGGTTTGATCTTCTCACAGTCCATGGGACTCTCAAGAGTCTCCTCCAGCACCAGAATTCAAAAGCATCAATTTTTCGGCGATCAGCCTTCTTTATGGTCCAGCTCTCACTTCCACACATCACTACTGGGAAAACCATAGCTTTAACTATACGGACCTTTGTTGGCAAGGTGATACAATACAGCACATGCGGTACTATATTCCCGGGTAATAACACATCTCTTTTTGCGCATGCGCTAAAGACCAGCGAGCCAGAAAGTTACGCATGCGCGGCGACTACAACCTGAGATTTGTACGCGCCTGTCATGGGCTGGGGCGAATGCGCATGTGCCTTATCCATCCGGGAATCTCGCAGATGGGTATTCCATAGGGGAGAGCCGCGCTGCCCACGCACGCGCAGGAAAAACCCTTTGCTTCGGTAAAGGGAACGGGAACCGCCAGAAACGCGCATGCGCCAAGAGAAGCAGAGCCGCGAGTGCGCGTGCGCGTGCCGAAGTGAACAGCCGAGCTTTGGCAGCCCGAGAGAGCAGCTGCGCCGCCGCGGCCAGTGCGGGGAGCGTCGCGCGCATGCGCGTTGGGCGGGCTGGCGGCGGAGGGGAATTACAATGGAAGATGAGGAGGTCGCCGAGAGCTGGGAGGAAGCGGCCGACAGCGGGGTGAGCCCGAGCCCGGACCGGGGGCGGCGGGGGAGGCCGCCAACAGCAGGGGGGGCCGCGGGAAGAGCGACTGGGCTCGGCCTCTCAGGGCTGGCGGTGAGGCGCCTTGGGCTCCGCGGCGCCTGCTAGGCCTCTTAAAGGGGCCGCGCCCCATTTCCCCCGGACCACGTGCTCCCTGCGCGGACCCCCACCGCACCCCCCCTCAAGCTCTCCGAAGGGGCGGTCTAAGGGAGCTGCCGAGGAGGTGTCCCGGGGCTCCGATCTCCGCGTGTGGGGGGGGGCCTTCCCCCTCCCGTTCCTCTTTTGCAAGGAGGGGCGCGATTTGGGGCTGGGACGCCTCTCCCTCCCCTGCGTGGCCCACCCGAAAGAGGGGTGGTTGGCACTTCAGGGTGAAAAGGCTCAGCTGCATCTCCCCGCATTCGCCCTGCTCGTTGGGGCCGGGGGAAGAGGGAACCCCGGCCTCGGAGGGGCTGCAGGTGGCCCCGCGTCGCCCCTCGAACAACAGAGGGAGACGCCTTGGGCCGGACCAGGCTCTTTCGCTTGCTGGCCCAGCTGAGACTCCTCTCCTGGGGCTGCAAGGGGCAGCTCCACGTCTCTGGGGATCTTCTACATGCAAAGCGGGGGCTCCACCGTGGAGTCAAGGCCCAGCCCCTGGTGAGTGCTCTGCTTCCTTGCAGCCAGGTTTGTGGAGGAGAAGGTTGCCAGTGCTTGGCCTCCAGAGCCTGGGAGCGAGCCTTGCTGAGCACCGTGGGCTTATCTCCGAGTAAACAATGTGTAGTAGGATTGTGCTGCTAGTGATGGTTGCATGATGCCTCATTTGGAGGCAAGTGAAGGCTTAGGACTAGTAAGTGACTTTGAGAATATTTCCAGGAAGCTCTGTCCTCAGACACCACCAAGGCAGGGATCTCAATACAGTGGTACCTCGGGTTACAGACGCTTCAGGTTACAGATTCCGCTTACCCAGAAATAGTACCTCGGGTTAAGAACTTTGCTTCAGGATGAGAACAGAAATTGTGCTCGGGCAGCAGCAGCAGGCCCCAGGTTACCTCAGGTTAAGAACAGTTTCAGGTTAAGAACGGACCTCCAGAACGAATTAAGTTCTTAACCCAAGGTACCACTGTAATAGGGACAAGGAGTGTAGAGAGGGAGGGTGGTTGTATGGCCTGGATTTGAGAGGCTGTCTGCGTTGCATGTGTTGAAATGGACACAGCAGGAGCTTGTAGGCTCCAGATCCCTTAACCACAGAGCAGCCTGGAGTCGGTCAACTTGCTTCCTATCAGCAGACTCTGAGCAGGCCCCTCTTCCCTGGAAGAGCTTTTCCTGGAAGAATCCCAGGAAATTCTTAAGTGTCCAACGAGTAGACAGCAGGTCTGCTCACCCAGGTTCTAGCCATTGGTCAGCAATGTAGACCCCGGTTAAACACAGTTGTCACTCTTTTCTTGGTTCCCACTGGTGCTGCATGCAGTGCCTTTGGACCATTCATTTGCCCAAGAGGTACAGTGGTACCTCGCAAGATGAATGCCTCGCAAGACGAAAGAGTTTTCCGTTTTTTGAGTCGTTCCACAAGACGAATTTCCCTATGGGCTTGCTTCGCAAGACGTTTCGTCTTGCGAGTTTGTTTCCTTTTTCTTAAAGCCGCTAAGCCGTTAATAGCCGCTAAGCCGCTAATAGCCGTGCTTCGCAAGACGAAAAAACCGCAAGACGAAGAGACTTGCGGAACGGATTAATTTCGTCTTGCGAGGCACCACTGTAGTGACAACTGAGATCTGTTTTGGTTTTGCCTCTGGCAGCCCCGAGTACCTTGTCAGAGGCTACAGCAAAGGTCTATCACAGTTTTGCCCTTCGCCTTCCAGGCAGAGAGTTTTAGAATAATAATAATAATAATAATAGCAATGTTATTATTTATATGCTGCCTATTGGACTGGGTTGCCCCAGCCACTCTGGTCGGTTTCCAGCAAAATACAAAAACACAAGAAAACATCAAACATTAAGAACTTCCCTTCAGATGTCTGCTAAAAGTCATATACCGGTAGTTGTTTATATGTTTGACATCAGGTGGGGAGGGCATTCCATAGGCGGTTGCCACTACCAAGAAGGCCACTTCACTTCTCGCAGTGAGGGAACTGCCAGAAGAGCCTCAGAGCTGGATCTCAATAGGCAGGCTGAATGTTGGGGGTGGATAAAGGGCTAAGGCCATTTAGGGCTGTAAAGATCAGCACCAACAGTTTGAATTGTGCTTGGAAACATGCTGGGAGCCAATGTAGATCCTCTAGGACTGGTGTTATATAATCCCGGCTGCTGCTACTGGTCACTAGTGTAGATGCCGCATTCTGGATTAGTTGTAGTTTTTGAGTCATCTTCAAAGGTAGTGCACTGCACTGATCCAAGCAGAAGATAATCAGAGCATGAACTCTGACAAGATAGCGGGCAGGCAGGTAGTCTCAGCTAGCATACCAGATGGAACTTGTAGCCATCCTGGACACAGAATTAACTTTCACCTGGTCCTTTAAGGGCACAGTTAGCCCATCAGGGAGCCCCCACACCTGCCTGCCTCCTGTCCCCTAGAAACAGTACTTCTGACTTGTCAGGATTCAACCTCAATCCGTTAACTGCCTTGAGATGCTCACGCAGGACATTCATCACCTTCACTGGTTCCGATTTAAATGAGAGGTGAAGCTGAGTATCATCCACATACTGGTGAACACCCTGCCCAAACCATATAGATGTCCCAGCAGCTTCATATAGATGCTAAAAAGCATGGGGGAGAGGATGGAGCCCTGAGACACCCTACAAGTGAGTGCCCAAGGGTCCAAACACTCATCCCCACACCACTGGAGCTGTTCTGTGACTACCCAGGAATGGAAAATTTGGAATGGGGTGATAGTTGGCCATAATGGCCGAGTCCAAAGATGGTTTTTTAAGAAGTGGTTTAATAACCACTAAGGGGGTCCAGGAAGACTCCTTCACAGAGGGAAGCATTCACCACTCCATGGAGCTCATTGCCCAGCCCAGCCTGGCTTGCTTTCATGAGCTAAGATGGGCAAGAGTCAAGGAGACGAGTGGTTGACTTCACTCATCCAAGCAGCCTGCCCACATCCTCCAATTGACCTCCAGATTTGAGTGTGGCCTTGGTGGCTGGCCATATGTGTGTGTGAGGGTGCCAGGGCATATCATTGTTCAGCCTTGCACCCTGCGTTCTGGGTGGCAGAGACCTGAAGGCCTGCGTGCTGCCCTTTGTCTTGGGGTGCTGCCTGGTCTCCCTCTGGAGCCGATTTCCTCCATCTCTGCCTTTCCAACCTCCAGGCATTTCCCTTGTTTTTATAGTATCCAGCACCTTGCAGCAGCTGATGGGGCTGTGGACCAGGCTTGCTGAGAGATGGCACTGTGCTGTTTTGCATATTTAAATTGCGGGCGGGAAGCCATTGAGGAAACGCAGGCGGTTTCTGTCTGTCGAATTTGGCGAGAAGGGGTGAAGCCTTCACTACAGTTTTCAGGGCGGTAGATTTGGAGAGCTCCCACAGAATGCACCCCTTGCTCTGCCATCTGGCTAGCATCCTGGCAACCCCCCTTGGCTCAGAAGGAAGAACTGTTGCTATGTGCGGTTCAGCTCCTGCGGGCCAGACAAGCAGCCATTTCTTCCAGGGCCCCCCAGAGCTGGCCCTGCAGTACCCACACTTCCTCAGCCTTTCTGAAGAGGTGGAGGGAAGAGAAGAGCTTTTGGAGGGAAGAGAAGAGTGAGGAACTGAGGAGTGGGAGTTGTGGGTTATCCCCCACCCACCCACATACTGCCTGGTAGTTGTTTGGAAGAGGTTTAAAAGCAGGCTTGTGAGAAGCTTCTGAGAAAGCCAGGACTGATAGGGGCCTTTTTTACTCCTCGATTAATGACAGCCCCTGAATCGGGGGGCTGTTCTGGGCAGTGGGTTGATAGTTTTGTTCTCCTTTTTTTGGGCTGCCCAGAGGCACTTGTTTGGCCAGCTGGGGTGGGATGGCTGGACCAGGAAGTTATCCCCCCATCGCTCCCGTGTTCTGACTGAGCAGCGCTGTTGTTCAAATGTGGGCTTTGTGGCTTCCTTTTGGGGAGAGAGGCCAGGGGCCATCTGCACCCGTGCCTCAGTGTCTGTTCACACTCTGGCTGTCTCTTTCGCAATGGAGAGGCTCTAATTTAATAGCTCTGTTTAACAGAACTTGTCTCCTAGTCCAAAGTCTGGTGGATGAGTTAATTTTTGAACCATAAAGAGTTAGCACATGGCACGGTGAGGGGTTTCCCCTCCTCCAAGCAATCCAGGACAGGTGTTCTGATCCTTGTAGGAGGAGGTGGGTATCTTTTTAAGGGGTACCCCCTACAGTTGGGTCGTTGCAAGGGGCCTTGTGGGTCTCCTCTTTTGCTTGGGGGAGTCTCCCCTCCCCCTGATAATTTTTTTAGCTGGAGGTGCTCACTCTCTGCTTTGGTCCCAAGACAGCTAGCACCCACCCCACCCACCGGTTTCCTTGTGGGTCTGCCTGGGAGGGACAGGCACCCAGGTGATGCATTTGCCGTGTGCCACACTTGCACCCCGGGGTGTTTGCTGCACCCATAAAAATAGACTTATCTGTCAGCTGCTTCATTTGGCCAGGCTGAAAGTCGGACACTAATTTTAACCCACTTTCTGCACAGCTCGGTGGCCAAGCACCCGCCAAGAGCGGTTGGCAGGAATAGTTACAGGCAGATCTGATGTCAGGACAGAGCCTGGCAAAGGGGAGGCTCTGCCCTTCCTCCACAATCCTCATGTACCTTTTTTCATCCCGTCCCGTCCCCCCCCCCCGATAGGGAACATCTGTGGCCCTCCAGATAATCATCGGATGCCTACTCCTATCCTCCTCCCTGACATAAGAGCATAAGAAGAGCACTGTAGGTGGATCAGACCAATTGCCCATTTAGTCCAGCATCTTGTTTTTACATTGGCGAAGCAGGTGCCCATTAGGAAAATCCCTCAACCAGGATTCGAGCGCTAGAGCATTCTCTTCTCCATGAATTTGCCTGATCCTCTTCCAAACCCATCCAAGTTAGTGACTATCTTTCCCTCTTGTGGAAGTGACTGCCAGACTTTAATTATGCAAAGAGGCTGGGCCCAGTTGATCTTTGCGATGCCACAGGAGCATCTTCAAGTTCCCCTGGGAGCAGCAGGGCAGCCACAGAGGGTTCACCCTGGCTCGGGGAGGCCAATGGGGACCCCCCTTCACTTGTGACTCTGAAATGTACTACGTGAGATTTGAACCCTGCCCTGTTTTGTTGCCTTGCAGGAAATAGACAGGCGGCTAGAAAAAAAGCTGAAGATCACCCAGAAGGAAAGGTGAGGACGCTTCATCCTCTGGGCTTGGCTATTGCTGGGACCTTGTGGGGGTCAGTGGAGAGATGGGGTTGTGTTTCACTTCCTTCAAAAGGAGGGTTGTCTAAGGAATAAGAGCTGCCCAAAGCATCTGCTTGCAGGTCGGTAGTGCCTTCAGTTTCCGCTGATTCCGGAGAGGCCACTTCTGGCCGCTAGGTGGCTTTGGAGGGAGGGAAAGTGCTGAGTGTGTGAATGCTGTGAATGCTGAACAGGGAAAGCATAGAATCATTGGGTTGGAAGGCACCACAGAGGTTATCTAGTCCAACCCCCTGCAATGCAGGAACCCACATTTGGCCCATTGTGGGGCTCGAGCCCACAACACTGAGACGAAGAGCCTCATGCTCTACTGAGTGAGCTCTCCCAGATGAGTGCTGCTTGGTTCTGCTCTCCCAGCCAGTCTCACTTGGGCTCTGCTGATCCAGCTGCCAGGAGATGAGGGCTGGAGTCCAGGGCTGCTGCCTAAGCTCCTTGACTGTTTCTTGCAGGAGTGTTGGTGTTTGCGGGAAGGGGAGTTGAACCTTCTGCAGTGGGAGTGGTAGAGGAACACAGAGCGGGGAGGCCTGGTGGCTTTTATTGCATGGTGACGGTTCCTTGACTATAAACATCATCTGAGGTGTGTTTTCTGTAACTTGTGCTTTGCACGTGTCTGTTTTCGGCCAGGTGAGGGTTCTCAGCCCCTCTGCAAAGAGCGGGACCCCTTATTTCCCCCTCCGCTCTCTCCCTCTCAACAGCAGGAAATCCAAGTCCCCGCCTAAAGTGCCCATTGTGATCCAGGACGACAGCCTTCCCTCGGGGCCGCCTCCGCAGATCCGGATCTTAAAGAGGCCTACAAGCAACGGGGTGCTCAGCAACCCCAACTCTGCCAGCCGGCCAGCCCTCCCGGTGAAGACGTTGGCACAGAGGGAGGCCGAATACGCCGAAGCCCGGAAGCGGATCCTGGGCAGCGCCAGCCCAGAGGAGGAGCAGGACAAGCCCATCCTCGACAGGTGCAGGGCTGCAGCAGCAACGGCGGGGCCCTGATCTCCTACCGCAAGAGGCCCAGACAAGCTGGAGTTCCCCCTCTGGGGCAAGGCCCCGGTGGGACTGGGGCTCAGGAGGAGGTGGGGGCACATTGGCTGCCCCCTTTTTTGGCCTTGAGCTGAGCTCTTCGGCCCCAGCAAGCAGGCATGTGTCATGTGCTAGCCAGGAATGGGGACCCACCAGGGGCTCAGCTGTTGTCCTGTTCCAGCTGCTTGTGTTGTGAGAGAGAAATAAGCTCTTGGGGTGCCCCCTCTGCCTCCCCCCAAGTGCAGCAGGCAGTGGTGGAGGAAGGGGGTGCGCCCCACACCAGGTGTCATCACTGACTGAGAGGGTGGCAAAATGAGTTTTCTTTAAAAAGGGGGTGTTCACGAAACTTTAGGAGTGACGTGGTGGCTTAGGTTCCGTGCGGCCTGAAATGTCAGTGTGGGACTTGCGTCTGCCTACTGCCTCTCCCTCAGGTGCTCTGCAGCTGAGGGGGAAGCGGTGGAGAGGCTCGCCCTCCCCCCAGCTGCAGGACACGCCCCCACACCAGGCACCCGAGCGGCTAGCAGCAGGCTTAGTTTGACAGTCCCAAGCCAGCCCTACTGGGGACAGATGAGGAGCATAGATTGCGCCTGCTCTCCTTTCTAGCCAGAAGGTGGGAGGTTGCGTCCCCTGAACCCAACCCCCTCAGAAAGGGAACTGTCCTGAGCCCGTGGCCCCCCCAGGGGAATCGCCTGTTTCATGTTGCCTGCAGACCCCTTGCTTGGCCATGCTGTGAGTCTCTGGAGCGCTGCGCCGCGTTGCCGTCCTCTTAAGGCTGCCTCCCTGCTCTTTCTCTTGACAGGCCCACAAGAATCTCCCAGCCGGAGGAGGCCCGGCAGCCCAGCAATGTGATCCGGCAGCCACTGGGCCCCGACGGCTCGCAGGGCTTCAAGCAGCGCAGATAGGAATGGCCGTCCGGCCGACTTGGCGGCACTCGAGCGGGCACCTCCCCCACCCTGGGCTGCGTGGTGGCGGCACTGGACACACGAACCTGAGCAGGGGGAAACTACCCGGGTGACTTGCACTGTGATCTCCTCCTCCTCCCCCCCTTTGCTCTGCCTCCTGTGCCCTTCTGCCCCTGGCACTGTGACCCCCGCCTGCCGCTTCCCCCACTGGGATTGGCATACTGAGGGGGCGGGGCACGGCAGGGCAGGGCAGGCTCCTCCGGCAAGTTGCTGGGCTTGCCCACACAGCCACGCCTGCCAAAGCCAGCACCAGCAATAATAGTAATAATAAACGTTTGCGTCTCCGGGCGGGATGGCAGAAGGGCCGGGCGGCATTCTGCTTCTGGGAATGTGCATGTCTGTCCAGGTTGCTTGAGGAGCGAGGAGCTAGGTTCGGCGGGAGGCGTGTACAGAACTGCATTGGTTTGCTTCCTGGGAACCGGAGGGGAAGAAGACGCCAGTGACGAAGGGGCGGGTGTGTTCGCGGGTTGGCTTGTTTATCTCAGAAGCGGGAGTTGGCATAGTTCGAAGAGAAGCGAAATGGATTTTGAGGCGCTTCAGATAGTAGTGGGGAGAGGTTTTCGTGTGCCCGGCTTCCCCTATCCGCTGCTGCTGCTGCTGCGAAGCAGATGGAAAGGGCTCTCAGCCGTCTGCGTGGTGGGCTTTGGCGAGGCCTCTGGCTTGGGGTGACTCGTCTTGGCCTGCACCCCTGGCCTGGAGGGTGGAGGGGCCGTGGCCAGTGCCTCCCTCAACTGCTTGTGCTGCTTCCAGGCGGAGGGTGGGCAGGTGCTTTTTGCCACTGGGGCGATGAGCTTCCCCGGCCTTAGACTAGTTTAGTTTCCCTGCTGCTGTCCTCTGCTGAGGCCATGAAAAGGGATAGGGGGAAGCCCCGTGGCCCAGCGATGCTTGTGCTGGCCGGAGTCTGAAGCCGTGGCAGGCGAGCTGTGAGCCGTGGGCCAGGATCATGGCCTTGTTGCTCCAGGTGTGCTTCCGGTCCTGTCCCGGGTCAGTTTGCCACCAGGGGGCAAAGGAGCTGGGCACAAGCAATAGCTGCCATGCGGGGCAGGGAATGGATTGCCTTCCCTTGCAAAGTGGGAGGGTGTCGGGCTCAGCTGCTGCCCTTCTTGCTGGGTGCAGAAATGTGTTTTCAGACGACGCCGAGTAAGACTCAGGATGGCAAGCAGCTGCTTCTGTGTTGCTTTTCTAACTCAGACAGAATCAGTTGGGTTTTCCTCAAGCAACAAGAAGCCCCTGGTTGGGCCCAGTCCACCTGAGGCCCTGGCGTGTAGCCAGCAGCTCCATGCATGCTGGCCCAGGTCTGCTGCGTTGTAGGTGCTCCTGAGGGCCGAAGCGGTTGGGCCTCCCCCGTCCTCTCTAGTAGCCATATTGGGGAGGGGCTCCCCCAGCACCCCCCTCTCTGAGTGACTGTGGGCCTGCTTGCTTCACTGTGTTTCCAGAGTCTGCCTTTCTCTCTCTCTTTCTCTTTCTCTCTTTTTTGGTTTTACTGTCTGGTTTTGGAGGATGTCCTGGGTGGGATGTGGGGGTAGGCGGGAGCTGCTTTGACTGGTTTTGGGCCAAGTGCCCAGCGCACCGCAGCGATGCCTCCTCTTGTGCTGGAACGGAAGCGGAACTTTTGCCTACTTTGGGAGGGGGTGGGAGTTGTGGGGAAAGGTGTCTGTTTGTACATCAACCCGAGACATGTACAAAAATATTGCAGAATAAATAACTGGTCAAAAGAGTAATAATAACAATAAAACTACCTGTGTATAAAAAGTGAAAGACACGATGGACCATTGCTGTGTTGAATTTGCTCCCTTCCTCCATTTGGTTCCTCCAGTGGCATCCTTCAGCCTCATGGGCTGCTCTGCGCCGCTTTGCCCGAGCACTGGCAGCAAGATAGTCTCCTCCTCCTCGTCCTCAGGAGCGCTGGGCCTTGGGAGAGCTTGACATTTCTGCAGGACCTGACCCTTGGATGGCTTTTGTAACATGGCCCTGACGCTTTCTTTCCGGGTGTAGCAAGGGAGGTGGGAGAGAAAAAGTTATCCCTCCTGCCCAAGAGTAGGGAGAAATATGTGAGCAATAACTGCCTGGCATCACCATGACTTTCCTTAACTCTGCTTTGGGATTGGTTGCCTTGTGGGAAGTGCCGTCTTTGGCTGCTGCTGCTGCTGCTGCTGCTCCACCCAACTGCTCTTCTATGGCTGCCTCCTTTCTTCCACTTAGGATTAAGTCTCCCCCATCTCCCCCGGAGCTGTACTTACCTTCTTGCAAGTTGCTCCTAGGAGGAGGGCCCAAACCCCACCAAGAAGAAAGGCGGTTACTGCTGTGCCACCAGCTGCACCATGGTCAAAGGGGGCGGGTGCTTCCATCCTGCAGGCAGGGAGGTGGCACCCTTTTCACTGTCTGCCATTGGGGGGCTTCTCTGGCATGGGCAATGGGGCTACGGTCTTGTCCAGGAATCAGTGTTGGAATAAGTTGAAGGCCCTCTTTGGGGGGTGGGGGGAGTGTGTGTTTGTGTGTGTGTGTGTTAGAAAGGGGGGGCACTTCTTAGGGTGTGTGCATGTGTTCCCACATGGCAAGCAAAGAGGCTTCACGAGCCCACAGCCATCCTACATATGCAGACAAAACATTTTATAAATGTATTTTAAATAAATGTGTTAACTTTTAAGTATGTGGCCTCATTTATTCTTATTTCCTCTTGGTGCGCTTGCATGCATTTCCCAGGCATAGAATGATCAAATTGTGGAGTTGGAAGGGACCCCAAGGCTCACCTAAACCCACACCTTGCAATGCAGGAACTAAAGCATCCACCCAGTCCCTGATTGAAAACCTCCAATGAAGCAGACTCCCACCACCTTCCAAGGGAAGTCATTCCACTGTCAAACAGCACTTAGTGTCAGAAAGTTCTTCCTGATGCAGTTTATGCAGAATCTCCTTTCTTGTAACTTTGAAGCCATTGGGTTTGGGTTCTAGCCTCCGGAGCAGGAGAAAACAAGCTTGTTCCCTCTTCTATGTTCCCTTTTAGTCTCCTCTTTTCCCAGCTAAACATACCCATTTCTCTCAACCATTCCTCGTAAGGCTTGGTTTCCAGAACCTTGACCATCTTGGTTGCCCTCTTTCTTTACATGTTCCAGTTAGTCAATAGCCTTCCTAAACTGCAGTGGCCAGAACTAGACACAGGTCTCCAGGTGTGGTCTGACCAAGGCAAATAGTGTGGTCCTTGATCTGAACGCTACACCTCTGTTAATGCAGCCTAGAATCAAATTGGGTTTTGGGGTGAGGGCGGGGGGGTTGTCTGCCCCTTTGACATGGGCCAGCTTTTATGGATGAAGATGCTCTCCTGTAGGACTGAAGGGCAGCGTTGGGGGGGGGGTGTTGCTTCTGGTTGCAAAACGGTATGGAGGGCGGGGCGGGGGGGAGACAGAAGTCTACCTGGGCTATGTTGGCAAGAGGTGGGGATTCCCCTACATTAGGCAACCTGCATTAGGACTTATGGGGAATGGATCTTCCGCATACCAGATCCTGGAGTCACCCAGTGGAAAAAACACTGCTGGCTTCCTGCCTATTCCAGACGCCTTTGAATGGCCACTCCGCTTGCTGGATCGCTACTCTCTATCTCTCGAGCAAGCCTTTTCCGAACCTTTTCCAGATCCAAAAATGTCATTTTACAGGCGGAAGCAAGACGTTCTGCGCTGGGTGTTCAAAGTTCTGACACTTTTATTTTTCAAGTCATTTGATAAGAATCAGCTAGGGGGACGCTCGCCCGGCTCCAGCATCGGGTGCGACCCCACTGCCCGCCGGTCCCTCGTTCCTGCTCAGTTGCAGCTCCCCACCCATAGCTGTCCACTTTCCCCTTTTCTCGCGAGGAATCCTATTCGGAATAAGGGAATTTCCCTTAAAAAAAGGGAAACGCTGACAGCTATTTCCCCACCTTTAGCACAGATGAACTGGATTTTCTTTTGCCCCACCGTGCAATGCTGGCTCCAGCCCCTGGACCCTCACCTCCCCCGGAAAAGGGGCCATAGCTCGAACCGGGTCCTTTAAAATAGTTCTCGGCCCGCCTCCCGAAAGTTCGACACATTGAGCGCTGTCGGCTCAGCGGAGACGCGGCTGCCGACGCCCTTCCCGGCCACCAGGGGGAACAGCCGCGTCGGGATACAGCGAAAACCATTCTCTCTCTCTCTCCCTTTTGTGTCCCTTCTAGCCCTATGCTTCCACCATGGAGAAACAAAACATTTCCCACCCCGCCCGCGTAGATATAGGAAAGTGTAGAGTGGCCCTCCCCAATTCCTGGATTCGGAGTCCTTAGCGCGGAAGAAGGCTGGGGTCCCACGTTTCCGGTTGCCTACTGCGAAGGTGGGGAGACGGCGCTTCAGTGCCGTGGATTTTGCCTGCTTTCCATCGGGCAGCCCCTCGGAACCACAACGTTAAAAAGGCCCGAAGAACCCGGAAGCTTCCATTGAAATCTAAGCGAGCACCGCTCTACTTTTTCGCAAGTCTATGCGCCCTCCTCAGCCTGACGGCGGGAGGCGAGGGCCATTCCCCGAGCTAACGGAGGCGAAGCAGGGGCCGCGGAGCCAGAAAGGCCTTTGAGGGGACACAGCTGCCTTGGCCGGCGAGGCTTTATTTCGCTGCCGGCTTCGCCTTCGACCCAAGAGGCAGGAAGTCTTGGAGCCGGACTAGCCCCCCGCAGGAAGTGACGCAAAAGAAGGGTGACGGGCGCTTCCGGTCCGCGCGCGTCCGCGCATGCGCCTCCGTGGGCGGAGAGGCGCCGCGTTTCCGGGTTCCGTGGAGTAGGCGGTCGAGATGGCGGAGGGCGAGGAGTACGAGTCGGTGCTCTGCGTCAAGCCGGAGGTCCACGTCTACCGAGTGCCGCCGCGCGCCTCTAACCGGGGCTACAGGTGAGCCGGGGAGCCCCGGGGCATGTGCAGAGTGCCCTCCTTTCCCCGCCTCGGACTCTCTCCCCTCCCCCCACTTTCAAACCAATGGTGTCCCTGCGGGGTAGGGCTCAAGGCTCAGTTCGGGCTGCTGGGGAGTCTGAAGGGGCGTACAGTGTTACCACCATGTTAAAAGGGGAGTTTTGAAAGGGTGGCAGCGAAGGAGGAACATGGCAGGGGTGTTGGTTGTTTTTTTTGGATAAAGGTGCTTAGTAAAGGTAAAGGGACCCCTGACCATTAGGTCCAGTCATGGCAGACTCTGGGGTGGCGGCGCTCATCTCGCTTTATTGGCCAAGTGAGCCGGCGTACAGCTTCCGGGTCATGTGGCCAGCATGACTAAGCCGCTTCTGGCGAACCAGAGCAGCGCACGGAAACGCCATTTACCTTCCCGCCAGAGCGGTACCTATTTATCTACTTTCACTTTGATGTGCTTTTGAACTGCTAGGTTGGCAGGAGCAAGGACCGAGCAATGGGAGCTCACCCCGTCGCGGGGATTCGAACTGCCGGCCTTCTGATCGCCAAGTCCTAGGCTCTGTGGTTTAACCCACAGCGCCTAGCCTACTCCTTTAACAAATATGGCATGAAAGAGAAATTTGCTCTGAAGCACGATGTGTTTGTGTGTGTTGCAGCTGCGAGTTTTCTGCACTGCAAAAAGAGGGGAGGGGTTGGGAAGCTGGTGTTCCGGGGGCCCCTTCCAACGCTTTTGATTCTGTTGGGTGACTTTTAGCCCTGAACAGCGGCGCTGTCTTCTCTCCCTGGTGCTAGAGCTGCGGAGTGGCAGCTGGACCAGCCAGCGTGGAGCGGGCGCATGCGCATAACGGCCAAAGGGAACGTGGCCTACATCAAGTTGGAGGACAAGAACTCAGGTAATGGGGAGTGAGGCGTCCATCGTTTCCGTGCAACATGGTTGTTGGAGGGAGGAAGCTTTTCCTAGCCCAGAACTCGGTTTAGGTCTTAGTTAAGTCTCAGGCAAAAGGAGACACAGTGACTGTGGTTCAGGGCAATCCTTTTTAGCCAGGTTGATTGTCCATAGGATGCCAGAATTGGGTTCTTTTATGGGTCTGTCAAGCTACCCTGAATCCCAGCCCTCACTGCCACACCCGAAGGGGAGCAATTGCAGGGTGTGGAAGTGTGCTAATCTTGGGCAAACTCTACATTCATGGTGGTGGTGGTGAACCCTAGCAAGCTTCCCCTGACTTGCTTGCAGTGCCCAGGAGTCCAGGAGTCAATTTTCTGGAAGGCAGAAAGGGCACATCTTAAACTGTAGAGTCCTCCCTCCCACCCAACTTATTTGTGAACTTAAGTTTCCAATTCAAAGAATTTTGAAGGGCATGAATGAGAACTGATTCAGAATATTTGCATCAATGTCACACACCCATTGCGTTGGGGGGGGGTCACTTTCACTGAACCAAAATGCACAAGTATGAAGAGAAGTAACACAATCTGCTAACTATGGGACGTACTCATGGCACCCAAAGTATATTTGGTCGGGTGGGAGGGAGAAGCTGAACAGCTAGTTTCATATCCTCACTTTCCCCCCTTCCAGGAGAACTTTTTGCCCAGGCTCCTGTGGACCAGTTCCCCAGCATTACTGTGGAAGGTGTGACGGATTCCAGCCGATACTTTGTCATCCGCATTGAGGACGGGAACGGTATGGAGGCGGAGGTTCGGATTGTGTCCTCCTAGGCACGCAGGGCAGCGGGAATCAGTTCCCCACTTGTGCATCTTCTGGAATGATCCTAAGGCAGCCCCTGCAAGCCCCCCCTTCCTCTTTCCCTTAAAACCCAAAGCTTCCTTCTTGCAGCAAGCTGGGATTTGCCAGGACTTGGGGGGCCTTTGGGAAGAGGACCCTCTGCACCCATTTCCTCAGCATGCTGTTTTTCTGGCCCTCCTGGCGCCGGCACAGCTTGCCTCCCCCAGGGCTGCTGCTTTTTGGTCACCGCCCCCCCCCCCACTCTGCCCTCAGATCTCTTCCTGCTTCCTGCTTTTTGCCTTGTTTGGGTTGGCTAACAGTGGGCTGCTAGTCGGGTCCAACGATAAGAGAGGGCACTGTCCTTGCACCTGCCATGGTGTGTGTGAGGCCCTTCTGCTTTGGTGTGGTTTTGTCCCTGGGAAGTTGGCTTCAGTTCTTGGTGCCAGTGAGGCCCCATGTGGGCCTTTTGCCTCTGCCCAGCTTGCTGTCACAGCCACTCCTGGTGCCACTGAGCTGCCCCTCTTGTAGGTGCTGCCCTTCCTCTGCTCCCAGGACTGCCTGGCTCCCTCTGCACTCTGTGGGCAGCCGGGGCCTCTCGGCACTTCCTTGGTGTGCCGCAATGAAAGCTCTGCTGCCGACAGAATGAGCATGGCTTCTCTTGCAGGGCGCCGGGCCTTCATTGGAGTCGGCTTTGTTGACCGAGGTGATGCCTTCGACTTCAACGTCGCTCTGCAGGACCATTTCAAGTGAGCATCTGCCTCCCGCTTTGCAGAGTGCCTGGGTGTCCAGACCTTCCCCAGCCCAGGGGGAGCGGGTGGAGTCTTTGCTACACCGGGTGGAGCCTTGGAAGAGCAAGGCGCCTTTCCATGCAAGCCGAGCTAATTCTTCTGAGCTGGTGCAAGCTACCTTTTGCCTCCTGGGGTTCCTTCGAATGCCCATTCCTAGCTCTGCTGATGCAAAACAAAACAAAAACCGCAACCCCTCCCCCTGTGAAAGCGAAAGAAAGAAAGAAAGTGGGATTTGGGGTAGCTGCCGATTGCAGGTGGGGGCAGATTCTGTCATGACTTGCAGTCCCCTTTCGCTCTCGGTAGCCCTGGTGTCTGCTTTGCTGAAGGAGCCTGCATTCTGGTAAACCCCTGACAAATTGGAGGATTTCAGCAGGCGAGCCAAGGGAACCGGGGAAGGGGCTGATTCTGGGGATGGAAGCAGGGGGGAACTTGTAGAGGAGCAGCAGCTGGAAGGAGTTTTCCCCCTGCAACTCTCCATCTACCCAGGCTGGGGAGGGGGGGGCGGGATGGATATCCAAGATAGATGAGGGTTGCAGGGGGAAAGCAGCAATGACTCCCTGCAGACTCCCCTCCCACCAACTGAAATCAAACACAGGGTTTCGGGTGCTGCCTTTGTGGCTGCGACAGATTTCTTCTGAAAGAGAAGGTGCTTGCTTTCATGGGCTTGGGTGCTGAGTGCAACATAGCCACTTTCCCTACACCGCCCCCTGCCAGCACCTTATGCTTTTTGCTCTGCTGCCTCGTGACACCCCACCCCCACCCCAATTTATTCTCTCAACAGGTGGGTCAAACAGCAGAGTGAGCTGGCCAAGCAGGCCCTGAATCCAGACCAGGGCCCCAAACTGGACCTGGGATTCAAGGAAGGGCAGACAATCAAGCTCAACATTGCGGTGAGGAGGAGGGACCTCTCTGGGCTTGTCCGGCTGTGGCAGAGGGGGTGGGGGATGGGCTGCGGAAAAGGAGTCGCAAAGCAAATGCTAATAAGTGGCTCAAATCAGCAAGTCAAGCCATAGGTTAGCAAGGGACACCATCCAGGGTTGATAGCCTGTAGGACCTGGAAGAAAGTTCCTTTCTGACCCCAAATGGTGGGAACTAATCCAATCCTCGAGGGACGCGGGTGGTGCTGTGGGTTAAACCACAGAGCCTAGGGCTTGCCGATCAGAAGGTCGACGGTTCGAATCCCCGCGACAGAGTGAGCTCCTGTTGCTCGGTCCCTGCTCCTGCCAACCTAGCAGTTTGAAAGCACGTCAAAGTGCAAGTAGATAAATAGGTACCACTCCAGCGGGAAGGTAAACGGCGTTTCCATGCACTGCTCTGGTTTGCCAGAAGTGGCTTAGTCATGCTGGCCACATGACCCGGAAGCTGTACACCGGCTCCCTCGGCCAATAAAGCAAGATGAGCGCCGCAACCCCAGAGTCGGTCATGACTGGACCTAACAGTCAGGGGTCCCTTTACCTTTACCTTAATCTGATCATCAGCAGATTATACCCTCCCTCATCCCAAAGGGATTTCTTTTGAGACATAGACACACACACCCCAGCATCATACCCCTGTGCCCTGTTTCTGCCTCTATATCACTTGACCACATGATAATGGCTTTTTAGAAACGAACAACACTATACAAGGTCAAAGGTGTGGGGGGGAGTCTTTTTGCTCTTGTGTCTTGCGCAGGTGTGTCCACTGTGTTGTCAGTGTGGCAAGGAGATGAGACAAAGGCAATTACTCAAAGTCATCTCAGCCCAGGCCTGGCTGGAGCAGCAGGTTGCTTGCAGATGGAAGAGGCCTTCCCCTCTTTCAGCTGGGATTGCTACCCATGCAGAAACGCAGCTGTGGGCTGGGGAATGCCCTTCGCCCCTTTGAGTGACTGACCATGCAGTTCAATCTCCTTTCAGAACGTGAAGAAGAAGGACGGCTCCTCCTCGGCCAGCAGGCCCCGAGCAACAGGCTCTGGGGGCCCCAGCCTCATCCCACCCCCTCCTGGAGGAAAGGCCTCCCTGACTGGGGAGCAGCTTCCGTCTGCTGTAGAGGCAGGTCTGTGTTTCCTGCTGATCTCACTCGCAAAGTGGAAAGTCCCTTATGGCAGTGCACAGCCGTCCTACTTCAGAGCTAGCTTTCCCCAAGCCAGGCTTGCTTGTGGTTATCGGCAGGTGATTTCCCAGCCTTGCATCGCTGGACTCTTAAGTTTTTCTTGGGGCAGGCAAGCTTCAGAGCAGAGGAGGCTGCTCAGGTTAAACGCCACGCCCCACCAGCATTGTCTCAGCTGCCTGCCTTTATGGGGTCTTCCTCTCCACCAGGTCCCAGGGGCTCCTAAAGGACTGGCCAGGAAGGGGCTGCGAAATATAGACCCAAGTGACGAACGGTTATCTCTCTGTCTCTCCCTCCCTGTATCCTGTTTATCAGCAGACGTCTCCATCCCGTGGCCGCCTCCGCAGGCTTCAAATTCAACAGCAGAAGCAGCTGCAGACATCTGGGGAGACTTCACCAAAGCTTCTGGGTGAGAGTGACATGTGGGTTGCAGAAGTTGAAATGTGTCCCCTTCCACCCACCCCACCTTTTATCTGGAAAACTCCCTAATCTGACGTAGCTGAAAGAGCGTCTCCACCCCCATCGTTCTGCCCGGACACTAAGGTCCAGCACCGAGGTCCTTCTGGCGGTTCCCTCGCTCCGAGAAGCCAAGTTACAGGGAACCAGGCAGAGGGCCTTCCCGGTAGTGGCACCCGCCCTGTGGAACACCCTCCCACCAGATGTCAAAGAGAAAAATAACTACCAAACTTTTAGAAGACATCTGAAGGCAGCCCTGTTTAGGGAAGCTTTTAATGTTTTATAGGTTATTGTATTTTAGTGTTCTGTTGGAAGCCGCCCAGAGTGGCTGGGAAAACCCAGCCAGATGGGCGGGGAATAAATAATAAATTATTATTATTATCTGTTGATGGGACCCGAGGGGTGCCAGGTTCATGACGTTCAAGTCCCAGTGGTGGGGAGATCCTCTTATCCAAAGGGTAGGTCTGCATTCTTGGAGAAGCAGTGAAACTCCATTGCCCCCTCATGCCATCCACTATGTGGTGGCCAGAGGTTACGTCCAGATGTTCAGGGGGAAGGGACCCTCTCTGTCCCCAGTGCAGTGCAGGCCCTGGGCCCCTGCAGATCCACTCCTTGCTGAAGGGAGCGCCTCTTCTTTCTCCTTCTAGGTCTGCCTCCGGTCAGGCTCAGCAGAGCTCCACCAGCTGGGTCCAGTTCTGAGCTGAGCATCTTGTGCTTCTCTGGTCGGGGGTGAAGGCCACGGAAGGACCCTTGTGGACCAAAGAGGAAGCTACTTTGCCCTCGTGGTGCACCATGAGATCCCAGTCCTGGATGTGTTTGGATGTTTGCTTGGGGCATTTAATGGGATAGGGAAGGTAGGGGTCAGCTGGGGCTGTGCAGATCCTCTTCTCCCTCCCTCCACCTCCATCTACCCCCTCAGCACTTGGGGTCCCTGAAAGGGGAGGGAGGGAGGGAGTTTTTCCTGGGTTCAGATCACAGCTTAAGAACCTGGAATCCTGGAGTGGGGAAGAGGGAGACAGCTGTCCAGAAAGAAAGAGGCTCCTTCCTGTCTCTTGCCTTTTTTCCTGTCTTGTGTGGTGTCAACAGTGTTTCTTTGATATGCTTGCCTCGCCTCGTCCGCTTTCTAGCTTGGAGGGATATTGCGGCGCAGCTGCCCCAGGAAACACACACTCTGTACGCGGGCAAAGGCGGCTTCCCTTGCAGGAGGTGACTGGCAGTGCCCTGCCTTCACAGCCCACCTTGCAAATTTGAAATGGGCTTACCTGTTGCACATCTCCCTCTCGGAATTTCCAGGGTACCTTCCTCACTGGAAGGATGCTGGGCCCCGATTCTGTCATGTTGCTCTGCCTCTGATGGCTGTGGTGGAAGTAGCAATGCTGGGAGTGAGAGAAGAGTCATCAGCTTGCTGCAGAGGCTGTGAGCAATGATGCCACGTCGATGTCCTTTGAGGGCGGGGGTCCCTGGCTCTGCTTTGCCTTGTGAAGTGCCTTCTCTTTTTCCTTCTCCCTCCTCTGCTAAAACTGGCCTTTTGAGCAGCAAGAGCAGTGGAACTTCTGACATTCCATATTGGTGTGACTTTTAATGTGCACACACACAACAAATTACCCTTTTACTTTCAGAGAGACCCTGGGTTTTTCTCCTATCGCAGGTGCCTCAGACATTGTGAAGGACAAAAACTGCCCTCTGGGCCATCTTACGGAACCGGGTTTTAATTCTCTTTTGAAATATAGATCTTTGTATTCACTCCTATCCTATTTATTCTAAGACGAAGGCCTTTTACAGAACATTTTCTTACTATGAAACTCCATGAAGTTTTTGCTGCCTTTTGTTATTTTTGAGCTGGTTCCTTATTAAAAATGTATATGTATTTATCTGTATAAAAGCCTTTATTTGTCTTTGGGAAAGGGGCTGGGGAAGCGGAAATGGACCCAGGTGGGGGAGTGAAAATGTCAAAAGATTTAGTAAATAACAGTGTCTCAGTGAGATTCACATGTTGGGTGGCTCAGGGGTAGGTTCCCAAGGACATATTCCTAAACCTAAGGGTGGTGCCCAATGTTGGACCCATTGAATTTAATAGATGTGGCTGTTTTAGTGGGGCTCCTCTGATTAGGACTTCCACTGCTATTGTGTACGTTTGTTTTTTGAGGATTGGCACTCTGTTCATGCCCAGAGGTACAATTCTGTTGCTCCCCAAGTTCCTTGGCTGGCATTTGTGACTGTGAGCACAGAACCTTTTCCAGCCAAAAAAACAGCCCCAGAACCCCAAAAAGCAGTATTATTTTGGGGGATGCAAGCTGGGATTTTCCCCTCTCAAGCCAAATGCTGAGTCCTGCTTGTCTTTCTCTGGGACAGGGAAACCCGCAGTGCTGCCTCTGGACAATCTGCTTAGCTTTGAATTTGCCCCCACTGAGTTGCAAATATCTGGTGCTGGGTAGTGCCCCAGGCCTCAAACAAGCTTCTAGCTATCGATGACCCAGGGAAGGGCTGCCTCCCAAAGGCCCCATAACCCTTTCTCTTTTCCTGACATGTCAGGCCTGGCTTACAGAGCCACTTCCAGTATTTGCAAAGTCCTGGCGGGAGGCTGCGGCTGTGTCCTGGTGGGGGGGTCACTGAGACATGCGAGAAAAGCCTCCCTTTCGGGAAGAAGGCAGGGCTCAGCTGCCCCGCAGGGCGGCCGTAATTCCCAGAGACTTAAGCAGCTTATGCTGGTGCTGCCTGGGTTTTCCCCGGGTGCAACCGGAGCCCTTGGCACGCGCCTTGGCCTGGAAGAACAAGAGGAGGAGGAGGAGGAAGCAGCGTTCTTGGGCCGGCCAAGGGCGCCATCAGAAACCCGCCCTCCTCCACCGATGCCCGGCGCTATAGTAACGCTGCTGCGGTTTGAGAAGGCAGTTGATCGCCCAGCAGAGCCACCTGTGCCAGGTGAGGGGCTGGCTTGGCGATGGGAGGCAGCCCTATCCTGGGGCACTAGGCGGTCAGGGACCAGGGCTGATGCTCTGCTGGGCGGGGAAGGCCCTGCACTCCACACATGCTCCGAGGCACTGCACAACAGCCTCCCGTCCACCCCTTTCTGGCTCCAGAAGCGCAGTGTCCGGACCGAGCTTTCGCAGTTGCCCCTTTGCCCACAAGTTGAGAGCAAAGGAATTTGCGTCTTTGAATTCAATCGACCTAAAAACTCCCCACCGCGCTTGCACAGCGCCTTCAAAACTGCTGATGGGGCTCCTTCCCCTTTGACAGGTTGGATGGGGCAGAAATCCAACAGGTGCAGCATCGGCCAGGCGCTCGCCAGGCTCCATCTGTTGAGTTTCTGCTCCGAGGCGCGCGCTGCGGGGCACATTCCCCGATGAGAAAGTTGAGCCGGCTCCGCCCGGTGTCTGCCCCGTGCGAATATCCGCCTGCAGCCCGAGCTGCAAACTTTGGGGAAGGGGCCGTCGTGACTGCATCAAGCTGGAGAAGCAGCGGTCTCTAGGACCCGGGAGCGCCACGCCTTGAGTCCGCGGGGGAGGCAGCCTGCAGCCGCCGCCGCCCCCCCTTTCTGCTGCCGGGCGGCGATTGGTCCAGCCCGGCTCCCCCTTGCAGCCGCGGGACCCGGGAAAGAGGCGGGGGGCGGCGGCTCGGGCTGGCGCTCCTCCCCGGGTCCTCCCCCTCTCCAGCAGCAGCAGCAAGCATCGCATCTGCCGTGCAAAGGGCCATGGAGGCGGACTCCCCTGCCCGGCAGGAGCCCCCCGGAGCCCGGCCGTAGAGCGGCAGCGGCGGCGGCCCCCTCCCCATGAGCAACGCGGAGGCTGCGGAGCTGAAGCTGGAGGCTGCGGTTCAGGTCGGTGGGGGCTGCCTGGCGGCGGGAGCGGGAGCATCCTTCAACGCCCTCCGGCAACCCGCCTTTCTTTCTTTCTTTCTTTCTTTCTTTCTTTCTTTCTTTCTTTCTTTCTTTCTTTCTTTCTTTCTTTCTGTGGGGGCGAATATCATCTCCTTTTTGGGGGAACCTGGGCGCATCTTCTGCATACAGACTCCGAAGTTGGCGCCAGAAACAACCCCCTAAAAGTAGGACCCCTCGCCCGGCGTCTCGCTGAATTCCCTTTATTCTACTCTTTCTCTGCCTTTTATGGGAATTTCTCCAAATTAGTCTTGCCTTGCGGGGCGGGTTGGATGCTGGAAAATATTTGTACCTTTGGATCAGGCAAAGGTTTGTAATGTCTCCTCTCTTGAAGGCAAATATCTCTCTCCTCCCCCCCCCTTCTAGTTATCCTTAAAAACAAACAAACTAGGTTTTGGTAGCTGATCTAAAAGCTGAGGAAAGCAAGGTTTAATCGTGAGGGATTGCATTAGAAAACTAAAATCAACCCAAGTAGTTTACTGGAAAAGAGAATAATCTTATTTGTGTAGGAGCTGTTGTTGGATCCTTAGTGTTACAGGAGATTTACAGGTGTAAAGCTAAATTCTCGCTGCAATCTGAAGTTGCATCCCAGTCCTCCGCCCTGATTTAACAGGAGGGCCATCATCTAAAGTAAATGTAGCCTCACTCTGGAGCAGTGGCGTAGCGTGGGGGGTGCAGGGGGGGCCGGCCGCACCGGGCGCAACATCTGGGGGTTAGGGTTAGGGGGCGCAAATCCACAGGTTAGGGGGCACAAATTACTTGCCTTGCCCCGGGTGCTGACAACCCACGCTACGCCACTGCTCTGGAGTGAAGTCTTCTGCACTCCTTAGGACTTTGGTGACTCTGAAGGTGTTGGACAGGGGTCAGCAAACTTTTTCAGCAGGGGGCTGGTCCACTGTCCCTCAGACCTTGGGGGGGCCAGACTATATTTTGAAGGGGGGAAATGAACAAATTCCTATGCCCCACAAATAACCCAGAGATGCGTTGTAAATAAAAGGACACATTCTACTCATTTAAAAACACGCTGATTCCCGGACCATCCGCAGGCCGGATTTAGAAGGCAATTGGGCCGAATCCGGCCCTCGGGCCTTAGTTTGCCTACTCATGGTGTTGGAAGACTCTGTGGGCTTGATCCAGCGAGAAGGAGGCATGATGAAGTCCCATCAAACAGAGTAAACTCCCCATTCCAGCCACTACCTCTCAGCCTCAGCTCCCCTTCTGAACCAAAGGTATAACTATACTTAGCTACCTTGCAAAGTTGTTGTAGCGTTTGTGCAAGAGGGGTTGCTCAGTTTTGGGGAGCGCTTGATGAAGAACATCTGGGCCAGTTGACCAAAAGATCCAGGGTTGGTTTTTTTCATGTCTCCATCTTCTTCTTACATGAACAGGTTGGGGAATGTGTCTTGAGTCTGGGAGCTAGGGGGAGTAGTATAATTTTCTTCTTCTTCTTCTTCTTCTTCTTCTTCTTCTTCTTCTTCGGCAATCACTCATAGCCAAGTAAGATTGTCTTCCATAAATATGGTTTTAACAATGAGTCCATAAGTGACTGTGGAGGCCAATTCTGGATCCACACGTCCTTCCACAGTGGGGACATTGGTTTCCGGGCGGGAGTTGATCACAGTGTGGATTTGCCAAGCATGCCTTCCTCTTAGCACGTTTCTCCCTTGTGTCCCGAGTTCGAGTGTCTTCAAAGCCCATGACACCTTTGGTAAAGGCTGTTCTCCAACTGGAGCGCTCGTGGGCCAGTGTTCCCCAGTTGTCAGTGTTTATCCTACTTTTTTTAGATTTGCCTTGAGACAGTCTTTAAACCTCTTTTGTTGACCACCAGCATTACGCTTTCCATTTTTAAGTTCTGAATAGAGTAGTTGCTTTGGAAGACGATCATCAGGCATCCGCACAACATGACCAGTCCAATGAAGTTGATGTTGAGTGCCTAAGTTTGGGGGCGGGGGAGCTTCTCCCTCCCCCACACTTCGCAAAGAAGTCAGCCAAGTCCTGAGTCCCGTTTTGGAGGTGACCTTTAAACCTTCTATGGGATAACAAAGGGCCAAGGAGGCACATTTATTGGATTGCTGGGCATTAGGGCACTAAATCTGGACATCCTTTTATACTGAAGCCGTGGAGGAACAGGGTCCCAAGGCATGGTGGGGGGGGGGGGGCACTGATTCAAGGTCCGGCCTGGGCAAGGGACAGAGATGCTCCCCTGCCCCAAATTGCCCACTTGAGTTGCCCACTTCCCTTCTCTTTCCACCTTCCCAAGCCCAAAGCCACAATGAAGTACTGAGCCCCGTTTGCGGCCAGGCCCAGTCGCTCATTTTTGTCCCTTCTCCTTGAGTTTCATGGGCTGGAGATTCTGGGAGAAGGTTGGGTTTTTGTACTGGGGACCCCCACTCCCGAGACAGGCCACCCTCTGCTGCATGAGGATAGAGCTGCCCCCTAAGTGCTGAATATGTTCTGGTCTTAGGCAGATTTTCCCCCCACCCCCGTGGATTCCTTCTGGGGTTACTCATCTTCCCTTGCAGCCTGCAGGCTGCTGCCTCGCTTGGCTCACCCAGTGCAGTCCCAGTTCCTGAACTGGGCCAGGGACTTGGGTCGGCCTGCATGGAAATTTCAGTTCCACCCAAACCACAGAGTGAAATATAGTTCACTGACTGCTATATAGGTGTGTAAAACTACAGTGGTACCTCGCAAGAGGAATGCCTCTCAAGACGAAAAACTCACAAGACGAAAGAGTTTTTCGTTTTTTGAGTTGCTTCACGAGACGAATTTCCCTATGGGCTTGCTTCGCAAGACGGAAACGTCTTGCAAGTTTGTTTCCTTTTTCTTAAAACCGTTACAGTAATACAGGGTGCATTGCTTGAAGAGGAGCAGTTGCGACTTGACTTCGGGGAGCAACTCATAGCACGCGGTGTGGTAGCCTTTTTTGAGGTTTTTGAAGATTTTTTTGAAAAAATTGAAACTGTGCTTCGCAAGACGAAAAACTCGCAAGACGAAAAAACTCTCGGAACGAATTAATTTCGTCTTGCGAGGCACCACTGTATAGAGAAAGTTCATCTGGTTTTTAATTTGGCAATGATATTGATGTCTCTGTGTGTGTGTGTGTGTGTGTCCGTGTCCCAGAGACAGGGCACTCTTATTCCCATCTTATTGAGGACTCAAAGAGCCCAAAGCCAAGCCAGGGAGCCTGGAATAGAGGCAAGAGGCTCCCTCAGTTCTCCTGGCACCAGAGGCCAATTTTTCACCTGCTGGGCAGCTGGCAACCTTTTTTGGCCAGTGTGGCTTGTTCCTGCACCGTGCTGCCTCTGCATCTTGCAGTTGGACAAGGCCATCTTGGGCTCCCTGAGAAGCTGTCTTGGCCCAGAGGAGACTCTGTCTTGGCTTCTTTAGGGCTGGTTCCTGGTTGCTGAGACTGGCTTGTTCTCACCCTGCAGAAAGTGGAAGACAGCATCCTGATCTCAGCAGAAGGGAAGAGCCTCTCTGTCAGGGGCTCCTGCGAAGACTCTCCACCCACCCGCTTGCCGGCTAGGATCCGGGAAATCGTCACCAAGAACCTCTCGCAAAGCGATTGCCAAGGTATGTTTGGAGAAGACGATTCTTCTTGGAACTGGGGAACTGTGGGCTGGGAAGGGAGCCTTCTTGGCTGCCTCCCTCGCTAGGCTCTTCATCTCCTGGCCTGGCCTGGTTTCCCCTGCAAGCAAGACAGAGAGGAGGAGGCAGCTGATCTCCACTCTGGCTGGGCACCTGGCAGGATGGACCCTTTCCTCTTCCAACTCCTGGGAGGTGACAGGTGGAAAGGATGAAGCCAATTCCTGACATTCTGGTACTCCATCTTGTTGTATCCGACACTTCATCCTCTGCTTTTTTAAAAAAATAATTATTTAATCATTTTTTTCAATGCAAACAGCAACCACAAAAAACACATACAGTGGTACCTCGGGTTACATACGCTTCAGGTTACAGACTCTGCTAACCCAGAAATAGTGCTTCAGGTTAAGAACTTTGCTTCAGGATGAGAACAGAAATTGTGTGGTGGTGGCGCGGCAGCAGCGGGAGGCCCCATTAGCTAAAGTGGTGCTTCAGGTTAAGAACAGTTTCAGGTTAAGAACGGACCTCCGGAACAAATTAAGTACTTAACCCGAGGTACCACTGTACAACGAAAACCACAACGACACTAATAACACAATTTAACAATTCAGATTTGAGTACTGATATACCGTATTTTTCGCTCTATAGGATGCACCAGATGATAAGAAGCACCTAGTTTGGAGGGGAGGAAAACAAGAAAAAAAATATTTTGAATCCCAGAAGCCAGAACAGCAAGAGGGATCTGGCTTCTGGGATACTGTGTGGCTGTTCTGGCTTCTGGGATAACCACGCCAAGCCTCTTCAGGATAGCGGGATGAAGGCTCCCCCTGCCCGAAGAGGCTGCGCGCAGCTAAGGAAGAAGCCAGGACAGGCACGTCGCTGAAGGGGCGCTGCGCAGTTCTATCTCTCTGCGCAGCGCCATTCACTCCATAAGACACACATTTCTCCTTACTTTATAGGAGGAAAAAAGTGCGTCCTATGGAGCGAAAAATACGGTACCTATAACTACACCTTTTTAACAATATTTCCCCACCTCTCCTCCCCCTACTTCCCACCGCTGTCTGCCTTATCGCTTAAGTATTCCTTCCAGATTTTTTTCATATTTATCCATTCTTAATTTGCGTCGATCTGCAATTCATTTGTATGTAGCTAGTCTGTCCATATTGTCAATCCATGTGCTCAATGGAATCTTTTTGCGGCTCTTCCAATTCATCAAAACAAGTGTTTTTTTGGTGTCTAATATGACATTTCATCCTCTGCTGAGCTTCAGGACACCCCCGCCCGGCCCACCTGCCTGTCACCCCTTCTGGACAGGACAAGGAGGCCAAACTGTGCCAAGCTGGCCACAGTGCTGCTGGCTGGGCCCGGGGGCTTCGTGCTGCTGTGACACGCTCTGTTTCCAAACAATACCTGGGAAGCGAAAGGAATTCGGAACAGATGGATGAGGAGAGAGAAGCAGAAGGAGGGAAGGCAGCAAATAGGAAGCTCTCTCTGTATGTGAGAGGGAGGGAGAGACTCTGTGTGAGTGACTCTCTTTTAAAAAAAAAATTTTTTTAGTCAAAATTAAAACAAGACATATTATCCAAAAACATATCATCCTTGTTTTTTCTCCCATTTTTCCTCCCTCCCCCCCTCTCCCACACAAAACCCACCCACCCCCACCCACCGACTTCCCTCAGTTCCAGTCTTTGGTTTCTCCGAGACTGCTGTTTTCTGCATGTTACAAAGTTGTATAGATCCTCAAACTATTTAGCTGGTTATTATCAATAAAAAGTTTGTGAATGTTTATTCAAAACCTGGATTGAACAAGGAGTCCAGTTCACTTTGTTGCGTCTTCAGATACTTTGTAAAGGGTTCCCATTCATCCTTAAAGTCACAGTTATCCTTGTCCCGTAGCTTATATTTCAATTTTGCCAGTTCTGCATAGTCTGTCAATTTTTCTTGCCACAATTCTTTAGTTGGGCTTTCTTCAGTCTTCCATCCATGTGCTACCAGAACTCTTGTGGCCGCTGTGTGAGCGACTCTCAATGGGTGATGCACCGTTGCGGAACTCACATAAGACATCAGAAGGAGTCTGGCTGCTGCTGCTGGATCAGACCCAGTTTTATGGTGCTCACGGTGACCAGACAAATGCTCCCGCAAGACAGGGAAGGCAACAGCTTTTTCTTGCTGGCGCATTTGGGTATCTGGCTTTCACAGATAGACTGCTACTTCACATGGAGGTCCAAGGCAAAGCCCACGGCTTTTTGCCACAGATCGTGGCAGCAAATCCTATAAATCAGTTGTGCATTGAGGGGGAGGGCGGCTGACGCCGGCACCCACAGTTCAAGAAGAATGAACTTTACAGTGTGGTTGCAAAGGGGAGCAACCCCTCCATTCCTTCCATGGTCGCTCATCCCAATAAAGGGGAGTCTCTGGGGGTTGAAATAAAAGGCGAAAACTGTAGGACCCCTTCTGGGACGAGGTGAGCACTGCCTCTTCTCTGGCAGAAGCTGCCCCATTAGCAACAACCTGTTGCCGATGCCTTTCCATCCAGCAGCAAGAAAATGTTTGCAAATGTTCTATGGCAGGAACGTCCAACTTCCAAGATCTACTCACATGATTAAAATCTGGCAGTGATCTACCCCTTTTTGGGGTATTCAGGTCAAACTTGTTGATCTTTTTTTAGGCAGGAACATCTCGTTTTGGGGGGAGGTTCAGGTCAAAGTTGTCAAGCTTCTTTTAGGAAGGAAGATCCCGTTTTTTGGGGGGGGGGTTGTTCAGATCTAACGAATGGAAAGAGGCGCTCAGCAATCGATAAGGAGACAGTCAGCAAACTCTGACTTCCGTTCTAGTGATCTAGAGGGTGGGGAGGGGGAGGTGCCAGATGGAGGAGCCACCGATCTACCGTGATCTACCAAAAGCTCCCGGGGATCGACCAGTCAATCCCGGTTGACCTGTTGGACACCCCTGTTCTGTGGCATCGCAACAGTCCATTATTTAGCACACCTGTATGCCAGATGTTCTGGCAGTGCATCCCAAGTTCCCTTGCTTTGCTTTGCTTTGCTTTGCTCTGTTTACAGTGGTACCTCGGGTTACAGATGGTTCAGTGGTTCTCGGGTTACAGAAATTGTGCTCCGGCTGCACAGCAGCAGCGGGAGGCCCAATTAGCTAAAGTGGTGCTTCAGGTTAAGAACAGTTTCAGGTTCAGAACGGACCTCCGGAATGAATTAAGTTCTTAACCGAGGTACCAATGTATCTCTTAAACTTCTCTCCTGCCCTTCGTTCCAAAGGGAGCCCAGGGCGTCTTGTCCAACTGCGGAAATGCATTTGATGCGTGTGTGTCTGTCTCTCTACCTCTGTGCTCCTCTCTTCCCACAGTGGCCTCCCACGCCGAGATGTCGTCCTTGCTTTCCCTTCAGGAGGAGAACCGCATCTTGCAGCAGGAGCTGTCCCGGGTGGAAGATTTGCTGGCCCAGAGTCGGGCTGAGCGGGATGAACTGGCCATCAAGTACAACGCCATCAGTGAGCGGGTAGGTGCAGGAGGCAGGCAGGGTCTTCTCTACCCTTCCCAGTAGGCCTTTTCTTTCTTTTTTTTTTATAAATAATTTTTATTTAAGTTTTGAACAACAAAGGGAAAAAAAAAGAAAAACATACACAATACATATTTCAAAAAAAAGAAAAAAAGATAACAAAAACACGCAGAAAAGAACACAATAAAAAACAAAAAACCTAACAATTAAAAACAATATCTCTTTTCCATTTCCGTTTTTTTAGTTTACTTATTTTCTGGACTTCCTCATACCTCCCTCTTTTGTATTCCAATCCAAATTGTTTGTCCAGCTATTTCTTTTCAACTTTTTTAACCCCAATCTTTAACTTTAATATAATATTGTAATATATATCTTCAATTTCTTTAAACCCGATCTTTAATCTTAATATAATATAACATTAAAATTTTCCCTCTTAGTTGTCAGATTTCCATTTCTTTAAACATTTTTAATCCTAATCTTAATCTTATTCTATCATTAACTTTAACCTGTACAGCTGGAAACCGCTTATTTTCAGTCCAACATCACTCTAACATTCTTTAATTTTACAATGTTTCTGAAGATAGTCTTTGAATTTCTTCCAATCTTCCTCCACCGACTCTTCTCCCTGGTCCCGGATTCTACCAGTCATTTCCGCCAGTTCCATATAGTCCATAAGTTTCATCTGCCATTCCTCCAGCGTGGGAAGTTCTTGTGTCTTCCAATATTTTGCAATGAGTATTCTTGCTGCTGTTGTTGCATACATAAAGAAAGTTCTATCCTTTTTTAACACCATTTGGCCGACTATGCCCAGGAGAAAGGCCTCTGGTTTCTTAGGGAAGGTATATTTGAATACCTTTTTTAATTCATTATATATCATTTCCCAGAAAACCTTAATCTTTGGGCACGTCCACCAAAGGTGAAAAAATGCACCTTCAGTTTCTTTACATTTCCAACATTTGTTATCGGCCAGGTGGTAAATTTTTGCAAGCTTGACTGGGGTTATGTACCACCTGTACATCATTTTCATAATATTCTCTCTTAAGGCATTACATGCCGTAAATTTCATACCCGTGGCCCAGTAGGCCTTTTCAGGCAAATGGGTCTATGAAATCTTTACTTGGCACCAGCAAGCAGGCAGTGCTAGTGAATAGGTTTTATGGTCCAGTCGACTCTCATCTTTCGTGCAGGTTCTGTTCTAGGGATAGCATGTAAAGCCAAAATAATACTGTGTTACTTTTATTGTTGTTTTATTGTTGTTAGCCGCTCTGAGCCCGGCTTCGGCTGGGGAGGGCGGGATATAAATAATAATAATAATAATAATAGTAATAATAGTAATAATAATAATAATAATTATCCCGATTGTGCAGATCAAATATAACTCATAGAATTCCACAGGATGTGGTATTAGTGTGTGAAAGCAGTCCAGATGGTGGAGTTGTCAGGTGCCATCTTCACTTGGTCACAAGTGACCAACAGCCAGGGGCAAAATGCTCCTGGCGCCTGGCTAATTTTGAACACTGAATGCAAGTAGGAAGACGCAGACTCTGTTGGGGTGAGGATGGCTTGAGCTGTTTAGAGATGTGCTGGCTCAGAGAGAGGGGTTCTCTGTGGACCCACCATGGGATTGAGCTCTGGCAAGGGAGATTTGAGGAGCTGGAGAAAGAGAGGCACCAGAGGGCCCTGCCAGGATCCAATCTCCCCCTTCCAAAAACAAAAAAAAAAACCTGGCAAACGAGAATGGGTCCCATTATTTCCTTGGTCAGTTTCCCAGCATGCCCTGCTCCCCCCACCCCAGTCTTGTCTCCTGTATTCAGATCTGACTAAGGGTCTCCATGGGAAACATTTCCTGACTGCTTTCCAGAGTATTGGGGGGAGGGAATGGGGCATATTTTATTCTTCCTCCATGTCCAAAAGCTTTGGCCTGTCTGGACAGGTCCAGCTGAATAGCACCCGGGCTGGTTGAGACCTGCCTCTTGGCTGTGCAGTTTGCAAAGGGGACACGCGGGTGTTTGCATCTGCCCTGCCGCTCACGCTTGACCTGAATTAGTGGATTAAAGAACCAGGCATGAAACACTTTGGAAGGAAGGAGGCACGCAAAAAACAACAACGTATTGACAGTGATCTCGTGCTCCGTAGTGTTCAAAGCGGGGCTGTCCATTGGATCAAAGAAATCTCGGTAGGTTAGTTATCTAGCTAGTTTCACCCCCCCCCCTCCGAAAAAAGCATTCTTTGTGTTTCAATTGCTACCAGGCCCCATCTTACAAATGTGAGGGAGGAAGGGGCTGGGCTGGTAGCAATGCCTCTCCTGAGATGGCACCGGAATAAATCAGCAATTTTCAAGGGGCTGCCAATGGCACCCCAGGGCTTTTTGTAAAAAAACAAATAAATCAAATTTCAAGGGGCTGCCATAATCGTTGCAACAGCTTTGTACAGAAAGACAGTGTTGTCTTCCCTCTTTTGCAGCTGGGGGTGGGGAACTGAGGCTGAGATTGGGGAGTCCATAACCAAAGCAATTGGTTGGGGTTTTTTTTGCTCCTGAAACCTTCTAGAGCTCTAAACCGGAGGGATGTTTTCTTCAAAGCATAGCTGGGTCTGCCTACCTCTTGGTTGTAGGCAAGGGCAGGAGAAACAATTCTCCTAAGAATTTCTGCTCTGGCTGGGGCTGGGGGGCGGCTCTTGGTTTGGGGGCTCCTCTCCTTACAAGACTGTATTGGGAGCTGGGCTCACATGCTCCGGTGACCATGGCGACTAGCAGGATAATTTAAATGGGCTGCAGGTTGCCATGGCAGCCGTTGCCTGGGAAGAGGGCAAACTTCGCTCCTGCATTTTACATCTTGCGCCCAATTTTCCCCCCAAGCCATTTTTCTGTTAAAAACAAAAACAAAACCATGCACAACCCTTTTGACAAAGCCTTTGAAAGTGGGAGCAAAGGGCAATCTCCTGCAGATGCTCTGTGTTTAAATTGTCCCAGGCTTGGGAAGATTGATTGATTAAAAAAATGGTTTAGTTGGCTTCCCTGCCAAATCGGTGTGTGTGGTTCAGTCTGGCTGTTATTTCTTCTTAGCCTTGCGGCAGTCCTCTGCAGTCCATCAACCCAGAATTGGCTCCTTTGACAGGCTGTGGGCTCCCCAAGGCCCTCCGGCAACTGGTGCCCAGAGGGTAGACTGCCTTGGGACATGGAAGTTCCATGCAACAGCGATAGGCAATGGGCACAAGCTTAGAGGAGGGCTCTCTCGCTCTTCCTGGGAGTTGGGGCAGGCAAGGCTTTTAGGCACGAGGGGCCCTGATCCTCCTCCCCTTTCTTTCCTGGGACTCCTCAGCTGGAGCAAGCGCTGCGCCTGGAGTCGGGTGAGCGGGAAAGGGAGGCATTGGAGAACAAGAGCTTGGCTCAGCAAAACGTGGAGCTGCGCCGGCGGCTGGAGGAAGAGCAGGCAGGCTACAAGCGGAAGCTCCAGGCCTACCAGGAGGGCCAGCAGCGGCAGGCCCAGCTGGTGCAGAAGCTGCAAGCTAAGGTGAGACCCCCATAAGTCCCTCCATGCACCAGGTCGCACCGCCAGCGGCACCCCCAACCATAACTGTCAACCGTCCCTTATTTGGCGGGAAACTCCCTTATCCCAGCGCCGTTTCCCGCTGCTGTCCCGGATTTATGATGTCCCTTAAATTTCCCGGGTTTCATGCTCGCCTGGCTTGGGAGGGAAGCAGCGGCTCGGGGCCCTCTGCCGCGAGAGAAGGAGCGTGCATGAGCTGCCGCGTCTCCGTCTCTCCCTTTTCCCCCTCAGGGGCGCGTCATGAGGAGACGGGTGGCGGTGGGCAGGCAGGCAGGCCCTCTCTTGCGAGACTTCCGCCACGCTGCCAGGGGAAGCCGGAGGTGGCAGTGGCGGCGGCTGAGGAGGCGGCCTGAGGGAGGAGGAAGAGGAGGGGATGGGGAGGGATGCAGAAGGGCGGCACTTCAGCGGCCGTTGCTGTGCTGCAACTGCCTCATGCCAGGCTCGTGGGCGGCGTGGGCGAGAGTCTCTCTCCCTCCCTACTTCTCTCTTGGGCGGGGAAGGGCCGATGGAACTCCTCGCGCCAGGACGACGGCAGCCCCAACGTGCTGCTTAGCATACCCTCCAACCAGTGCAGCATCTTAGTGTAGTGATTTCCCCCTCTGCATCCCTTTCATAACTCTATTTTTATAAATCATTTGTCCATCCATAGTTCACATTTTTACTACAAGTTTTCTGTCAATCCTACCAATGTGTGTAACTCTTTGCAATAGCTTTTCAAACAAATTATAAACTTTCCCCATTCTTTATTAAAGAGGTCCTCTTCCTAGTTTCTAATTCTGCCTGTAAGCTTTGCCATCTCGATGTCGTTCATCAGTTTTGCCTGCCCCTCTTCTTTGGTCGGAGTTGTAGACCCTTAGGATCATCTAGTCCAACTCCCTGCAAAACACAGTCAGTCGCAGCAAAAGCAGCAGGGCTCCATCAGTGCCGGATTTCTGTATAAGCTAAGCCAAAATCCCTTATTTTGGCTGCTGATCCCTTATTTTCGAGGCTGCTGGTCCCTTATTTTCAAATCTGTAAGTTGACAGCTATGCCCCCAACCCTTCCCCTGCCCCATGGCGGCACCTGCCGGCCAGGTCGATGAGTAGAACGGAACGAAACCTGGTTTTCAGCATCATGATATGTCAGCAGCTAAACCTCGCAATTTACTGATATACAGTGGTACCTTGCTTGTCGAATGGCTTGGCTCCCAAGCAAATCGGCTCCTGAACGCCGCAAACCCAGAAATGTGTGTTCCGGTTTGCGAACGTTTTTTGGAAGCCGAACGTCCGACGCAGCTTCTGCAGCTTCTGATTGAAGCTCCTATAGCCAATCAGAAGCTGCGCCTTGGTTTTCAAACGGTTCCAGACTCCCAAAATGCATTAAGTTTGACAACCAAGGTACCACTGTATTACGGTTTTGGAAATAAGGAGCTCTGTAGAGGCATCGGCCGGCTCCATGGTTTTCCCTGTGTTGTGATTTTTGCAGAGCAAACACACACACATGCACCCCTCATGATTCGCATTGCCGGCTCAAAAATGAGGAAACCGATATTGCGATTGGGGCTGGGCGATATATATGGTCCAGAACTGGTTTGAAGTCCCTATACCTCCCACCTCTCTAGGTTGTCCAGTACAAAAAGAAGTGTGGGGAGCAGGAAGAGCAACTGCTTGAGAAATCGACGGAGCTGGAGCAGCAGCGCCTAGTGGTGAGTGCCTCTTTCACGTGGTGGTGGTGGGGTCAGGGTCCTGCTTTCTGCTCCCTCTCTCCCTCCAGGCCTTGACCTGTCGGCTGTTTTTGCTTCCCAGAGGTGTGTGGTTTTCCCCTGTTGCCGTTGGGGTGCTCTTTCCCTGAATGGGTGGCCCTCTTCACATGCTCAGGATCCCTGCACATATTTGAGGACTGGGATTCGGTGTAGAATCTTCTGGGGAGGGGGGAGGAAGCCTGGATTAAGCCGTGCTTTTGTGCATGTTCAAATGAACACTGGTCCTTTCTGGACATGCTCTGGCACAGAGTCCCGCTGCCCCAGCTTCTGGAGCTAAGCTTTTTTGAGCCCCTGCATGTATGTCAAAGCCGCAGTGGCAGCTTCTCTCTGCTCCCTTCTCCCGCAGAGCCGTCTGGACATCACAGAATCACGCTTGCGGCAGGAGGAGGAGCACAGCAGTGACCTGGAAAGTGCTCTCATCCGGCTGGAAGAAGAGCAACAAAGGCCAGTGTAGGAGGGGGAGCAAGGCAGGGCGGGTTTTTTTTACAAGGCACAGCTCATCCAAGTCACTAAACCCCAACCCCTTTTGTCCATCCCCTAAGCAAGTGGTTCCCAAACTTATTTGGGGACGTTTTTAGTGTGTGATGTTGTGTTGCGCTTTTACTAATTTTTTTTTTGTGAGCCTCCCAGAGTGGCTAGGGCAACTCAGTCGGATGAGTGGCATGTAAATAATAATTTTTCAGAAAAATAAATAAATTACTCAGCAACCCCCCTGGCAATCGACCTAATTTAAGCAAACAAACAGAAAGATTCGGCGAGCCATTTGCGTTCCTTTATGTATCTATATTTCTTTCTTTTTAAAAATTTCTTTGGTTGTTCAAATTAAAATTTTACAGTCACATTATCCAACTAACAACATAAAAACAAGATTCTAAGGAATCTCTTGGACTTCCCTCCTCCCCTTTGTGGGTCCTATTGTTAATCCTTTCCTCCTGCATCTTTTATGATCATCCAAATCTTTTACCTCTCCATCGTGTCCAAAATTCACCATTAGACTATGAGTGATATTCCAATCCTACTAACGATTTTATTTATTTATTTGTTTATTTATTGTATATAATTTTTATTAATTTTCCAATAAAAACAAATTTATAACACAATTAAACATTCGGAATTCATCACACGTCTTTTTTCTTTTAGACTTCCATAAGCAAGTCTGATAATTTTCCGTAATTATTACATATCTTCATATTTCTTCATTTATATTGCACTATGTATATCTTATCTTACCATGTTATTTAAACAATATTTCTACCAAACCTTCTTACAGAGCTTCTTGGAAACTTACAAACGTTATATCATTATCACAAATATTTTTAATATATTCTGTAAATTTATTCCAGTCCTCAGTGAATCTTTGGTCCCGTTGGTTGCGAATCCTCCCTGTTAATCTGTCCAGTTCTGCATAATCCATTAATTTCGTTCTCTATTCTTCAATCGTGGGCATTTCTTCTTGTTTCCATTTCTGGGCCACAGGAGTTCTAGCTGCTGTTACTGCATACAAAAATACTTTCTGATGCTTCCTTTTTATCTCACCACCTAAAATTCCTAATAGGAATGCTTCTGGTTTTTTAACAAATGTATATTTCAATATTTTCTTTATCTCATTATACAGTGGTGCCCCGCAAGACGAATGCCTCGCAAGACGACAAACTCGCTAGACGAAAGAGTTTTCCGTTTTTTGAGTCGTTCCGCAAGACGAATTTCCCTATGGGCTTGCTTCGCAAGACGAAACGTCTTGCGAGTTCTTGCGAGTTTGTTTCCTTTTTCTTAAAGCTGCTAAGCCGCTAAGCCATTAATAGCCGCTAAGCCGCTAATAGCCATGCTCCGCAAGACGAAGAGACTCGCGGAACGGATTAATTTCGTCTTGCGAGGCACCACTGTATATCATTTCCCAGAAGCACTTCATTTTTTTACATTCCCACCACATATGATAAAATGTCCCTTCTTTCTCCTTACATTTCCAACATTTATTACTCACTTTATACATCTTACTTAATTTGACTGGTGTTATATATCATTGATATATCATTTTCATAACATTTTCTTTAATTGTGGTGCATGCTGTAAATCTCATCCCTTCCTTCCATAATTTTATCCAATCATCAAATTGAATGTTATGTCCAAAATCTTTGGCCCATTGAATCATAACTGATTTAACCTTTTCATCCTTCAGTTGCCATTCTAATAGTAATTTATACATCATAGATAAATTTTTAACTTCATTATTCAATACTTCTCATTGAAACCTGGATTCTTTTTCAAAATAGCCTCTTTCTGCAACCTCTTTTCTAAACATTTCATTAATCTGAAAGTAATGCAGCCAATCATTTACATGTTCTTTCACTTCTTCATATGGTTTCATTTTCCACTTACTTCCTTCTTTCTCGATTAAACGCCCATATGTTATCCACCTCCTAGTCATATTGATCTTTTTAACACTCATCACCTCTAATGGTGATAGCCAATGTGGGATTTTTGGTTCCAGTAGGTTTTTATACCTACCCCATACCTCAATCAGAGATCCTCTAATAATATGATTTTCAAAACATTTATGCACTCTTTTCTTTTCGTACCATAAATACGCGTGCCAACCGAATCTATTATCATATCCTTCCTTCCATATCCTTAGAAAACTGTGTTTTCTAATTTCATCCATTCTTTCAACCAACATATACATGATGCTTCATAGTATAACCTCAAGTCTGGCAGGGCAAAGCCTCCCCTCTCTTTTAAATCTGTTAACAACTTAAATTTTATTCTCGGCTTTTTGCCCTGCCAGATGTATCTTGAAATTACTTTTTGCCATTCTTTAAATATTGCTACTCCTTTAATTATTGGAATTGCTTGGAACAGAAACAACATTTTCGGTAACACACTCATCTTAATCGTTGCAATTCTTCCCCAAAATGATAATTTCATTCTGCCCCACACCTCTAAATCTCGTTTAACTGTATTCCATACTGGTACATAGTTATTTTGAAACAAATTGTGATGAGATGATGAGCTGCTTGTGCGTAAAATCGTATCCCCTCAGAGTTTGTTCAAGTCCACAAACCTCTGTCTGTGACGGAGCCCCTCAGACATGGCTCCTCTAGTCACTAGCAGATTCCGACAGTGGTTGCTTTCGTAATCGCTTCCAACATAAAAGCTCCTTAACGGAAACACGTCTTCTGGACTCTCTGCGTGACAGTTTCCGGCGAGGAGTGGGTGTTCTTACAGGAGGTCCTGAAACCTCCCCACTGTTTTCGCTGGAAGTGTCTCTGAGCCATCCCTCCAGCTCAGCTCCTCTCCCCCTGCTGGTTCCCTCTTCAGCTGCTGCGTCTCTCCCAACCTGTGTGAGCCCTTTCACCTCCCTGCTGGTTCCCTCTTCAGCTGCTGCGTCTCTCCCAACCTGTGTGAGCCCTTTCACCTCCCTGCTGGTTCCCTCTTCAGCTGCTGCGTCTCTCCCAACCTGTGTGAGCCCTTTCACCTCCCTTCCGTCCGATGGCAGTTCCCTGACATCCACCTCCCCTCCAGGGCCCCCTTCACCCCCTCTCGCCCCCTCCTCTACGGGCGGTGAGGAGGCAAAACCCGGAATGAACTTCCTTCATCTTCCGATGTCTCGAACACTTCTCTCAACCTGTTGCGGTTCCTGGTCTCGAAGTACACCTCCTCCTCAGAGTCCATCTCCCCTTCCCCTTCCGAGTCCGGGAATCCTTCCAACTCCTCCCCCTCATCAGTGGTCCCAAAGTATTCCCTCCGGAACCTCTCCACAGGCTGAGGTTTCCTTGGGAACCTTTGATGGAACGTTTCTATCAATACCTCGTCATTGATATCTTCGACCATTACCCAAGTGTTTTCTGACTCCGGTTCTCCTTCCCACGCTACCAAATACTCCACCTGATCCCCCTTCCACCTGGCGTCGAGGATTTCTGCCACATGGCTGCTGCATTCTCTTTCTTCTATGACCGGTCCCCGAGTGGCCAGCCCTTCTCGTCCCCTTTCGTACGGTGACAGTAACGACCTGTGAAATACTGGGTGCAGTTTCATGTGGTTGGGTAACCGGAGCCTGAAAGCCACTGGGTTGACCTGTTGAATGACCTCAAATGGACCCAACCTCCTGGGTCTTAATTTCTTACAACCTCCTTTGAACGGCAACCCTCGGGTTGACAGCCACACCCTATCTCCCACCCTTATGGTTTCACCTTCCCTTCGGTTCTTGTCTGCCTGCCTCTTGTATTCTTCCTTCGCCCTTTCTAAGTTGAGTTGGAGCTGACGATGGATTGCTTCCATTTCTTCCACAAAATGCTCGGCTGCCGGGACGCTCCATCTCTCCCCATCTCCCCTGGGAAAGCCCTGGGATGACACCCATAATTAGCCAAGAAGGGGCTCATCCCTGTGGACACATTCTCGGCATTGTTGTAGGCAAATTCCGCCAGCGCCAACTTTTCTACCCAGTCATTCTCTCTGTCATTGACATAACACCTCAGGTATTGCTGGAGGACACCGTTTGCTCTTTCCGCCTGCCCGTTGGTTTCAGGGTGCCGGGCAGTCGAAAAATTGACCTCCACCTGCAGTAAACTCATGAGCTTCCTCCAGAACCTGGAAGTAAATTGTTTTCCTCGGTCTGAGACCACCCTCAATGGCACTCCGTGCAACCTAAAAATGTGTTCTACAAATAACTTCGCTGTCTCTTCCGCCGTGACTGCATGCGAGCAAGCTACAAAGTGGCACATCTTTGTTAGTAGGTCTACCACCACCATGATGGCTGTTTTCCCTTTGGACTTCGGCAGATCAGTCATAAAATCTATCGACACTGCCTCCCAAGGTCGTTCTGGGGTTGGTAAGGGTTCTAATAGCCCCGCCGGCGCCCGCCTTTCCCCTTTGGCTCGCTGGCATTGCTCGCACCCTCTTACATACTCACGTACATCTTCCCTCACCTTAGGCCACCAAAATTCCCTGGTGACCAACCACATGGTTTTGTGTTGTCCAAAATGCCCCGCCGTAGGGCTGTCGTGCAACTGCTTGAGTACCCTCCCCTTAACTCTCCTTCAGGGATATACAGTGCCCCTTTGTAATACAAAGCTCCATTTCTTTCCTCGAAACCCCCTTGTTCCTCTCCCTCACCCCTAAGACCTCTGAGCTTATTCTGGGCGTATTCATCATTCTCTGTTTCCTCTACCAGTTCTCTTTGTCCCACCAATGCCGCCCCACACACCCAGCGGTCCTCTGGAATGACATGTCTCTCTTCGGGTGCCCCTCCCCTCCAAATATTCTGGTTTGCGTGAGAGAGCGTCCGCCCTAATGTTCTCTGGGCCTGGCACGTAATTAATCTCAAAGTTAAATTTGGAGAACTCCTGGGCCCATCTCACTTGCCGTTGGTTGAGCACTCGTGCCGTCCTCCAATACTCTAAGTTCTTGTGGTCAGTGCACACTTGCACCTTATGTTGTGCGCCAATTAGCAGGTGCCTCCATCTCCGGAACGCCTCATGAATGGCTAGTAGTTCTCGGTCATACACCGTGTAGTTCCTCTCGGATTTGTTCAGCTTTCGCGAAAAAAGGCACACGGTCTCCACTCTGACCCCTTCTTCCCTGGCTGCAGAAGCACCGCCCCAATCGCTCTGTCTGATGCGTCAGTTTCCACTCTCATCGGTTTTTGTAAATCCACATGCAGGAGTTGTTGTTCCGAGGCGACGGCCCATTGGCGTTCCTCAAATGCTCGCTCCGCCTCCTCAGTCCACACGAACTTCTTCTTACTGCTGAGACAGTCCGTAATGGGCGCCGTCAGGTGGGCAAAGTTTCGGATGAACTTACGATACAAGTTCCCAAATCCTAGGAACCTCTGCACATCCTTCTTTGTTTTGGGTGTTTTCCATTCCAGCACCGCCTGGACCTTGCCGGGATCCATGGCCAATCCCTTGTCAGACAGGCGATACCCCAGGAATTCCACCTCCTTGGTATGAAACTGACACTTCTCCAGTTTCACCCACAGCTGGTTGGCTTGCAGCCTGCTCAACACTTCTCTGACGTCTCTCACATGCTGCTCCTCATTCTCAGAATACACCAACACGTCGTCTAAAAGGCCACACAATTCTTGTAAAGCAAAGGCCCCAGGACGTGGTTCATAAACGATTGAAATGTTGCGGAGCCTGCTTGTAGGCCGAAGGGCATAACCAAATATTCAAATGCCCCTAAAGGGGTGAACATAGTGGTTTTCCATTCATCCCCTTCCTTATTCGTACCAGGTTGTACGCCCCCCTTAGGTCCAGCTTTGTGAAAATCTTTCCCTTCCGCACCCTTGTCAAAATGTCGTCAATCCTGGGCATAGGGAAGGCTACTGGTTCTGACACTGCATTTAAGGCCCTGAAGTCACACACCAGCCTCGGCTTGTTCGTGTTTTTCTTATCCACAAAAAACACTGGGCTGCCCCCCACCGCCCTGGACTCTCTAATGAACCCTCTCTTCAGGTTCTTGTCAATGAACTCTCTTAACTCCTGCATCTCTCTGTCTGACATGGCGTACAGCTTGCCTACAGGGAGCTGTGCTCCAGGGAGTAAATTGATTTGACAGTCAAAGGGTCTATGCGGGGGTAGTTGGTCAGCTTCCCTTTCGCTGAAGACGTCACGGAGATCTGCATATTGTCGTGGTACCTTCACGTTCTCTGTTACTTCAGTCCCTGCTAGGGTGGCTTGGACCCCTGCCAAACCCTTTCCCTCTTTGCAGTGTTCTAAGCAATGTGCTGAACCAAAAGAAACCACTCTCTGATGCCAGCCCACCAGCGGATCATGTAACGCTAGCCAGCTCATCCCCAATATAATGGGAGCTCCTCCCAAGGTGGCCACATTAAAAGCTATCAGTTCGGTGTGCCTTGCTACCTTCATTATCATTGGGACGGTCTGCAAGCTGACTTCTCCTCCCAACAGCTCCCTGCCATCGATCGTGGTCACCTGCAGGGGCTGCTTAAAGGGATCGTCTGTATCTGGTGTTCAGCTGCAAACTCATTGCTCATGAAATTGCAGGAGCTGCCTGAGTCCAACAGCGCCTTTATCTTTAGAGGGTGTCCGTTTGGCAGCTCTAGCGTCACTTCTATCACTAGGGCGGGTTTAGGAGGTTCTGGCGTGGGCACTCTCACTGCTCTTTGGCCTGGCTGCTGTGCCCCGACAGTGGCAGCCAGGCGTTGGCTTTACTTGCTCCGGTATATCTTCCTCTCTTCCATCCACAGCTCCTACCATCCCTTGCCATTCTTTCCTCTGGGGGCAGACTCTGGCAAAGTGACCTGGCTGTTGGCAGAGATAGCATTTCCGGGCGCCTTTTCCCTCCTTTTTCCCCCTCACTGGGCTTTGAAACTGCGCGCGCGCGCTGTTCCGATTTCCATCGGCTCTGCCGGTGGGAAAGTTGGCTCTGGAATGTCTGGAATGCGGAACTCCTTCCAACGTTCCCCTTTCCCTTCCCGCCTCTCCAATGCTCTCGCCTCCTGGCGCGCTCCTATGGCCAGCGCTGATTTGGTCAGCTGGTCCATAGACTCCACCCTGGGCGCCCGGGAAAGTTCATCTTTCACAGCCGAAGAAAGCCCTTCTTCAAAGAGCATTTGAATGGGTTCCGCCGATAAGTCCCACCCCAATCTGTGAACAAGCATGGTGAACTCAGTCCAGTACTCACGGACAGATCGGCTCCCCTGTTTGCAAGCCATCAACTGTCTGCGCACCACTCCCTTTTCAATATCGCTGGAAAACATCAGATCCATGGCGCGAAAGAACTTCATCGTGTCCTTTAGGACGTCACTATTTGCTGCCATCAGGGGTCTAACCCAGTCTCTCGCCCCCTTTCAAGATGCTCAATCACGAAAGCCACTCGTGATTCCTCGTCAGGGAATTCATCAAACTGCAGATTGAGGGCATATTGCATTTCTGTCCGAAAGCCATGATAGTTTTTGGGCTCCCCCCCAAACTTCTGCACCAATCCTGGTACCTTTCTGGCGAGCTGGGTGGCTTTCCCCTTTTGGTCTGCATCCTGAGCCCTCCTCTCCTCAAGCCTCGCCGTCTGCATCGCTAGCTGGACCTCCAACACCCGGTACCTTTCTTCCAGGCTTGGACCCACTCCAGCTCCTGCTTCTCCGGTTCCGGCTGGGTTGCTCATGATGCCTTCTCCTGCACAAGCTGCTTTCAAAGACTGTCGGAATGCTGTGATGAGATGATGAGCTGCTTGTGCGTAAAATCGTATCCCCTCAGAGTTTGTTCAAGTCCACAAACCTCTGTCTGTGACGGAGCCCTCAGACATGGCTCCTCTAGTCACTAGCAGATTCCGACAGTGGTTGCTTTCGTAATCGCTTCCAACATAAAAGCTCCTTAACGGAAACACGTCTTCTGGACTCTCTGCGTGACAGTTTCCGGCGAGGAGTGGGTGTTCTTACAGGAGGTCCTGAAACCTCCCCACTGTTTTCGCTGGAAGTGTCTCTGAGCCATCCCTCCAGCTCAGCTCCTCTCCCCTGCTGGTTCCCTCTTCAGCTGCTGCGTCTCTCCCAACCTGTGTGAGCCCTTTCACCTCCCTGCTGGTTCCCTCTTCAGCTGCTGCGTCTCTCCCAACCTGTGTGAGCCCTTTCACCTCCCTGCTGGTTCCCTCTTCAGCTGCTGCGTCTCTCCCAACCTGTGTGAGCCCTTTCACCTCCCTTCCGTCCGATGGCAGTTCCCTGACACAAATCAATATTCCTGGAAGTCAATACAATCCCTAAATATTTCACTTTCTTTACCACCTCAATCTCTGTCTGTTGCTGTATTCTTTCACTAATTTCTTGATCTATGTTTCTCACCATTATTTTGGTTTTTTTCTTATTCAGTTTAAACCCTGCCACCTGTCCAAATTCTTCCATTTCTTTTAATACTTCTTTAGTACTCTCTATAGGATCTTCTATCATTATAACCAAGTCATCAGCATACGCCTTTACTTTATATTTATTACGGCCAACCGATACCCCTTTTATCTGTTCATTGTTTCTTATTGAACTTAATAAGACTTCCAGGACCGATATGAATAGCAACGGTGATAGAGGACACCCTTGTCTTGTACCCTTGGTTATTGCAATATTTTCTGTTATTATATTATTGACAATTAATTTTGCTCTTTGTTCTGAATACATTGCTTTTATACCATTTAGAAAAGATTGGCCCATATCCATTGCTTCTAAGTTTTTTAACATAAATTCCCAAGAAATATTATCAAAGGCTTTCTCCGCATCCACAAAAATTAACATTGCTTGTTTATCCTTCCTGTTAGTCAGATATTCCATTATATCAATTATATTTCTTATGTTTTCTTTCATCTGTCTACCAGGAAGGAAATCTACTTGATCCTTCTGTATCATTTCCTTTAAAATTCTTTTCATCCTATTTGCCAAAATGTTTGCGAACATTTTCTAATCATTATTTAATAATGAGATCGGCCTGTAATTCAATAAACCATTTCCATTCTTTTATAAAAAGTTTGCTTTCTTGATTTCTTACTCTTCCGGTAAGTTTTGCCATTTCTGCATATTCCATAAGTTTTTGTATCCATTCTTCCTTTGCTGGGACTTGTGCATTTTTCAAGTTTTGGGCAAGTAACATTCTTGCCGCTGTAGTCGTGTCCATGAATAAAAATAGATTTCTCACCCTTTTCCTATGCATCTGCAGGGAGGCACATAGATAGATGATAGATAGATAGATAGTTGTTTAGTCGTGTCCGACTCTTCGTGACCCCATGGACCAGAGCATGCCAGGCACTCCTGTCTTCCACTGCCTCCCGCAGTTTGGTCAAACTCATGCTGGTAGCTTTGAGAACACTGTCCAACCATCTTGTCCTCTGTCGTCCCCTTCTCCTTGTGCCCTCAATCTTTCCCAACATCAGGGTCTTTTCCAGGGAGTCTTCTCTTCTCATGAGGTGGCCAAAGTCTTGGAGCCTCAGCTTCACGATCTGTCCTTCCAGTGAGCACTCAGGGCTGATTTCCTTCAGAATGGAGAGGTTTGACCTTCTTGCAGTCCATGGGACTCTCAAGAGTCTTCTCCAGCACCAGAATTCAAAAGCATCAATTCTTTGGTGTATATATATATATATATATATATATATATACACATACACGTACCAAATAGACCTGCCTCCTTACCTGCTGCCCCTTGTCATCTGCAGGAGCACCAGCCTTGCCCAGGTCAATGCCATGCTGAGGGAGCAGCTGGACCAGGCGAACACAGCCAACCAGGCCCTCAGTGAGGACATTCGTAAGCTGACGGCTGACTGGACCAAGGCCCGGGATGAGCTGGAGCAGCGGGAGGTGGACTGGAGGCGAGAGGAGGAGGTCTGGGGCACGGGAGAACCTGGGGGTGGCGTGGGGGGCTTGAGGCAGGGGGCAGGTTTGGGGAGGGATGGAAAGCGGTCTGAGAAGAGGCAGAGGGATGCCAGAGCACAGAGCCTGTCCTCGGTGCCTTCATCGCCTCTGGTGAAAAGGGTTTGGCAGGTTTTGAAATGGGGGGGGGGGGAGGAATGCAAATGGGTAAAACTGATGGTAATTGCAGCCAGACAGGTTATAGCGAGCAATTGGAAAAATACAGAAGAGCTAGGGGTGAACCAATGGAGGAAAAAACCCTAATAATATTACAATTTTATAAGATACATAGAATGAAAGGGTTTAAGGTCAGTGAGAAAGAGGAGGATTGGTTTGAGAAGATATTGAATTATTAGAGTAGGTTTGAACAATTTGGGGCAATTAAAATTTTAAAGGGATGCCAGTGGCGCTGTGGGTTAGACCACAGAGCTTAGGACTTGCCAATCAGAAGGTCGGCGGTTTGAATCCCCACGACGCGGTGCGCTCCTGTTGCTTGGTCCCTGCTCCTGCCCACCTAGCAGTTCAAAAGCATGTCAAAGTGCAAGTAGATAAACCGCTCCGGCGGGAAGGTAAACAGTGTTTCCGTGTGCTGCTCTGGTTCGCCAGAAGCGGCTTAGTCATGCTGGCCACATGACCCGGAAGCTGTATGCCGACTCCCTTGGCCAGTAAAGCGAAATGAGCGCCGCAACCCCAGAGTTGGCCACGACTGGACCTAATGATCAGGGGTCCCTTTACCTTTAAAATGTTAAAAGTTAAATAAACCTTGTGGAAGGAGGAGTATACATATGATTAGAAGTGTACATCTGATTAATATATGAAGTGTACATATAGAAGTGTACATATGATTAATTTGAATATGTTGTTACTGAATATAATTGAATATTATTGAATATGTCTATTATTGAATATTGTATACCCAATGTATCAGCCGCCTGGGGGGTTTCACTGTTTGTGTTTTGGTGGCTGGTAAAAAATAAAAATTAATTTTTTATTAAAAAATGAAACGAGGGGGGAGCTTGCGGGACCTGCCACCTTGCGAAGCTGGCTGCCTGCCCCCCTGACTGCTGACTTTTTGTGGGCTGGCACTGCAGAAGCGCTTTCTTGTCGCCGGCACTGTCCTCAGCCTGCGGCTTCTCCTTCTCCCTTTCAGACCTTCAACACGTACTTCCGCAACGAGCACAGCCGGTTGCTCACCCTCTGGCGGCAAGTGGTGGGGTTCAGGAGGCACTTTGGGGAGATGAAGACCACGATGGAAAGGTCAGCCCTCAGAACAGCAACCTTGGCCACAGCCCCAAACCTGGGCCTGTCCACACTGCCCAGCCTCAAGCTGCTGTTGTTACTGCGCCCAGTGCCGGATTTACATACAGTGGTGCCTCGCAAGACGAAATTAATCCGTTCCGCGAGTCTCTTCGTCTTGCGGTTTTTTTGTCTTGCAAAGCACGGCTATTAGCGGCTTAGCAGCTATTAACGGCTATTAACGGCTTAGCGGCTATTAACGGCTTAGCGGCTTTAAGAAAAAGGAAACAAACTCACAAGAACTCGCAAGACGTTTCGTCTTGCGAAGCAAGCCCATAGGGAAATTCGTCTTGCGGAACGACTCAAAAAACGCAAAACCCTTTAGTCTAGCGAGTTTTTCGTCTTGTGAGGCATTTGTCTTGCGGGGCACCACTGTATAAGCTAAACAAGCTATAGCTTATGGCCCCACTCTCTCGGGGCCCCCCCAAAAAATTGAAGGAAAAAACCCTGGATGGATATTTCCAAAATATAAGATAAAAAACAAATAAAATAAAACCTACATACAGCAGCAGTGTTTTGTGTTGTGTAGGCTCCTATGATGTAAGTAATGGGCCCCACCTGCTGGCCTGTTCCCTAAAATTGGAGTCAGCAACCTTTTTCAGCCAGGGGCTGGTCCACTATCCCTCAGACCATGTGGTTGGCCGGACTATATTTTGAAAAAATAATAATGAACGAATTCCCATGCCCCACAAATAACCCAGAGATGCATTTTAAATAAAAGCACGCATTCTACTCATGTAAAACACCAGGCAGGCCGCACAAATAACCCAGAGATGCATTTTAAATAAAAGGACACATTCTGATTCCTGGACTGTCCGCGGGCCAGATTGAGAAGGCGATTGGGCCGCATCCAGCCCCCGGGCCTTAGGTTGCCTCTCCCTGCCCTAAAATATCACTGGTTTGCTCATTTCTATACATAGGGTGCCTACATTCTGCATGTACTGGTTGCATGGCAACATGTGCAAATGACTTTAGATATCTATTAGGTCCATAAATTACCATACAGCGTATACTGAACACACACAAAAATGACAATTTGTTGTTGACAAAGGACATCTGGACCAATAAGGGGCCCCATTACCTTCAGTAGCTTAGGGCCTCATCAAACCTAAATTGGCTTGATTCTGCCCTTTTAAAATGTGGTGGGGTTTTTTGGGGGGGGTGTTACTGGTTTGTTGTTTTCCTTTTGATTAGACAAGTACCTTGGGAGTCGAAACAGAATCCACTCCAGAAGGCCGTTCGACTTCCAAAACATTCAAAACCAAAGCGCATCTTCTGATTGGCTGCAGGAAGCTCCTGCAGCCAATCGGAAGCCCCGTCGGATGTTCAGCTTCCAAAAACAGTTTGCAAACTGGAACAATCACTTCCGAGTTTGCGACACTAGGGAGCCAAAACATTCGGGAGCCAAGGCGTCCGAGATCCAAGGTGTGACTGTATATATTTTGTGGTTTTATATTTTGATTTTGTTCTGTGAACCGCCCTGAGACCTCCAGGTACAGGGTGGTATATGAATTCAATAAATAATAATAAAATAATAATTTGCACAAAAATATACTAATTGATTAAATCGAGCAGATGTCCCTCTCAGTGCTTTTGTGTGTGTGTGTGGAATGTTTATTCCCTTGTCTGCTCGTCATTTTGTAGGGGCAGGAAGTGACTGAGCATTTTCCCCAGCCATTTGAAAATCATGCTAGATCAGCATACCACATGAGGTCTAGAAACCTGAACTAAATGGTAACTGTGAATCGTAAGAAGCTCGGAGCACAGTTTTAAGTGCACTTTTGGTGGTGCTGCCTGCGCAGTGGCTCGTGAGGAGGAGGTGCATGTTGTTGCTTGCATTGCTCTCTCTTTTTGAAATCATTTTTCTTTGATTTTACAAATACGAATTTATAACATTCCAAATGCATATCCATATACTATAGAGATTACTCTGAATCTCAAGACTTCCACCCCATCCCCTCCATGGGTCCTAGTGTCAACATTTACAGCTGCATATTATTCCATATTCTATATTTTAAATCATATTATCCATAGTATTTGTTACATTACAAATGGGTTTCAAATCCTGCTAATGTTTCTATTTGCCCGCAGGGGTCTCCTAGATAAATTATAAACATTTTCCCATTCTTTTAAAAAAAAATTGTCCTCTTGGTTTGTGAGTTTTCCAGTCAGCTTTGCCATTTCAATGTAGTCCATCAGCTTAGCTTGCCATTTCTCTCTCCTTTGTCTTCTTTCTATATCTAGGCTAGTAGCATCTGAGCGGCTGTTGTCCCAGACATAAAAAGTATTTTCTGCTCCTTTGCGATGTCGGTACAGTCTTACCTCGGGTTAAAGTCGCTTCAGGTTGAGCGCTTTCAGGTTACGCTCCGCGGCGACCCAGAAGTAACGGAACACATTACTTCTGGGTTTCGCCGCTTGTGCATGCGCAGACACTCAAAATGACGGCATGCGCAGAAGCGACGAATCGCGACGCGCAGATGCGGGTTACGTTCTGCTCAGGATGCGAACGGAGCTCCGGAACGGATCCCATTCACATCCAGAGATACCACTGTACTTAACGTATTTTTCGCTCTGTAAGACGCACCAGACCATAAGACACACCTAGTTTTTGGAAGAAGAAAACAAGAAAACAAACATTCAGAATCTCAGAAGGTTATGGGATAGCTGCGTGCAGCCTCTCCCGGGCAAAGGGAGCCTTCATTCCACTGCCCAGGCGAGGCTCCCCCAAGAGCCACGCTCCCTTTAAAGAGCGCGCGGAGTGTGTGTGCGGCTCTTGAGGGTTTTCCCCAAGGAAAATTATTCTCTTGTTGAACAAGGGCTGCCCTTTTCCCTCCTCGGGAAAAAGCCCCGAAGAGCCGCACACATGCTCCAGCGGCTCTTTAAAGGGAGCGCTGAGCAGAGCCTCCCGACTGCATTTGCTCCATGAGATGCACACACATTTCCCCTTACAGTGGTGCCTCGCAAGACGAAATTAATCCGTTCCGCGAGTCTCTTCGTCTTGCGGTTTTCTCGTCTTGCGAAGCACGGCTATTAGCGGCTTAGCGGCTATTAGCGGCTTAGCGGCTTAGTGGCTATTAACGGCTTAGCGGCTTTAAGAAAAAGGAAACAATTCGCAGAACTCGCAAGACGTTTTGTCTTGCGAAGCAAGCCCATAGGGAAATTCGTCTTGCGGAACGACTCAAAAAATGCAAAACCCTTTCGTCTAGCGAGTTTTTTGTCTTGCGAGGCATTCGTCTTGCGGGGCACCACTGTACTTTTTAGAAAGGGAAAAGTGCGTCTTATAGAGCGAAAAATAGGGGTATATTGTTACTTGCATTTCTCTCCCCTGAGCAACTCCTCTTGCTCCCTGTCTCGGCAGGGACCTCTCTGAGCTGGGCCACGAACTCTCCCGCTCCAGCCGCACGGTCCACGCTGCCTGCCTGAACCTGAGCAGCAACCTGCGCCTGTCAGAGAGCAGCACCGGTGCCACCCTGGAGAAGCAGGCGCTGCTGATGGCGCAGCTGGAGGAGCAGCTGAAGGACAAGGTCCGCGACATGATCCAGCTGCAGGTCCGCTGCGACATGGAGAAGGCCGAGCTGGGCAACAGGTACCAGGGAGGGGGGAATGGTTGGGGGAGGCAGGTTTAGCACCTGACAGGGGAGCCTGCTCTGGCCTCCAGCATGGCCTGTGGCTGGGGTAGGAGGAACCAGGCAGAGGGTCTTCTCAGTGGTGGCACCCGCCCTGTGGAACGCCCTCCCATCAGATGTCAAGGAAATAAACAACTACAGTGGTACCTCAGGTTACAAGCACCTCAGGTTACAAACACTTCGGGTTATAACCTGGAAGTAGTACCTCAGGTTAAGAACTTTGCCCCAGGATGAGAACAGAAATTGCGCGGCGGCGGCAGGAGGCCCCGTTAGCTAAAGTGGTACCTCAGGTTAAGAACGGACCACCAGAACGAATTAAGTTCTTAACCCGAGGTACCACTGTATCTGACTTTTAGAAGACGTCTGAAGGCAGCCCTGTTTAGGGAAGTTTTTAATGTCTGGTGTTTTGTTGCATCATCATCATCATCATCATTATTATTATTATTATTATTATTATTTCTGTTGGGAGCCACCCAGAGTGGCTGGGGGAAACAAACAAACAAATATTATTTATACCCTGCCCATCTGGCTGGGCTTTCCCAGCCACTCTGGGTAGCTTCCAAGACATAAAAACACAATAAAATAAAACCTTTTTGATACAGGGCTGTCTTCATTTTTATTTTTTTTAATGATATTTATTAAGGTTTAAAAAAAAAAAAAGAGTACATAGATAAGAAGAAAAGAGAAAAAAGAAAAAAAAAAAGAAAAAATACAAAATACAGAAAAAAGATAAAAAACACTTAAAAACAAATCAATCTTTCCATGCCTTACATTTCATTTCCCTGCTTCCCTGACCTCCTCACACCTCCCTTTTTTGTATTCCAGTTCAATTAGTTAATTCAGCAATTCCTTTCCCTCTTTGTTTTTGTCTTAATCCTTTAACTTAATATATTATAACTTTAGGTTCTCACCTGTTAACAATCCATTTTTACATACACCTTTATATCGTTGCTGGTAACTCCACTTAACTTCATTCTGACATCATTCTAACATTCATTAATTTTACAGTATTTCTGTAAATAGTCTTTAAATTTCTTCCAATCTTCTTCCACCGACTCTTCTCCCTGGTCTCGGATTCTGCCAGTCATTTCCGCCAGATACAGGGCTGTCTTCAGATACCTTTCAACCACTGAGCTATGGCCTCCTCCCCCCCCCCCAAAATGTTCCTCACTCTTTGCATGTGGGGTTTCTGCTGAGGAACTTGGCTCAGGCGCAGGGCCCATCTGCTTTGCCTGCAAGAGGACTATTTCCGAAGCTCTCCCATGCCCCGCAAGGCCAGAAAGGACCCCCGAGTGCCCCCACTGGCCCAGAACTGACCACTGAGTCCTTCTCTTCCCTTGCCCTCCAGGATCAACGAAGTCACGTCCAGCCTGGAGCGCTTGAAAGGCCAGAACGCGGAGAAGACCAAGTCAATTGAGGCGCTGACCCAGAAGCTGGAGAGTTTGGTGAGAGGAGGCAGCTGGGTTTTGGGGGAGGAGGATGATGGAGTGCATTGGGTGGCCCTCAAGAAGAAGCAGCTCATAGAATCATAGAATCATAGAATCATAGAGTTGGAAGAGACCACAAGGGCCATCGAGTCCAACCCCCTGCCAAGCAGGAAACACCATCAGAGCACTCCTGACATATGGTTGTCAAGCCTCTGCTTAAAGACCTCCCAAGAAGGAGACTCCACCACACTCCTTGGCAGCAAATTCCACTGTCGAACAGCTCTTACTGTCAGGAAGTTCTTCCTAATGTTTAGGTGGAATCTTCTTTCTTGTAGTTTGGATCCATTGCTCCGTGTCCGCTTCTCTGGAGCAGCAGAAAACAACCTTTCTCCCTCCTCTATGTGACATCCTTTTATATATTTGAGCATGGCTATCATATCACCCCTTAACCTCCTCTTCTCCAGGCTAAACATGCCCAGCTCCCTTAGCCGTTCCTCATAAGGCATCGTTTCCAGGCCTTTGACCATTTTGGTTGCCCTCCTCTGGACACGTTCCAGCTCTCCAGGCATCTGCTCTGTCGGGGGCCGTGTGGCCCTAAGGGGTCTCCCCACTCCTGGTGCCGTGCCCCCCCCCGGTTCTGCCCCCCCCAGGCTGGCATGTGTCCCCCCCCTCCCCTTCCTCTCCCACTTGAGCCTGGGACTCTGTTGCTTTCATCCCACCTTTGTCTTCCTCCTTCTGCTTTCTGTGCTCCAATATTCCATTTATTTATTTATTCCTTGATTTACAAAAGTGTGTGCAATGTCTCTCTCTTGTATATATATATATTTTCCGTGTAACTTTTTTACAAATCAGTTTCATTTGTTGAGACATTGGGGAAATAAGGGGGAAAGAGGGGGTGGAGATGGGGGTGGGGTGGGGTGGCGATGTTTCTATTTTAGTTACTACAGTGGTACCTCGGGTTACAGACGCTTCAGGTTACAGACTCCGCTAACCCAGAAATAGTACCTCGGGTTAAGAACTTTGCTTCAGGATGAGAACAAAAATTGCGGCAGCGGGAGGCCCCATTAGCTAAAGTGGTGCTTCAGTTTCAGGTTAAGAACAGTTTCAGGTTAAGAACGGACCTCCGGAACGAATTAAGTACTTAACCCGAGGTACCACTGTATATGTAGGGTTTGGTGTCAGTGTTGCTTGTGCAGGTTCTCTGCTGTTCACTTGTGTTCCTTTGGTGGTGAGAGAGGTTGGGGCTGGCCTAGGGTGTGGTTGTTCATTTGTGGCTGGCTGTGGTGGTCTTCATTTTCATGTGTGAGTGAGGTGGGTGGGTGTTTTGGATCAGGTTAGCCATATTGATTTGCATGTCGTTGGTGGATTTTTGTCGTTGTCTTGTTGGGCTGTGTATGTGATAAAGGGGAGCCATACCGGGGTGAAGGTGTCTTCTTCTATATTGAGATGTTTAAAAAGGGAAGAGAGAGAGAGAGTTTTCCTAAGCTTTTCTTCCCTTTTCCCAACTCCTTTCTGCTCTGCCTCCTTTGAGAACAACGGTAAATTTCCTCGTCCCCTTTTGGTGTCTGTGTACATTATGGTCTAATCTTCTTCCCATACTTCTCACTCGAGTCCCACTTCATTTGAGCTTTGCCATGGATGAAAAACTGGGGGGGGGGTGGAACCAGAGGGAGGAGATTTATTAATGCTTAAAGCCCTTCCGACCCTGCCTGGGTGAATCATAGAGTTGTAGAACTGCAGAGGGAACCCCAAGGGTCATCCAGTCCAACCCCCTGCAATGCAGGAATCGCAGCTGAAGGCTCTCTGACAGACATCAATCCAGCTAAAAAACTTCCCATGAAGGAGAGTCCACCACCTGTTCCACGGCCGGACTGCTCTGACCCTCAGAACGTTCTTCCTCACGTTGATTCGGAATTTCCTTTCTCGTATTTTGAATTTGGTGGTTTTGGGTGCTCCCTTCTCTGTAGCAGCTGAAAACAAGTTTGCTTCATCTTTGGGGCACCCAGCATAGCTGTCAACGTTTCCCTTTTTAAAAGGGAAATTCCCTTATTCCAAATAGGATTCCTCGCAAGAAAAGAGGAAAGTTGACAGCTATGGCACCCAGCAGGTTAAGGATTCATCCCTGGTAAGTAGAACCAGGTATGGCTGGGAAGGACTGAAACTCTGGGGAGATGCTGTTTAGACGACACTGAGGCAGGTGGGCTTTGAGTGTCAGGCAGGCTCCTTTGTTCCTTTGTTTTGTTTGGTTTTGTTTAATTTTTTTTAAAAAATTATAATATAAATGTTATTAGTATTTTCCACACAACAACATGAAAAATATTGAAAAATAACAATACACATGTAGCAGGAAACCCACCCCCCCATCATTCAGTTTGTACAAACTTCACACTCACACACACTACATACGCCACACTTCTGTTATAAATTCATAGAAAATCAACCATACATCGGATTTGCACTGTTCCACTTTTATTTTACTCCATGAAGGAACGACTACAAAATGGGGAAGGTTTGATACAGGGCACCATAATCCCTTCATCATCCCAGCACATCCACAGGAGCCCTGCCCAGTTGCTATGCCAACCCTGATGGTCCTAGACAGAAGACAATCAAGATCACAAAGAACTTGCATATGGGAGTGGATTCAGCATGGACTGGAACAAAGGACAATGATCAGATCTTCCCTCAGGGGGCAGGAAACTGCGACTACCTTTTGTCTTCAGAAAATGATTCATGGGGGGGGGAGAAGGGAACCAGCCAGGTGACAGGACACTCAGGTTACCACCACAACTCCTCCCTCAACCCCTCCTTTCTGTAATGTATGCATGATGTTTCTGGGGGTGGGCTTGAGCTAGAGGATGGGAATTTCAAAAGTTTTTATAAGGTCTTGCACACCATTTTCTGTGTCTTTTCCTCTCTCCTGCAAGTGAGGGGAACACCCTGTTGCAACAGTTCAATAAGGCCAAGCCTACAGGCTGCTGATTTGCTCCAACTTACTCTGGTTGGTGTCTTTACTTTTTGTCCAAGGGAGCCCTCAGATTTTTCCGGTAACACACAAAACACAAAAACCAACATTCAAAAAACAAAAAAGCAAATCCATATCTTACAAGTTAATAATATAAACACTAAAAAGAAAAACAAACATTGACTTCTACCAATCCCACAGCACCTCCTTTATCTCTCATTGTGTCTTCCTGTTTTCCTTATCATCTCTATCCTAACATCTAGATATAAATCTCTCTTTCTTATCCTTTCACTTCACAAGGTTATTCCAGACTCAGCCAGATTTCTTCCCTCGAACCTTGACTTTTAAGGTATTCATTTAGGCACTCCCAATCTTTCTTTACTTCACTTTTTGGTTTTTGTCTGTCAATTTGGCTAATTCTAAATATTCTGAAAGCTTACATAACCACTCTTCCCTAGTGGGTAACTGATTCCCTTTCCAATACTTAGCCACCGGGATTCTTGCTGCAGGCATCGCGTATAAGAAAAATTTAGTTTTGTCTTTTGGAATATCATCGTTTAAAATTCCTAAAAGGAATGCCTCTGGCCTTTTACTATATGATATTCTTAGTATTTTCTTTATTTCTTTGTGGATCCTCTGTTCCTTTGAGTTCCCTCCAAGCTGCCTCCCTCCAAATGTCCAGCAGCCAGAACCTGGCAGAGAGTCCTTCTTGCTTTGCTGATCGTCCTGCCCCATGTCTGCTTCCAGGAAGCCTCCCGTGCACAGGAACAGGCTGCGGCGGAGGCCGAGGAGGTGGAAGCCCTGCGGACAGAATCTGAGTTGCTGCAGCAGACCCTGCGCGACCTTGCTCAGGTACAGGGCAGAGGACCCCCATTGTCCCTTTCGTGGCATCTGACTCATCTCTTTTGAAGCTGAGATATAATAATAATAATAATAATAATAATTTATTACAGTGGCACCTCTGGATGTGAGCGTTCCGGAGCCGCATTCGCACCCAGAAGCGAATGCAACCCGCGGGTCTGCGGGTCGCCGCTTCTGCGCATGACATCATTTTGACCGTCTGCGCATGCATGAGCGGCGAAACCCGGAAGTAACGCGCTCTGCTACTTCTGGGTCGCCGCAGCATGCAACCCGAAAATACTTACCCTGAAGCTACTTCAACCCAAAGTATGACTGTATTTATACCCCGCCCATCTGACTGGGTCTCCCCAGCCACTCTGGGCAGCTTCCAACCAAATATCAAAAACAATACAGCGTCAGACATTAAAAACTAACCCTAACCCTAAAGAGGGCTGCCTTCAGGTGTCTTTTAAAAGTAAAATAGTTGATTATTGCCTTGACGTCTGGTGGGAGGGCGTTCCACAGGGAGGGCGCCACTACCGAGAAGGCCCTCTGCCTGGTTCCCTGTAACCTCACTTCTCACAGCGAGGGAACTACCAGAAGGCCCTCGGTGCTGGATCTCAGTGTCCGGGCTGGATGATGGGGGTGGAAATGCTCCTTCAGGTATACAGGTATGCAGGGGAGGGGGCACTTCTGCCTGGTCCCACTGTGAGTTTTAATTTTTGTTCTCCCCGTAGGCTGTGATCTCCGACGCGGACAGTGCCGTCCACCTCCCGGCCACGGAAACCTCAGACAGCGACGCCACCGGGCTCAGCCTGCGGGGCTTGTCCTCCAGCTTCCGGACGCCCTCCCCGCTGCGCCGTTCCTCCCCCCACCGCCGCAGCCTGTCCCCCATCTTCCCTGACTCCACGCTGGCGGTGGTGCAGTCGGCCCTGCAGAAGCGCCAGCTGCAGCTTCAGGTAAGGGAGGAGGGGGGCGTCCGATTCTCACCCCAAAGGCCAGGGAGGCAGGTGGTGCACTTGGGGGAAGAAGGCCCTTGCCAAAATCCTGAGCAGGTCCGCTTCATAGAAGGGAGCGCGGGAGAGGATAATAATAATAATTTTGCCACAGCCTCTCTGGGCCGCTTGCAACATATATAAAAACATAATAAAACACTGAATATTGAAAAGCTCCCCTAAACAGTGTTTGTCTCACTCAAGATTGGACCATGATTCTATATCTCCTTGCAGACATTGATAAGTATGTGACCTGGTGTGTAGCACTTTTTGCAACTGCCACCAGGAAAATTAGAAAAAATTATATAGCCGAGATAGCTATCAACTGCAAAGGAGATGAATTTATTTGACCCCATCTACACCAAGCTGTATCTTTCTCACTAAACTTTGTACGTAATTGTCTATATTGTATTATATAATATTGCTGTTAATATATGAGGGCCCCCACGGTGATTTTAGCTTATAAATTTTATTGCCAAATGTTTCAATTTATATATTAAAGAGTTTCTATAGTTTTGTGCAGATTAGGTCAGGTTTTGACAATGTAAATGTTTTAAGTTTTTGTGTCAAACTAGTATATATTTTATTGAATGACATTGTATACATTGCAGCAGCCTTTGGCTATAAGCAATAAACTTGACTGACTGACACTCAAGATTGGGGGCGGGAAGGGGAGAGAGGAGTTCCTAACTGCAAGGGAAGAGGCCACCCCCAAAAAGGCATCGCTCACTCTCCCTGTGTGAGAGCAGGAATACAAACTGGGCTTCTGCCCTGTCTAGAACATGCAAATATCCTCAGTTGGTCTCGTTTTCCGTAACTTATTCTGATTCTTGTCACCCAGATCAGGGACAACTGTTTTCCAAATGGCATCCGGCCTCTCAGCTCTGGTTTTGCAGGCTTAGTTGGCAGCCTCGTCACTTGCCATGATGTGGTGGGGCTAATAACTTGGTTTTAGGAAAGACACAGGGGACACGGGTGGCACTGTGGTCTAAACCACTGAGCCTCTTGGGCTTGCCACTCAGAAGGTCAACGGTTCAAATCCCCGTGATGGGGTGAGCTCCCATTGCTCTGTCCCATCTCCTGCCAACCTAACAGTTTGAAAGCACACCGATGCAAGTAGATAAATAGGTACTGCTCTGGCAGGAAGGTAAATGGCTTTTCCGTGCGCCCTGGTTTCCGTCACGGTGTTCCGTTGTGCCAGAAGCGGTTTAGTCATGCTGGCCACATGACCTGGAAAGCTGTCTGTGGACAAACACTGGCTCCTTCAGCCTGAAAGTGAGATGAGCACCGCAACCCCATAGTCGCCTTTGACTGGACTTAACCGTCCAGGGGCCCTTTACCTTTTTACCTTTAGGAAAGACATTCAGAAAGAGAGATTCTCAGGGGGCTTCCATAGAATTGTACAAGACAACAATAGATAGAGAAAGTAAACATGTACACAAAACATGTGCAACCAGAATGCAAGGCCGACAAGTAAGCCCTCCTTGCTAGCCTAAATTTACTACCCATTGTGTGTTTTGGTTGTTCTGCACAATCTGTCAACTTGAGGAAACTGGAAACCAGAGTCCCAACAATCGTAGTATCCGTCTCTGCTGAACTGTGTTTATTGGTGCTTAGGTCATTTTAGACATCAGAGAAGTTTTTAATGTGTGACATCTTAGTATATTTTTGGTCTTTTGTTTGGAAGCCACCCAGAGTGGCTGGGGAAACCCAGCCAGATGGGCGGGGTACAAATAATAAATTATATTATTATTATTATTATTATTATTATTAACTGCTTCATATATGGTGGTGGTTCTCTGCTGTGCTGTGAGCTGCTCTCTGGGAGAGAAATACAGTGGTAACAACCCCAGCAATCAGAGTTCTCCTTTTCCTCATCTGGGCGTGGGCTTTGCCATCTGCCGGTCTGTTCCTGAGCTGCTTGCTTTTACTTTTTACGCCCAGGACCTCCGGGGGAAATACGAGGCTGCGCAGGACCTTGTGTCATCCCTGAAGAGGCAGTTGGCAGAGAGCGACAACGAGCGCCGTTCCCTGGAGCAGAAGATCCTGCAGCTGAAGGGGGACCTGGACAGGCTGTCGCAAGCCAAGGAGGACGCGGCTCACGATGCCAACCGCTTTCGGTCTTCCGCCGAACTGCTGGGCAGGTGAGGCACCTCGAATTCCCTTCTTGAAGGAAGCAAGGAGCACCAGGAAGGCAAGGAATGCCTTTGTGAAATTTCCCTACTGCCTCTCTGTCTGAGTGCCTGCCCTGGCTGTGTCTCCTTCCCAGAAGCCTCTGCTGAAAGGGCTTGTGTGTGTGTTGGCATTTAAGGACTGAACCCCACCCCCCTGCACAGAGGGGCAGCAGAACAACCTGCATCCAGAGGAGGCTTGTGTTTCTCTGTGTGAGTCAGCGCTCTGGGCTGCCTTCTTTCCAGTCCGGAGGAGTAATTCAGCACTGTGGTGTGGGAGCGGGGGGTCCCTCTCTCGGCCTCGGCCCTGTATACCTGAAGGAGAGTCTCTGCCCCCCAAAATTGGCTTCTTGTACTCCGCCTCTTGTTGCTGCATTGTTTTCCCAGTTATTTCTAATTCACATCCCTTTCCTTACAACAACAACAACAACAACAACAACAACAACAATTTATTATTTATACCCCGCCCATCTGGCTGAGTTTCCCCAGCCACTCTGGGCGGCTTCCAACAAAAGACCAAAAACACACTAAGATGTCACACATTAAAAACTTCCCTGATGTCTAAAATGACCTAAGCACCAATAAACACAGTTCAGCAGAGAAGGATACTACGATTGTTGGGACTCTGGTTTCCAGTTTCCTGAAGTCGACAGATTGTGCAGAACAACCGAAACACACAATGGGTAGTAAATTTAGGCTAACCTTATATTACCTTCTGTTCTTTTTCTTTTTGATTAGTTTAAACTTATTGTCCTTAAGTGTTGGCTGTCCACTTGCCCATGTGACTCCCCCTCTTCTCAAGAGAGAGAGATGGTCATGGTTGTGAATGCACTGGGATGGAACAGCCTCAACGGCTGTTGTGGGAAGTTGATGGAATGGGCGCTGTCCTTTGCTCCCTTACTGTCCTCACCCTGCTGTAGTGTCCCCCTCCTTTCTCCTCTCCAGCGAGAAGACGAACCTGGAAAAGAACCTGCAGCTGTTGCAGCAGAAGCTGGAGGTCCTCCATCAGGAAAAGGAGAAACTGCAGCTGGCCAACAGCGACCTTCAGCGACAGCGTGATGGCCTGGAAGAGGAGAAAGAGGACATCTTAAAGGACCAGGAAAGGGCTTGGAAGGAAATTGAGCGGAGGTAAAGTGGGAGATTGGTGAGATTTTTTTCTTGGGGTAGGGTGTCCCCTTTCTTCAAGAGGGGCTGAAGCTGGTGTGGTCTCAGGCCCAGTTCTCTGGCGCTGGTTGGGGGACATCTTGCAGTGACACAGAGGCATGCTGGGAAAGTATGGAGTGTCCTTTAAAACACCAAGTCAAAAGCAGTGGACTCTGCAAAAGCATTGAATGTTGTCTGCCCAGGAATCATGATTTTTTTTGCCATTAATATTTTTTATTGAAAGAATTGCAGTGATAAAGAAACAATGTGATGCAGAGAAAAGAAAAACCGAGAAAATAAAAAGAACGGAAATTTGTAGAAAGAAACAGTGTGCAAAAATGCAATGTAATATACTCCCGTACATTCTTATGTAAAGAGATATGAGGTTATGTCTACATATGAGATTCAGAAGTAATACAAAACACAAGTGAGTGAGAAGATTAAATGTTTTATTCTAAACAGCAAGCAATATATACATACCAAACAAGCACCTCAATCTCCCACTTGGAAGCCCTCAGTTTGCATGGCCCCATGGTCATCAGTCCGTGCACGAGATTCTCTCTCAAACTCTGCCCACAACCATCCGATTCACCTGTGTGGTTTGCCCAACTGCTTACATACATTCATTAGCTGCCCAGTGCCTCACTTTCTTGAAACAATGTCCAACATCAAAGAAGGCACTCATCACTGTTGCTTCCTTCCAACAGATTAGGACATTAAAGGCTGCTCTCAGCCATCAAAGAGCTTAACAAAAGATAGGGAAAAGGAAGGAACAGGGGGCAGGAAGGATAACCATGTCAGATCACTAACTCCTCAAAATACAAATATCTTCCGGATAGATTGCCCATACAGGTTATTATCCTAATACATATATAGATATGAATAGCCTGCTACATTCTGTAGAAACCCATTCCAAATGTCGTCGTATTTATCCAAAGCCTACATTTAATAAGCAGTCCGTTCATAAGTTGCGAGTGTTGTCGTGTTGCCAGTCCATTGACTGAAGGGGACCATATCTTTACTCTTCCAACTCATCAGTCTCAGTCTCTTGGCCACCGTTAGGGTGCCTTGTCCCATTGTTAACTTCCATGCAATAGGCATATAGTTCAAAAGAATATTCTCTGCTGAAAGTTTTAGCTTTATCTGTGCAGTCGTAGTTACACAGCCCATCACTTTCTCCCACAACTTAGCAAGCAGAGAACACTCTACAGACATGTTTCATGGAGGCATTGTCCTTGCCAAATCTCCACCATAGAGCTGTCTTCACCGGTCCTTTTTTTAAACGCCCTGGGAACCTGACTTGACAACAGGGTCTCTCTGTGAATATGCCACCTTGGTTCAACCCGAGGTAGAATGCTGTGGGGGTGAACGGCTGGCATCTTGTCTAGTGATTTCTTAAAAATCAGCGCTGGCACACCACAGGGATGTGTGATAAGTCCCTACCTGTATTCATTGTATACATACGATTGTGTATCATCTGACCTGTCTACTGCAATTATTAAGTTTGCAGATGACACCACCATAATGGGTTTAATAACAGGTGGAGATGAATCGGTGTATAGAGGGGAGGTACAGAAAATATCTACATGGTGCCTAGGGAACAACTTGCACCTTAATATCAGCAAGGCAAAGGAGATGGTGTGGACTTTTGGAGGAAGAGAGGAGAACTAGCCCCGCTGTAAATCGGGGAAGGCTGTGTGGAGAGAGTCTCTTCCTTTAAATTCCTAGGAGTTTATCTCAATGAAGACCTTACTTGCAAAATCAATACAACCCAGGTGGTTAAGAAAGCCCAACAGAGACTCCATCTCCTCAGAGTATTGCGGAAGAACGGTGTCAATCAACATTTGATGATCTCCTTCTACCAGTCAACAATAGAAAGTGTCCTTTCATACTGCATCACGGTGTGGTACGCTGGTTTGACATCATCTGATAGGAAGTGCCTACAGAGGGTGGTGAATACAGCACAAGATATTATGGGCTGTCCCATGAATCCGCTGGATGAAATAGTGGAAGAATGTTGCCTCAGGAAAGTGAGAAAAATTCTCAGGGATGATTCACACCGTGGCCGGCACTTTCTTGATCTCCTACCCTCAGGCAGAAGATGTAGAAGCACAATTAGTCGCACCAACAGGGTAAAGAACAGCTTCTATCCGTGGGCTGTTGGGCTACTGAATGAAAAGATAACAACAGGGCAACTGACTTTCAGGTTTGGTGGGTGTGCGTCAGTAAACGAGGGGAATTAAGACTAAGAGAGCTGAGTGGGGGGTGCTCGTGTAATCTCACTGTATACAAGTTGTACAAGTGTCAATAAAGTATTTCAATTTCAATTTCTCCCCTCTTCTGTCTCCCAGTCGCAAGCAGCTGGAGCAGCTGGAAGCAAAGAAGTCCGGCCTGAAGAAGGAGCTTGTGCTGGTGAAGGAAGCCCTGAGCAAAGCCCTTCTGGAGAAGGAGGTCTCTCAGCATGAGAAGGCCGAGGGCGATGAAGCCCTCTCCAAGGCAAGGAGGCAGCTGCTGGGGAGGGAGAGATTTGCACACCCTTCTGAAATCTGTTGGGGGTCCAGCGGTAGCATTATTATCAATTTACGATGAGGTGGAACAGGCATCCCCAACCTGCGGCCCTCCAGATGTTTTGGCCTACAACTCCCATGATCCCTAGCTAACAGGACCAGTGGTCAGGGATGATGGGAATTGTAGTCCAGAACATCTGGAGGGCCAAAGGTTGGGGATGCCTGGGGTGGAAGGTTCGCTGGCTAGGAAGGACTCGCTCACAAATTTATTGACAGCTGCACGAATTATGAAAGCTAGGAAACGGAAGGGGCAAGTAGAATATAAAATGGAAGGATGGTATAAAGAGGTGTGGGATATAGCTACTAATGATGAATTAACATTAAGGTAAGATGGGGACGTGGGTGGCACTGTGGGTTAAACCACAGAGCCTAGGACTTGCCGATCAGAAGGTTGGCGGTTCGAATCCCTGTGACGGGGTGAGCTCCCGTTGCTCGGTCCCTGCTCCTGCCAACCTAGCAGTTCGAAAGCACTTCAAAGTGCAAGTAGATAAATAGGTACCGCTCCAGTGGGAAGTTAAACGGCGTTTCCGTGCGCTGCTCTGGTTCGCCAGAAGCGGCTTGGTCATGCTGGCCACATGATCCGGAAGCTGTACGCCGGCTCCCTCGGCCAGTAAAGCGAGATGAGTGCCGCAACCCCAGAGTCGGCCACAACTGGACCTAATGGTCAGGGGTCTCTTCACCTTTAAGATGGGGAATATACAGGAGAAATGATTTCAAGGAGATATGGAAGGTGTTTGTAGAATTTGTACTGTTAAAACAGAAAGGGGTCAAACCATCACAAGAGGCATTGAAATTATGGGAGGCTGGATAGTTATAACGGAATGGTCTCGGGGTGTGTGTGCACTTTTTATTCTTATTTATTTAGGATTATTAGTTTGTCAAAATAAAAAATAGTAAAATATGTTAGGGGAAGGCCGTGGGGGGTGTTATTGGGATGTTTTTGCTTTTCTTTTTATTATGTATTCTGCGTTTGTATATTCTGATTTTATGTTGTAACTGCCCTGAGACCTGCAGGTATAGAGGGCTGTGAACTAACTAACTAACTAACTAACTAACTAAATAATTTTGGCAGCCCACCCAGGTGCCTTTCAGTACCTCCAAAACAAGAAGTGCAATGAGGCTAAGGCTGCCCTCATGCCTGTGTTTGGGGATCCTGAGCATGCACCCCATCCTGCTTGCTTGAGACCATGAGGTGTGTCCTGCAGGATCAGGCCACAGGCAGCCTTCAGCCTGTCTTGGCAGCCTGCTTTGCTCCAGTCCCAGCAAGCAGGTGTTTTTCTAAAAAAAATATATTTATTGAATTTAAATACCGCCCTATACCTGGAGGTCTCAGAAAAGATCACAATATATAAAATCAAAATAAGAACAATAACCCAATAACACCCTCCCCCAAAAAAGAACCACATTCTAAAAGTGCATAGGGTGTCAATCAGATCAACCAAAGGCCTGGTTAAAAAGCAACGCCTAAAGGTGTGTAATGAAAGCGCCAGACAAACTTCCCTGGGGAGAGCATTCCACAGCCGGGGAGCCACTGCAGAGACGGCCCTGCTCTCGTGTTGCCACCCTCCAGACCTCTCGAGGAGGAGGCACACGAAGGAGGGTCTCAGAAGATGATCTCAGGGTCCGGGGAGGTTCATATGGAAGCTGAGCCACCAGGCCTTTGTGGGATGGCTCTTGCTTCTTGCAGGGGCCTGGGGTTGGCACCTGGGGTCACAGGCTCTTCTGCACCTCCTTTCCTTTCCTGTCCCAGGCCGAGGCGAGCCGGGCTGAGCTGGAGCTGGCCTTGAGCCGCCTGAAGTCGGAGGAGTCCTCCTTGCGCGACTCGCTCTCCAAGATGAGTGCCCTCAACGAGGGGCTGGCACAGGATAAGATGGAGCTCAACCGGATAATCATCCAGGTACGAGGGAGCGGGGCTAGCGGCTGCAAAGAGGGAAGTGTGTCTTGTATTGTCTGCAAACTGAGAACATCCACATCTGAAGGATTTGTGCCAGAAGGAGGTGGCAGAGCGTAGGGTTTGTCAAGGAGTCGGAGAATGTCCGGAGGTCTTTGTCCATGACAGAGCAGAGGCAGGAAAAACAATTCCTGCACAGGAAGTACAATAGTTTTCGCTCCATAAGACACACTTTTTTCCTCCCAAAAAGTAAGGGGCAATGTCTGTGCATCTTATGGAGCAAATGCACTGGATGGCAGAGGGATCCCTTGGCTGCCGCTGCAGTCGCGAGCTGAGGGATGCCTCTGCAGCTGGAGCCATAGCTCCTGTCCGTCGCTCGCAGTAAAGCAAGCAGAGCAAGAGACACGCTCTGTGCAGTTCTCACTTTTCTTGCTTCAAAGCAAGAGCCGCAGAGAGCATGTTAGCGGCTCTTGCCCTGCTGGCTTTACAGCGAGGCAGGAGGAGGGACGCCCCTCCTCCCGCCTCGCTGTAAAGCCAGTAAAGCACCTGTCCCAGTATCTCCTCTTCCTCTTCTTGCTCCAGCGTTGCCTCGCTTTACAGCGAGGCAGGAGGAGGGATGAGCAATCAAAGTGAGAGCTGTGCAAAGCAGGACAGAAGCCACGTAAACGGCTCTCGCTTTGCTTGCTTTAAAGCAAGAAAAACGAGAGCCGCTTACATGCTCTGTGCAGAATTTTTTTCCTCTTGTTTTCCTTAAAACTAGGTGCGTCTTATGGTGTGAAAAATATGGTACCTCCTTCCGGCTTGGGCATGAGGTCCAGCACTGCTTTGCCCATAATTATTTGGGATAGCAGATGTTGCAGGTGTTAATATTTCACAGTTTGAAGTGACTGGAAGCGCAAGACCTGACTCCTTTTGGAAGGAATCATTGTCCAGGCGCATAAAAATATTATTCAAACTTTTGCTTGCCGAACTCTTTTAAAAACAGAGCATAAGCATTAAAGATACATCCAAAAAAATCCATTACTGTACATTATCTTGTTCTGTCCAGCACAGGTTCATCGTCTTCTTAGAAATAAAAGATTTAAAAGATCCAAATTGTGTCTCTTCCCCCATCCCAGCCTCAGTTGGCCTTAGGCCAGGCATAGGCAAACTCGGCCCTCCAGATGTTTTGGGACTACAACTCCCATGATCCCTAGCTAACAGGACCAGTGATCAGGGATGCAGGGAATTGTAGTCTCAAAACGTCTGGAGGGCCGGGTTTGCCTATGCCAGCCTTAGGCTAATGCATCTATTGGAGAGTCATTGGCATGCATAGTTTAGAAAAACTTAACAGCCTCCACCCTTTCAAGATGGCGAATTTGCAACTCAATACCTTTATCACATGATTAAAGTTTCACTCTCCAAAACAATCAGCAATTACTCATTACCCCATTAAGGAGCTCAGAGTCCTTTAGAAAACAACACTGGAAAAAACCCCAATGTTAGCAACCCTTCAGCAATGCACATTTAGCTGTTTTCCATTTCAAAACTTTGTTACTACACATCCATTTTCCATTTCTGTGTGAATTAAATCTATTATAAACGGTGTGTGTGTGTGTGTGTTTGGCTTTTCCAAAGTATACAGTCATGCCAACGATGGCAAAACAACTTTCTGCGAGAGGTGCCCTATTATGTATATACGTGTGTGGGTGTTGTTGTTTTTTTTGGGGGGGGGGAGAAAGACAGAACAGCTTCCTCCCCGCTCAGCATCCTGTGTGCTGAATAACCCGCACTGCCATCCTCCTGCTTTCTCCCTCCCCACCCTTCTGGGCTCAGCTAGAAGAAGAGAAGGCTTCTCTCTTGGGGAAGAAGCAGGAAGTGGAGCAGGAGAAAGCCACGATCCGGGACGAGTTAGTGCGGCTGGAGCAGGAGAAACTGGACCTGGACACAGAGCGCCACGGATTGGGCCACTCCCTGCAGGCTGTGGAGCAGAGCCGGGCGACGCTGGAGCAGGAGGTGCTGGTTCTGCAGAAGGAGAGGGGGCAACTCCAGGAGCAGCTGGGACAGGTGAGGGGCAGCACTGGCAGGCAGGGATGGAGGGCCCTTTGTCCCGTTATGAGAAAAAACTGCTCCCTTTTCCTTATCCAAGAGTCTGTATAGAGTCCTTAAGTGGGTTGCCTATTGGTAGGATGAAATAACAGTATATTGAGTATATTGAGAAGCAAAGCAACTAGTAAGCCTGATCTTTATTCAAGGAACTGTTGCAACAGGGTCCCCACTCACCACACGCAGGAGGGAGGAGGAACCCTGAGCAATGGTGTGCAAGCCCATATACAGACTTTTGAAATTGCCCACCCTGTAGCCCAAGACCACCCCCAAAAAATCATACATACATCACAGAAGGAGGCGGTCTACGGCAGAAATCCTGTCTGCCAGGATACCTGGTAATGGTCGCTGATTGCATTACATGGGCATCCTGGCCATTCTTCTGTGATGGTTAATACTTTAGTTCCTGAATCCAAGTCACAGGCTCACCCTATTCATACACAACTACGCCCTCAAGATAGGATTTGTAAGCAAAAAGACGATGGGAAGGCTTTCCTCATTTGCCTCCCTTCCTGCAGAGGAATATTTAAGGTCACTGGGAGAGTCAAAATGGCTCCAGGATTGCTCTCCCATACTATTTCAGACACGTGGTTCATATATTTAGATATGTGTGCGTTTGTGAATATTTATTCTATATTTGAGACCTTAAAATTCTTATAACAGTCAAGAGCGGTAGTCTCGTAATCTGGTGAACCGGGTTCGATTCCCCGCTCCTCCACATGTAGCTGCTGGGTGACCTTGGGCTAGTCACACTTCTCTGAAGTCTCTCAGCCTCACTCACCTTGCAGAGTGTTTGTTGTGGGGGAGGAAGGGAAAGGAGAATTTTAGCCGCTTTGAGACTCCTTAGGGTAGTGATAAAGCGGGATATCAAATCCAAACTTCTTCTTTGTCCTCCTGCTGCTGCTCTGTCTGCAATTCACTTTTCTAAAGTTCAAAGCGGATTGTCCTGCAAGACTGGGACACAGCTACTTAGTGCAAGCTAGTTGATCATTGCGATGTCTGAGTTGCTGGTCACTCCTCACAAGACTTCCACTACTTTGATGATGGTGGTGATTTATTAGACCTATATTTCACCCATCGCAAGATGTTAGGGAGGCTCACAAGAATGTAATGTTCAGCTGCAAGAGAGCTCACAACTGAGATCTTGGGAGCAGACCTTTGCAGAAGCTGGGTTGCTCAGGTCTTCATAACACAGAGCTTGCAAAGCTAATGTTTTCTGATATTCGCAGCCAAATCTGAGATCTGCTGAGCTGGCAGTGGCTGAATGGTTTTTGTTACAGGGCTGAGGTTGGCATGATAAACACCAGGCTCTTGAGTTGGTGCTTCTGGGTAGAGGGGCTGGGGGAACAGCCAAGGGGGCATCTAAGTGATGTCTAAGCTGCCACCCTCCCACCTTCCTTCCCTCCCTCTCTTTCTCTCCCTCTCAGCTTTCCCGCCACAGGAGTGCAACCGGTGAGGAGCTGGGGCAGGTGCGAAGGGAGCTAGAACGCCACAGCGAAGCATCTCTGCGGGCAGCCAAGGAGAAGGAGTCGCTGATGAAGGAAAAAGCCAGCCTGGTGGTGCAGCTGGCAGCCTCGGAGCGAGAGAACCGGGGCCTGGCAGAGGAGATCTCTGGCCTCAGGTATGTATAATAATAATAATAATAATAATAATAATAATAATAATAATTTTTTATTTATATCCCGCCCTCCCCACCTGAAGCCGGGCTCAGAGCGGCTAACGACAATAAAAATAACACAATTTACATAAAATCACAATCAATTAATTGAAATACGTTCTAAAATCAATTCATGTGTGTGTGCCCCCAACCTTAGCACCTATTATTATTTATTCTGATTTATTTCTCCCATTTGCGTCCCTCCATTACTCCAAGGAGCTCAAACACAGTTCACTGTCCCGTTTCCTCTTTGCAACAGCCCCATGAGGCTGAGAGTGCAGCGACCGGCTCTACGTTGCCCAGTGAGCTCCGTGGAAGGGTGGAGATCTAAAACCTAGCCCTCCTGCATCCTAGCCTGGGGCTTTGTTATGGGGCTGGCAGGGAGGGGCGGCGTGTTGTTGTTGAAGTTTGTGGGTCGTAAATACTTTGAGCCTTGGGGTCTGCTGCATCGGCACTGCAATTAGTCTGATTTACGAGCACTCCGACACTTCTATGGCGCCCACAGTGCTCTCTTCTCAGTTGTCGGACGTTAGCAGAGTTTATACGCCGCATAAAATGGCTTTGTCTGGGTCAATAACTCAGCTCAACACCAGTGCTTCTATTCTATCAACTGTTTATTTAGAAGCATACAGAAACAAAAGAAAACCTACAGAATCAAGCTGCATGCTTGCAGCGTTCTCCCTCTAACAAAACGAAACTAACTCTTTCACATTCTCACAGCCCAGAGAGAGCTCAGCCCACAGATCAAAGGAAAATGCCCGGATTGTATGGGCAGTGCACCCAGTTAATAAGAACGCCTCCTGGGAGAGTGTTAACTCTCAACTGTCCAGAACCACAACAGCTGTCCAGCTGGTTCTTCTGTCCCCCTGAGGTTGCTGGAAGATGGTAGCCGCGTCACACAGTGTTTGCAAACAGGCTGGGGCAGGGGAGGCTGCAGGGAGGCACAGCCTTTGCCCCAGCAGAAAGGCATCTTCTGCTCAGCTGCTTTCCTTTTCTCAGCTTTGCATCCCCACCTTGATGTGCACACACAAGTCTCCTCACCGAACCTGCTGGAATTTCTGGCCTAAGCCCCAAAAGAGGAGGTACCGTATCTTTCACTCTATAGGACGCACTTTTTCCCTTCCAAAAATGAAGGGGAAATGTGTGTGCGTCCTATGGAGTGAATGCAGGCTTCAGGAAGCTATCCGCAAGCCTTCGGAGCGCAGCGGGAGTGCCTGCCGGGCTCCCAAGGCTTGCGGATAGCAGCCTGCAGCCTGAAGCTGTTCTAGCTTCGGAATGGCTGTGCAAAGCCTCCGCAGGGCAGCGGGGTGCCTTCACCCCGCTGCCCTGCGGAGGCTTGAAAGGCTGTCCCGGAAGCCAAAACAGCGAGACGGGGCGCTGTGCAGCCCTCCGTCTTGCTGTTCTAGCTTCGGGATGGCTGCGCAAAGTGCCTTCTAGCTTTGGGATAGCTGTTCTAGCTTCGGGATGGCTGTGCCTACACCCCGCTGCCCTGCGGAGGCTACGAAGGATGTCCCCGAAGCCTCAAGCCTTTGGAGTGCAGCTGCGCTCCAAAGGCTTCAGGGATCTTTGAGGCTGGCGGTGGGGGAAAGCAGCGCTTCCCCCCACCGCCAGCCCCACCAGCTCAGGGGGCAGCGGCAAGGCTGCGCGCAGCCTTTGCGCTGTTCCCCGACCTGCTCTTGAACGTACCTTGAACGCACCTTGTTTTAGAGGGGCAGAACAAGAATTTTTTTTCCCCCCTGTTCTCCCCCTCCTATGCTCTGGTGTGTCCTATAGAGCGAAAAATACGGTATACGGAGCCTACCAGGCAGAGTAGATGCAAGATGGCTGATGAGCAAAGAGGAAAACAACAAAAGATGAGGGGAATGATAATACAGTCCTTCTGTTCCTCCTCCCCGCTTCTGCCCAGGTCTGAAAAAGACGCCTTGGAGACGACCCTCTTTGAGATCCAGCAGCACCTCGCCCAGCTGGAGACCCGGAAGGAGCAGCTGGAAGCTGAGAGGCAGGGCTTGCTCCATGCCAAGGAAGCCTTGCAAGGTATGCTGGGAGGAAGGTCTTCCTTTGGGTCCTCTTGTGCCACCCCTGTCTCTTTCCCTTCAGTGACTGGGTGTGGGAGTGTAGATGGAGGTTTTTATTACCCGACTTCACCGGCAGATGTCCTTGCTTTTAAGCTGTGTGCCTGCCTCCTTCGAATGCACCTGGGACCCTCCTTGCTTTCCCTTTCTTTAGAGGGGGCGGGGCTTTCTCCCGACAGAGGCGGGGCTCTTGGCTGCTAAGCCGCCGCCCTCTCAAGCCTAGCCACGCCCCCTTGCACGCAGTGGTGCCCGCTGGGCTGTCCTTGCCCCCAATCAAGCCCCTCTTCTGATAATCGCCCTCCTCGCTCCATCCAAGGTTTTGGGGGGACAGGAGGCGGGCGGCTGTGGAGGATTCCTTGGTCCTGAATGGGGTAACTGTGTCCCTGAAGGACCAGGTGCGCAGCCTGGGAGTCATTCTGGACTCACAGCTGTCCATGGAGGCGCAGGTCAATTCTGTGTCCAGGGCAGCTGTTTATCAGCTCCATCTGGTACGCAAGCTGAGACCCTACTTGCCCACAGACTGTCTTGCCAGAGTGGTGCATGCTCTGGTTATCTTCTGCTTGGACTACTGCTATGTGCTCTATGTGGGGCTATCTTTGAAGGTGACCCAGAAACTATAACTAATCCAGAAAGCAGCAGCTAGACTGGTGACTGGGGGCGGCCGCCGAGACCACATAACACCGGTCTTGAAAGACCTACACTGGCTCCCAGTACGTTTCCGAGCACAATTCAAAGTGTTGGTGCTGACCTTTAAAGCCCTAAAAGGCCTTGCTCCAGTATACCTGAAGGAGCGTCTCTACCTCCATCGTTCTGCCTGGACACTGAGGTCCAGTGCGAGGGCCTTCTGGTGGTTTCCTCGCTACGAGAAGTGAGGTTACAGGGAACCAGGCAGAGGGCCTTCTCGGTAGTAGCGCTTGCCCTGTGGAACGCCCTCCCACCAGATGTCAAGGCAATAATCAACTATTTTACTTTTAAAAGACACCTGAGGGCAGCCCTGTTTAGGGAAGTTTTTAATGTCTGACGCTGTATTGTTTTTGATATTTGGTTGGAAGCCGCCCAGAGTGGCTGGGGAGACCCAGTCAGATGGGCAGGGTATAAATAATAAATTATTATTATTATTATTATTATTATTATTATTATTATTATCCCCTTTGCGTCTTGACCTCTGTCCGTCTGTCCTGCCCCAGCGGAGCTGGCTGCCGTCCGCAAGGAGATGAAGGCCGAGGTGAGCCGACTGGAGCGAGACAAGGACCTGGCGGCCCAGAAGCTCATTCAGACGGAGCAGGAAACCCAGGCCACCTTGAGGAGTGCGCAGGCGGATCACGAGGAGGACGTGGACCGTCTCCAGAGGGAGAAAGTACGTGCCGCCTCCCCGGTCAGGCGCAGAGGGCTGGGTCCAGGACCACTTTGGTCCTCGGGTAACACGCTGCCCTCGGGGGACAGGGCTGCAGAGAGGAGCCAGGATTGCAGAAGGCCCCAGATGTTTGTGGGGCTCGCACGAATGGATACAAAGGTGCCGGCCAGATCCCAGGCATGCAGGCCCTTTGCTCTTTGCTGGCTCTTGCTCTCCCTAAGCTGTTAAGCACGCACAGCTGCTCAGTCGTTGGCAGGTGACCCAATCCCTCCCCTCCAGGAATCTGTCTGACCCTTTTTAAAAGCCAGGGGCACTGTCTTGCCTGGAACAGTTCTTTCCTTTTCTCCCCCCAAACAGTTTTTGATCTGGGCTTCCGCTGCATTTTAAGTAGTATTTTAATCTTGTTTTTAAGTTGTAAAATTGTTGCTTATTTTCCAACAGTTTATATCCATATTGTAACAAATTGTAGCAAAATTAACCGGCAAAGTCCTCATAACAAAGTCCTCTTTATATTCTCCAACTTTGTATTTTAATCAATTGTTTTTATACCTGATGTTAGCCGCCCTGAGCCTGGTCTTGGCTGGGGAGGGCAGGGCATAAATAAAATTAAATAATAAATAAATAAATATCCTGAATCTACTGCCCACCTGCCTCATTGGGTGACCCCCAAATATGAGGGAGAAGCCTCTTTTTCCTGCTCAACTTTCACCCCAGCATGTTAACATGCTTGCCTGTCACATGTTCCCTGCTTCCCTCAATTTTTAGGGTTTTATTTATTTTTTTGTTAAAATGAAATCTCACTAACCTTATGGGTTTTCATTTCCTACCTTTTGGTCCCTCCTTCGTGTGCCTCCTCCTCAAGAATTCTCCAGAGGGTGGCAACACGAGAACGGGGCCTTCTCTGCAGTGGCTCCCTGTCTGTGGAATGCTCTACCCGGGGAGGTTCGCCTGGTGCCTTCATTATACACCTTTAGGCACCAGGCAAAAATGTTTCTTTTAAACCAGGCCTTTGGTTGACCAGATCAACATCCTATACCCTTTTAAAATGTGGTTCTTTTTGTTATTGGGTTATTGTTTTTATTTTTATTTTATATACTGTGATCTTTTTTTGTGAACCGCCCTGAGACCTCTGGGTATAGGGTGGTATATAAATTCTATAAATAATAATAATAAATAATAATACTGCAGGGTAAGGTGGGGCGATATGTCAATATATTGTCCAAAACTGGTTTGAAGTCCATATCGTGATGCTGGTTTTGTAATTTTTAAACCTGGAAATATATTGTGATGTCAAAAACCCAGATATTGCCTTGGAATCAATCTTGGGCCAAGCACTCACTCACCTGGTATGAGAGCTTTCGGTTGACAAGGAGTGGTTCTTTTTAATAATAATAAAAATAAATTTTATTTATACCCTCCCCTCCCCAGCCAAGACCGGGCTCAGGGCGGCTAACAACCAATAGTAAAAACAAGTTGATTAAAATACAACTTAAAAGACAAGATTAAAATACAACATTAAAATGCAGCCTCTTCATAGGAGGAGAAACGAGAAAAGAAAGAGGGGGAGGGAATCAAATTGATTCTAAGCCAAAGGCTAGGCGGAACAACTCTGTCTTACAGGCCCTGCGGAAAGAAATCAGATCCTGCAAGGCCCTGGTCTCATGAGACAGAGCGTTCCACCAGGCTGGGGCCAGTGTTGAAAAGGCCCTGGCTCTGGTTGAGGCTAATCTGACTTCCTTAGGGCCCGGGACCTCTAGGGTGTTGCTATATATGGACCTTAAGGTCCTCCGTGGGGCATACCGGGAGAGGCGTTTAGCCATTGAAACTTGGCTGCGGAGGAGGCCTTGCTATGGGTGCTGGGGGCCCCCATCTCCTTGTCCACATGGGCATGGGAGGGTCCACTCCTGAGCTTCTTCGCCCTGTCGGCCTGGTAGGAGGCACTGCGCCTGGAGCTGGAAGCAGAACGTGAGGAGATGCTGCAGCGGCTGAGCCAAGAGCGCGAGGAGATCCTGGCCCGCCACGAGGCGGAGAAGGAGGAGCTGAGCGAGGAGATCACCAGCCTCCAGCAGGAGCGCGACGAGGGACTCCTTCTGGCCGAGAATGAGAAGCAGCAGGTGAAAGTCTGGGAGACAGGGAAGGAAGGAAGGAAGGAAGGAAGGAAGGAAGGAAGGAAGGAAGGAGGTGCAAGCAGTGGTGTAGCATGGGGGGCCCACGGAGCAGGCTGCCCCAGGTGCAAAATTCTTAGGGGTGCAAAAGTGCTGCTGTATTGAAGTTGTATGCTTCCATCACTGGCTCCGTTGAAAATGGCTCCTCCACGCGGAACAGGAAGCGACCTCACCAGACAATGGAACAATTCTTCTTTTAGGCAGTTGAATGTGCATGCACACTCCATCTGTTTACCCCACCACCCCGCTCTGCATGGCCCCGGGCCCTGGCAACCCATGCTATGCCACTGGGTGCAAGGCCCCAGTCCACTGCCAGCTCTGCAAGACTCCCCACATACTGTAAATTCCCCAAAGCGGGACACCCAATCTTGTCACAGGGGAACCTTGCCTGGTGCCTCTCCTCACTGGCCATAGCCCAAGGATTTGGGGTGGGGAAAGAGAAACAGCCCACTTAGCTCCAGAAACCACCGAGGCATCAGACGTCGCATATTTGCACGATTCGCTGTTCCGCCAATGTGGAAGTTGTGGCGTTGAGCCTCCCTCAGTGCGTAGGAGGGCTACAAGAGTGGAGATGTGGCTCCCCAGTGTGTCTCCCTGCTGCTCCAGAGGCCACTACTGACTCCCTCGCCCCCTCGCCCCCAGGCGCTGTCTCTCAAGGAGTCGGAGAAGGCCATTCTCCTGGAGAAGCTTTCAGGGGCGCAGCAGAGCCTAGCCAGCATCAGCCTGGAGGCGGAGAGGCACAAGCGAGACGCTCAGAGTCTGCAGGAGCAAGAGCGGGTAGGCGGTGGCAGGGTCAGGATTGGGGCGGGGGCCTGTCTGATGGAGAACAAATGTGTGTGGAAGCAGGTGGCCATTATTCATTCGCACGACGAAGTGCCAGCTCCTGCAACCTGGCTCAGCTTAGGTGAATGGGGCAGGCTTGAATTGTACTTTTGGTTTTTTCTGAACCCCTCGTCCTGTCCCGTCCCCACCGCCATACACAACTTTTTCCGGAGCGAGGAGCTCTGCAGTGCTTGAAAGCCCCCCTGTGTTGCTGGAAGCTTTATTCTGCCTCTCCCTTTTCAACAGCAGACGTGGAAGCGGATGTTTCCAACTTGCTTTCGACGCTGAGGGCTAGAAACTTGCTCCATCTTTTCCTTTGTTGTTTTAAGCATGATCTGAGTTTCTCAGGAGGTCGCACCCTTTGCCTGGTGCTTCAGCCAGTGTTGCATACAAGCAGGGCTTTTTCTTTTTTTAAGCCGGAACTTAGTTGGGTGCCATTGCCATTATAAGAGAACAAGTTCAAAGGCACCTCCTTTTCTAGAAAAATAGCATTGTATACAAGCCCACCCTGGCTGGTAGGATATGGAGCGTTATGCAAGGATAAGCCAAAAGCAGAAGCCAAACTCCTTGGCTCTGTGGGGCTTCGTTCATGCCTCTTCCTCCACGACCTTTTCTGTATTATTTTCTCCCTCTGGAAAATTTTTCCCTATCTCCATTATCCAGAGAAAATGGTGCCTGGCTGCTGAGGGGTGGAGGGTGGGACGCTTCTTCTAGGCCAGAGAGCGCCATTTCTTCGTCTTGTTGCAGAGCACCATCAACGCCTTGAACTCGGAGCTGCGGGGCCTGCGTGCCCAGTTTGAGGAAGCCATTATGGGCCACGAACGGGAGGTGAAGGTCCTCCACGAACAGGCCAGGGATCTGATGAAGCAGCGAGAGTCGGCCCTCCGCGAGGTGAGGGGGCGATGGGAGGGAGGGAGGGAGGCCTTCATGGAGACTCAGGGACAAGAACACCACCACCTGAGCTGCTCTGGTAGTCTGGGGAGGACCAAATTACCTATTTCCTCTTAAGGTAAGGGCAACGGACATTGCTAAGCCTGGCAGGGCAGCTTACTCTATGGCATTAACCCCTTCATGCATTAATTAGACTTAGGCATGCTGGTTATGTGAGGCTGGTTATCCCACCATTCTTATGCAGGAGGTCTGTTACCCCTTCAGTGGAGCAGCTGCTTTGCGCTGCACACAGAGGGCCCCGGGTTCAAGCCCCTGCCTGAACCCAGGAGAGCACCTGCCGCTGCCCGTCACAGCAGAGGTGGACAGGCTGAGGGCCTAACTCTGCACCGGGCAGCTCCCTGCACTCCTGCCCTCCCACTTCAGGCAGCCTCAGAATTCCCGGCAGGAGCCCAACTCTGGCTCTTTGCTCCATCCTCTTCCTGGCCAGGTGGAGGAGCTGAAGATGCAGGTGCAGATGGTGGAGGACGCGAGGGACCAGACCCGCCGGGAGCTGCTGGAGGCGCACCGCAAGTCGCGGGAGGCCCACGAGGCCCTGGAGGCTCAGCGCAAGGAGGCCGTGGACCTGCGGAGGAGTCTGAGTGATGAGGCCAAGGAGAAGGAGGCCCTGCAGAGGTCCAATGGGGAGCTGCGCGTTGCTGTGAAGAGGGCCGAGAGCGAGCGCGTCAGGTGGGGAGAGAGAGGACCCTGCTGCCTTCTGCTCCAGGGAAGGGGAGAATGGGGGGGGGCAGGAGTTGACTGCCTAAATCCCACCTCTGCCACAGATTTAATCTCTTCCTCCACCCCACATGGTCTCTCTCGGCCTCGGTTCTTTGTCTGTATAATGGGCATAATGGCAAAGTCAGTTCCACGGAGGAAACATGTGATAGCTTCACAGCTTGGCTCCATCTTGGTGGTTGGTTACTGGGCCTCTCACCCTGAGGGCCGGAAGAACCACGTCGCTGGGGTCCAAACCCCTCCTCTTTCCTTGCCTCCAGTTTGAAGCGGGCCAACGAGGAGAAGGAGCAGAAAGTCGCCATCTTGGAGGAGGCCCGGGCAGCTGTGGGCAAGGAGGCTGCCGACCTCCGCAGCAGCCTCCAGGACGTGGAGCGTTCGCGGCTGGAGGCCCGCCGGGAACTGCAGGAGCTGCGGCGGCAGGTAAGGCCTGGCACGGGAGAGGGGAGGGGCTGCCAGGGAAGTGGGAGCCACGACTCAGCCTCCCTTTCCACCAGGTGGGAAAAGACAGCAGGTGCACAGTTAGTTGAAGCAAAGGCGAGACTAGGTATTCTGTGGACTACTGCTCTGGCCAACTTATGTCTTGCCAAATGCAAGGCGGCTCTTTTAAAATGAGATTCAGAGGCAATACAAACACAAGTGAGCGAGAAGGTTAAAGATTTTATTCTAAGCATTATATACATTACCAAGCAAGCACTTCAATATGCCACTTGGAAGCGGAGAAGCGACTCCCCCAGGTAGCCTTAGTTTGCACGGCCCTGTGATTGACCAGTCTGTGCATGAGCTTCTCAGAACTCGGCCCAACACCATCTGATTTATAGATGTGGTTTGCCTGACTGCCTATGTGCTACCAGCTAAGTACAGATTATTCATTAGTCACCTCTTCAGATGCCTCACTTTCTTCAAACAATGTCCAACATCAAGGCAGCATAATCACTTCCTTCCAACAGATTAAAAAGGTAAAGGTAAAGGACCCCTGACAGTTAAGTCCCGTTGCAAACGACTCTGGGGTTGCGGCGCTCATCTCGCTTTACTGGCCGAGGGAGCCGACATTTGTCCGCAGACAGTTTTTCCAGGTCATGTGGCCAGCATGACTAAGCCGCTTTTGGCGAAACCAGAGCAGCGCACGGAAACGTCGTTTACCCTCCTGCCGGAGCGGTACCTATTTATCTATTTCCACTTTGACATGCTTTCGAACTGCTAGGTGGGCAGGAGCAGGGACCGAGCAACGGGAGCTCACCCCGTCGCAGGGATTCGAACTGCCGACCTTCCGATCGGCAAGCCCTAGGCTCAGTGGTTTAGACCACAGTGCCAGCCATGTCCTTCCAACACATTAGGACTAGGAAATTAAAGGCTGTCCTTCAGCCATCAAAGAGCTTAGAGAGGGGGAAGCAAACAGGAGCAGGAATGTTAACCATGTTAGAGCACTATCTCCTCAAAATACAAATATCTTCTGGATAGATTCCCATACGCACCCACTTCCAATTCCCGGGACATGGTGGGTTTCAGTGCACTGAAAGCAGTGCTTTTGAGATGCTTTGGGGCAATCTTGCAGCTCCTGCCAACGTAGAGCAAATCTCATTGTTGATGAGTCTGAATCATGGGTGCTGGCTTCGAGGTTGTTCAGTATAGACAGTTTTAGCATGCTCAGGCGTCGTCTTGCCTCCTTGTGGGTTGATGCTTTGCGTGGTACCCCTTCCAGCGGCACTGTCAGATTGAATGAGTAGCCCCGTCTATAGTGCATTCCAGCATTTTGAAGTTTTTCTGTATAGGTTTTAAAGGCACGACTGTGATTTAAGGTTGCCAGACAGTAACCCTGCATAATAGGTGTATTCTGGCCCTCCCATTCCAGACTGTCAAGTATAGAAAGTTCTTTTTAAATGGTCTCCTTAGCAGAAAAGCAGGGAAGTTCAAAAATAATGACTCTGGACCTGCTGTTGACAGTTTGGAAGTGCTGGCCTGCTATGTCGGCTTACCCTAGATCAGAGGCATTAAGCTTAAAATTAGGGAACATATGATTAAACCAGGAAATCATAAAAGGAAGTAAATCTTGGTCTTCCAAAGATTCTCACCTTGGAGAGAATTATTGCCTGCTTCCTTCAGACAAAGCTGTCTCTCTCTAGTTTTGGCTTCTAGTTTATTGATTTCCCCCATCTGTCTGATTCCTGAGTTTAGAGCTTCATTTGCAGTTTTCGGGACATCAGAGACCTGGGTTTCTGCCATGTCGAGTCTTTTCTCTATCGGGGTCTCAAAGGTGCTTTTAACTCTAAGGTTAGATCTTGCCTTAGATCTCGTCTCGGCTTATCCAGTTGGGCAGTTAGCTCAGTGAGAAGGAAACTGGCAATCGCCTCGTCTCTCAGAGAGTTTTGCTGCCTTGGCTGCCATCCTTGGGCTGCCTCCTTCTTCCTGCTGCTCAGAAGTTTGAAGTTGATCAGTGGGCTCAGCTGATGGTTTTCGTTTCTGTTCTGTTGTTAAATGGGATCCCTGGTGCAGAGTCTATAATGAGCATGTCTCGCAGAATCAATTTTTTAGGTTTTCTAGTTGGATTGGAAGTTTGATAGTACATGGGTAGTTAGAATAAAAGAATTAGACAGCCATCTTGTTAGATGTTCAAAGTGCCTGAATGTGGGGGTTCCTGGTCATTCACTGTGGGGCTCCATCACCCCCCCTATTTCTTGCTCCCTCCTCCTTGACGCTTTCTCTCTTCTCTTCCCCAGTTCTCTCTCTCACGTTTTCATGCCACTGCTAGGGCTGGGCGATATATCATCTGAAACTGGTTTGAAGTCCACATAGTGGTATTGGTTTCCTAATTTTTGGCCTGGCAATATATTGCAAATCATGGTGCGTGTGTGTGTGCTATGAAAAAACCGCCAATGCTTCTCTCAATTCCTGCAGCCCCTTTAACTCTGCCGCCTCAGGTCTCTCACAAGAGCAGAAAATTATGATGTGGGGAGAACCGTGAAGCCAGCCAATGCCTCTACATAGCTCCAACCTTATTTCAGGCAACGTGATATAATGGTATATCGTGATGTTTAGCTGGTGATAGACCACAATGTTGGAAACCGGATTTCGCCCAGCCTTAGCCGATGCCTTTTTTGTTTTTGTTTCTGCATCTCTCTCCCTCCCTCCACCCACTTTCTCTCTGTTTTTCTTCTGGTTGGAGACAGCTAGCTTTCAAGAGTGCTGTGGAAGATGTTTCGGAACCTTTGGCTCCAGTAGGTTTGGCAGGCTTTGGAAACTGTTCAGGAGCCTGCAGGACCTGTTTTCCGCAGGCTGAAATGAGCCGCGAATGGTGGCAGCCTGCTGCAGTGCCACATCCTCCCTCCCTCCCTCTCGAACCTCCTTCTGCCCCTCTGAAAAGACAAGGGCCCATCCATCTCTGGATCGACCCCCTTCGCTCTCTCTCTCAGCTTGCAAGAACCAGGATCCCTCCCTTTGCCGCCTTTTGCACAGGTCAAGATGCTTGACAGCGAAAACACCAAGAAAAGCCAAGAGGTGGCTGAGCTCCAGGCGCGGGTGGCCCTGGATGAGCAGCGGGACGAGGAGAGCAGGAGGGAGTCTTTCAGCCTCAAGCAGAAGATCGTGGAGAGCGAAGCCACACGGGAGTCGACCCGGAAGGAGGTGAGGGCCTGGCCTGCAAACCTTTCATGGCTGAGCTTTGTCCTGGGCAGCCAGGAAATCCCCTCAAACTCTTCTGGGGTGGGCGCTGCTTCCTGGGACCTCGATATATGGCAAATTCCCATGGCAGAGTGTGATTGACCTGAGCCCAGCCTTCAGGGTGCCCTTGGCTGAAAGCTCCGTTTCTGATCTGTCGTGTGCATTTCATTTCATTTTGTATTATTATTTGTATCCCGCCTTTCTGTATTACTGTATTGAGCCGAAGAAACAACAGAATACAGTGGACGCTTGCTTTGCGAACGTGATCCGTGAAGGATGCACATTCGCAACCCACAGCATTCGCAACCTGCGTCTGCACACGCGCAGGTTGAGATTCAGCGTTTCTGTGCATGCGCAAAGTGCTATTTAGCGCTTCTGCACATGTGCGACCGCCGAAACCCGGAAGTAACCTGTTCCGGTACTTCCGGGTTTCGTCGGTCTGCAGCCGGAAAAAAACACAACCTGAAGCGTCTGTAACCCGAGGTATGACTGTCGCACAGATCACATACCTAATAACTATCTGATCCAACACAAAAAAGTCACAATAAAAACTTTTAAATAAAACAATATCCAGTGATCACTTAGAATAGAATAGTAAACAGTAAAATTAAATATCAGCAAGTAATAATTAAGCAGCTTGCACTTAACGATTACAGTAAAGAATTACTAAACTATAATCGGTAAAAAAATAATGACATAAAAGACCACAAAACAGACCCAACCATGTAAAAGGATCAAATTGAGAAACAAGGACACACAACTTATAAAATTATTGGCTCATTCTGTGAGCCCTACCACTGACTAAGGGGGAATGGACTGCATCCCTCCCCCTTAGTTGCTTGTGTGCTTATTTAGGAGTAACCCCAGCAGAGCATACTTCTGAGTAGACCTGCACAAGACTGACAGTTTTACTCTGAGGTTCCTCCAGTGAAAACTGAAGCTGGGGCAGTTCAGTTGGCAGCACTTTTTTGCCTCTGACTCTGCCCACTTCTTGTATGTGGCCCCCAACAGACTTATTTATTGACCACAAACTTGACATGAGCCAACAGTGTGACGCGGCAGCTAAAAAAGCCAATGCAATTCTGGGCTGCATCAATAGGAGTATAGCATCTAGATCAAGGGAAGTAATAGTGCCACTGTATTCTGCTCTGGTCAGACCTCACCTGGAGTACTGTGTCCAGTTCTGGGCACCACAGTTCAAGAAGGACACTGACAAACTGGAACGTGTCCAGAGGAGGGCAACCAAAATGGTCAAAGGCCTGGAAACGATGCCTTATGAGGAACGGCTAAGGGAGCTGGGCATGTTTAGCCTGGAGAAGAGGAGGTTAAGGGGTGATATGATAGCCATGTTCAAATATATAAAAGGATGTCACATAGAGGAGGGAGAAAGGTTGTTTTCTGCTGCTCCAGAGAAGCGGACACGGAGCAATGGATCCAAACTACAAGAAAGAAGATTCCACCTAAACATTAGGAAGAACTTCCTGACAGTAAGAGCTGTTTGACAGTGGAATTTGCTGCCAAGGAGTGTGGTGGAGTCTCCTTCTTTGGAGGTCTTTAAGCAGAGGCTTGACAACCATATGTCAGGAGTGCTCTGGTGGTGTTTCCTGCTTGGCAGGGGGTTGGACCCGATGGCCCTTGTGGTCTCTTCCAACTCTATGATTCTATGATTCTATTTTATTTATTAAATCTATATACCGCGCCCCTCATCCAAAGATCTCAAGGCAGTTCACGGAATAAAATACACCAGTAAATAATTAAACCAAGACAACGAAACAATAATCCAACCTTCCCACAGACATATTTAAAAGGCTGTGGGATATTAATCTGCCAAAGGCCTGGTTTCTCCAGCTGCCTGAATGTATGCAATGAAGGCGCTGGGAGAGCCTCCCTGGGGAGAGCACTCCACAAATGGGGAGCCACTGCAGAAAAGGCCCCACCTCGCGTTGCCACCTTTCAGACCTCACATAGAGGAGGCACACAGAGAAGGGCCTCTGATGGTGAAATAGAGTCTGGGGCGGTTTCTATGCTTGCCCAGCCTGTGCCTCTTCTTCCCTCCTCGCCAGCTCCTCAACCTGCAGAGGAAGATCGTGGACTTGGAGGGCGAGTTCCGCCTGCGGGAGAGAGGCCTTCTGGGGAGCCTGGAGGAGGCCCGCGGCAACGAGAAGAAGCTGATGGACAACGGCCGCAACCTGGAGATCAAGCTGGAGAAGGCGCAGGCCGAGGGAGCCGAGCTGAGCCTGCGGCTGAGCGCCTCCGAAGGACGGGTCCACGGCCTGGAAGCGGAGCTCGCTCGCGTGGAGGGCCTGAAGCGCGACGTGGAGTTCAAGCTGGGCCGGCTGCACTCGGCTCTCCGGCGCACGATGGGCATTGGCCATGGGGGCCGCGCCCCCAGCCCTGCTTTCAGGGCCCGTGGCAGCTCCCCCAAGAGGCTCTTCTCCCCCCCAAAAGGTAAGTACCACACTCTGAGGGAGGATAGATCCACAGTCCACTGGCCTTTTGCTGAGATCTTGGCGACTTTTTGACACTGGCAGCCACTTCCTTCACGCTTTCTCTCTCTTTTTTAATCAATTTTTTTTATTGATTTTCACAATTATCACAGAAAAAATTACAAAACATATCAAAACATACAATAAAGAAAGAAAGAAAGAAAAAACAACACAAAAGAGAATTATTACTTCACATCCATAATTTCCTTACATTGATAACCGACTTCCTCAAATCCCCTCTAACTGAATTTCATTATATCACCTGTTTAACAGTTCTCCAAATTCATATTTCTAATAATATCAACTCCTTTCCTTTACTAACCTCATCTCCTTTATTAATATTCTCATCCTTAATATTTACTAACACATATTCTTATTCTACCCCTAAGCCTATTTATTACTTCCAAGAATTTTCTCTTTATCTTATATTACAATATTTAGCTAAATATTCTTTAAATTTCTTCCACTCCTCTTGTGTCTCCTCTTCTTTCTGGTCATGGATTCTTCCAGTCAGGTCGGCCAGCTCCAAAAAGTCCATCATCCTCATCTGCCATTCTTCTATTGTTGGTATCTCTTGCGATTTCCAGTTTTTGGCTAATAAAAGTCTTGCCGCTGTAGTGGCATACAAAAACAATCTAACATCTTTTTTTGACAATTCCAATCCTATTATTCCAAGTAGAAAGGCTTCTGGTTTCTTAACAAATGTATTTTTCAACATTTTTTTCAACTCATTATAAATCTTTTCCCAGAAGTCTTTCACCTTAGGGCACGTCCACCACATATGATAAAAAGTACCTTCTTTTTCTCTGCATTTCCAACATAGATTATCATTTGTATGGTAAATCTTTGCTAGTTTCACCGGGGTTAAGTACCATCTATACATCATTTTCACAATATTTTCTTTTAATACAGTACATGCAGTAAACTTAACCCCTTTCTTCCACAATCTTCGTGCTTTCTCTCTCTAGGGGATGTCACCGCAGACGGGCCAGGCAGCCCCACACCACAGGCAGGCAGCTTGGCCTCCCGCCCCCTCTCCCCGGAGCTCGCTGGCTCCCCCAGCCGGAGCGAGCAGCTGGTAGCTGACATCGACCCAGAGGTGGTTCGCACCGCGCTCCGGGACTTCCTGCAAGAACTGAGGGAGACGCAGCGAGAGCGGGTATGGCTGGTGCAGGGGTGGGTGGATCTTCTTTCCCACGAGGTTCTGAGCCTTCATGGGCCCCCTGGTTGTAAACAAAAATTGCCCTTTTCCCTTATGGGGTGTCCAAGAGCCCATATAGAGTCCTTACATGGGTTCCCTACTGGTAGGAGAAAATAACAGAGGCCAACCAGAGAATATTGAGAAGCAAAGCAGCTAGTAAGCTTGATCTTTATTGATCTGTTGCAACAGGGTGCTCCCCTCACCCGCAGGAGAGAGGAGGGACCCAGAAAAATGGCGCACAAGGCCTTATAAAGACTTTGAAAATTGCCACCCTGTAGATCAAGACCACCCCCAGAAACATCATACATCACAGAAAAGGCGGTCTAAAACAGAAATTTGAATGTTGTTTTTCCTGTTCCCAGGTTATCTGATTTCCTTTCCTGATTGCCTTTCCTGATAGTCTGTCACCTATTAAAATGCTGATTACTCAATTCCTGAGACAATGGGAAAGCTCCCTGACCCCCCTCCCTTGCAGGGAAAACATTTGGTCAGTTTGGGAATCAAAATGGTTTCAGGTTGGTCTTCCTGTGCTGATCTATGTACGTGCTTGGTTGGTACACTTATGAACATTACCATATATCTAAGACCTCAAAATTCCTATCACACCCTCCATGCTCAAATCCTGACAGCCAGTCGTCTTGTTGTTCTTCCTCCCTTCCTCTCTCCCTTTCTGTCCGTCCTCCTTGGGGTCCAGGACGAAGCCCGTTCCCAGCTGAGCACCTTGAACGGCCAGCTGGCAGAGATGGAGGCCGAGCGGGACGTCGCTGTGACTCGAGTGCAGCAGCTGCAGAAGCAGGTGGCCGAATGCGATGAAGGTGGGTCGGAGGGGGGTCTGAGTTCTCTTGTCTACTCTGCTGTGTCACCCTAAGGGCTGGGCGATATCTGGTTTCCAACATCGCGGTAGATCACGAGCCGAACATTGCGATATGCTGATATATCGCAATTCCTGAAATAAGAATGGAGTTGGTATTCAACTTCATATCACCAGCTAAACATTGGAATATACTGATATATCGCAATGTCTGAAGTAAGGATGGAGCTGTGTAGAGGAATTAGCTGGCTTCGTGGTTTCCCCCACATTGTGATTTTTGCACAGCACACACAAACACCGTGATTCGTGATATAGTGCCAGGTCAGAAGCTATGAAACCGATATCACAATACGGATTTCAAATCGCTTTTGGGCGATATATTGATATATCACCCAGCGCTAGTCACCAGCAGCCTCGTTTCTGTGGTGGTTTTTTCAAAGGTTCCCTTGAATAACACCCCCTCCCGAGTTTTGAATGAAGAGCGAAGGGGGGGGTTTTAAAAAACATCAGCTAAGTCATTAAACTGCATTTCCCACCAGAGAAGTGAAGTGCGGGATGCACTAAAACAAATGACAGTTTCTATCATTGAGGAGCTGGAGGTTTCTAGGGGAGATTTCAAGGGCCACAAGCCCTGCCTTGCCCGGCCTCTGCCCACTGAGCGCTCTGCCCTCTTTCCTCCTCTGCAGGGAGGCGCAGTGCAGACGGGAAACTGAGCGGAGCCCAAACGGCCCTGATGCAGCAGGAGGAGACCCTGCGCCGGAACGAGAGGGAGCGCAAGGCCCTGGCGGACAGGCTGGCTGCGTTGGAGCGGAGCCTGCAGGCGGCCGACAGCGAGCGCAGGGCCACCCAGGTGAGGCAACGCTAGGCAGGGAAGCAGGACCACAGGGCGAGGAAGGTGCCCAGCAGGAGATCAGTCTGTGAGGAAGGAGCTCCACCTCTGCTCCCTGCCCCCCTCACTCCTTCCAGGCCCTGGCAGCAAAACTTGGAGACGGACGGACAGTGGACTTGAAGCTCCCTCCCCAGTCACCAGGTCCATCACACACAAGGCCTAGCTGTCAGCTGATCTGTGTGGGTTACTCCTCTGGTGGGGTAGGAGAACCGGGGGAGAAATCCACATCTGACAACCAACATGCTGCTTTGGTTTCAGATAATATCTGGGTAAAGGTAAAGGGACCCCTGACCATTAGGTCCAGTCGTGGCCGACTCTGGGGTTGCGGCGCTCATCTCGCTTTATTGGCCGAGGGAGCCGGCGTACAGCTTCCAAGTCATGTGGCCAGCATGACTAAGCCGCTTCTGGCGAACCAGAGCAGCGCACGGAAACGTCGTTTACTTTCCCGCTGGAGCGGTACCTATTTATCTACTTGCACTTTGACGTGCTTTCGAACTGCTAGGTTGGCAGGAGCAGGGACCGAGCAACGGGAGCTCACCCTGTTGCGGGGATTCGAACCACCGACCTTCTGATCGGCAAGTCCTAGGTTCTGTGGTTTAACCCACAGCGTCACCCGCGTCCCCTAATCTCTGAGTAGATGAGTCTAAAAAGCCCGGGACGCAAATTTTCACGGCCGTCTAGCAGCTATGGTGGTTCATTGACCAGAAGTAATGTATTTAGTGTTAACTCTGAAAGTGTATACTCAATTCTGACCAAACTAAGCCTCCTGGTGTATATTTTGCTCCGATCAAGGAACAAAGTTGGGCGGCTGCCAAGGGACCTGGCAGAGGCCAAGGAATATGCTGAGCTGATGAGGGAGGGGGGGGGAGCAGCAGCAGCAGCAGGTCCAGCTCAGGTCTGGGCCACCAGTCGTGCTCTCCCGAAGCTTGCCACCGTTTCTCGTAGAGAAAGAGGCTGCTGTTCCCTTTTCTTGGGTTAAGAGTTGAAAGAAGGGGGGCCCCATTCGATGGGGGTCCACGAGAAGGTGGGGAGAGAGAGAGAGAGAGAGAGGAGCAGGAGGCATGGGGGGGCACTAAAGTGTGTGACCAATGCCTAATAAAATGCTAGAAAACGTTTGCTTAAATGTTGGCTCAGAAGAGACGTTCTTTCTTGGCGAATGTTGCTGAGCTGGTCAAATTCTTGTGAAATGTTCCCTCGTGATACTTGAACTGCTCTGAAAAGTGTTGATAAAACAAGAAAGTTTTGGGTTTTGCTTTGTTTTTAAAGTGCCACTGAGCGTGTGCAGAGTGCTTTTCCGTGCCTGGGGCTGGTCCTGGTTCTCTATGGAAAGGGTAGCACTTGTGTGGGTGAGGTAACTTGGCTGGAGAGGGGTAGTGAGATCTCTTGAATGCTGGTGGGGAGAATTAATCGCCAATATGGCCAGATGAGAAGAAAATGGTAGTTTTCAAGGCTGCCTACCCCCCTGCTTGGCATGGTTAACACTGGAGGTTTATAACCATGTAGTTGTGTGTGTGAAACAAGGGACACAGGTGGTGCTGTGGTCTAAATCACTGAGCCGAGGGCTTGCCGATGAGAAGGTCGGCGCTTTGAATCCCTGCGATGGGGTGAGCTCCCATTGCTCAGTCCCTGCTCCTGCCAACCTAGCAGTTCGAAAGCACGTCAAAGTGCAAATAGATAAATAGGTACCACTCTGGCGGGAAGGTAAACGGTGTTTCCGTCCACTGCTCTGGTTTCGCCAGAAGCGGCTTAGTCATGCTGGCCACATGACACGGAAAAACTGTCTGCGGACAAATACTCCCTCGGCCAGTAAAGCGAGATGAGCGCTGCAACCCCAGAGTTGTTTGCGACTGGACTTAACTGTAAAGGGTCCTTTACCTTTACCTTTTTGTGTGTGTGAAAGGGGGGGAGTCCTATTCCAGGTCATTTCCTCCCCAGACAAATGTGAGGTGACCGAATTCTTGGAGGAAAGGAGGCAAATTTAGGGGGAAAGAGTTTTCCCCCAGGACTGAGGGAATTGCCAGAAGTTTTTGTGTCTCAGGCACCTCCTTGAAACCCCTGACCCAGCCACCCCCACTACACCATAAAAAGAGCAATAATTTATGCAGAGGAAAAGTTAAAGGAAGCATATCGTTCCCAATGGGAAAAAGGAGGCAAATTCTAAGGCAATTAATGCTGATGAAGCCCAGAGCCCCAAATTATCAGTCCTTCAGAGTTGCCAGAGAGACCCCCAGAAGACCTTGGCAAAGTGCAGCTCTTGGACCCCTCTGTGCCCCCCAAAACGCTGTTTGGCCCGCTGTCCAGTTCTGCCTCTCAGCAGGTTTTCATTCCCTTTAAGCCAGGGGTCAGCAACCTTTTTCAGCAGGGGGCCAGTCCACTGTCCCTCAGACCATGTGGTGGGCTGGACTATATTTTGAAGGGGGAAAGAAGAACGAATTCCTATGCCCCACAAATAACCCAGAGATGCATTTTAAATAAAGGGACACATTCTATTCATGTAAAAACATGCTGATTCCCGGACCGTCCGCGGGCCAGATTGAGAAGGTGATTGGGCCGCATCCGGCCCACGGGCCTTCGGTTGCCTACTCCTGCTCTAAGCTCTCTGTTCCCTCTGCCGGGGCTTCTTCAACCTGGCCAGTTTCCTCAGAAAAGGCCTGAGGCAGCTGGCAATGGCCGCCCTCTCCCTCCTCTCTTCTTCCCTCAGGAGAAGATCGGCAAGATGAAGGCCAGCGAGGCCAAGCTGGAGCTGGAGAAGCGTCGCCTCAAAGACATCTTGGATGCCTCTGAGAGCCGTAGCACCAAGTTGGAGCTCCTGAGGCGGTCGCTGGAGGGCGAGCTGCAGAGGTCCAAGCTGGTGCTGAGCGACCGCGAGGCGGAGATCCAAGGGCTACATGACAGAATTGACATCCTACAGAGACAGGTGACTCCCCTCAAGCCGTCCTGATCAGCCTTGCCTGCACTGACTGGCAGCAGCTGTTCTCTGGGGCCTCTGAGAGGAGGGTGGCTGGGTGGGCAGGGTCCCTCTTGCAGGTGCTTCTGGGGATGAAGCCAGGAGCTCCCTGGTCAGAGCCTGGAAGGCTTCTTGAGATCACAGGAGTTGGCAGCCGGCTCTGCTTGGCCGCAGTTTGTGAACAGGGCATGCAACCGGCAAGTGGGGAAGAGGATTTCTTTGGCTGCCACCTCTCAAGAGCCATTGGGACACTGCTTCTATACCCTCCAACATTTCTCCAAAGAAAATAGGGACGTCCTATTCAATAAAGCCCTAAGCAGCCTCAGCCCAGTATACCTGAAGGAGCATCTCCATCGTCCAGCCCAGACACTGAGGTCCAGCTCCGAGGGCCTTCTGGTGGTTCCCTCCCTATGAGAAGCGAAGTTGCAGGGAACCAGGCAGAGGGCCTTCTCAGTAGTGGTGCCCGCCCTGTGGAACGCCCTCCCACTAGATGTCAAAGAAATAAACAACTATCTGACTTTCAGAAGACACCTGAAGGCAGCCCTGTTTAGGGAAGTTCATAATGTTTGATGTTTTATGATGTTTTTAATATTCTGTTGGGAGCTGCCCAGAGTTGCTTGGGAAGCCCAGCGAGATGGGCAGGGTATAAATACCTCCTCTTCCTCCTCCTCCTTCTAGCCCACCTATCTGACTAGGTTGTCCCAGCCTCTCTGGGTGGCTTCCAATATACAGTAGTACCTCAGGTTACAGACGCTTCAGGTTACAGACTCTTCAGGTTACAGACTCTGCTAACCCAGAAATAGTACCTTGGGTTAAGAACTTTGCTTCAGGACGAGAACAGAAATGGTATGGCGGCGGCGGGAGGCCCCAATAGCTAAAGTGGTACCTCAGGTTAAGAACAGTTTCAGGTTAAGAACGGACCTCCAGAACGAATTAAGTTCTTAACCCGAGGTACCACTGTATATAAAAACATAATAAAACATTAAACTTAAAAAAACAACACTTCCCTATACAGGGCTGCCTTCAGGTGTCTTCTAAAGGTTGTATAGTTAATTCTCTCCTTGTCTTGGGTGTGTGTGTGTGTGTTGCATAACTCCTTTTCCTCCTACATTTCTCCGATGAAAATAGGGACGTCCTAAGGGAAAGCGGGACATTCTGGGATCAAATCGGAAACCGGGACAGCTTCTGTAAATCTGGGACTGTCCCTGGAAAATAGGGACACTTGGTGGGTCTGAACCGGGCAGCCTAATCTGTGTCCTCTCCCACCCCCCAGGTGTCTGAGGCAGAGCAGAAGGCCAGTGCACTGCAGCTGTCCTTAGACCGCCTCAGTCTCTCTCTGGCGAAGGCTACGGAGGCCGAGAGCTCCCTGAAGGAGAAGGTGCAGGGGCTCAGCGCCTCCCTCTCTGAGAGCCAAAACAGTGCCAGCTCAGCCCAGGAGAAAGTGCTGCAGCTGCAGAAGGCCCTGGCGGCCAGTGAGCACGACCGGAGGGTCTTGCAGGTAAGGGGGCTGATCAGCAGAGTGCCAGGCAGGCCCTTGGGCTGCAATTCGCTGCCTCCTCGCCCTGGGTTGGCTCCACTGGTAAGTCCCCCCACCCCAAGAAGGGCAGGCGAGGCAGCAGAATGGGGGAAGGGGGATGGCTTCACAACAAGAACCCATGTCCACGTTGTTGCATGTTTCAGGAGCGGCTGGATGCGGCCCGCCAGGCCGTCTCGGAAGCCAAGAAGCAGAACGGGATCCTCTCTGAGCAGCTCCAGGCAATGAAGGGGCAGCAGGGGGAGTTGGAGCTGCAGAAGGAAGAGCTGGAGGGGCTGGTCAAGCAACAGGAAGAAGTGAGTCCCTGGCCCTCCCCACCCCTGGGCAGAGCATGGGGTTGGGGGGGGTTGGAGGAGAGAACCCCAGCTGAACACTTAGGGGGCAGCGGCAGAAGGTTCCCCCAGCAAAAATACTCCAGGGAAAATGGAATTCTGCGACCTGCTGCGCAAATTCCGCCAGGCGTGCATAATACAACGCAGAACGGTTTTATTGCTTGGGAAGTACCGTATTTTTCGCTCCATAAGACGCACGTTTTTCCTACTAAAAAGTAAGGGGAAATGTCTGTGCGTCTTATGGAGCGAATGTGTGGTCGATCACTTGCTCCCTTTCCGGCCCCGGCCCCTTGCCCAGACCTCCATTGCTGAATGTTCTGCAGACGGAGGCCGTTTGTTTCCCCAGCGACATGTGAGTGGCTGATTAGATTATCTGTCTGGAAACTGTAGAGACGGCTCCCTTTCCTTTCCTAAAGAAGTTGCAGAACTGTGAGTTGAACCCCATAAAAACAGGTTTTTTCCCTTTGCAAAGTACCATATTTTTCGCTCTATAGGACGCACTTTTTCCCCTTCAAAAATGAAGGGGAAATGTGTGTGTGTCCTATGGAGCGAAGACGCCATAGCCCCGCGACCCTCTCCCGGCTGGAGAGGTGAGGCGCGGCTATGGCAGGAGCCTCTCCGCTGCGCCTTTCCACTGCTCCCAGACCTGCTCTTTGGGGCTGGTGGTGGGCTTCCCCCCGCCAGCCCCAAAGAGCAGGTTGAAAGGAACCTGAAGCCTGGAGAGCGAGAGGGGTCTGTGCACACCGACCCCTCTCGCTCTCCAGGCTTCCAAGGTAGCCGCCTGAACTCACCTTAAACGGCACCTTGTTTTAGAGCGGGAAAACAAGAGGGGGGAAATTCTCCCCCTCTCTGCGCAGCGCCTCCTGCCGCTTCGCTGAAGGGGCGCTGGGCAGAGAGGGGGAGAATTTTTTTTCTTGTTCTCCCCCCTCTAAAACAACGTGTGTCCTATTATCCGGTGCGTCCTATGGTGCGAAAAATACGGTAAGCTCAAGAACTTTGAGCTGATTCTCAAAAGAAGGGGCTTTCCCTCTTTGAAAAAGAAGCCACACAACTTTGAGCTGATCCTCAAAAAATGGGGCTTTCCCCCTTTCCTTCTCTAAAAACTAGGTGCGTCTTATGGTCTGGTGCGTCTTATGGAGCGAAAAATACGGTAGCTGTAGAACTTCCTCCTGAGGTCCCAGCAGGGTCTGGCAGACTCGAGCCTGAGATGTTTTCGTCGGGAGTTTTTTTCATGGAAGTTTGGGGGGTGGGATCCTGTGCCCAGAGCCGGGCCTCCCCACCCCTGAGCCTCCCACCTGTTGCCCCAGAGGCACTGTGTGGTTTGAACCAGGCAGGTGGGCAGGGGTGGAGGGAGCTGAATGGTCCCGTCAGGGCGACCTGCAGAGCTCCGCATTGCCTTTCTCTCCTCCCTTCCATTGCAGCTGCTGCGCCAGAGCCAGGAAAGCGAGACCATTGGCCTGCGGAGCCTGCAGAAGGTGCAGGGCGACAGGCGCCTCTTCCAGGAGCGCGTCAGCAGCCTGCAGCGTGCCTTGGCGCAGCTGGAGAACGAGAAGCGGGAGGCGGAGCGCTCGTCCCTGCGCCTGGAGAAGGACAGGAATGCCCTCAGGAAGACCCTCGACAAGGCAAGCCCCTCGGGGTCCGAGCAGAAGGGAGGGCAGGGGCCAGTGCGATGGGCAGGTGGTCTCTCGGAGCTTGCCTTCCTTCTGAAAGAACAGCTTGAGCATGCGCAGAGGGCCTTTCTGTGAAGAAACACATCCACAAGAGGCAGCGGGGGGTAGGGGGCGGGCGCTCGGCTTCCTGACACCTCTGCTTTGACCCCCCCCCCCAGGTGGAGCGGGAGAAGCTGAAGACCCACGAGGACTCTGTGCGCCTCTCTGCTGAAAAGGGCCGCCTGGACAGGTCCCTCGCCAGTTTGGAGCAGGAGCTGACAGAGGCTCAGCAACAGATCCGGCTCCTTGAGGTAACGACTCTCCCTGCCCCCCAGTGAAGGTTTTCCTCCCTCCCACAGCTGACTCAAATGTTCCAGTCTGTCTGGGGGAATGTGCAGAAGTGACCACCATACCAAGAACTAAGACACTTCATTGGCAACTCTTTCCGTTTAAAAGAAGTCATTCTCAAGATGGTAAATTTTGTACCCAGTCCCTCTGTCTGTGGTTGCCTTGTAGGAGCTTGGTCACATCTCCTTTCTCCCTCTGCTGCAGAGGTCCTAGGCACACCTACTCAGGAGTAGGCCCCTTCCCAAGTGGTCTCTGTGGGGTTTCCTCCTTGGGAAATCTGACTCGGATACCTGGCCAGGCTCTGCTCCCCGCTTTTAGGCGACGCTCGAATTTCCCAACTCAAATTTCCTCCATTCCGATTGGTGTGCTCAACTGCTTTCTCTCCTTTGATTGGGCTGCCTTCACCCTGGAGAAGAAGCTTGGCATCATCCGGAGGACCCTAGCGTGGAGTCCTGGTGCCCTTCAGCAGGGGGGCCGGTCTACTGTCCCTCAGACCTTGTGGGGGGCTGGACTATATTTTTTTGGGGGGGGGAGAATGAATTCCTATGCCCCACAAATAACCCAGAGATGCATTTTAAATAAAAGGACACATTCTACTCATGTAAAAACACGCTGATTCCCGGACAGTCCGCAGGCCGGATTTAGAAGGCGATTGGGCTGGATCCAGCCCTTAGTTTGCCTTACCCATGATCTAGTGCAACCCCCTGCAATGCAAGAATACGCAGCTGCCCCTTGCAGGGATCGAACCTGCAGCCTTGGTGTTATCAGCACCACGCTCTAACCAGCTGAGCTATCCAGCTGCCTTGGCTAGGAGGAGACAAGGAGCCCTGTCTCTCTCCACAAGGAGTTTGGAAGGGGGAAGAGAGAACAGCCTGCCGGTTCTGCCTTTGGCCCTGTTAAGGAAATGCAAGCGTTGCCAACCCCACAAGGAGCTAAAGGATTCAGCATAGCCCAACTTTGCCTCATTTCTCTGGTTCAACGACGGAGGGGCCAAAGGAGCTCTGCAGAACGCTGACCATCCGCCCCCAATGGGCCTTTGCCTAGGCTGGCAGGAGATCAGTAGGCACTGCACATGCTTCTGAGGCTTATCTCCAGTCTTCAGGACTAGGAACTTGGCTGTCAGTTGAAAGCAGAGGTGGTTGCAACTATTGAATTCTGGGAGATTTGCTGGGGAGGCGGCTGGGTGTCGCAGCAACCATGAGGCTCGAGAAAGTGCTGGCCCCCCTGGCAAGGTTTTCCTCCACCCTCTCCTTGCCCAGGCACAGGTGGCAGAGTTGGAGCAGGCCCAGACCAGGGTGGACTCCTCGACCCGACACCGGCAGGACCTGCAGTTGGAGGCCGAACGGCTGCGCAGCTCTCAGCTCCAGGCAGAACACACCTTGGATGCCCGGGAGAGGGCCCACCGGCAGCGGGTCAAGGGCCTTGAGGAGCAGGTGCGCTTCTTTCCCCGCCTCCATGGCAGTCCGGGTGGTGGGGGTGCTATGACCACAGGAGGACCCAAATGACCCCTGATTCCTGCCTCTCCCACAGATCTCCACCTTGAAGGAGCAGCTACACCAGGAGGTACGGAAGGGCCAAGCCAAGTTCACCCCTGCATCCATTCTCTCGGCACCCTAGGCTGGACATGCCCACCCCCTGCAAACAGCCCACGTAGGGGGGGTGGGGTAGAGGCCTGTGTCCCACCTTCTTACTACTAAACAAGCTAACCACCATTTGGCCAGCCTGCTTCTGGGATCTGCAAACCTCTCCATTGATTTGTGTAAAATACAAATGGCAGGGTTTCTTTTTTCCTCGGCTGTTTGCTCAGATCTGACCGATTCAGATTAATAGGCTGAAGTTCATTCATTCCAGTGGGTCTACTCTGAATAGGACTAATGTTGGCCACAAGCCTCTCTTTTTATTTTAATTGACGCCTATTCGGACTGCATCTGGAACTCCTCCCTTCAGCTCACCATTGCAAAGAGATGCATTTTGTCGCAAATAGCGCTATTCTTCCCCCTGCCCCATGGGCAGCTGTGGGACTCGTGAGGGTGCAGGCAAAGCCCTGCAGGGAGAGGGGCCTGAGAGGAGACACATGTCAATCCGTCTAGGTTGATGTTTCCTCCCTTTCTTAAATGTGACCAAGGTGGTGGTGGTCGTTGTTGTTGTTTTTTACCAAAATGCTCACACTAATCGTGTATGTATATATTTCTCTTTCTTTGGTTCTTTGTGTAACCGTTAATCAACGAACGTAGAAACTTTTTATATTTTTATATTTCTGGTGGTGTTTGTTATTATGGATAAATGTGGACAAGAATAAAAACCTCCTCTTCTCACACCTGGTTGGTTCTTGGAGGAAAGAAATTGCAATACTTCGGAGTTTGTTTTATTTATTTAAACGTTTTGTAGAAAAGTAGGGAGGGGGAATCATACAAAAAGCAGGCATACAGCTATGGGGGAAGTAAAAACAGCTGCACCCTGACCTTTGGTTGCACTTCATGGTGGTGGGGAAATGGAAATGGGGGTCTTAATAGCCCCTTGGCCCTCCTAGTGGTTTTTAATATCCCACCGGCCCCTGCAGAGCCCGTGAATCACGGGTTGAGCTGCTTTCCCTCTAGCACCGTTTTTTAATTAAAAAAAAAGTAATGAAAATTAAACACACTAGACTATGAATGTGCACAAGGTGGGACTCTGCCCTTGCTTCCCGCCGCCGCCTCAAATAGCACCAATGACTTCCTGCGAGGCCAAGCAGAAGGAGCAAAACGCCAGCCAGGAGAGGCGGTCTTGCGGCTGAGTCCCTCTCCCTCCTCCTCTGGGGGTGAGCTGCTGCGGCGGCGTCCGTGGTGCAGAAAGGCCTCCCCTCTCGTCCAGCTCCAGCTCAGCAGCCGCCACAGCTTCTGACGCAGGAGGTGGCCACGCTCTGGCAGAGGCCGCTAGTCGCCATGACGCCACATTTGGAGAACTTGTCCCTGCAAAGGTCAGCTGTAGGGAGAAGCGGGGATCAAACAGAGGTCTCTTCAAGCCCCTCGAGGAGGCAGCCTTGGGCCTAGAGGTTTGCCTCGGGGATCTAATAAGGAGGCGGAGATCCATCTTATCGGGGCTAGATGCCCTCTCTGGAAAGCTGCTGCCCACTTATGCCCCTCGCAGCCCATGTCTGCCCCCATGGCTACAGTTCCAGGACTGCTTCATCTGCTGGGCTTTCTGAGGCAACGCATTGGGGGGCGCATTCAGGCCAGCTTACCTCTGAGCAGCTCTTCATGGGCACAGATAGTGCGGATGCAGATCTCCTTATTGATCACGTAAACACGGCGGAGGCTAGGGAGAGATTGTGCGAGGGGGTGAAGAGAACGTCGCAGGCCTGCTGTTGGGCCTCCCCCCTCCGTGGCCGTTTCTGCACTAGAACCTTTCCTGCCCAAAATATTAGTGAGCACCCTCCAGGGTTCAAGATCCTCCTGTGACATTGACTTGTGCACAAAGCCCATTAAAAGAGGAAACGCTGGCTGTTAAGTGGTGAAGTTGATTTATGGCATTCAGAAATTAAGCATTGGTACAAGGCTTCTCAATGCTCTGCCTTGGCAGGCATTTGGAGTGGGGATCAGTATCTCGTAGCACAGAACAGAGCAGCCAGATGCCCTAGAAATCACCCTCTAATCTAATATAGGTTTTATCATTTTTGACCTGGTGTGTGTATGTGTGCTATGAAAGAATCACAATGTGGGGGAAACTGTGAAGCCAGCCAGTGACTGCGTAGCTCCATCCTTATTTGAGACATCATGATATATATTGGTATATTGCGGTGCTTAGCTGGTGATAAAGGTAAAGGACCCCTGGACAGTTAAGTCCAGTCAAAGGCAACTGGGGTTGTGGCGCTCATCTCGCTTTTAGGCCAAGGAAGCTGGCATTTGTCCACAGACAGCTTTCTGGGTCAGTGACCAGCGGGACTAAACCACTTCTGGCACAATGGGACACTGTGACGGAAGTCAGAGCACACAGAAATGCCGTTTACCTTCCCACTGCAGTGGTACCTATTTATCTACTTGCACTGGCGTGCTTTCAAACTGCTAGGTTGGCAGGAGGTGGTACAGAGCAATGAGAGCTCACTCGGTCACGGGGATTCGAACTGCCAACCTTCTGATTGGCAAGCCCAAGAGGCTCAGTGGTTTAGACCACAGCACCACCCATGTTCCTAGCTGGCGATATATAGCGATGTTGGAAACCAGATATCACCCAGCTCTGCTCAAATCTCTGCAGAGAAGGCAACCAACTGTGGCCCATCCAGATGTTTGGAGGGGCCTCCATCTACTCCTGCGAGCCTTGAAAGAGCAACAGAGGCGCTTTCCATGCCTGGCGGAGGCACAAGTCAACACCCTCTTTAGATTTGTCCCCATCCTCTGTGGGTCCTTGGGTGAAGGACTCTCCCTAAGCCAGATAGTGACCTCCCTCCAGTGGCTGCTCACCTGTAAAAGCAGATTTCATTCAGGCACTGTTTGCAAGGCTTGTGGACCGAGTAGAGTCTGGTGCAGGGATACTGCTCCTCCTGGCAGTCTGGGAATGGAGAAGAAGGGGATGGGGAGAGTTACTACAAGTGCAGTGACCCCCTGAGCTTTGGGGTGGGGCGATTTCTTCTGTACAGCCTCAGGGGCAGAGGTTGTTTTGGATGACACCAGCCCTCAGGCAGCGGTTCTCAACCTGTGGGTCCCCAGATCTTGTTGGACTACAACTCCCATCATCCCTGAGTTCTGGTGTTGCTAGCTAGGGGTAATGGGAGTTGTACTTCAACAACATCTGGGGACCCACAGGTTGAGAAAGGCTGTGCCAGAGTCTACAGGCTGAAGCATCAAGTCATGGCACTGGGGTCAATGCTGAGCTCAGCGATGCAATAGGCTGCCTTCATTCACCAACGCTTAAGAGGCAAGCGACTTGAGCAATGGTCACAAGCGTTTCTATCTAGAATCATTCCTATGCTGACTTTCATTCAAAGGAATTTCCAGGCTGGTTTATAAGAACAAAAACACAAAACTCGGCCAGCTGCCGCCACTGTTTAAAACAAGGCTCATCTCCCTCCCTGCTCTCGGCAGCAGCTGCAACACAGGCAGGGAAAATAGGGACATTCTGGGATCAAACTGGAAGCTGGGGTGGCTTTTGTAATTCCAGGACTGTCCCTGGAAAATCGGGAGGGTTTGATCATAACCCCCTTCTCGTTAAGAAAGCACAGTATCGTGGTTACAAATAAGAATGGGAACATGAATGTTTCAGCTGGGAAGCTGATTTAAATTCCACCAAGCTGTTAGAATTCCTGCTCCATGATTGCAGTCATGGGATTGTTGTCTATCACATGACGGTATACGTTTTGACTCCACAGAGTGGGAAGTGATGGAGACAGAATGTTTGTGTTACTGTGTTCCGTGAAGTGGGACTATTGTCCTTTGTTCATTCTCTTTGCTGTCTGATGTTAGAGAGAGAGGGAGCCATGTGGCAGTGCTCCGTGTGTGTTTATATGTAAATAAAGTAGATTAGCCAAAATGCTGAGTTGCTGAGGTCTGTCCCGCGAACTCTGCGAATCCCTAAGTGTGCCGGTGTCTGTTGGCGTCGGTCAGTGTGATGTTCTGGCTGAAGAAAGATTTTGAAGCTCCCGAACGATCGACCAGGAGGGAGAGAACTTGCCAGTCGGGCATGTGTCTCTGCCAGGGTCCTACTCGAGTGTAGGACGAGCTCCTGACACAAGCAACTCCAAATTTTACAGCATGCTTACTTACCAAGCGGGCCTGGTTCAGTGGGCTCTGTCTCGGGAACATCTAGAACAGGGTAGGTAGGGGGAAAGAGAATTAGGGTTACAGATCCAACTTCAGGGCTCTTGATAGTCTTCATTGCAAGCACGGGTGCAAACAGGGATAGGCCTCTGGCCTTGCCCTTATTTACATCAGAATATGAAAGCCACAGAACAGCCAGCCAGGGATATCTCAATAGTTAAAATCTCTATAACTGAAGCAGGTCAGTTTGGACCTTCCAGAAGAGGAGGAGTCTGACATTTTTTGCACAGCTCCCAGCAATAGGGGACAAGTGTCGTCCCCCCCTCACCGGGCTGGATTAACCGTTAGGCAAAATAAGCCCATGCTTAGGGCATCAAGGGAAAGTGAGGGGGGGACCACAGAAATTTTCCATGGCCGGATTTTTAACATCAGTGGTCACCCATTGCTCAGCTGAGCGTTTGTTTTCTCAGCTGACGTATATTTAACTTCAGAACAACTATGCAACAAGGCAGGCTGGATGTCTGTTCTCTACTAATTGCAGAAGCAGATGTGTTACGTAAGATTGGTTTTGAGCATCTGATCAAAGACTTTGCTAATAGTAGGATATATATATATATATATATATATATATATATATATACACACACACACACACACACACACACACAAAGTGGGAGTATGCAAAAATAAACATTTTCCATCTTAGTGCAGGTTCCATTTCGTTTTGAAAACTAAAAATTTGATTTTATGGTTTATGTTTTGAATAGGATATATATGGGGGCACCAAGATCTTTTAAGTGCTTAGGGCCTCTGAAGGTCTTAATCTGGCCCTGATTCCCCGCATTGTTCCCCTCGCTTCTCCTTCTGGCGGTTGTGATGCAATGCCCCTTGCACGACACCTCCCTACCAAACGAAGGTGGGCTTACCTTGGGTGGGCGCAGGGATGACTTCCTGCTGGTTCTGCTGTTGGGACTGGTACTGGTATTGCTCCTCCGGGGTCTGCGGAGCGATGTCTGCTGTGGAAAGGGGGGAGGGAGAGGGGGGAGGTTCAGCTTGAGCCAGCCTGGCTCTCCCATTTCCACCCCAAAGTCTAAGGCTCAGGACGCACTTTTGGGGAGGCTCGTGGTGGAAATAAGTTCTTCCCTTCCCCCAAACTCCCCCAGAGCAGAGGGGAAAGTTGACTCACCATTACCAGCATAATCGTAATAATCTTGGCTGTCTAAAAAAAAGAAGGAAGGAAAATGTTAGGTTGTGGGTGAACATATTAGACGACACAGCGATTCTTCCAACAGCTCTTGTTTATTCACAGGCCAGAACAGAACTGAACTGAAGGGTTCAGCCTTATATAGAGCTCAACTACAAAGCAACAGTAACAACTTTCTGTAACTATCCAATCACTGAATGTCACTTTCAATCCCTTATTTGCATATGCGGACCTGAGTGAAAACTATCTACAGTATCCCCCTGCTGGCCCAGGGTGAGAACTTCAGTACATAACACCAAAGAGGCACAGTTTAATTCCACTGAGGCTGGCAGGAGGTTGAGGAGCAGGGGGCAGAGGCGATAGCATTTCCCCACATCGTGGCTGGGAGATCCTGGGGTTTGCAACCTTTGGCTGCTCCCCAGAAGGAGAAAGTTCTACGGTATGCACAGCCTAGTGTCACATTCTAGTGTCCTTGATTTGAATGGCATGAGACAGGAAGTGGGGAGTTTCCACCAGGCTGCAATGCACTCACCTATTTCGTAAGGCACATAAGGTGTGTCATGGTAGGCCGGGTCCTCGATGTCGTACTGTCCTTGAGCCAGGAGTGCTGCTGGATAGAAAGAGGCAGAGGCTCAGCTGGGTCTCCCCATCACCACCAGATCATGGGTGCAGTCTAGGGGCTGCAGTTGCATACTGCGAGAATCCAGAAGGAAACGTCTGCCTGCCCCGAGCACTCTACAGCGAGAGCCAAGCTTGGCTCCCCAAAGGGCCAAATGGAAAAGCCACACCAGTGCAGCCCACCTTCTGCATGCAAAGATTCTCCACCCCGAGCCACATTCATTCCCCGAAATGCTTCTCTCGCTGGACAGATGGACGGACACACACACAAACGACACCTGCCCCCCCCAAAGCTCTTGGTGATCATTTTTTAATACAAGGTGTGACCGGAAAGTTCAGTGAATTGTCACAGAAATCAAACCATCGAAGAGGACCCTCTGTTTGGCAGACCGTTGATGAGCTGAACGGTGGCAAATGTCAACAGAGTTTGTGAGTTATTGAGGCGGGATCGGCATTTGTCCATCCAAATGATGGCGGAATAATTGCATATTCCGCGTGAAATCGTTACTGAGGTTACTGAGTTGTCCCACCCTCCATGGTCTCTCGATCTGGCCCCACCAGATTTCTTTCTTTTTCCAAAACTGAAATCTGCACTGAAAGGGCACAGATCTCCCAACATTTCAAACGTCCAAGCTGCCGTGACGAAGGAACTGAAAGCAATACGAAAAGAGGGCTTCTCCAGAGGTTTCCAGCAGTTCTACGAACATTGTCAACGGTGCATTGTATCAGACGGGGCCTACTTTGAAGGCCTGTAAGGCATGTATGTTCAAATACCCGTATTTTTCGCACCATAGGACGCACCGGCCCATAGGACGCACCTAGTTTTTTGGGGGGGAAATAAAGGGGAAAAAAATTCCCCCCCCCCAGGTGTGCTGTGCTAAGCCCGAAGCTTGGGGCGTGCGGAGCTCAGCGTGCCCCAAGCTTCTGGGTGCTGGCAAGGTCTCCACTAGCCGTGGGAGAGCCGCGCGGCTCTCCCAGGGCTAGCGGAGCGCTGCGCTAATCCTGAAGCTTGGGGCGTGCGGAGCTCAGCGCGCCTCAAGCTTCTGGGTGCTGGCAAGGTCTCCACTAGCCGTGGGAGGGCCGCGGGGCGCTCCCCGGGCTAGCGGTGCGCTGCACTAATCCCAAAGCTTGGGGCGTGCGGAGTTCAGCGCGCCCCAAGCTTCTGGGTGCCGGCAAGGTCTCTGCTAGCCATGGGATAGCCACGCGACTTCGCGCGGCTCTCCCACGGCTAGCGGAGCTCTGCGCTAATCCCAAAGCTTGCGGCGTGCGGAGCTCAGCGCGCCCCAAGCTTCTGGGTGCAGGCAAGCTCTCCGCTAGGCCTGGGAGAGCTGGGTCTCCCACGGCTAGCGGATAGCTTCCTGAAGCCTGGAGAGCGAGGGGGGTCGGTGCGCACTGACCCCTCTAGCTCGCCAGGCTTCAGCGAAAGCCTGCATTCGCCCCATAGGACGCACACACATTTCCCCTTCATTTTTGGAGGGGAAAAAGTGCGTCTTATAGAGCGAAAAATACGGTACTTCTTGCTGTCCGATTTCTGTGACCATTCACCAAACTTTCTGGTCACACCTTGTATTTTCCAGGGCAGCAAGTTAAGAGAGATTCTAGAGGCAGAGCCCTGGATCAGATTGCTTCCATTACTTTGCTCCATTGTTTTGAAATGCGCTGTTCCACTCACCTGGCAGGCACAGGAGGAAGAGATTCAGTGTCCTCCTCATTCTCAGTCTGGGGCAGTCCTGCTGGGCTGGGGAAGAAGCACTTGTCAAAGCGATAAATAACTACCTGACATTCAGAAGACATCTTAAGGCAGCCCTGTTCAGGGAAGTTTTTAATCTGTGATATTTTAGTGTATTTTTGGTTTCTATGGAAGCCGCTCAGAGTGGCTGGGGAAACCCAGCCAGATGGGCGGGGTACAAATAATAAATTATTATTATTATTATTATTATTATTGGGTCAGGATGGGGAAAGGGATGAGCAGCACAGCATGGGCTAAAGTACAGCCATTCATTTGACATTTGTGTTGGCTGTTCACATCTATCCTTATGGAAAGTGTGCCCATATTTATGTTTTAATGCCATTTTGCACTGCAATATGTTTCATACGGGACGTGGGTGGCGCTGTGGGTTAAATCACAGAGCCTAGGGCTTGCTGATCAGAAGGTCGGTGGTTCGAATCCCCGCGACGGGGTGAGCTCCCGTTGCTCGGTCCCTGCTCCTGCCAACCTAGCAGTTCGAAAGCACGTCAAAGTGCAAGTAGATAAATAGGTACTGCTCCGGCGGGAAGGTAAACGGGGTTTCCGTGCGCTGCTCTGGTTCGCCAGAAGCGGCTCAGTCATGCTGGCCACATGACCCAGAAGCTGTACGCCGGCTCCCTCGGCCAATAAAGCGAGATGAGTGCCGCAACCCCAGAGCCGGTCACGACTGAACCTAATGGTCAGGGGTCCCTTTACCTTTTTTAATGTTTCATACAGCCGCCCTTTTGCATTTATTTTATTGGCATGCCAAGTATCCACATGGCAACTGTGCAGAAAAACACACCTTAGAGGAGATCTGGGTTGTCTTCTGTCTGAAAGAGAGATGGAGATTCCTTTCCACTCCCAAGAGACTCCCTGGATCCTCTGTGGGCCTAGCAGTGTCTGCATACACCTCCTCCACCTCCTGCCTTCAGCTTCGGCTGGGATTGGAAAGCAGAAGGCCCCCCCACACCGCCCCTCCCTCAAAACAAGCTCTCAAAAAGTTCTGCAGACTTTGCAAAGGCCCTGTTGATCTTGTGCCCTTCTGCAGAACCAATAAATCTGTCCCCAAATGGCACTGGAGACCCGGGAAACCTCTGGGAGGGATTTAGGCACAAAGAAAGTCAAATGTGCGGGCTCAGCTGAGCCCAGTTGTTATTGTTGGTTTCCATTGGGGACGCTGCAATTTCCATCAGCAGCACATAGCCAGATGTGGTTTGCGGTACCCTGGCGGGGAGAGGAAAACTGGAAAGGGGGCACCTGCCAAATGTTCTGTTGACTGAACATTGTACATTTAACAAGCAACACAATACCAAGAGCTCTCGCCAAAAGCTGGGGCAGGCAAGCGGTTTTCCGCCTGAGGGCTGCATTCCTTAGTGTGCGTTGTGGGGAGTCAGGGGGAAGACACATGTTAACTGTGGAAGAAGCCAAAGGTGGGAGGGGTCACCCCTTCTCCTCCTCCTCCTCTGATGGTTAAATGGCTCATTCCAGAAGTCTAAACTGACTGCTTGCACAGAGCTTTCGGAACGAAGTCAAGAGCTGCACAGAACCCGCAGGATGGCTGCCCCTGGTTGCCCCCCCCCCCTTTTAACTGCTGAGAACCCTCCACAACATCTTCGTCAAAGAATGATTGCTCACTGCTGTCACCCTGAGGGCCATGGCAAATTCATTCAGATAAACTACATTTGGGCTGAAAGATGACTCCGGTCTTGCATACCCTCCAACACTCCTCAGATGAAAATACAGTGGTGCCTCGGGTTACATACGCTTCAGGTTACATACGCTTCAGGTTACAGACTCCACTAACCCAGAAATATTACCTCGGGTTAAGAACTTTGCTTCAGGATGAGAACAGAAATCGCGCAGCGGCGGTGTGGCGGCAGTGGGAGGCCCCATTAGCTAAAGTGGTGCTTCAGGTTAAGAACAGTTTCAGGTTAAGAACGGACCTCCGGAACGAATTCAGTTCCTAACCCGAGGTACCACTGTAGGGACATTTCTCACTCCCCAAAACTGACCTTCCTCGAAACCCCCCACCACAATGTTTTCCCTCCCCTGCAGAGCGTTTCCTATCAGAAGATGGGCATGTTCCAATTTCATTTTATTCCTCAGTAGATTTACAAAACGAAAGACACACGCATAATAAATAAATGTTTAGAAAGGGACAAGGTTAGACGCAGAAACACAAAACAACATTTAAAAAAAAATAAAAAATCAGGACTCCTTGCACTCTGCTTCGCTTCGCTCCCTTTTTCTTCCTGCCCCTCAGAGCTGGCTGCAGCCTCTTCTCCTTACCAACTCTCCAGCAGCCACTATGAGCTGCCCAAGGAAGGAGGCTGGCAATGGGTTGCTCTCCCATAGCCACAAACTGTCGTTAGGGACAAGCACCAGAGCTCAGCACCGGCAGGGGAAATGGGGACATCCCGGGATGAAATCAGAACCCGGGAGGGCTTTCGTAATTCCGGGACTGTCCCTGGAAAACCAGGACACTTGGACGGTATGGTTTTGCATGCAGCCCCTGCAAGAGATGCCTAAGGAATTGTACCCCACAGGCGGTTGAAATAGATACCATCTTTTTTGCTCCATAAGACACACCTGACCATAAGACACACCTAGTTTTTAGAGGAGGAAAACAAGGAAAAAAAATATTCTGAACGAAACAGTGGATGTATGATTTTTGTGGTTCATGCCGTGGCCACAGACATGTGATCTGATGGTGAATTTGGGGTGACCCAATGCAAAAATCCTGAGGATCCATGTGGATCTGTGCTTTGCAACCATGTTTTTGCGCCATTGTGGCCCCACGCAACAGGGGGTGCGTGATTTTTTTGGTGCAGGCTGTAGCCTTGGACATGCTATGTGATCTGATAGTGAATTTGGGGTAACCCAATGCAAAAAGCCTAACGATCCATGTGGATCCGTGCTTTGTAATCACGTTTTTGCACACAACAGCCTCCTTTATCTCTAGCATCCCTTATCTCTCTCCCCGATCGGCAAACGATCAGCGGCTTTGTTTCAACACCCACTTCCCTCTTTCAAAAAAAAAAAAGCATGATCTGCTTTTTGCCCCGGGCAATTCGGCTCCAGGGACCACGCATTCGCTCCATAAGACGCACAGACATTTCCCCTTACTTTTTAGGAAGAAAAAGGTGCATCTTATGGAGCTAAAAATACGGTAGTTCTGTCTCCAAGACCCTCAGCGTCTGAATACCTGTCCGTCACGAGACCTAAAAGAACAGGATCTCCATTAACGTGGTTGCTCACCATCCTTGTTTTGTCAGTGTGGTTCCCTCCATAATTTTGTAGGCTGTGATTACAATGAGCAGGGAGCCTAAATATGGACTCCCTGTAACCCTTTTTATGTCTGTAGAAGGCGGTGCAAGGCTTCAAGCCTGGAGGTCACAAAAGACCAAAAACACCAATTAAGAGGGGAGGTGCTGTCAGGAAATGTTCTGATGAAAGAAACCCAACCTGACCACTTTCCAGCAATGCGGTGCCCTTTTTATTTTTAATTGCTTCGATTTCTCCATGCATCGTTGCCCAACACTGCAGGAGCGGGAAGGGGAAGAGGAAAGGAAAGAGGTGCAAAGCTCCTTGCCAGATACTGAAATAGATGCCCAGGTGCTCTGAACAAAGAGGTCTGGCCTGGAACCCGCCTTGTAGTTGAGGAAAGTTTCCTGGAATGCTTCCCCCCGCCTCTGCAAAAGTCATTTAAGAGTCTGGGGGGGGGGGGAGCTGCAGCAGGCTGCCAGCGGGACCTCTTCCACGCTGGGATTCTGAATCCATCTCCAACAGCGGCAAAATCCCCCGCCCCCTCTCTCGCCATGCCTGTTTGCACAGTTCAGGAGAGAGGGAGAGAGCTGCTTAGTCCTTCGGCTGGGCATCCCCAGTGCAGCCAGCTTAAAACATGATTGCTCCCCTTGTCATAGGAATTAAAGGTAAAGTTAAAGGGACCCCTGACCATTAGGTCCAGTCGTGGCCGACTCTGGGGTTGCGGCGCTCATCTCGCTTTATTAGCCGAGGGAGCCGGCGTACAGCTTCCAAGTCATGTGGCCAGCATGACTAAGCTGCTTCTGGTGAACCAGAGTAGTTTCCATTTACCTTCCTGCTGGAGTGGTACCTATTTATCTACTTGCACTTTGATGTGCTTTCAAACTGCTAGGTTTTATTAAGTTTGAAACCAGCCAAATACCCGTATTCTTCTATCTTATTCAGTGCTTCCACTGCACTGGACATTGGTTGTTCCAGTGTCAATACCACATCGTCCGCAAAAGCCTTATACTTATACTCTTTAGAACCAATCCTAATACCTTTTATCTCTTTTGTCGTTTCTATTTTCTTAAGCAGGACCTCCAATATTGTTATAAATAACAACGGCGATAATGGACACCCCTGCCTTGTCCCTTTTGTTATCTCAATTTTTTCCGTCAAGGTGTTATTAATTATCAATTTGGTATGTTGTTCCGCGTATATAGCCTTAATTCCATTTACAAAATTATCTCCCATATCCATATTTTCCAAATTTCTTTTCATAAAGTGCCTGGACACATTGTCAAATGCCTTTCAAACTGCTAGGTTGGCAAGAGCAAGGACCGGGCAACGGGAGCTCACCCCGTTGCGGGGATTTGAACCGCCGATCTTCTGATTGGCAAGTCCTAGGCTCTATGGTTTAACCCACAGCGCCACCCACGTCCCTGTCATAGAAATTAGGCAAACTGTAAACAACTGCAGGAAGGCAACAAGAGGTAAATGAACCCACAAAAGTTTAGGATCAGCGTTTCCTTCTTGGTGAGCTACCTTCTCAGGTTGATGAGCCCCATCTGCCCCTCGCTTCTTTCTACAGCACAGGCTGAAGCCACTTTCTTGACCATTGGGCCCACTCTTGGTCTCGTCTGTCTTCACAGGCAGGGGAAGACCCTAACTTGCCCGAGGGTTTGAGATCCATCGGCTACCCTCACCTGGTTTAGCTGGGCAGTTGATGTTGTTCCTGGCGTGTGGCCGCTGTCAGTTTCTTGATGCAGAGCTCAGGGTAGGGACCAAAGGTGGCCAAACTATTCCAGGAGGAGCACAACGGTGTCCCCCCAACCCAAACATCCCCCACACCCCGAGAAGATAATTAAGCACACAGTGACTATAGGGCCTCCCTCTCAGCAATTGGTTTAAATAGATGTATTAAATTTGGCTTGTAGGTCGGGCTGGCTCCAATTACATGTGTGTGGGGGGAAAGCCCTTTGCGCATGGGCAGAGATGTGATGCAAGTTCACCAGGGGCATTGGAGCAAGATGTGGTAGTTGAGCCCTCCCTCCTCCACATCAAAGAACCTCCCCCACCGTCCCCCTCTAGCCAGGAAAGGCGACCCTGCTCCCACTCTCCCTCCCTCCCTCCTGGAAGGCCCCCACTACACTGATGCTTTTGGCAGAAGATGCTGAAATGGGGGGGGGGGGCGAGGCCCTCCTCAATGCCCAAGATGTGGGAGGGTAACACTTTTAGGGAAACCAGATGTTTTTTGCAAGGCACATCTGGGAACAATCAGTCAGCTCCTGCAAAGGAAAGAATGCCTCAGGAACCTCCTGAAACCCCACCTTCTAGGAAAAGCCCCCTCCTCCAAAGGCCAGGAGAGGGAGCAGAGAACAAAAGGGAACCCCCCCTCCTCCACCACCAACACAGATATCGCAAGGATTTTGGACCTCCAAAATCAACCCACAATGTCTTGTACCCCCCAAAAAAACTTACTTACAAGGGCTTTCATAGTGACTTTCCAAGAAATACAATCCCCCTCCTCTCTGCCCCCAGCCAAAATTCCAGACATCAGGAAATGGAAAGGAGGGAGCACTCAACATCTGCCAGGGGCCAACTCACTCACTGAACTGTTGCATTTACAATGAATAGAGCACACATATTGTCCTTAATCTCACTACCTTTTCTTCATCCTTCAAAAGTTTCCCCTTCCATTGGAAATTCCCTTAAAACAACGGCAACATGCAATTTGGTATTTAGACAAAAGTTAACCAAGGACCCCTCAAAGCCGCCTTCGCTCTGGATTAAAAGCTGCAGTTGAAACAAGAAAAATAAACCTGCCTTTCCGAAAAGCAGGAATGATTCCCACCCCACCCCCTTACTCCTTCACTGCCATTTGCTTTAGTTTTGGGGGTCGTGATCCTGACTGAAGGCAAAATGGTCCCTGTACATTTTGCCCACGACTCTTGCCTACTGGTGAGCTTTAAAGAGGAACATCCAAAAATGGCACAAGACCTCTGTGCATGCACAGAGACACACAGGAATGACTTACTGCTCTGAAGGTCTCTTTTCCTCTCACTCCCCCTGCTATGCTCCCAGAGACTGGATCTCTTTTGCCCACTTTCAAGAGAGGGGGAAAGAAATCTGTCTTGCGATGCAGCCTCTCCCCTGGGTCCTAATGCTACCTTGCTTTAAAGGCAGCGGGTTTCCACACATTTCAACCCCATCCCACTTAATTAAAACCAGAGAGAAGAAGCAGGGAAGAACAACAACAGGTGAGGTCTCTGCAGATTGGAGGCATGCAAATGTCCCAGTCTTCAGAAGGGCGGCGGGGGGGGGGGGGGGGGGAAGAGGACCCGGGGAACTACAAATCAGACAGGTTGACTTTGATACCAGCAAAGGTCTTACAACAGATAATTAAACAATTGGTCTGTGAGGACTTAGAAAAGTATACTGTGGTCGCTAGAGCAAGCATGGGCTTCTAAAGAACAAGTTATGCCAGATCAAACTTCTGTTTTTGATAAGAGTTGCAAGCTTGGTGGATCAGGGGGAAGCTGTGGATGTAAAACGTCTTGATTTCATCAAGGCTTTCCACAAAGCCTTCTTGAGAAGCTGGTAAAAGGTAGGGCAGGCAATGTCAATGTTGGGTGGATTTGGAGCTGACTGATAGAACTCAAAGAGCACTGATTCTTTGGGGGGGGGAGTGCCAACTGAGGTGCCACAGGGTTCTGTCCCAGGCCTGGTGCTGTTCAGCATCTTTACTTGGGTGAAAGAACTGAAGGGATGCTCATCCAGTTTGCAGATGACTCCAAACAGAAGACACAAGTGGGATTCAATAGGACCTTAACAGATTGGAGAACATGACCAAAGCTAACTAAAATGAATCTCAATAGGAACAAATACAAGGTTCTACACTTGGTAGGAATAATCCGAATTGTCTAAAAAGGCCTCCACTCTTCTATAAAAAGTTCATCATTTTGCTGACTTAATTTTGTTCTCAACTTTGACATTTCCACACAGTCCTTTTAAAAGCCACTGTTCCTTCACTGGAACCTTCTCTTCTTTCCATTTCTGTGCATACAATATTCTAGCTGCTGTTGTCACATGTATAAATAGTTTGGTTGTCTTCTTCAGAATGTCTATACCTGTTATCCCTATAAGAAAATCTTCAGGTCTTTTGGGAGTAGCCCTCTTGAACAGCTTCTTCATTTCGTTATAAATCATTTCCCCAAAGCCTTTAGCCTTTTACATGTCCGCCACATGTGAAAGAATGACCCTTCTGTCTGTGTTATTTGATGTTAAATACTACCTGTACATCTAGGTTGCATCAACGGAAGTACAGTCATACCTCATGTTATGTTTGCTTCATGTTACGTTCTTTCAGGTTACGTCCTGCGGCGACCCGGAAGTACCGGAAAGGGTTACTTTCTGGTTTCGCTGCTCATGCATGCGCAGAAGCGCTAAATCGCGCTTTGCACATGTGCACAAGTGCCAAATCGTGCCGCGCACCTGTGCAGATATGGTGCTTCAGGTTGCATTCTTTTCATGTTGCGAACGAGCCTCCGGAACGGATCGTGTTCGCAACGAGAGGTACCACTGTATAGCGTCCAGATCAGGGGAAGTACTAGTACCACTCTATTCTGCCTTAATCAGACCACACTTGCAATACTGTGTCCAATTCTGGGCACCACAATTTAAGAAGGATGTTGACAAGCTGGAACGTGTGCAGAGGAGGGCAACTAGAATGATCAAGAGTCTGGAAACTAAGCCTTATGAGGAGCGCTTGAAGGAGCTGGGTATGTTTAGCTTGGAAAAGAGGAGATATGATAGCGATCTTCAAATATCTTAAGGGCTGTCACTTGGAGGAGGGAGCATGCTTGTTTTCTCCTGTTCTGGAGGGTAGGACTCGAACCAATGGCTTCAAGTTGCAAGAAAGGAGTTTCCAACTAAACATTTGGAAAAAAAATGACAGTAAGAGCTGTTCAGCATTGGAACAGACTCCCACGAGAGGTGATGGACTCCCCTTCCTTGGAGGCTTTTAAACAAAGGTTGAATGGCCATCTGTCATGGATGCTTTAGCTGAGATTCCTGCATTACAGGGGGTTGGGCTAGATAACCCTTGGGTACTTTTGAACTCTAAGATTCTATGATTCCATCATTTTTAAATAGTTTTCATTTAAAGAGTAACAGGCAGTGAATTTCATATCTTTTTTACATAGCTTCTTCCAAGAAACCATTTGTTGTTGTTTAGTTGTTTAGTCATGTCCGACTCTTCGTGACCCCATGGACCAGAGCACGCCAGGCACTCCTGTCTTCCACTGCCTCCCGTAGTTTGGTCAAACTCATGCTGGTAGCTTCGAGAACGCTGTCCAACCATCTCGTCCTCTGTCGTCCCCTTCTCCTTGTGCCCTCCATCTTTCCCAACATCAGGGTCTTTTCCAGGGAGTCTTCTCTTCTCATGAGGTGGCCAAAGTATTGGAGCTTCAGCTTCAGGATCTGTCCTTCCAGTGAGCACTCAGGGCTGATTTCCTTCAGAATGGATAGATTTGATCTTCTTGCAATCCATGGGACTCTCAAGAGTCTCCTCCAGCATCATAAAAGCATCAATTCTTCGGTGATCAGCCTTCTTTATGGTCCAGCTCTCACTTCCATACATCACTACTGGGAAAACCATAGCTTTAACTATACGGACCTTTATTGGCAAGGTGATGTCTCTGCTTTTTAAGATACTGTCTAGGTTTGTCATTGCTTTTCTCCCAAGGAGCAGGCGTCTTTTAATTTCGTGACTGCTGTCACCATCTGCAGTGATCATGGAGCCCAAGAAAGTAAAATCTCTGTGTGGTCATTATTGAGCTGTGATTGCTGCACTGCAGGTAAGGTTGCCACCCACCCTGTAGAATACAAGATTGTCCCTTTTTTCAATGTAAAATGATTCAATACAGGACACAGTTTGTCCTGTATTTTCCCTATTTCTGCCCTGCGGCTGCTCCCACTCCCTCTCACTTCTTTCCTTTCCTTTTCCCTCCTCATTCCCTCTTCTCATCTGGTCCCAAGGTGGAGCAAACCAGGGCAAGTCTTTGAGGTTGTCCTTTCCAGTCCCCTGCAGCTTTGACATGGGTTAAAGTGGCCATCCACCTTGGAGCACCAGGCCCTGTCCCTCAGATAACAACACCTTCCGAGGCTCCAACAACAAGTCTTCCTGTGTCAGTGTAGCCCAGAAGCCTCCGTTCTGCATATTTGAGAGAGAGGAGGAGGAGGGCTGGGGGGGGGGGTAGCTCCTCACAAGGCTTGCCCTTCCAACCACCCTTTCCCCGTCATTCAGAAATTTATGTGGAATGTGGAACAAAGCTCATCCCCTCATCAGAATATGCCTCTGCCTCCTGCCTGCATTGTTGCACAGGACTGCATATGTGTGGAAAAGGTCGTGCATTCCAGCTCCAGATAGCAAAGCACAGATTTACAAAATTATGTGTGTGTGATAAATGTCAGAGGGGCCATCCGGTTAGGCTGCAATAGACTGCAATGGATTGCTCTGAAGACATTTCAGCACCAGGTGGAAAAAGAAAAGCACGCTGCTATCCTGTCCTATATGGTGGAACCTTGGGTTACAGACGCTTCAGGTTACAGCCTCCGCTAACCCAGACATAGTACAGTCATACCTCGGGATAAATACGCTTCAGGTTGAGCGCTTTCGGACCCGGAAGTAACGGAGCACATTACTTCCGGGTTTTGCCGCTCGCACATGCGCAGACGGTCGAAAGGATCTTGATGCGAACAGGGCTCTGGAACGCATCCCGTTCGCATCCTGAGATACCACTGTACCTTGGGTTAAGAACTTTGCTTCAGGATGAGAACAGAAATTGTGCTCTGGTGGCGCGGCAGCAGCAGGAGGCCCCATTAGCTAAAGTGGTGCTTCAGGTTAAGAACAGTTTCAGGTTAAGAACGGACCTCCAGAACGAATTAAGTTCTTAACCCCAGGTACCTCTGTGTTTTGCCAGAACAAAGGTCGCAACCCTAACTGCAGGGTTTTGGACCAGATGACCACTCCGCGATTCTGTAAGAGGATTAGACAAATTTCTGGGGAAGAGGACATCCAACAGCTACAAGCCGCGATGGCTCTGCTCTGCCTCCACTGTCGGGAGGCTACCCGTTGCTGGAAGGACTCAGGAAGGCGGGTCGGGAGAATTGCAGCAGCCTTCTCCGTGCTGAACGCGTGTCCACCCATTCACACGTGAACGTAGCACGTGGCGCACCCACCAGGCGACCATCGCGACACCCGATCCTCGGAGCTCCGCGACCCTCCCTGGGACCCCCCGACACCCCCACCCCCCGAAGGCAACCTTTGAGCAGGGGCAGCGAGCGCGCATGCACGAGCAGCCCCTTAACCCGGGAGGAAGGGGAGGTCTCGTCCATGGCCGCAGTCAGGAGTAATTCAGCTCTTGCGCTTTCTTGCGTCTACGAACTCCTCCTCCCGCCACGCTCAACATGGCGGCCGCTGCGGCCGACGTCTAAAGCCCCACTCTCGCGTCAGGCGCTCCGAATGCCGCGGGACCGCCTCCTCCCGCGCGCACCTACGTGCTTGCGTAGCCACGGCCCCTCCCAACCAGGCGCCTTCCCCGTCGCCTCTCTCAATATGTCCGCAGAACGGAAGCGGGCCTTGCGGTCCCTCCTCTTCCGGAAGCAGCTGTCAGGGTGATCCGCTCAGAGGGCGCAAGATGGCAGCGGCCTCTGTGACCGTGGCGGCGGCGGCGGCGTTGGCGGCTGAGCGGGCGGCGGGCGCGTCCTTATCCTTTCGGCGAGGCCCGGCGGGGGCGCTGCGGTTGCTGCAGGTGAGCGAGACCGGAGTGTCCGGGAGGGGAGGGGCTCCGCAGCGGTTGGCCTCGGGAGGCGGCTAGTCCTCAGTGAGGAAGAGGAGGAAGGTGCCGGCCAGTCCTGTCCTCCGCCCTCCTGGCTCCGAGGAACGTGGCTGCCTGGGCGGCTGGGTCCGACCCTGGAGGCTTTTGCCGAGGGAGCAACAGAAGCGGCGTCCTCCCAATTTAAAATATATCTTCAAAAATATTGTAATATTAAAGACTGTTAGAAAGATGTCGGAAAAAGAAAATTTAGGCAGTTTTGGTAGATATGACATTAAGGATTAAGCAAAAATGAGTTGATGAAATTGATGAAACAGAGGATGTTTAATTATAATATTTTAAATTAAAATACGTAAATGAAAATAAGGTTGGAAGGATTTGCTGGAAAAAATGATCTGAACTAGAATACAAAATTGGGAGGTGAGAGGAGGTCAAGGAAATAAGTAAAGGGAAAAAGTTATGTAAAGGTTTAATTTGTTTTTGTTTTAATTTAATTTAATGTATTTTTATATTTCTTGTCTTGCTTATTGTTCTCATTTTTCTTTTTACTTTGCTCTGTTATGGAAAAAAATTTTTTTTTGTATTTCTTTTTATATTTTGTACTGTTTTTTTCTCTTTTTGTAATCTTAAACTTGGAATAAATATCATTTTCAAAAAAAAAAAACAGAAGCAGCGTCCTCCTGGCCGCCCATAGCTGTCAAGGTTTCCCTTCTTTTAAGGGAAATTCCCTTATTCCGAATAGGATTCCTTGCAAGTAAAGGGAAAAGTTGACAGCTATGCGGCCGCCCCGCTCCCCATCTTCATTCCTGACCGCTGTAGCCGGAGGGGCGGATGGGGACTCTGCTTGCAGCGGCGAGGGGCTGGAGGGGCAGAGGCTGATGCCTGGGCTGCCAAATTGAGTAAAATTTGGAGGGGGCATTGAATGGCAGTGTTCATCGACTTGGGGGGAGGAAGTGAAGGGCCCTTGGCCCCTAGGAGTTGGCTCCTATGTCTCCACTCTCAAATGGGGGGAAGCACCCACCACCAAATGCTACGGACAGCTGCGGCAACGGGGAGGAGAGAGCAGCAGCTGTAGTCTGCCAGGCAATGGAGGAGGGCAAGGGGCCCCTACCAACTGTGTCTGCATTGCTTCAAGTGAGGCACCCTCAGTCCAAGTCCCCCCACCTGTAGTGCAAAAGAGACATCATGTTGATGGTAGTAAACTCTGGCTGGCCCCAAGCGCACCCTTGTCTCAGAAATGAAACTGTTTGTCCAGCTGTGCATGCCTCTTGCTCAGGTCTCAGGTCTCCTTTCCTTCTTCCCTGGTGTACAGGTTTGCCGCAGGGCACACGCAGCAGCAGCTGCCGCCGCCGCTCCTGACACACAGACAGCCACCCGCATTAAGAAGTTTGCAATATATCGGTGGAACCCGGACAACCCCGGGGAGAAACCTCGTATGCAGACATATGAAGTTGATCTGAACAAGTGAGTAGTGCTTTGAAGAAGGGGCTGGGCAAGACCCCTCTGTCCTCCGCCAAGGGATGTTGCCCACCCTTGGGTGCTCCTGTGCATCATGTTATACAATTATAACATGTTACACAACAATTTATATGTTATGTAACAATTATAACATGTTATGCAATACACACACAGCCAGGAGTATACATACATAAATGCATAATCCCAAATATCTCCTTTTGCCTTCAAATAAAATGGCATCCATCTCTAAATCATAAGAATGAAACGAAAACACAGAACAAGTCCAAGGCCAAGTTTAGCTTGTGGTCAACCCCAGAGACCCTCTCCAGTCACATAGCAGGAAATTCTTCCTGAGGAAGTGGACTTGTCAAAAGAGCCAATATCTATGTATAAAAGAAAAAGGTCCTTTACAATAGATTCTGGTGTCAAGGTATCCACCATTTCAGGCCAGGCCAGGAAGGGCAATTATCAGGTATTGTCAGCCATCTTGATTGACAGACTTGTCATGTATCTGTGATGTTTTGGGGTGGTCTTTCTGTAAAAGGGGGGTGAATACTTTCTGAGGTTTTAAAAGATGTTACACACCTTTGCTTGGGGCTTCTCACCTCTCTCACAAGGCGGGGTAGCGGGGAGGGACTCTGTTTGCAAACGGAACGGCCAATAAAGAAAAGGCAGCCTTGCTTTCTACTGCCTGGTCTTTCCTCCATTTTCGTTTATTTCTTTGACCAACAAGGCCATCCATTGAGGGAGGGGAGGGCTGTATAGCAATTATAACAGTGCAATCAGTGGCAGCAAGCAAAGGGCGTTGGTATCAGGTGTTGAGGCACAAAAATGAAGGTGCCTTCAGTTTGGTAACCCAAGATGGAGGCATTCATCAGAGCATGGGAAAATTGTAGCAGGCACCTTCAGCAGGGCCACACGTTAAGTCAGGCCAACTTAGCACACAGAAATGTAGCTTGCCTCCAGTTGGACTTCGCTTCAGAGCAGCCACTTCCTGCTTTTCAAAAACATGTGAATTACTGCTGCTAGCAAGTGACCTGGCATCATATTTGGTGGCTTGGACAGGTTGTGACCTTGCTGTGGTAATGCAGTGACATCTTTCTTCTGTTTTAACCCATTTCCTTTGCTTTAAGAACACACTGTGGAGAGTGTGTAGTGGGGGGCCCATATAAGGAAGGAGAGCAGTGGACTTAGAGATGAGCAGAGAACTTGGTATTTCTCTTTCTAGATGTGGACCGATGGTTCTTGATGCCCTGATCAAGATTAAGAATGAAATGGACTCCACCCTGACCTTCCGCAGGTCTTGCAGAGAAGGTAAACTTGTGCCTTGTTTGCTGTCTTCTGGGAAGCCCAGGTGGGCTCAGGTGAACGATGGTCAAGGCAAGGCCCACCTCCTACCTGTTCACACTTTCTGCTGTCAGAGCATTTGAGCAACTTGATTTAGATTGGCCTAAATGGGAGAGAGTCACCTCTCTCCATGACCTGCTAAAACCTTGTGAAGAGGCCAAATTCTGAAACACATGGCAGCTTTTGCAAGTTTTGAGGTTGAGATGGTTAAACCTGTCTAACAAGATTTAGGAATCAGAATTGCTTAAAAGATTAATGGTTGAATCCAGCTAAGTTTTACTCAGCATAGGCCCATTGCAGTTAATGGACCTAAGCTGATAATGAGCATTAATTTTCATGGGGCTACTCTGAGTAGGACTAACTCCTATCAGCTTCAGCATCGTCTGACCCCATGGCCATGACCGAGGCTGATGATAGTAGCTGTAGTCAAAAACAGTGGTTTTCAATTCTAAAGCCATGGGCTTTTGAAAATGTTGATATCTCTATGGTAATTATTGTATGTGAATGCTGCCATCGACCTCCTGGGTGGGTTATGTGGACCCCCTGGGGTGCATGGACCACCGATTGGGAATCTCTGGTATAAAACTTATGGAAGGCATCAGGTTGAGGAAAGTATGCTGGGACAGACCCATGACTGCCCAGGAAAAAAGGCTTTGGATATAACCCCAAAGCTCTTTGGGACAGGCGTTCTCTGTTGTTTATAATTAGATCTGTAATTGGTATACATAACGTGGCTATAAATAGCTCTGTTTAATAACATGCTCTCTCCGCTTAGGCCTGTTGTAAAACAAGAAGCAAACAAATGCTGAAAGAGTTTGCACTATCTCTTCAAATTGCCACAAGATTAACTGCTTTTTAAGAGGCTTTGTGGAAAGAGAAGCAATGCTTCCTTTTGAAAAATTAAAACAGCTTTGATGTGAGGATCTTAGATGTAGGAAGGTGGAGATTTTGAGTAGGACCAGGGAAGCGTCTTAGTTCAGTGGCAGAACATCAGCTTTGCATGCATAAGGTCCCAGGTTCGGTCCCCAGCAACTCTGTCAGTCTGAGAGAGACCCCTGCTGTTGTGCTGATAATGAGAGCCAGTGTGGTGTAGTGGTTAAGAGTGGTAGTCTCGTAATCTGGGGAACCGGGTTCGCGTCTCCGCTCCTCCACATGCAGCTGCTGGGTGACCTTGGGCCAGTCACACTTCTCTGAAGTCTCTCAGCCCCACTCACCTCACAGAGTGTTTGTTGTGGGGGAGGAAGGGAAAGGAGAATGTGAGCTGCTTTGAGACTCCTTAAAGGGAGTGAAAGGCGGGATATCAAATCCAAACTCTTCTTCTTCTTCTTCTTCTTCTTCTAATGAATCCATGGCCTGACTTGATGTGAGGCAGCTTTCTGTATTCCTATGGCGGGAGGCAGTGAACCGCTGGCCCTGTTGTGACTTGTCCTCTCCTTGTCCTAGGCATCTGTGGCTCCTGCGCAATGAACATTGGTGGAGGCAACAGTTTGGCTTGTACCACGAAGATTGACACTGACCTTGGCAAGGTCGCCAAAATATACCCTCTCCCACACATGTATGTGGTGAAGGATCTTGTACCAGTAAGTTCACACCTTCTTTGTAGCCCAGTTGGCAGAAGGTATTGTTATTTCTTTGGAAACAGGAAAACTAAGGAAATATAGCAGAATGTATCGGGGTGCCAAGTTTTTGTCTCTGAGATGGCCCCCTGCCCTTGTACGGGGGTGAGGGGCTCTGAGACGTAGGGGGCTGTCCAACTGAGCCCAGCCTTTGCCCCTTCTTGAGTCCGTTGCACTCAATAAATGTTTTTTTCCATTCCAGGACTTGAGCAACTTCTATGCCCAGTACAAAGCCATCCAGCCGTATTTGAAAAAGAAGGATGAGTCCAAGCAAGGCAAAGAGCAATACCTCCAGTCCATAGAAGATCGGGAGAAGCTGGTCATTACTCCTCTTTTCTTTTCATTCTGCTTCATTGGTGTTTTGGCCTGTCTTAACTTCTTCCCACGGGGAGGCAGCCTCTAGTATTGGCAGCTGCAGTCTCACCTCCCCGGGTCACCCCCCCTTCCTGTCCTGAGACCCCCATCACTGAGAGGCCTGCCTGGCTTACTCCACTTCAGGGTTCTGCTCCTCCACTGTCAGAGGAAGCCCTCTCTTGTCCCTGCTTAAGAAGTGCCTCCAGGAACTGAACCCACGACATTGTGCACCAAGCCCCTGCCACTAGTTTTTATGGGCACCTAAGAAGAGCCCTGAAGCAGGATCAGACCCATCTTGCCCAATATCCTCTCTTCCTGTGGGGCATCTTCAAGCAGGACAGGAGCACACACCACTCTCTGGCCCTTTGGTCCCCAGCAATTGGCACACGAAGGCTTCTTACCTCTGGCAATGGAAGTACTGCATAACCGTAGCTATCAAAAGCCTTGTCCTCCTCAGTGAATTTGTCTCAATCCCCCTTTCAAGCCGTGAATCTGCCCCACCCCACCTCAGCCTCTCTTTCTGCCCAGGAAGTTGTGCATCCTTCATTTTGCTGAGTGGCAGCAGCTGCTGCTGCTCTGGCCTTCGAGGCTGAGGTAGTCTAGGAGATGAAAATGGCCTCCTTTTCTCAAGGAGTCCTGCCTGCTCACTCGGAGGCAAAGCTGAGTTGCCTGGGGCAGTTGGGCAGGGGTCTGCACATCGAGCCTGGCTAAAAGACTGGTGCAGTTCTTAGCGGAGAGGTGGAACCCCCTCTCCCGCTTCATGCCCCCAAGTGGCCTCCTTCAGCAGATCACTGACCTTCCTCCCCTTGAAGGGTCTTACAGGAGCCTTTGGGGCAAACCGAGGGTGGCTCATCTTCAAAGGTCCTTCAGCCTGGAGCCAGGTGGGAGGAGGGCAGTTCCATTATGGCGGAGCCTGGAGCCAGGCAGGGGATCTCCATGCCAAACATCCTCTCCCTTTCCTGGAGGGACATGTAGTGAAACAGGAGCTGCAGTTGCTGCACACAAGCTGTGACACACACACACACACACACACACTGCACAATTCTTGACTTACAGACTTGCCATTTGATGTGATGACAGTGGTACCCCGTCTTGGGTGGTTTCAGAAGACCTCTAAGTGGCATTTCAGTGGCCCTGTCAGTGGCTGCTCCTTGCCACTGCAGTTTGGGAGGGAGCTTTCCGTGTTTCAAGGCAGTGCACCCCTGAAAACCACTTGCTAGGGAACAAACTGGAATTGTGGCAGCCCACCAAGTGCCCTTCCCCTGCTTTTGTTCACTTCACCGGTGGTTGTCTGGGTGGATTGGGACCCACACAAGGTGTTCCTCTGGTGGGGCTACGCTTCATTTTCCCTCATGGCAGATGCTAAATAGTCCTTTGACTCTGTGGCTCCTCTTTTGCTCCCTGCCAGGACGGGCTATACGAATGCATCCTCTGTGCCTGCTGCAGCACCAGTTGCCCCAGCTACTGGTGGAACGGAGACAAGTACCTGGGCCCCGCTGTGCTCATGCAGGTAAAAAGACCAGAGGTGCCCACTGGCTGCCAGGGTGGGGAAGCCCAGAACTCAATCCATTGCCAGTGGGCCAGGAAGACTCCTGCCAATCATCAGTGGGGTATGAGGGGAGGGGAGGACCAGGTATGGGGAGATGCTCAGTGGTTCTCAGGTTGAAGGAGGGAGAGGCTGTGATGGACAGGAGCCAGGGAATGTGTTTCTGGTGGGCCAGCAGGTGGGTGCAGAAGACCCTGGAAAGAGAAGGGGGCGTCAGCTGAATGGGCAAAAGATGTCATGGTGAAAGGCAGAGGGAGGGGGAAGGAGGGTCAGGCATTAGGGAGACCCCTGGGCATGTAAGCCCCTCTTCTGTGCAAGCATTCACACCCAGCACCCTCTTTTTCTGTCTTCCAGGCTTATCGTTGGATGATTGACTCCCGGGACGATTACACAGAGGAGCGCCTAGCTCAGCTGCAGGACCCCTTTTCCCTATACCGTTGCCACACCATCATGAACTGCACAAAGACCTGCCCCAAGGTGAGGGCTCTCCCCCCTCACCCCGCCAGCACAGTCCACACTGGGGGAATGGAGGGGAGGGAAGAACCTGCAGTCGTTTCTCTCCCCCTTCCCCCAGGGGCTTGGCCAGAAATGCTATTGGGACACTTTGAGAAGGACATTGGGATGCTTCTGGCTCCATGTGAGTCCAGCAGGTACTGACTGTGCGGCTGTTCTGGGCTTGTTTATGCAGGCTGCTCTGCTGTGTTTTCTTGGGGGCAGCCTCTGGAAATGGGTGACTCAGTCCATGTGGGTCAGGGGCAGATGGTGGCCAGGATGGGGAACTCGGGGTGTTGCTGCACTCCCAGCAGCCCCATCATGCCAGTCAGCAGGGTTGGTGGTCATGGACTTCTGCAGGTGAGAATCATATTCCAGCAGCACCTTGAGGGCTCTTGTCTCTCCCCGTCTGCCAGTTATCGTGCAAAGGGATGAAGGGAGCTCCCTACCTGCTGCCACATTTCCATTTGCCTCTTGGATGAGCAGATGTTGCCTTCTTGTGTTGGACTTGGCAATGGGGTTGCACTAGCAGTTGAAGGACTTTCTCCACCTTTCCTGTTCTTGTTTCAGGGGCTGAACCCTGGAAAAGCGATTGCTGAGATCAAGAAGATGATGGCCACCTACAAGGAAAAGGCAGCCAGCGCCTGACATCCCTTCAGGGCCTTTGCTTCTCAGCTCCACTTACCCTGCCCCTTGCCGGAAGTTAGCTAACTTATATTTGCGGTGTCAGGCCCTGCCCGGTTTATGTGGGTTTTCTCCACGGGCATTCATGTACGATGAAAGCTTGCAAGGATTAATAAAAGTCATTAGCAAATCTCTCTCTGTCTCTCAGTTCATCTTCCTCCCCACCCTGTTTGCGTCCTTAGACTGGCCCCCTCTCTCTGTCTTCTGCTTGCAGACTATCTGGGACTGAAGGGGGGTTTTTTGGTGTGTGTGTGTTGGGTTTGTACAGAATGGTCCCAAAGAAGACAGGAAGGTTGGGCGAGAGTGAGCATAGCTTGAAGGTAGCAACGTGGGGCTGCTTCCAACCTTCTGTAGGCTCTGCGATGAGAAGCAGTGTTTTATTATGGCAGCCTCTTCCCCCACAACTTGGAGCCCCAAATCCGTCCTTGCCCCTAAAGCTTCCATATTGTTTCCTTTGGGGCTCCTGTTCTTCCTCTATGTTGCCAGTCCAAGCCAATTGGAACCTGCCAAACCAGTTGGAAAAGGTCCAGGCGGGTTCCAACTTGCCCAGACCAGTTTAAACTGGCCTAGACTGGTTGGAACTAGCTCATACTGGTTGCAACAGGTCTAGGCTGGTTTGAACCGATCAAAGCCGTTTGAACCGGTCAAGACCGGTTTGCGCCAACCGAAGCCGGTTTGAACCAGACTAGGCTGGTTTGAACCGATCTAGGGTGGTTTGTGCTGGTTTAAGCCACTTTGGCCGGTCCAAATCGGTTTGAACTGGTCTAGGCTGGTTTGAGCATGTCTAGGCCAGTTTGAACTGGTCTAGGCCGGTTTGTGGGGGTCCAAGCCGGTTTGAACCGGTCTATGCCCTGATCATCTGTGGGCCTGGGCTCTTGGGGTCCCAAAACTGCTCTCAAAGGGAACATCGGGGCTTAGCCCCCCTTGTTATGAAGGTAATGTCCTCCTTTAGATGGAGGTGGCATGGGGGGGGGGCTTGTTGCATCACTTTCCTTCATCTTTATTACTAACTTCTTTCCCGTATCAGTTTTTGCATCCACAACTGCCCACAGGCCTGACTTTCTCTCAGTGGCTGGAGTGCCTACGGGGTTGCTGATGTCACCCCGGGTTGGAGTTGCGGCCACTTCTCCAGGTTTGGCTCCTCCTTCAGCTCCCAGGGCCTCCAATGCTGAAGTGCCTATAATCTCCTTTTGCTGGGGGGCTTGGACTTGGGCAAATTGGGGTTTATTTTGTACCAGCACTGGGGCTGGCAAGGAGGGCACATCCGGGATGCTAGATGGAGCTTGTAATAATTGGACTGCAGCGGGTGGCTGGACTGGAGGCGATGGCACAATCCTGGCCGAAGGGGCATATGGAGGCGGAAGGAGAAAACCCTCTTCTGGGTGGCCCTGGTATATCTTCTTAGCAGGGGCTGGAGGCTTGGGTTTATCTATGTTTTTCCGGGCCTCCTGCTTCACTGCTAAAATCCAGCAAGTGTCGCCCTTGCACTGCTGCATCCATGGAGGATTTTCCATGCAAGCATTATACCACTGATCAATATAGGGAAATTGATCTGGGTGGCCTCCTGGGTCCCGAGTTACTGAGACCCAAACTAGGCGGCACAATTCCACATCAAAACTGCCTTCTGAAGGCCATTTCGGAAAGCCACTTCTGACCTCGGGAGGAGGTGGTGTTGCGGGCTTCACACCCCAAACACGCACGCGGAGGCTGGCTCCCAGCCCCGCGCGATCTGTGGACTCCTTGGTCGTGTCATCCCCAGGCCCCCTTTCCTATCCAAGGGGGAGTTTGGTTAACAATGCAATACCACAGGAACTGTGTTCCGTTAAGTATGACTCCTTTGACCAAGCTGTAAAGCTTATTTGGAGATTCGGCAGGGGAGCCCTGTTAGCTAAGTGTGACATCGAGTCTGCCTTTCATCTTCCAGTTCACCTGGATGACTTCCGTTGGCTGGGTTTTAAATTTGAAGGGGCGTATTGTATAGATAAAGCCATGCCAATGGGATTCTCGGTAGCATGTGCAGCCTTTGAGACCTTTAGCACATTTCTGGACTGGGCTCTTCGCTTTAAAACCGGTTCCGAAGGGGTGGGACATTATCTTGATGATGTTATTCTCATGGCAAGACAATCTGTCGCTTCAGGCTGACTTTCAGGTACAGTCTGAGGCGGCGGGTTCCTTAGGGTTTGGTGTCTATTTTAAAGGACAGTGGTGTGCGCAACCTTGTCCTCGACCTGGCAGGGTTAGCCTATTATGCGTGACCTCACCTTCCTAGAGTTTTTTCCGATCGTGGTCACAGTACACTTGTGGGCGGAGGAGTTCAAAGATCACCGGGTATGTTTCTGGACAGACAACCAGGCGGTTGTCTCAGTCCTATCTTGTTTCCAGATGGATCGCTTCCGCTCGTTGGCGCCAGAAGCACAGCAATTGCCACAACCATTTTCGGAGCACCTTGGGAACCTTGGCAGCGAGAAGTCCTGAAGGGAGTATGTCAGGGAACCGACATCGGAGCTAGAGGTGGAGGGGAGGCTCTCTAATGATGCTGGAGAAGGGCCCAGCAGGGAGAGAGGCAGCTCAGCAGATGGGGAAGCAATTCAGTGCAACACCAGGAATAAGGAGGGGCAGATGGGGAATCGGAGAGAGGGCTCCCAGACTCTTCACCGGACACCAGCGGGGAGAGCACTGGTCCTCCGCTACCCACGCCCTCCCTGCGCAGAAGACTTCCGCGCAGAGAAAGTAGGAGGAGACTGGGTGTCAAACAACTTTTATGTTGGAAAAGGTTTAAGAAACGCCCACTGACGGATTCTGCTAGCGACTGAGGCAGCCACAAATTGAAGGGCTGTCCAGACAGAAAGGTTTAACAAGGCAACATAGCCAGGAGAGGTGGCAACTTACGCACGAGCAACCCCATACCATTATAGAGTATTAGCATCTGTTGCCCCATCAATGCTTAGATCATATAAAAAGGCTTGGTCAGATTTTTTGGTGTTCCGTAATAAAATAGAGAATGATAGGTGTGACACCCCCCCTACAAAGGCAGAAGTGCTAAAATACCTGGTGCATTTACGAGGGTTGGACCGCACAGCAAAGACACTTAACATACAGTCTGCAGCGATCTCCTTCTTTCGTAAGGCCATGTACTCGGTAGACCCTTGTGCTGATTTTTTGGTGTGGAAGGCGCTGGAGGGCTAGCGCAGGCTTCAGCCTCCCAGCACCGATGGTAGAAGACCCATAACCTTCAACATCCTATGTCAAATCCATAAAAAACTAAGGGCCATTTGTTGGTCAAGGTATAAAGCACGCCTATTTTCAGCAGCTTACTCCATCGCCTTTTTCGGCGCTTTGCGCATAGGTGAGGTGGTTTGCGACGACCAGTCGGATTCTGTTGCACGTGGGATCCTCTTAAAGGATGTGACGTTATCTCGCTCAGACCTAGTTCTCCATATCCGGAACTCAAAAACTGATCAGCTAGGCAAAAGGGCCCTAATTCGGCTTATAGCAACTCAAAAGAAAGGGCCATGCCCAGTAAAGGACGCAAGACGATTTATATATTTGAGACCAAATACCCCTAGACCATATTTCATATATGCAGATGGCTCCCGCCTTACAAGACATCAGTTTACACGCGTTATGCGTAAGGCAATTGCTGCTTGCGGTTTCCCCCAGCTGAATTTGTGGCCCATTAATTTCAGATCCAGAACCAGACTCTGGGACAGACTCCAGGGTACAAATATAGATAGAAGGCTCCTGCTCTTAATCCAGGCACTGCACGCAAACACGGCTCTTAGAGTCAGGTGCAGCCGCCTAGGACACCTAACGGACCCTATTAAAACCTTCAAAGAAGTCAGGCAAGGGTACCTATTGGCCCCTCTACTATTTAATTTCTATCTAAATAACTTAGTATCTGCATTCAGTGACTCAGAACTCCACCCGCCGAAGCTTGCAAATCGGCATATTTAGGTCCTGCTATATGCCGATGATGCAGTAATTCTATCTAGAACCCCCACTGGACTCAAAAGAGCACTAAGAAAGCTCGCAACATACTGTGAATCTGAATGTCTCAAAATCAACTATCAAAAGACCAAGATACTCGCTTTTGGGGAAAAACCAAAGCTTAGAAGCTGGGAACTCCAAGGCCATCAATTAGAACAAGTCACAAACTACAAGTATCTAGAAATGGTGGTACAGGCCTCAGGAACCAACAAACTGCACATAAACTCCATCGGGAGTTCAGCAGAAAAAAACGCAAATTGTATCCTTAAATTCTTCAGAGGACAAGGGGGCTTCTTTGTCCCCGCAGCTCTAAAATTATACACTATATAACTTTGGCACAACTCCTCTGTGGTTCCTTTTTGGGCCCGCCTTCCTCTGCTTTCTCCCCACTTGAGAGAGTTCAATCTAGACTTCTTAGAGCTCTCCTCCAAGTCCCCAGATGTGTCTCAAACGCATGGGTGAGATTGGAAACGGGGATGATGAGAGTGGAGGCTAGCATATGCCTAACATCAATCTACAAATGGCTGACATTGAACCTGCTCCCCCGAGGGATAGCCCCTTTGATCCTCTGTGACCAATTCCAGTCGGGCTGGCAGACTGCAGTCCTGAACACCCTCTGGAAACTGGGTTTTGCCCCTCAAGCCCTTCTAAGTCTGGGCTTGGGCCAGGCAAAAGCCACGGTCCGGCAAATAATATTAGATACCGAGAGACAACAGGACTGCGCAAGGTGCACTGACTATAAAATTGGAGAAATCGAGAGATATATAGCTGCACTGGCAGCATAGCTCTTCTTTCTCGTATCTAGAAATGCAAGAAGGGCCTTTACACTCGCCAGAAACGCGGCTCTTCCCTCGCCGGTCCTGGATGGAGCCTTTGGAAAAGTCCCGTATGCCCAGAGACTTTGCACCTGTCCATTGGGAGAGATAGGAAGCCCAGAACACTTGTTCCTTAAATGTCCCTTTTACGAAGAGGCACGTAGTAAGTTCATTCATCCCCTACTGGTGAGGCTCACCGCCCTCCCGCAAAAGCAAAAATTTGACCTTTTGCTGTTAGGCAAAGATCAGAAGATGACCTGGATGGTCGCCAGATTCTGTGTACAGATCTGTAGGTGCAGACCATCGCCCAACTCAAAATAGTCCGGCATGAAA